CACCCGATGTCGATAAAGGGTTGTGCGTTACAGGAGTCGAACTCAGAACTTTTTGTTACCAACTAACCCTAACAAGACCAACTGCAGGAAATACTCCTCTTTGGTGTTTTAATCGTATGTCCCGTCACATATCCTAGCGGCCAACGTGCGCAAGATATATGCAGGAACATACATAGTAGAAGTTCCAGGGGCAAGGCTAGGAGAGTTGTCAACAAATCATCAAGGCCAAACTCCTACCCAGTTTCCCCTCGAAGATGGCTCACCGCTAATGAGGGGTTGTCTTCTCTACAATGAGAACCTTGGAAAGTCACTGGTCATAGTTGAGGTCTCAGTCGCACACCATCTCTGCACAAAATGCACTTCAGCTGCAAGCCATCAAGGCTCCCCCCCGGGCCCCGGTTTCGTCCCAAAGATTCGTGATCATCCTAGGACGACGGGGGGTGAGGAGGTTTGAGAGATCGAGGCTTTCGGGTTTCGGAGGATTTATCTCGACGGTTGCAGCGGCAAGCAAGGTACAGCAGACACAGGAGTCTCCATTTGACCCCGTCAAAAGAGCCGGCCGCATCATCCCACGTTTGTTCTTTTATGCTTAAGTTTGTCGTGTGGACGGCTCCAAAGATGGCCCTTGCATTTCCGCATCGTGGTACCCTTGTCTCCGGCCACATTCGGGCGCTCGTTCGTCTGAGACATAGACATCCCACCACTGCCATCTCTTTGTTCATCGTCTTTCCGTCATTAAAAAATCACGGAATAGGCGCAAGCCGGCAACTTACCTGTTACGTCCTACGTCCTACTTGATGCTGGTAAGCGGAGATATAGCGCATCTACATAGAACTTACCTGTCGACGGACCATGTTGTTACCTATCTAGGTAGTCTCTTCTACGTAATATCGCAGCTTGGCTAGTTGTAAAAGTCTCCGCCACCACGTTTCAACTCCTCGCGTTCGATATTAAATGTCTATTTATTTTTCCTTTTCTTGCATATACGGGCTACGTCCAAGAGACTGGATATCTCTCGTACAGAATCCTCCTACGGACTTCATCTCATGTCTGTGGGTGATTTTCTTCAGCTTGTTACCTCATTCTTTTTACGGTAGCATTACATATACGCTTCTCTGCCCACCTGCCAATGCGAGGCGATGCACTACTACATGAGCGAGACATACATATATCCAGGCAGTAATGAGCGGCTGTCATCGTATGGATTTGACAATACAACATCCCGTGCTGCCCGTGCTCTCTCGGCCGCCGGGGCGAATAACTACAACATTTATCGTCCGGTATCTTGCCACATGGTGGTCAAGGTTTTTCTGATCATCAATACGTACCTATGTACGTAGGGTAGCGTGGATATGCAACTTGAGTAACATTGTGGTCCATAGATCATAACGGCGTCTAAGTTGGGGGCCTACATACAGTAGGTATAACAGTACGTAGGATCTATCTGAGACCAAGCAAACAAGCCACACCACACGATTCAGGAGGATCATTCCTTTGGCTGTGGCGGACGCAAGCGCATACATACATATTATCTACTTGCGCGATACAACCGCACAACTCGCGGGGCATGTACACAGATACGCCCGCACACATGCGCTCCAAAAAGCGAATAGATCCTTCGAACAACCCTCCCAGCGGGTACTGCGCCGCTCTCCTGCTTCCCTAGCACCGGCAAACTTCTCTCTAGGTAGTCTCATATCCTTCTCTTTAATGCTCGCCCGGCCGAACAACTTACAGTGGATGGCGGGGGGCCAACCCACCTCGCTGCCTTTCTTCTCCCGTCCTGCCTGATCCGTCCTCACCCTCTCTCGTCTTTTCTGTAGTACATAGGTATCTTTGCTGCCTCGGTATCTTACCCGGCGTAGATTCGCTTAATTGCCCCATGCGCGCAAAAGTACCTACCTGACGCACAGTTGGTCGTCGTCGTCGTACATCGTACGTCGTACGTAGTACGTAGTAATATATTTAAGGCAGAGACCTACATAAGTACGCTGCGCACTCGCGCGCGTATATTACGTAGGTATATTAATTTATCGGATACGGTACCTGAGATCTAAGCCCGAATAACGTACCTTGGGTATTACCTACGTAGGGTATGTATGTAACCGGCCCTATGGCTTGGGCGAAAGGTGGGGGGATAGACAGGTAAATAGTCTCGCAGCGCTTTTGCGACCTGCGATACGCATCGCCGACCTGGGGGGGGGAGGGCTTGCCTGTAGGTCGTAACGGGCGCGAAAGCGAGGATGGTGTGTGGTTGGTCGGCTGGGGTTCGCCTTTGCGTGCGGTGCGTAAGCAGGTTTTGACTGGAGGCGCCCTGCCGCTCCAGGTGGGCTGGACCACCTACGTACCTTACGCATCTCAGCTGAAAGGAGCGGGAGAAGGGCGAGAGAAGAAGAAAACGGAAAGAAAAGAAAGAAAGAAAGAAGGTTTCAGTAGGTGTCAGCATACGAACGGGAACGACTCTGCCGTCTTGCAAAAAAAACGGATCGGATGCGTAATGCTAAGGAACTAATAAACACAGACTCAGGTCGCAGACCGGCGCGCCCGTTTCTCTCTAACTTCCCCTCTCCATTCCGTTTTCAAGACTTGCCTGCCGCCGCTGCCGAGCGGATCCCCGGGCTGAGCGAGCAGACTATGGTATAGTAGTTTGGCGTTCACGTCAGAATCTTATTGCTCCTAGCAGTCCCCAGCAGTAGCGTAGGTTAGATACGTAAGATATGAACCTTTTTTGCTGCTATAGTATGGTCCTTTGACGGCGAGGTAGAGTTCGCGTCGCAATATAGGGATGGGTTATTGCTGCAGTCAGCTTATATAGATGGACCACGTGGAAGCCGCATCGCCGCTAGTCGCCGGAGGCATGCTTACTTTGCAGAGATCCACTTGCGATGACCCGTGGACGGGATGATTATCTTGCTTGCTTGCTTGCTTATAGAACGGATATTCGGTTTACGACGTTTGAGTCATAACGAAATAGTAGAAGAGGAGTTGTGCCCCTGACGAGCTTCCGTGGTGACGGTGAAGTTGAAGTTACGTAGTTCATGCCTCCGTACTAAGCCAGGATCGAAACCGGGTTGAGATCTCTCCGGAACTTACCACATATACCTATTATCTCCGGAAACTTTACGTTATTTTGGTTTCAGGATCAGTATATCTCCATCCTTGCGGAGGATTCTGTTCGTGGTAAACCAATATACCCCTAGTTTCAAACCAGGCTTCGTGAAGAAAAAGTACCTTGGAGACTAAGTGGTTTGTCCTCGGGATTAGGACTTAAGCCGTCGCAAATGAATATAATGTCAGCACATTCAACTGAATTTCTATATACAGATATATCACCAGGTCATCGACATGTGAATGATGTTCTTGTAGGGTCATAGGTCCAACCCGGGTGAGTCATTGAGCCGCACCAACATGTCTCTTGATAGGCACATATTTCTCACCCCTATCTTTTCCGCAAGTTGTAATACGCCCTCTGCTTGTTAAGAATGATGACTGAGCCGTACAAGAGGTGCCATAGCCCTCATAACTGCTCAGAGATGTGAGATATAAGTAGGCGTGTATCCGAGAAATACGGAACGATCTTTTGAAACAAACAGCCCGAATACGGAGTGATTAAAAACAAATCGGCGTAATTATCAGTCGACACGCTTGCACGGGTAAAGTACGCACGTATGTCTTCTTTTCGGCCCGTTAAATCACATGTCCCGACCATGGCCCGTCCCGACGGGTGTATGTACTTGACCCGGAGCTCTGGGTCGCCTAGGTCCTTGGCTGGAGCGAGAGGGGTACACGACTCCTTCGGTCATCATAGATGTAGCTGACGTCTGGTTGTGTTTATGTCATGCCCAGTTCAAGCTAATAGCTAGAATAGACTGATGTAGGGGTCTAGAGACTTTATTCAGTTTCCGATATACCAGGATTGCATAGATTCCCACGCGTGATGGTGATGTTAGGGGTGTAGTGTTATGTGACCTTATTTAGTGTGCTGGAAACAGTATACAGATATCGAAGCTCTTACATTAAGATATCTCATTTCCTTCCGAGATAGATGTAACGGGATGATCGTATACCATAGCTATCAGTAGGCACGTGTGATTGGGGGCCTGAGTACACACTAGGTAGTTGGCATCATGTAGCTTTGACCCGGGGATTTGGATCTTGTATCTTCTCAGGGTTAAGGAACCCTTACGCTATAATAAGACATATAGTCCATGCAGGTAGCTCTAACTACCTTAAGGGTACCCAGCTAGTATGCAGTCAGTGAGACCCAACTTCGTGTCTCTGCTATGCACATCATGCAGGACAGGCATTGGGATTTCCCTGAGAAATCTACTTTTACTATTGTATCACATTGGACTGAAATCAATGTTACCTTTCCCTGTCTTCCCCTTATTCCTTTTAGTGATATATTATTAGTCCGGTGACCAAAGTACGCATGTCTGCGTTGGAGGTTGTACAACCCCTTATTTACCTAGGTATGCTCAGGGCCTACACATATAGCCCACGTGTTACTTTAGGATAAGACTACGATGTTTGCTGTTTATTTTCCGTATATCTGAGTATCTATTTTCAGCGTATGGAAATGTGATATCGCTGGAGTTTATATGATGTGTAGCGGTTGATCTTGAAGGGATTCCGCGCAGTTCCTCTCCTAACATGACTCCGATATAACCAGTGGTGAATTATTAGGGTTAGATGTAAGGACTACTATTCAATTTGGGATCTGGCTGCCGCCGTAAGCTCTAGGAATAATATAGAAGAGATTGCCTATTGTTAGCTCATATATGAGTTATATTATCTACCTAGGCTGGGCCCTTGGTTATTGTTGACAATGGTTATCTGTTCATTACCGCATGACCGTTGCCCTATGGTAGGGCATATCATACACAGCTGCCTTGGAAACATGAGCAGCACTGCTTTGTTACCGTAATTAGATATATGGAGTTTAAGTCGATTCGATGACGTTTACGATGAAATTTCGTGAGAAATGACGGATTCTGAGGAGCATAGATTTCTCTTATATACTGGCACATAACGACTGGATAGCAAAGTCATGAAAATTCGTCAAACATACCCTGTGCATCAGTTTTACTTTTAGGTCTACCTAATCATCAGTAAATGCTATTGGTACCCCCGAGTTTACAGGCTGACCGTCTACAGTCGCGTATAACTCCGACCTGCCCCCGACGACCGCATGTGACCATTCATTTTAGCAACACTGGAGCACTTTTAATCCTCATCCCAGTTGGGGTTGGGTCCAGGCGGCTTTGGTCCGCCCGCTTGCCTTGACACGATGATCTGGTCGACTGACAACACGGTCCGTGCTGCTTCCGTTGCTAATTTGATAGCCCAGGCCTTGGTGACCATGAGGTCTAAGATGCCATTCTTCTTGGCATCCAAGGTGCCAGTGCCATCGTCGTTCTGTAGCAAATACAATGTCAGCTCTGTGCCCCAGTAAGAGATACGATGAAGTTACTTACCTCTATGTCGACTCCTGTAACCCAGGCGTCCTTTTTGTTATGTGCCGTATAAAGTCTGCTCAAGACCTCAGTAGCGTCTAAACCGGCGCTCTCCGCAATGGTTCGCGGCACCACTTCAAAAGCTTCGCCGTACTTTCGGATAGAGTATTGCGGCAAGCCTGGTGTCTTTTCGGCGATAGCTTGTATCCTTCCGACGAGTTGCAGCTCAGTTGCACCTGCGCCAGGAACCAGTCGTGCGTCACGAGTGATGGCCTTCACTACATTGACACCATCATCTACTGCTCGTTCAACATCGTCGAGATGGTTTTGTGTGGCTCCTCTAAGGACGATAGTGGCCGTTCTTGTAACCTCGTCTTCTTGCCTGAACACTGTCACACGATCTCCGCCAATCTCGAGGGTTTCAACAACATCCACGGATCCCATCTCGTCAGGCATGGGAGCGCCCAATCTCGCAAGAGGGGTAGCGCCAACGACTCGGCACACCCGTCGCAACTCAAATTTGCTTAGAATCTTGATGACGAGGATGCCGTATCGGTTGAGGTAGTGTAGTGCAAGCTCTCCTACGGTTGAACCGGCAACGACGACTCTCAATCCGACATCGTGTAACTCCTTGATGGCGGTCTCTAGCTGCTCTTCTTCTCCCTTGGTGAAGTCCATCATCTCCTTGGCATTGTGCAATAAAACAGTGCCCTTGGTCTCGGTTTGGCTGATGTCGATTGGGCAAGAGAAGACACCGACCTTGGCCTTATTCGCCTTCTTGACGGATCCATTTGGTTCCTTAGGAAATACCATACCCTTTACCACCCTGCTCTGCTCCAGACTTCCACCCATAATCTTGACTACTCGTATGTTGTCGACATTAAAATTGACAGGGTTCTTGGGGAGCACGGCAAGAACAGCCTCAGAAACGAGCTCGGCGAGGGTATCCTCATTCCCATTCTGCTTGCTGGCGACGACTGTTTTGATCGCCTTGCTTAGTTCCTCTTGGTTTCTGAGATCATCTACCTTATCCACGACAAGGTTCTCTAATTCTTCAAGGGCGAGCGCTTGGGCCCGTTCGTAACCTGTGACTATATCGGCCGTTTTCAGTCCCATTCGTAGTAGATCTTCGGCCTTCTTCAGGAGTTCACCAGCCAAGACGATGACGAGGTTTGTAGCATCACCCATCTCAGCTTCTTGCTGTTGACTTGCCATGACCAAGAGCTTGGCGGCGGGGTGGACAACGTCGAGCTCTTTGAGGATTGTGGCGGCGTCGGAGGTGAGGATCATCTTTTGCAGATGGTTGATGATGATCTTATTTCGGCCATAAGGACCTAGGGAGGTCTGAACTGTGGAGGAAATGGCTCGACAAGCATCGATATTTCGTAGGACGGCTCCATCTTCAGAATCATAGCTGTAGCATCGTTAGGCACCCTCTCGTTATACAGGTTTGGCAGATTTGGAAGATTTGCTAGCGGTGGTGGGGGTCGACATACTTGTTGTAGCCTTGCTTGAATAGGCCAGCGTTTGGCGCGTTCGGTATGCTGAGCGACATATTTGCTTCTTTTCACTTTAATATCTTCCCAACTGCTGGTCGACTTTATAGAAGCTCTGTGGGGGATATTATCGTGTAGAATAGGTCACCGATGAATCTTGAACAAAGTCAAGTGGGTTGCATTTGAAGCTCTACTAGAAAAATATTAGTGGGGCCAAACTAGGTACGTACTGGAGGCAGTGGAGGGCAGCAGGGGCAGGTACGTACCTCTTGTGCTAGTGGGGTCTTCCTTTGGGAAACCACGAATCACATAAATAGCTAATAGCCTTGCTCAATAAATGGACCTTTGGCTTTCATACTCCAATTAAAGCCTCAGGATTCCAGCCTCGTTTCTCGTGCTACGGTACTCCAACTTATTTAGGCTTATGACTTATGTAACTCGATTAATTCGTCGCGCGTCTCGGTGTTGCTGCTGATTTATTTTTCTTCAAACATCATCATCATTGCCATTGACGACCTCACTGTTCGATGTTCATCATACTACACGAAGGTACACTCTACCGCGCCTTCTAAGAATTCGCGTTTTTTATTATTATCTTTAAATTCACAGCTTATAGTCGAATTGTTCCTATTCACTATTCATCAGACCTCTTGCCTACGACGAGGAGCAAACGTGACTGATTGCAGTCGCACTCCTTCGTGACAATGGCACCGCAAAATTGTAAGTGCCTACAAATTTTATTATTGAAAATGTTATACCACAAAGTTCCTTAATGTACCTAGTCCATTATGAGGACTATTGTGAGTCATCTAGCAACTTGAAGCTATCACCACCATTACCAAATACCATCGCCGTCCCGACATTTTAACATCAATCATGAGCCACAACGATGAAAACAGGGGTACTCCGCCTCTATTCCGATGGCCCCCAGGAAGGGCGACTGCATCTAGCCCTGTTGAGCGTTCTTCCCAGGCTAGCCCCATTCCTACGGATTCCGGCCCAGTCGCTACTATGTCCAACCTGGATACTACTATGACCGAATTGAAGCTTAATGATAAGAGCTCGGATCGCGCATCACACGTTTCATCGAGAAAGCATACTGATCATAAAAAATCCGTAGTGAACCCGCCTTCTCTCCCTCCTACCGTCGAGGAAGCCTACCGTCGCAAGTGTATTCAGCTCAAAGAGCGCACCAAGGAGATTGAAGAAGAGGCCAAGGCTTATCAACTGCGACTAAGCCGACTCCAACGTCAAGTCCAGAAGCTCCGTCTTGAACGCGCATTTCTGCTCGAGCAGGTTGCCAAGCGCACAAGCACTAATGTCGAGGATTCTGAGGGCAGCCCCAGCCCTCCTCCCACCGTACGTACCAAGCTCCTCACCCACTTTTGGAAACTCTTCGTTGATATCAGGTATCTGACCTCGTAGCAGCCCAAGGATAAGCCGCTCCGAACGAAGCGTGGGCATAGGAAGCCCTCTCTGCTTCCCGTTTCCGAGCCGGGTACCAATCCCAGCGCCACTTTTATCAGCCAGAACTTGACGACACTTTCACCCAGCTCCGACGCCTTCTCTCACTCGCAGCTCGACACACAGAAGGAACACGGCCGCGGCGGAACCAACGGCGTCGCCAAGCGACCGAAGCGCCCCAGCAACGCCTTCGAGATCTACTGTAACGACACGCGACCCATCCTCCAAGCCCAGAACAAGGAGAAGATCGCGGCGGGCGAGTTCCGACTTGAAGAGGAGCTCGCCCGAGGCTGGAAGGATCTGCCCGAGAAAGAGAAGGAAGAGTTTCAGATCCGTTACGAGCAGGAATTGGCCCAATACAAGGAGGCCGTCGAAGAGTTCAAACGCGGCAATAAGGACGTCGCGGCTCGTGAGCGCTCACGCGGAAGGGATAGCCTTGCTGGCGGCAGCAAAAGTAGTCGAGGCGGAGCGGGAGCACGCTCGGCTCGGTTTGAGGAGGTCCAAGACGAGGATATGGACGAGGATCAAGACGTCGAGATGGCGGAGCCTGGTGACGCTGAGCCTGCCGGCGATCAGGACACAGACCCGGAGACCGAGGTCGAAGAGAACGACGGTGTGGTCGACTAGGAGTAGGGCCCTGATTATCCGTGTTGCTTGATGTAGCCCCATGACCCAACGACTCCATGCGACGACTCCGAACCTGAAAACTACACTCACACATATAATAATCTCGCCACAGAATAAAGGGGCATATGTTGCCCTACCTATCCCTCGACCTCTAGCATACGGAGAACGGAAAACGGAGAAGGAAAAACTCGCTGTTTTTGCTTAGCACCGCGAATGAAATTCGGGGTTGGGGAACGGTCGGATCGGAATGACGTTCTACGATCCTACCAAAAGAGCAGGCGTTACGGAATTTGGACTTTTGCGTGTACACTACGAAACTGGGTAGCTAGGAAGCTACGGTAATCAGTCAGGGAAGGTCCTGTTGCCTCTAGACGGCATAGGATCACTTTAGATACGACTAAAACGCGATGATTTTCTACGCATCATGATTCTCTATTCACGTGCATGTTTCTCGCATTGCGCTGCGAAAAGGTCTTCTGCCCTGAAAGAATTAATATATGTAGGCGAGCAATAGGTATGTATGACGAAGCTGGCTCGTGAACAACTTGGTAATATCGATACCGACGTCGATGCTAATACTATATACACCCAAACTGTAGGTTGTTTTGAATAATGGCCTCTGCTGATTAGACCTGCCATACCCAAGAACTTGAAGGTGCCGCTGCGTAGGTGGAGTCCACTTAAGTACCTAGGTTAGGTATGAGGTATGTATGCTATACTACAAATATATGTAACTGATCCCGTGCATCCCCAGCGCCGCCCATTGCATTTTCCGATTTATGAAAGCAAATTACTAGTCTAATAGCGACGAGGTGCGTAGGTACGACAGATGCTTAGTCTACGCCCGCGTACAGGTCGACGACGATATTGACTGCCGCGACCAGGATCTCGGCTGCGATGAGAACGATGACTGCGACATGTTAGTTTTGTTTCAAAAGGAGGTTATAGGGAGAAAGGGAAGACCTACCAATCCACTCTAATTTCTCGCCGTGTCCGTGACTGAGCTGATCTTTCAGCACCGCCAACAAGTCCGCAATGACATCTAGCCGTTCCGTGAGCAGACCGACACGTTGGTCCATCTCGAGGTAGCTCCGGACGGCCTGGTAGACGGGCTCGAGGTGGGGTTCGACCCAGAAGAGCTCGGGCGTGTCGAGGACGCTACCGTTGAGGTGAATGTTAATCCTGAGAATGAACAATTCGCCAATCTGCATGTTGATTTGTGAGCGTGAGAGGGCAATTTTTCCTGTCAGGGCTATTTGCGTCGGGATATCCTTGCATGTATCGACGGTCGAGGCGATGAGCTCTTCGAAGAGGGAGGTCTAACATCATGTTAGTAAGACGTATATATATCTCATAAGGAGAAAAGATTTAAGCGGAAGCCGACAAGAAAAATGTCTATATCAAAAGGGGGTGTTGTACCTTGACGCTTTGGGCGAGCGCATGTGATATAGCCAGTTTCGTCATATAATTCCTTTTGTCTCGTAATGTGATAAAGTCGTTATATATCCGCGGCTGGTACTCGTTCGTGTAGTAAAAATTAAAGCATTCTGTCTCCATGTCGTCCGGGTCTAGCTTCTCAAGTTCGAACTTTGCTATGTCTTTTAGAAATCGCTGTTCTTGTCCCAGTGTCATCCCCCATATAACTACGACGCCGTAATCGAACAAGAATACTTCTGGGGTGTGCACCTTGGTATCAAACTCGACTTCGTGCGGGTGTTGCTCCGAATGCGAATGCAAGTCGTGTATCGCGCTTTCGTCCTCTAGTCGTGATGGGTAGGTGAGATTGTTGTGCATATCTCGGCCATTGCTGAACGTTTGTTCGGCATCTGACGTTCCGTCATTTCGTTGCGCCTGCAAGTTGTGTAGGCTTTCTCTCCTGTACTCATCCGAATGCTCTTCGAACTCGCCTGTCGAATGTCTCCTTTCATACATCTGAACCGGTCTCTCTGGTATTTCTTCTGCCGCTTCAGCTCGTTCTGCCGACTTGCCAAGTGTATAGCTATAAGGTGAGTATATGCACTCGTCGATTAATTTAGGATGTGCTCCCCGGTTCTTGCCCCTGCCTTTTAGGAACCGCATCAGGCCATCCATCTGGTATCTGTTTGCGGTACAATAGGCTGTGACCCGTGGCAACCTGTCTCGGTCTGCCTTTCCTAACCGTGCGGCATCTCTCCTCGCTGTAGGATCTTTAATACGCGTGTATTGCGAATAGACGTCCCTGCCGCTCTCCTCATCTGGTGCCTCCTCTTCGAGCTCGGGATTCGGCAGTAGTTTTAGTTTCTGCGCAGTCTTGGAGCTCCGTTGGGGGCCAATCTTCGGCACAGGGCCTACTGATGGCGGGAGAGCGGTGAAGACGGAACCGTGACTGTTGCGTCGACGTAGGCGATTATTCAGCGCCGAGAGCATGGGAGGCGGGACGGCCGAGCTACTTCCCGAGGCCAGGGAACTCGTCGCGCGTCCATGCTCGAGAGTATTTATGGTGCTAGGCGACGAGCTTAAAGAAGCAGGATCTGGATCGATGGTTCTTGACACGGGGTTCGGGTTAAAGGTTACGTTGCGCGCGGTCTTGGGACGCTCTGTGTCTCGTCGTAGTAGAGGGGTTCGTTCAGACTTCGGTCCATAGCTCGTCGACGCTCTTGGTGATGCAGCCATTGCAATACTTGGCCTCTATTAAAACACGCCTGTCTGTAGCCTGACACGTTTAAGAGCGAGCTTAGCCTGCCCTTACGTGCTAGTGACCTCGGAAGCGTAATGACAGCTCTCCTTTGTGTCTGGTGTTATTGTGTTGCCATGCGAAAGGTGTTGCCGGGAGTTTGAGAAGAGATTATCAATTAAACGTGTTTGGGTCTCAATGATACTTGCCCCTGAATTGGAAAAAGGACAGCCTCAAGAACGAGTTAAGTTATGATGATATCTCTAAGTTCACGTTTGAAGGGTTGAGTGTCTATTGCTAAGGTTTACAACATTTGGAGCTAAGAAGTTTTAAGAGAAGCACTTCCTGGAGCTAGTAGTCTAGGTGCTACCTGCATATTTCCTGGTAGCTTGGCCTTATGACGTTCAAGAATTGGCCCACGCTCAATGAAAGGGAAGAAAAAAAATTAAGATAAAAACGAAGCTAGCGCCGGCTTGTCACCCATAATCCCTGCAAAGTTGCGGGGATTCTGCTTTGAGTACTCATGCGTACATTACCATATGTAAAATGCTTGATAGATACATAAAAACACCTATACCTACACATATTATGGCGTGAGTCGCCCTATCCTCTTCACTCATTATGTTACCCAACCTGCCAACAGCCAACCTTAAATGCCGAAGGTTTGGGGGAGGTGACTTCCTTCCCACCTATATCAACTCTGAATTATATGATAACTGTATCTTGACTCCCTTCAACTCTCTTCAGTCTTTGCAGGTGGATTGGCTCGTTATTAGAACATCATAATTCGTGCATCGATCCGCCACTCGCATATTTCCAGATGGTACCCAGGTAATTAGAGAAAATAAACTCATGCACCAATGATCTTCGTCTCGATTTTGAAGCCGGCGTCGTCCAAACGGTCAATATATCCAGGGCCGAGACAAGCAGGAGTATAAATACCCCCTTTAAGGTCAACGTCGTCTTGTAACATCGTCAACGCAGCTTGGCTTAGAAGAACTGCAGTTACTATGGTAAATGGATTCGTTAGTTGCGAAATGTTTGCTGAGTTCAGTTTGAAAATCGATTACTTACGATAATACATTCCTCCGCTATGCTCAGCCTTGCACCAGACTTTCTTGCGAATCTCTGGTGCAGTGTCTAGCGTTGCTACTCCCCGGAGCTGGATATACTCTTTTTCTCGGTCTTGCTTTGACGGCCCTTCGCCAGGTTGGGGAATAAACTTGCGCATTACCTTCCGAAACGGTGGGCAGAACATAAGCGCCAGACCGCTGACCATAAGACCATAATGCATTACAATGCCTCCCAAATAGTTTCGAGGTCTCATGTACTCCCGGTATGTGAAGTTTGGCCCGTAGAAATACTTCTGCAACGATGACTCCTGTTTGAACAGGCCCCAACTACGTTGCACAACCGCCGTGTTTGTCCCCGCAGTCACGGACGTCGCCACCAGGCCAAGATCAGGTATAGAATTCAAGCCTGTCAACCTTGATAGAAACGAGGGCTTAGGCGCTAGTTTTGAGTTCGCAACGGGAGACAGAGCATATGGCTTATGAGAACCGACGATTTCCTTCCAGTGGAAGACGTCGAAGAGACCTAAGACTGTATGAAGAGTGCCCCCCGATGGCGTGCCGCTGGATTGTGTCAACTTCATTCCGACTTGATCTTTAGATATGGATGACTTACTGCAACTCATGCACCGAGACAACAACGTCTTTAACGGGGGCTGATAGTTCGGAGCGGGCTACTGATACCATCGAGAAAGTTACAAGGTCTGATAGTGCTGATTCGATGGCGGTTTGTGGAAATAAGCAAGCGCCTGTAGCCTTTGCAGATGCTTCATATTTCCTTATCATGGTCTGATGCCAAACACACTCACCCGTCGCATCAAAGTAGTGAGTTCCAGATTCTGCACAAGCTCTGAAGGCATATTCTCCGTACTTTGCATACGGCCCTACGGTTGTGATAAGTGCGTAGGTTTTCTTGGCTAAGGCTGCAAGGTCGGTGTCGTTGAGGTTACATATCTCGATCCCGGGTGATTGACGATCTGGGTTGAGAGCTTTGCATTTCCTGACGACATCTTGCAGCTTTTCTGCGGACCGACCAGCAACTGCCCACCTCAAATCCGTTGGGAAGTGAGTTGTGATATGTTCTGCGCACAATGATCCAGTATAGCCTAGTAGCTATCAGCGGTTGAACATGTTATACTTCTCCTAAATAAGCCTTGAAGACTTACCAGTTGCACCGAATACCACTAAATCATACTGGCGAGAATGTTTCTTGAATGACATGGTGACTACGCCTGCCAAAATGATTTTTAAGTATCGTGGTTAAGTGTAAGACAAGGTCGAGCAAGGCAGATTTGTAAGTTGAGTATTTAATAGGAAGTATCCCTGGCTTGGATAGCACACCTGGTATACTTTTATTCGCTACTTAATAGATGGAGGCTCGAGAATGGAGCGATGAAATACGCGGCGAGTCTCTCCTATTAGGGTTATATATGTACAAAGACAAAAGACATCAGCAGACGAGACATGTAATTTGAACATTGCGGATCTAGGGCGTTTGATATTCCCTTCGCCATTTCTCGCATCGCCTCGACAGGCTAGGATGCATACAGGAGGAGGCTTTAAACAGCGGTAATCACGGAGCGCGGTTCTAGCTATGAAAGGAATCAAGGCCGCACTTGCCTCGGCTGGACACCTCTAAAGGAATGGGAGCTCCGGCGTTTCGTGAATGTCAATCCGGTAGAGAGCGCCGTAGGTTTCGGATTGCTTCCTCAAACGGTTTAGTCTACATAGAGATCATCGCCGGGATGATCTGTGGCACTCTTTGCTCCGTTGCCGTTGAGAGATAAGCCAATGGGACTAGATCATTCTCGCCTGCCATACGACGAATCGGGGCATTTTCTACAGATCCTCGGATGAATCCATCAATTGATACAGACAATCTACCTCCGACCATCTAATTGGGCGACGACGTAGGATTAGTCATTTAAGTCACCTGACAGCCTGGCCATCTCCGAAGCCATCTCCACTCTTTTTCGGCCCCTCTTTACCTTACATAAACCCCTAAAGTAGCGAAGTCTATTTTGACATGGTCAAAGCGTCTTTTTTCGGCTCGCTTAGCCCTAGGAAGGAACACCACTTTGAACTTTCACACCAGCAAAATCGAAATTGTTAGCCTAGCAGCCCACTCTGCCATTCAACATTTCGAATTTGACTACGGAAACTTTTTGACCACAACCCCAAAACACGCAACCCTTCCGTCGCCATCTACACTCCGCGATCAAACGACACAATCCTCAATCAAGATGACGAAGCGCACGAAGAAGGTCGGTGTTACCGGCAAATACGGTACTAGGTTAGTATTTCTATATCTTGTCGCGAATTCCTCGAACGGCTCTGTCATCGCTGGTGGGTGAATGTCGCCAACGGTTGCCAACTTAACGAGACGAGCTACGAATTTCTATACTCGAAGAAAATATACTCGAAAAAAATGCACCGGTGTTCCAATCTTGGGGAATCCATGCTGATAATGATCCTCCTTGAACAGATACGGTGCCTCCCTACGAAAGCAAGTTAAGAAGATGGAAATCACTCAACACGCCAAGTACACCTGCACCTTCTGCGGCAAAGTCACAGTCAAGCGCCATTCAGTCGGTATCTGGAACTGCAAGTCGTGTGGAAAGACCGTCGCCGGAGGAGCTTATACCGTATCGTATGTTAAATTACAGACAACTACATCCTGATTTCGCTGGGAAGCTAGGAGACACGAATACTAATTCTTGAATTGTAGAACTGCTGCCGCCGCCGCCATGCGATCGACACTACGACGATTGAGGGAGATCCAGGAGGTTTAAACGTGGGTCAAGGGGGGAACGGTTGTTTTCTTTGCATTTGGCTTCGGTGTACGGGAAAACGGAATTTTCTACGCAAGCCATGAAAGGTCATGACGACGATCGATGGATTTCTCGGTCAGCATCAATAAGGTTGCCTATGAACCAGGGTCCTCGATCATAACCAAATGCCAACACAGAATTTATGAAGAACAAAACATCCCGGATTGCTGGAGTCACTCCATACGACCCGGCTTCTTTTCGTGTCTCCTACGTGAAATATGCCTTATGGTTTTTGTTAAATATTGTCGTCGAAAACGCACGGTCGAGTCATAAATGAAGATCACTTGGGTCGATTACGCTGGGCGTTTGAAGGCGTTCGATCTGTCAGGCAGCTCTGCCCGTACTTGCCCTAGAGACTGGGGATATATGATGAGGGCAGTCGGTGCCTGTGTGAGATTTGAGATCTGAGAGGCCGGGACTCTTGTCCTTGCCGATGCCTCGAGGTGTGGACTTGATCGTCCTCGTGTATTGCGCTGTTAACGTCGCCTACTCATGTGAGTCATTTGGCTGCCTGGCAGACTTAATCCTCAAGCAGGATCAGGATCTAGGTTGACGCATATTTTCAGGGCAACATCCACGGACAAGTGTCACGTTGGAACCAGCCAGCCTCGAATTATTGTCTACTGAGTCAAATACCAATAGTCCAAAACGACTTTAACGACATCCCGCGATCAATATAAAAACGACCCGGCCCCCGTCACAGTATATGCGCCCTGCTCCCGTAATCGGCTGTTAAGTCCGGTTTTAACTTGTCATTCTCCCACCGCGCGAACCTCTTTCTGGTAGAATAGGTACTGTCTTTTGATTACTACCAGAATAGTGTCTTAACTAACATCTACGTTGCTATTGGCTCCCGGGCTGTACCTGAAATCGAGTTTATACCCATTTCGGCAGATTACAGACCCCGTGGTACACAATCGGGAAGCGCCTGTTCTTGGCTCCTGGATCACGTACAGCAGACCGTCGTAGCCGAAAGAACCGGATTTCGTTTTGGAGGTTCTCTCTCCTTTCCCCCAAACGAGGACATTAATCACTAGGTAACTTCGACCGAACATAGGTAGGTCGGAAGCCCGTTATCTGTAAGCGAATGGATAAGGAATGCATCACAAACATGCCATTTTATCAATATTAAGGGGAGTGCGTGTGTAAGGTATGTTCCTCGACTCGACAATCCTCCCGACCGACGATTGGGGCTATTGGAGAACGCCCTGGGAAGAACGAGTGACACTGCATTAGCCGCAACATACCTAGCTCCGTAAAGTTTCTTAGTAACTCAGGTGTGAAATCGTCTCATCGGTATCTCTTAGCATACAACTCTCTACTACCTGCCTTAGAGGCATATGCGCAGCGATTCAAAAGAGGAAGAAGACCCTGTTGGCACTCGGCTAAGCGACATCGAACTAGAAAGTCGAAGAGGCTGTCTCTCAGCTACACTTATGCCAACCTTACCACCAATGAAGCGGCATCCTCGAAGCATTTTATGGTCTTCGTCATCAAAACTTTGCAGGCTTAGCTCATCGTCTTATGATTACGATCGTATACGCCAAGGTAGGTAAAGTCTGACCAGGGGGAGTTCCTGGAATGACGTGCTGTTGAAACGTTCGGAACGGGATGAGCTGAAAGTATTTCCGACCAAACCGCACAGAAAACCCGTACTAAATAGCTTACCCGACCACGACGACGATTGCAACCTGACGATAACAAGGGCTCGGGGTCACCTGTGTGGCACTTGAGTTTAGTTTGACTGGGCATATTTCTAAAAACGCCAGGTGAACATTAACTTTACGTTGGTAGGCAATCACCACCTGGTCAGTTTCCCCCTCTTCTAAGTTCTAACATCGAACCTGCCTATATACATAGGTACCTACCTATACACGCCTCGTTCGTTTAGGTATTCAGCGGTCTTACGGAGTCACAGTACCTTCCTCTGGTTATTCTTGGTTGGTTATCCAGGTCATTTATGGTCATTTATGATCGTTTGTGTACAGAAACTGCAGCCTGCAAGGGTTCTTGAGTAAAGTACTTACGCATGTACGCAGTACGAATTGCTCAGCGTCGACCGAGGAGTACGAAGTTACATACTGCGCACCAAAAAAGGGTCAAGAGTTCAGTTGTCGTCATCTGATAGGCCAGTTTTGGTCCCGCTCGGGCCAGGTAAGGTGGCAGCGCTAAACTCGTCAAATTCCCATGGGCTTTCAGTAGGCCCCTCCTTCGTCCTTTTTTTCGACTTTCACCATTGTTAAACCACTCCCACTTCGATTGAAAGTCCACCTATTTTTACGTGTGTTCCTTAGCACTTTAGCAAGCAAAAGCTACCACTACACGCGGAAGCCTTTACAGCTTCATCGACTTCATCAATTACGGCGGATTCAGTCGCTACACAACGGAATCAATCAAGTCACCAATCGATATCTTGCTTCTTTAACACGGATTTCTCTTCCGCACATATTTCCCCTATTCCCTTGAAATTGTTCTAAGGGCCAAGCTCAAGCTCAAGCTCAAGAGACAGGCAAACTGCACTTTGACCACTTTGATCAATTACCATCCCGCCACCCGTCGTCCATTATCCACCTGCACCACCCACCACCCACCACTCGCGTTTCTGGACAAAGCTCGGCCTATTAACTTGGCCAGCCGGGGGCGCTTTTTTAATTCTCCCCCAAACATTCAATTCTAAAAAGGCGTCTCTCTACCTGGATATCTCAGTCTCTGAATCACAGAAAAGGACAAGACTGATTACCTAATCATTCAATCAATTTAACAAACCTGATCTAACAGGTCTACCTAACTTTTCATCGACAATCATCAATCATATTTCAGTACGGATTTCTTCCGCAAATAGGTAGACCCGTGTCCAACGCTAAAAGCACCCCTCGTCATATCCTCCCGTCACTCTTCCATTATTATTCTTTGGCCCTATTTTCTTTCGTCCAGGTCATTACTCCTGCGTTAGTACATCACCTGCGCACCCCTCAAAGTACCTATTTATCGACTTTATCGACTCCTGCCTTATCAAGCCACCAATCCAACCAACCAAGCAGCCAGCCAGCCAGCCAACCCACTCTCTATCTCGAGCTCGCCGGCCAGTACATCACGGTACATATAATTCATCCACTCAAAGGGTTTGTTGCTCAAGCTGCAGCAAATCTTCCAAAAAGGCAGACTTACATTAAAGTCACTTATATGTTGTATTCTCAACATCGACAATCCATGAAAATCTGCCCCGATGGCTGATCAATGTATTGTCTGTCTAGAAACTCTAGACGTCCAATCGTCGCCGCCGCTTTCGCAATTGCACGAACCTCCCGAAGACGATCTCCCACAGACCTCGTCGTCCGCTGCAGGCGAAGCAAATGCAAATGCGCCGGCACGACTATCGTCAAAGTCTCCGCTAGGCATCCACTCCGCCGGCGAAGACAATAACATTGCCATCATCCATATTTGTGGTCATGCTTTACATGACGCTTGCTTGCGAGAGTGGACGGGAAAGGCAAATAGCTGTCCCATCTGCCGCCAAGCATTCCATCTGGTGCATGTATACGATAAAGTTGGAGGTAAGTTTATTACATCATTTTCGTCGCTACAACGCATGTCGCACCAAGATGCTAATTACCTTACTTTACCACTTAGGTACCCAGCTATCATCTTATAAGGTAGAGGATAAGAAACAGGTAGCTGAATTCGACCCGCAAGCATGGTTGGATGACAATCCAGAGGTAGAAGAGGAAACGAGGCCTTGTCCCATCTGCGACCGAGCTGACCACGAGGATGTCCTCCTCCTCTGCGACAGCTGCGATGCACCATATCACACATTCTGCGTCGGCCTTGACAGCGTCCCTCGAGGGCACTGGTTCTGCCTGGAGTGTGCTGATACTGGTGCCGAGCTCCTGGCTTCCGAGCTCCACGATGAAGACGCGATAGCTGGCTTCTCAGATGGACATTCCGATTACTTGCCTCGTACCCAGGCTACCATGCGCCGGGCTAGGCAGCACGCTCGTTCAAACGACTGGCAAGGTGCCTGGGGTCAAATTGCAGGCCGAGTCTGGGATGCATTGAATCTCGACCTGGACAATCACGACGATGACGATGCGCTACACAATTACCGACGATCGCAACAGAGGAGAGAACGAGACCGCCGCGAGTACCAAAGGTGGCAACAACGGCTCAACATTGCTAGCCGTCTCGGAGCTCGTGAGGTATTTGTGAGCAATATCTCGAATGTCCTACCTCAGCCCGTTGCGCAACAACCATCGCCACCACCTCCGCCTCCACCTGAAGAAACGCCTGAAGAGAAGGAGGCATGGGGCGCGCTGGAAAAGGCTATGGAGGTCGAGGTTACTAATCTCAACCCCCAAGCCTCAAACCATCGAAAGAGGAAGTCTCGGTCGGTGACTGCATCTCCAGTTGAACCACCTCAGCAACCAGAGCGTAAGCTAAAACGACCACGTACGAGAAGGGCGCCCGGAATAGAAGCAGCTTCTTCGTCCGGCCAACCATTGATACAGACAAACCAGTCTACGTCGGACGGAGCCAACCCAAATTCTATGTCGCCCGTTCAAGGGAGCAGCGAAGCACCTTCTTTCCTTTCTTCGCTGCTAAAAGAAGTCGAAATGAGTGCGCCTTCTGATGATGAGAACATTCGGCCGATCTTCAACTTTTCCACCAAAGCAGCACCCAATCCGTCATCACCGGCCTCACCTTCTCCTTCGGCCCACAGTAGTCCTCGAGCTCTCTCTGCCACACCGCCGCCACGAACCATCGGCGATCGTCCCGGCTCGCCACTCACACTTAGCTCACATATTGAGCCGATCTACCCTCCTTCAAATTTCCTAGCGAGCCTGAGCAATAGCGATCAAAGCGATTCCGACTCAAGGTCCCGCCATCAATCCCGTCGCCGTCAGAAGTCCCGGGCAACCAACGGCTCCCCTGAGATCCGGCAACCCGAACCCCACCGCGAGCAACAATCGATAGCTATGAGATATCCGTCCCGTTCCCAGGACGCATCTCCTTCCCGTGCAGCATTGCCGTACGAGATGAAGGCCAGTATTAGTGGTATTGTAAAGGACGCCCTCAAGCCTCATTGGAACTCGGGACATATCACAGCGGATCAGTATGCGTCTATCAATCGCGATCTGAGCCACATGCTATATAAGGAGGTCTCGGAGGATTCTCTTAATGATGACGCTCGACGGCGCTTCGAAAAAATTGCAAGCCAAGAGGTGACCAAGGCAGTCGCAGATCTCGAGGCATGATGCCCTATCGTTTTAGCCTTGTCGATTCATGAAAACAGCAACAAGATAGACACGGAACCTGGGACATTTGTGGCGTTTTACGGCTTACTGGGCATATCATCGGACGTTGCGGATAACCTACCTATAGAGCCATTGATCTTATCAAGATACCCTCGTGTGGATTCCTGATTTTACTTCTGATGCGGACAATTCCTCACTGGCGCCTTCCCTTTTTCTTTCCTGCATACGCGATGGCGTTTGGCAATTGGGTGATCAAGCCCTCCGTAACGAGTCACGGATGGACAATATTGCATGTCGGTATGGATTGAGCTTTTCCACACTTTAGCTAGGAAAGATCCGATAGGGGTGCTCTGACTGGAGTTTTCAACAATGCTATGATTATTTTCGGCTTTGGGAGTGTATAATACATTCAGATTCGGGAATTCATACTCGGCAACCATTACTCGGTACTAATACCGAATTTGTATGCCTTTAGAATTCTACTTATCTTCCTCTGTGAAGAACTTCCCTTGTGATGAATGTCTTTGGCGATTTCGGCTTGTCCATTCTGAAACTAGCAATGAGAAAACACATGGCGATGTGAGATGGCCTTGTCTGCTGTTTCATAAAGTTTCTGTCCATAAAACTTGGAATTCCATAAATTCCAAGTACCAAGTACCAAGGAGTGGAATTTGGTGCCACATTGTGGCTGAGCACCAGCCTCCTAGCGTTGTGGGTCCGCTAACGTTTTGTTCATCTATTTCTATTAAAATTTCTGCTTCCCTTTTTTTCTTCTTCTTCATGGAATCCAGGCACCAATCCTTATCATCAGACTTTTCACAATATTCCCAAAATGTCCTGATCATTTACGAGTGCCGAGAACGGTAGAGCAGCTTTTTTTCGCTAGCAGTACCTGCAAATATAGAACTGGGTTTGCTGTTAGATATATGCTGCTGACATACATTTTCTTTTTCTCTCTTTCTATTCCCCTTATTCCCCCTTCCTATCTTTAATTTGGGAGTTTGAGGATAGCCTAGGAGTAACTAGAAGCAACTTGAGGACATGTGTGATGACGAGAAGTAAGGGACTGGGGTTGAAGATGTTGGGGGCAAAGACTGGCTATTGTTACATCTCGAAGACCAAAACCTCGCCAATAAATGAGACATCCCAACAACTCTGTAGAAACGAAAATAGTGTCCTACAAAGGTACCAATACCCACCTTGTTAGGCACGTATGGCATAACAATTAAACACACATTCTAACTTCGTAGGCCTCTAAGAAACGCTACTGCTAGGCACCACAGGATAATCATATTGTCCACATCTCATAAGATCTACATCATGTCGTATTGCCATCGTTTCGTATTCAATCTAATTACTGGGTATCTGTCTTGTTTGGCATATCAAACTGAAACGCTCGTATCGAGGGCTATTCTCCACGGTTTGTAGATAGGGCTAAGTGTTCAAAGTAATATGTGCGGGACTTAAAGTAGGTTCCTAATTCGACATCCCAAGAACTCAATGTGTAAGTAACCCTTTTAATGTTAGTAAATCTTAACAATCGTATGAAATAAAATATTGCCACAAGCTAAGATGTCCGAACACTTGGCAAGTGAGACCTTTATACTATATCCTTAATATTTCCTAGCAAAGTAGTAAGGTAGTAACTAGAGAAGGGGACTGAAGTTCTCCCGGATCACTAAGGGGTAGTCGGATGCACTACAGATCTAGTAACGCAACAACACATGATGTCAGTCACTTTGTAAGCATTTCAGAACCAATATCTAAACCATTATATTTATAGATAGAAAAAGAAAAAAAAAAGAAAACGTACAACACCGTGGATCTGCTGGTCGTCACCGACCTAATGCGGCGGTAGCCAGCTTATCTATAGGAGAGCGGACGGACTAGATTCTCATTATGGCTTATAAAGAAGGCGGCCGGAGTTGCCAAGAGGCCCCATCTCCATCAAGCCATTGGGAATGGATAGGGGCACACCACAAGACAACCACAATAGCAACCTTAATTGCCCTTTACATCCATACGTGATCGTGCCGAGATATTCGATATAATTTTTTTTAAAAAAAGTATCACAACTTTGCTAAGTTCTATAAATCCCAGCAGAGGCGCAGGAACTGAGCTTCATCTTCAAGTTGAGACAAACGTCATCGAGGCTAAACTCGGGTTATTGAATACCGAATACTCGATAGATGTCGCGAGCCAAGTTTTGCGGTGGCTACGTTCTCCAATGTTCATTACTACTTAATAACAATAACTTCTCTATGCCGCTACGTGAAAGTTTATGCCCTTGAAACATTTCTTCACGGCCCTTCGAAAGGTGAGACGATTACCTCCAAGTCGCAAGTCTCTAATCCGACTTACACCAACGAACATTCGCATCTACCAACGCAATATATCTAGGCAGTTTGCACGCTAGTAAATGGCATCGAGTCCAAATATGGAGGAGAGTGGTTTTCATTGGCTGCCGCTGCTCGTATCATGAGCTTGCGCTATAACGTACTTTGAACGCTTTATAAAACTCCAACCTGGGTATTTCCCCGATCCTCCATAGATATGATTTTTCAAACGCCGTCCTTGTAGAGATTCCTGGCAAATGCTATTTCTCAATATAACCATCAATGATGACGATAACGCTGGGGAAACTCTGCTAAATCATCCACCCACCAAACTCCTTCTCCTTGGTTAACCACCCACAAAAAATGATGGAAATATGTAGACCTGCTTGCGTGGTGCTCTAATATCGGTTCCTCAATGTGTGATGGTCGCGTCAAGTCTTGGCACCCCCTCCTCCGGGCGGATCTTCGTCACTATCGGCAGACCCAGAACTCAACTTCCTAGCCTCAGCTCTGAGCGCGGCTCCTTCGTTTAACTCCATCTTGTGTAGTCGCTCTCTAAGCGCCTCCTCGCCTGGAGTGACTTCGAACTCTGCTTCCGAGTCGGAATCCGAATCCTCGCGGTCCGGAGAAGACTTCTTCTCAGCAGGTAGGCCTCCCTTGTTCACTATCGCAAGTGTCTCCTTAGATACATCTAGCATGGATCGTCGGGTATGGTTCTTCAGCAGGCTGCTGGGATCAATAGGTTTTATCGTCGGATCGTATGCCGCCGGTAACCCTACAGCTACAGCTACTCGGTGTGCCTCTTCGTCCGCGGTGAGGTTGGGTTCCAGCTCATACATACTACTGTTCTCACTGTCGGCCTCATGTGGTTGTCCAAGCAGCATTTGCGCATAGCTTTGCCTAGAGGGGTCATGCGCGCGCTTAGCCTTCTTTTTCTCACGCTTCTCGTTAGGACGCACGACGACAACGGGCACCGGCGAATACTGCAAGCAATACTTCGAAAACGAACTACGATTCACGAGGAATCCTTGGACGCCATCGAGGCTCCTGCCCTTCGTGCCAACGATTAACATAGAAGGTTGGTATATTTTGATCTAATGTGGTCTGAGTCAGCAGCGATACCCCAATTTGACGAGCTGCATAATACGCATAAAGTAGATGAGTCAAGCAGCCGGAAATACTAACAAGATGCTGGAACGTGTTATGTAGCTTCCCAACAGCGTATTCCAAAACTAGACCAATCGCTCGATTTTGGGTATTCTTCGCCTGGATCGATTCCATCAAGGCCCTTGCATCTTCTTGATATGCCTTGTCGGTAAGACGGACCTGCGTCTCTATTACACGGACGCACACTATTTCGTCACCATCGTCGACCAGCTCATCCAATAGCCATTGTAAAGCGTGATCGGAGTATGAGTTGTCGTCAACACCGACCATGAATGTCCGGTGGCGCCGTCTAAACTGAAAGCCGGCGTGTCGGTGGTTAAGAGTGAACGAGATTGGATTGTACTCGGTCGATTCGCCGAGGGGTATGTTGTCGAATGCTACATGAGACTCGAACCTTCGCGAGTGAGGTGACTGGGTTAGCGTCTCCGTTGCCATCGTTAGAAGAATAGCGGCGCAAATGAATGCCGCAAGTATGACAGGGAAGAGGGAAGAGAGATTGGTGATACAGCAGGCCGGATTCGTGAAGACCTCATTTGCGCGAAATTGAATGAGCAAGCCAGGAAGAAGTCTTGGAAATTCTGCCCAGTAGGCCACTAGTGCCCAGAATGCTGCGCCTTCATCATCCTCGGTCGAGGTACATGGCAGAAGTATGGGGTTTGCCCAAGGAGAAAACAATGGGAGTGGGGGTTTACAGTGAGCGGGGTAGCACGGGGAGAATTCGACGAATGACGCTCGCTTTAGGGGTCCTAAGTAAGGCCATGCGATTCGAAATTGGACTAGCTCGACGATCCTGACTGAAACGACATGCGACCACATTGGAAAGACCGAATCTTTGTCCTTCCTTTCTTCTCAAGGCCACATAAGTCAGGTCGCAGTCATCGTCCTTCGGCGGAGATTCATGCAAACCAAAGACAACCGGGAGCGCCGGACTCTTCTCATCCAGCAAACCCAGCAATCATTCCCCTAAGGCACTACCTAGGTAGTAGCCTAGTAATGACTGAGGAATACCTATGCGCACATATGATGTAATAGGTATGACGAAGCAGACTCTTCAGTCGTCGAGGAGCTTCCCCGCTGTGTGATATAAGGTTGCGCCGGCATCTTGGCACAACTGTTATTGGCGACGACGGCGTAACAGCCTCTCGACTGCATACCGATACGCATTTGGACACACAATAGCCATAAACGGAGAGAAGTGTGCATGTGGGTATTCGTGTGGACGGTGGCATGTATGAAAGGGAAGTAGAAAACAAACATGTGAACTTACCTGCGATGCGGTGGTGAGGCCGCCCGAATTCGATTTCCGGCGTGCGGCTTCTTCAAGCCCTGAGGTAGCGATGGGTTACGAGGAGGTGCGAAAGTCACGGACGAGATGGAACCCTTTCTGGACGGGGGACCACTACTCCCCGTACTAGAAGCGGTCTCGCCTGGCGTCGTCGTCGCGCTCGCATCTCCTGTGCTTTCAATAATTTCCTTCCCCTTGCCTTTCACGTCGACCACCACCACTGCTGTTCGCGCCGACTCAGCTCGAGGTGTGCTCTTCCCGCTACTGTTTTGGGAATCTAGGCCGGAAACCGGGGAAGACGGTGTTGGTTTCTTCTCAAGGTTGAAGTAATCGGTCTTCTTAAGTGTCGGTTGCGACTTAGGAGAGACACCCTCTCCGGGACTCCTAACCGGGGCAGGTAAACCTCCAGACATTTTTTTCTTCTTTTCTCTCTTCTTCTCCAATAGACTATGATGAATTAAAATAACGCCAGTACCAGTACTGTCTTTACCTGACTCACGTTTCCTCAGTGAGAGGGCGGAGATGGCAAAATCGTACCAACGGCATTGAGCGCGGGTGGATCGAAGGGAAGTTCAAAGGGACAGCTCGGGGGCTATCCGGTCTCGAGATGATCTGATGGCCGCGTGGAGGGACAAGGCGAATCTAATGGGTCTCGAATGATTGATTCGATGAGCCACGTGAGTCAACAAGGATGCCTTTTATATTGGTTGTGAGATGGAAGTTGGCTGGTTGGCTGGTGGTATAATATGTTTTATGTATTGTCAAGTGACAGCCATATAAGCTTGTGTTTTTCGTACTGTATGAGGTGACGGAAAGGGAATGTATTAGTGTGAATAACGAGTGTTGTTTCGTCGTTGTCTCTGACGATAACTATTAACAATCAGGAAGCGTTTGTTGTCAAGGTATGGTAGGTAAGATAGATAAGGTATCAGTATACGGATGATGTCGTATGTTTTGCCAGTGTGGCTTAGCTCCAGTTGCAAGTATAGAACAGATCAGATCAGGCACGTTTCCTTTTCCTTTTCCTAGGCTGGCGAAGGTTTCAAAAGTTCTTCAGCTTGCCTATCTGTCTTGCCTCAAAGCTTGGCTGTGGTAAGTCTCAACGAACGGATCGCAGGTGGCGCGAAGTGACAGATAGAGACAGATACACTTCTAGGGCGGCCACCAATTTACAGAAACAAGTGGAGACCTTAAGCACAAGTTCTGTAGTTCTGTAGTCGCTGTAGGTAAGGAGGATAAAATGCCAGTCGCGTCAGGAAATAAGAAAGTGACATGGAATGCAGAGGTGTGAAAGTCAGACTTCGAAAGCTAGAGAGTATGACAGTTGGTAAGTTTTGGTAAGTTGGAAACAGTTTTAGTTTAGTCACATCTTGGACGATGATAAAAAATTCGAAGTAGGCAAGTCTGGATTGGGCAACTATGGGAACCTTGGAAGGGACGGCTAGATTTACATATGATGGGTAAGAGGTAGGGTAGGTAGGCTGTGGCTGCCCAGACGAAAGCTCTTTTTCTTAACTTTCCATGGTACGTAGACGTTCTTGGAAGAAGCCAAGAAAATAAACCTTGTGGTAGTGACGGCGCGTTTCCATTGAAATTTCCTATTTTTACATGGTACAGTAGTGGTACATTGCATACCCACTCTTCTACTATTGAGTGCTAGGTAGCCTGCCGTACTGCCGTAGTCCCGTACACCCCATGCACGAGTCACTATTTGGCACTACGTACATATTCAGTTTATGCATTTTTATTTATTTGTAAGGTATGTGAAAGCCCTAGAGGTCCATAACCTAAAGGAACATGGACCCATGCATGTAAGTCATCTTGCCTCCGTTTTTCTAATCTAATAAATTCTTACGCCTCTTACAAAAAACTCTCGAAGCTCCAAGGTTGTTTTTTTTCGTCTTACTTTTCCACATATCACGTATCCCTTTAACCCTTCTTATTTTCCTTCGCCCAATCATCCAATCGCCCAATGGTTATAATCTCCCCGACATCATCTCGCCGGCAGACTCTCCAATGCTACGTCAGGCTAGTGGAATGGTCAGACCTGCCAGCAAAGCCGTCGAGAATCGATATCCCGTATCCAAAAAGGGTATCCAACTAGTATTTTCATACATCTGTAAAAATCCGGTCGAGTCCTGCAACGGGCAATAGTGGGCATACGGCAGCCTGGACAGCCTGATTATCCTCCAATCTGTCCACCTTCTGTACTCGGCATCATGCTATCCATGACTCTATCCATGACTCTTCATCGATAATCAACACGATAGTCGAGATTATTGTAACACCACGTATCCATATTAAACATGACATCCACAACATACCTATACGCCTAGGAGCCAACCGCACTCCCAGACCTCCGGGTTAGAGCCAAGAAGGAACATTCACCCATCTGTTCGCCTCGTCATCCTTCTCCAATCCTTCTCTCTCGCTCCATCTTGGCCATAATCAGAAGGTAGCTCCAAGAGCTACTTACTATATGCACATCCGAGTTGTAAATTTCTTCCTATCAGGCACGCAATCAAAGGTATCAGGGGTGGCATCACGGCTACATTAACTACCGATGCCATGGTGTGGCTTACGCATACCCGCCTGCGCCCACGCACGACCTGCCTCCGCTTTTTTTGGTACTTTGCCATCTTGCTTGCTTGCTTGCTTGCTAGATGCTCGAATAACATGCACTTATGATGATGATGGTCAATGATAGTCAAGATCCGCGAAGTCTTCGTTTCTAGCCGGGAAGCATATGTACTCCAACAAACCAAGACCGTGGGGAATATAGTAGGGGCTGTGGGAGGTCGAGTTGAACGAGACGAGGCATACGGGAGTGGTACAATCTCGTGCTCTTGGCGAACTTGGCGCATACATCGCGTAGCCAAGAACAAGTGATGGGCAAGGATTGTTTTCCTTTCCAACCCTTTACATTGTGATGACACATCTGTGCGACTCCTACGGAAGACAAGATAACGGGGAAACATCTAGGTTGCCAGGCGCTGGCCTGCTAGGTCTTGAACCCAGACATGTACTATGTAGCACGACAGTCGTTCTAGCATAGGAGGGCCACACGACATATCTCCGTTTGTATTCCTGATCTACATACCTACTAGGTACGTTATGTGTCTATCTAGGTGAGTTTTTATTTTGTTTAACTAACGGGTTATGGGCGGAATCTAACGCATCATCTCCGCCTCCAACCTCCACCACAACGTAGCAGTACCTGGCATTACGTCTGACGCTACCCAGGCGCGGGTCCCGAAAGTAGCCACCCCAAAGTAGCGGGATGGGAATCGAGGAGCCAACGGGTCGAGCCGTTTCGAAGCCAGCCATCCACCAAGATGGCAAGATCGAACGCTGGCAGATGCAGTTCCCTACTTAGGCTACATTTCCCCGATAGATGGTGTAGGATAGGGTAGATGAATCTCGTCGCATCGGCACTGCTACCCGTCGAAAGCGAGACGAATCAAAGGAGGGGTGGAAGAATCCCTACCTCCATGTCGTTCTACTCCAGACCACCTACCACCTACATACCCACCAAGGTCCAAGGTATTGTATTCAATATTCTATGTATGGAGACAACAGAAGGTCACATGGTCTCCCTTTAGGAATCAATGCCTAAGTTTGCTATAATCTGCCCGTATATACACAGTAATACATGCGTACGCCATGTTGAGCGATCGGCAGTTAACATTCGATACGTATATAATATGTAAAGCATGTATGTAAAACATGTAGTATGTATGTATAAAACTTATCCGCGATTCGCGAAGTTTCCAGTACATGCACATATCCAACTTGGACGAGGCTACGGGCAAAATGGTCTTATTATTCACATGTCAACGATTACGAATTGCACGAAACAGACAATCCTAAAATGGCACGAGGTGAAATGACGAAGTCAGCGCCCTGACCTTGGCTGCTTCGACATGAAGATCCATGTCTCCCATGCTTGTCAGTCCAGCCAGGTCAGCCAGGTCAGCCACACTGGACGCACGAAATCTTGGCTCGACCTGCAGCCTCGCCGAATGCATCACAGCTCCAGGACCTCGCAGCTATCGTTGCTCTCACACGGGACGCGATGCTGCCCGGTCATTTGCTCACGCCGACCCGGCATTTTCCTAAAGATTACAACCCGTGGTGGCCCCTACGCCAACAGCCGCGGAGGTTTTCTTTTTTTTTCTTTCTCACCGCACACCTCTGATAGCCGACCGTTACTGGCCAGAACAACGCATGAGAGATTGGCGAATCTCATGCCTCCCATGCCCCCGGGCTCGCCCCCAATATCGTATGTACATACAAATAAAACTTGTCTAGCCCTCCTCAACCTTCTTGACCGACTTGCACTTCGACAAGCTATTGTCTGAGCTATCGTTTCTCGTCGAGCTAGGGTGGGCTTGACCGCCTTTAAGCCAAACCACCAACCGCCAGCCGGCAATAACGCCAGGGGACGGGCATGACGATAAGTCCAGTCGGCGTGATTCGGCCCCGCCTCGCCCGGTACTTGTACGCCTATGCTCTTGAAAGAGGCGAAAACGACGTCCGTTTTGATTTGCCAGACATGCTTGCCAATATAAAGGATGGCGAATGGATCGACTATCGTGCTTACCTTCTCGTGGTGCCTTGATAAGCTCAAATATATCCCCGGCAGCCCCGGTCGATACCATATCTTTCTATCTCGAAATGCAGGGCTAGGTATTATGAGCTCCGCAGAGTCCCGAGTGAATCCCAGTCTGCCCAACAGAATTTTCCGCATTATCACCGTGAATTTTCTTTTTTTCTTTTCATATAACCTGATGTGGAAACACCAGGGACTGACGAAGCTTAGCCCTGATCATTGCTTACAGGTATGGCGTGCTGCTAAGCATTCCAAGACGCGCATGTCTGCTTCTCTACATGTTTAGCACCTTGGCCCTGCTACTTGCCAAGTAGCACAACTCACAGCAATTTGCTCAAATGAAGATTTATCTAGAGAACTGCTACATATCTCAACGAGTAGCACCCCGCTTCCAAGAAGCCCGATTGGTCTATGAAATCAAAAGAAGCTCTTTTGGATCTCGTTACGCCTCGCCCAATCGGAAGCGACCTCTTCTATGGTGTCTATAATATCACACTCAAGACACCAAAACGCTTAGACGCGCTGAGTCTTGCCTTGATTTATAATGCTGGCCACCCTTATCCGAAACTAATGGCCTTATTGGGGTCCTTTTTAGAGCAGAAGCCTGATATTCTTGCAGTTTCATACTAAACTTCCCGGACATCGAGGATCTTACAGAATTTGTGGTGCACCGGAATCGACATCCAATGTCCACCCGCGCGAAGATATCGCAAACGATTTTCAAAATATTTGAGTCCACTAATAAAAAAGGGAAGCCATCACACTCAGGTACTATATTAGTTTTCTCATAGCTGCCGTGACGGATAACCAAGAAGCGCTAAATTCCTACGAATACGACTGCTCTTCGATAGGAGAAAGCTAAGAAGGCTAGCGAGCGACCAAACCCCCAATCCAATTCAAGCTTTATCAACCCAAACTATCGATTTTTTTCTAGTGAATTTACATATCTATGAGAATAGTCTGTTTGCTATTTATGCCAAGATTTTTTCAATCGATTTAGCCAACTCAAGAAGTTGGGTTAGTATATCGCCTTCGGTGGTAGCTCTATAGGACACGAAGGAATCCCAGACATTTTACGATAGGCTTTCTTCGGGGTTGTGGACACTTAGGTAGCTCAAGAACATGACGATATGAATAGAAACATGTTTCATCTCACTGATGTATGCTTAGATAAGTTCGATGATGGTAAGTCCTGTCTAGCACAGCCCACAAGAAAACGGCTATTGACCCCGATTCTTCGTTCTCTAGCCATTAGCATCTATCGAGGAAATCAAGCCATCCCGCCTCGCCTTAGACAACGTAGTCGTGAGAGAGAGCGGTGCATGACGGATGAGCTAAGCACGGTGGTTCAATGTACGACCCCCGTCCGAGCCGGGGAAACGAAGCACAGCCAACGAGAAGCAGCCCGTCTGAGCGACGACGAAGAAACCTGTCCTTGCAGGACCATGTGCTGCCAAGAGATGCCGACTATCCGGCCTCGTCGTCGCATTCGGCACGCATATGCGGCCGCGCTCCTGTCCTTGGGGGGAAAAAAGGAGTGGCGGTGCGAAACGTGATATCTGGCATCTGCGTTACTGTCTCACCTGTCTCGCCGAAAGGGCCCAACGTATCGATGCCCAGACTTTTCTCGCATGCTGTGACGGCGACGACGATGGTACTAGGTGTCACAGCGCGTCTGCGGCTGACCGACGTCCCTTATGCATGTAAGTAGACATATGAACATAACGACGTTAATTGCAGTAACCAGGTTATCTCCTAGGTGCGAACCATCCACCCGTCACCCTTGGCCCTCCAGCAAAGACATGCGAGGTGGACGATCCGGGGATGCGTATGGGGAGGGGGTCAGGACCCGTAGCTAGTAGTAGCTAGTCCTCACGTAAGGGAGGAGACGATGCCGCCTTCGCTGCCTGTTCGGGCAACGTGCGTACGAGAGGTTTGCAGAAGAAATGCCTCCCAGCTCTCAAACCCCTAACTAAGCTAGGTACCCATCGACGAACCCTCCCCAAAACCTCTTGGCCCTCATCTCAGCCCTGCGAGCTAACTCGCGTCGTCACATCGAGCTAGGTCAACTAACTCGGCGGGACGAGACGAAACGAAGGAAAGCTGCAGGACTCATTCCCCCAAATGCGCAAATGTGCATTATCTACGTATCTCTACCGCGGCGGCACTAACAGCTGACAGCCAAGACTTCGACTCCCTCTTACACACTACGCGCTCCTTGGCTCCTTGGCGGCGTGACTGGCGAACGTCCACGAATACCCTCACTTGATCACCGAGAGGCCTCCTACCGAATCTAACCTACACTACACGCTCTCTTATACCCGCTCACCGGTCCCCCATACCGCGCATGTTGGGCCAAGGAGGCTGAGCAAAGCTGGCCATCCTCCCCCCACAAGCCTGTTCGGTCAGTTCGGTTCGGGCCCTAGCAAGCTGCGGGGACTCCCTCCACATCGTATGTGCTGTAACGTCGATCCGACTCCGCGCAAATCAGCTACGTGTGAATAAGGCAGTAGAGGATGTAGGTTGGAGCGAGCGGCGTCCCCATGTGATCCACCATTTATCTGTGTGCTCAGATATCATACTGCGGCGTATACAAATTTGAATCTTGGCCCGAAGTCCTAGAGACCGATGTACATTTCCTACACCTGACTTCTCACATCTCATAAAACGGGGAAAACGCGGGGAATGGATTTCAACCATCCACGTACCGAGCAGTGATGGGCAGCGATACACATACGAATCAAAGATCTCATCCGATTATCTGTTCGTATGACCCTAAAAAGACAGGACATACGATCCTCCCTCATTTCTACAGCCGGTATCTTTCTTTTTGCCAGTCACTCGCCCGTCTCCTGTGATTGGGAGTGACATAGATATATCCCATGACGCCTGTGCAATGCAAACCGACGACTACGAAAACCCGCGAGCCTCGCCCTCTCAATATTTCCCTTCTTGCTGCACCCTGCCGAAGAGATGAAACTTTCTATTAAGTGAAGTCTCCTCGATGTACTTAGCTGTACATCCGTGATAGGTTGCGGAGGTACCAGTCTACCAGCTTGCGTCCTACCTTAGCCTCTGAGATGTGAATGAGGTCCTGCGAGTGTCCGTTAGCACTGTCGTACATTAAAGCTTGATAGTCGCACACGAAGCTTGACTTGTATCAAAAGGGCAAATACATACTCCTTGCATGGCGTAGTCCAAATCACTGACGTTGACCCATTCACCTTCAAGTAAGGCGTGGTCCGTCCACCGTAGTTGCTTCGTGCGCTGCTTGTTGACGAGGAGCCAAGACCGTAATTCCTCTGGTTGCACCTCTAAGAAACCAGCGAGCTTCTTAAGATCCATGGTTGTGTAAAGGCGGAGGTAGGACTTGACGGTAGGGTTCCACATGTTTGTCTTGACTTCGTCCATGAAGATGGAGAGGTGGTGGTCGATAGGGTCCACGTTGGCCTCGGGGTTCTCGAAGTCAGGGGGAACCGGCGAGATGAACTTGGGGCAGGCAGCCTTGAACAACTCCTCGAAAATAGGTAGCGACTCTGGGCCGCCACGTTGCAGCTTAAGTAGCTGGTCTCCGTACTTCTCCCTTAGAGCGGTGTGAATGGTATCGTCTAGACGGGTTGGCTGGAAAGCCACGCAGATGGCGATCAAAGCGTACATCTGGTCATTCTTCTTGGTGATAGAATCGTACTGGGCGTTCTTCTGGAAGTTCTTGGTACGCGACACGTAGACAAGAATGTGGCTGAACATGCGGATGGCATCGGCGTATCGGTGCATCATCATGTAAGAGAAACCTACGTAGTAGTAGGTGGTAAAGTGGGCGGCCATAACGCGCGCGAACATGGCCTTCTTGTTCAGCTCAATGTCGTCGAGCGTCTTAAGCGCGAGACTGAAGTCGCCGAGAAGGCAGTGGACGCGCAGCAGCCCAATAATAGAGAAATAACCGAGCATGCGGTACAGCGTCTTGGAGCCGTACTCTCCAGCAACGGCTGCGGGGTCTTCGTTGCGCTTCATGGCGGCCAACTGCTCGGTGATCTGAGATCGCTGGATTAGGGAGTACAGCACATTTAGAACGCTGTAGCAGCCCCAAGTGTTGGGGTTCTCGCGTAGAATCTGTCGCTCTTCTTCGTTATCTCTCGCTTGCCTCGCGATTCTTAGGCGGTAAGAGGAGAAAGAGTTGAACTGATAAATGAACTCGTCGATAACATCCCAAGCCCAGTAGTGCTACATAATGTTGTTAGCATATTGAACCAAGACGAACAATATATGTGATAAGGCAACTTACCGAGGGAGGCTCCAGATCGACAGGGCCATCGGAGTTGAGGATAAAGTGGAACAGGTTGCAGTAGGAATCGTAGCTCTGGAACTTGACTTCGAGAGGAGCAGAGAAATCTAGAGGTTGAGCAGCGGCAACGAGTCTGGACTGTATGTCGTCGGTCTGCTGAGCCATCGTCAAGGAGTTCACCTGCTCCAACTCTTCCATACCATCTTCATATTGTACCTGCTCGCGGTAGTCTGCCACAAGGGCCTCCTCCTCAACGTCGCTGTCATCCTCCATGGAGCGCACAGGCGCCGAACCGTTTCTTAATCCACTCATCGTGGCTAATGCGGTCTGGGATATAGGATATGGGCGATGTCGTAGTGATATCGTGGGGAATCCCAACTTTTTCGAAATCGTGGAGGGGCTAGTCGCAATTTTTTGGCTCGTAACAAAAGTCAGGCGAAAGAGAAAGAGTTGAAAGCTGAAGAGCCGAAGATTTAGCGGATTAGGGCTTTCCAATGTGGCCCCTGCGCTTGCTGCCCCTCGTTCTAAACTTCTGTTTTTTCTTTGGCGGGGCACTGCTTCCTTATCGATACCCAGTTATTTTTTGCCCCGCTATCAGAGGAAGAAGTTGAAGATCAATCCATGCCGCTTCGAAAGAGAAGGGTAGGAGCAGTACAGCTGATTACCTAAGTAATATCTTTCTTATGGAAAGACCAATAGAGGCTTAGATTTTGGCAAAATTGAGTCATTATGAGCCACTCTGAGCCGTCCAATTAAGCTCGTGGAGAGAGTTAGTCACTCGCCGGGGTTACAAAATATTTATTTATAACTTTTCTCATCCAATCAGCTTCACTTTTTGATGCGCTTTTTGACTTACATACAACTCAAATAAAGCCTTTCTCGCTACTACCCATATTGTGTGGTACTATCTCGACAATATCAAAGATTCAGTTCATAGTCACTTGTGAAATATCCTCCATTGAGATGCCCGTCGTCACGCCAGAGAAGCTCGCTGCTCTGCAGCAGCACGCGGATGATATAAGAAATGTATCTGCCCCACCATCCGTCGTCTTTCAAGCCATGATCAAACTAACATATCTTAGATCTGTATCTTGGCTCACGTAGACCATGGAAAGACGTCGTTAACAGACGCGCTTCTTGCCACAAATGGCATTATCTCACCCAAACTTGCCGGCAAGATCCGGTATCTCGATTCCCGCCCCGATGAACAAATCAGGGGTATCACCATGGAATCTTCCGCTATCTCTTTGTACTTCTCTATGCTTCGAAGACCAGCACCAGATGCTGAACCGATACCCAAGGAATACTTGATCAACTTGATAGATTCACCTGGCCATATTGACTTTAGCAGCGAAGTATCAACTGCCTCAAGGCTATGCGACGGTGCTGTTGTTTTGGTCGATGCGGTTGAGGGTGTTTGCAGCCAAACCGTCACAGTGCTCCGCCAGACATGGACGGAGAAGCTAAAGCCGCTTTTGGTTATCAACAAAATAGACCGATTAATCACCGAGTTGAAGATGACGCCAGGTGAAGCTTATATCCACTTAAGTAAACTCCTGGAACAAGTAAACGCCGTTTTGGGAAGTTTCTTCCAGGGTGAACGTATGGAAGAAGACTTGAACTGGCGAGAACGGGTAGACGAACGGGTTGCTGCTACTGCAGCAAAGGAAGCAAAGCTCGGAGATATGGAGAGCGATGCCGGAGACCTTCAGTTTGAAGAACGAGATGATGAAGAGTTGTATTTTGCCCCTGAAAAGAACAACGTCATCTTTAGTAGCGCTATTGACGGCTGGGCATTTACTGTCCGACAATTCGCAAGCTTGTACGAAAAGAAGCTTGGTATCAAACGAAGTATCATGGAAAAAGTGCTGTGGGGCGATTTCTATTTAGATCCAAAGACCAAAAAAGTCCTTGGGCGAAAACATCTAAAGGGTCGTAATTTGAAGCCTATGTTCGTTCAACTTGTTCTCGAACAAGTCTGGGCTGTATATCAGGCGACTACTGGTGGAGATCATGGGAAGGGGTAAGTCAATTCTCACCCGAACCATATTGAAGATGCTGACTCTGTGGCAGAGACCCAGCCTTACTTGAGAAGATTACAAAGTCATTAAACATTACAATACCTCCCCATATTATTAGATCACGAGATCCCCGGTTACTCCTCACAACGGTTATTTCATCATGGCTACCTCTTTCTACCGCCCTATTAGTTTCTGTCGTTGAATCTCTACCATCGCCAAAAGTGGCGCAAGCGGAAAGGCTACCTGAAATGTTAGAGGACTCGCCTGGATCGACTCACATTGATTCCTTAGTCAAGGATGCGATGGTGAACTTCAAGACGTCTGACTCAGACCCTGTCGTGGCATACGTTAGCAAGGTGGTATCCATTCCGGAAAGCGAACTGCCGGAGAATAAGAGGCGAACTGGCCAACTAAGCGCCGAAGAAGCGAGGGAGTTGGCCAGAAAGAAACGAGCGGAATTTGCTCGTGCTCAGGCGGCAGAAAGCAATGTAACGGATGATCTCACGTCGGCACTCGACAGTGTAAATTTGGACGATTTTGCACCTGACGCCGAGGAGAAGAAGGTTGATCCAGAGCACCTGATAGGGTTTGCACGAATGTATTCCGGAAAGCTATCTGTAGGCGACTCACTATACGTCTTGCCGCCCAAGTTTACTGCCGCAAACCCACATGCAGCCCCTGAACCACAAAAGGTGACCGTGACGGCTTTGTACATGTTCATGGGCCGTAATTTGGAGTCACTGAATTCTGTACCAGCTGGCGTCGTTTTCGGTATTGGTGGCCTTGATGGCGCTATCTTGAAATCCGGAACTCTATGCAGTCAGCTTGAAGGTTCGGTCAACTTAGCAGGTGTTCATATGGCAGGAAAGCCTATTGTCCGAGTCGCTCTTGAGCCAGTAAACCCAGCCGACTTGGACAAAATGATCGAAGGACTCAAGTTGCTTGTACGAAGCGATCCATGCGCTGAATATGAGCAATTTGGCAGCGGCGAACATGTCCTGCTTACAGCCGGCGAATTACATCTAGAAAGATGTTTGACAGATTTAAAAGAAAGGTTCGCGAGGTGTGATATCCAGGCGGGTGCGCCAATCGTTCCGTATAGAGAGACGATAGTGCGTGCGGATGAGATGAGACCTCCAGTGAATAAAGAGCTAGGAAGAGGCGTTGTTGTCGGGGTGACGAACTCGAAGCAAGTTAGTATTACTATTCGAGTCAGACCGTTACCCGCCAACGTCACGGAATTTCTGCTCAAGAATCCTGGTGCCATCAAGCGTCTATACTCAGAGCGCAAAGCACTTGATGGGATCGAGGCAGAGTCAGAGATTGGGATTGACGAAGAACAGAGTGTTGAGGATGACGAAGACCTTCTGGAAGGCAAAAGTCTGTCTCTTGAAGACCTTAAGAAACAACTCCAGAGTACTCTTGAGACTGGCAAAGGCCGCGAGATTTGGAAAGGTGTCACTGATAAAATAACAGCATTTGGACCACGGCGAATAGGTCCGAACTTGCTAATAGATGCTACTAAGGACGAGTGTTTTCCAAAGACATTCGCTCCAGAGAAGCAACAAGATGGCAACCGCCCGAAGGCTGGCGAAGCACTTCACGCCGAACATCTATGTGACAAGGTCACGTACGCGTTCCAACTCGCTATGAATCAAGGACCTCTATGCAATGAGCCGGTGCAAGGCGTTGCTGTTATTATCGAAGATCTCACTATAGCACCCATAGAAGAAGAGACATCGGCTAGAGACCGGCTCGGCAGACTTACGGGTGAAGTTATCAAGACGGTACAACAGTCTATCCGGCAGGGCTTCCTGGACTGGTCTCCACGCCTCATGCTCGCCATGTACTCGTGCGAGATCCAGGCGAGTAGTAAGTTTTATCTTTCCCTTTCCATTTGATTCTACCTCTATCTGTATTTCATCCTATGCAATACTAACAGACAGTAGCCGAGGTCCTAGGCCGCGTTTACGAAGTCCTAACCCGGCGGCGCGGGCGTGTGCTCTCGGAGCAGATGAAAGAAGGGACACCTTTCTTCACGATCCAGTCCACGATCCCGGTGGCCGAGTCCTTCGGGTTCGCGGACGAGATGCGCAAGCGCACGTCGGGGGCTGCGCAGCCCCAGCTTATATTCGCTGGCTTCGACGTCGTGGTCGACGAAGACCCGTTCTGGCAGCCGTTCACGGAGGATGACCTCGAGGACTTGGGTGAGCTGGCTGATAGGGAGAACGTGGCGAAACGGTACATGGATGGCGTGAGGAGGAGAAAGGGGTTACTGGTCGAGGGTAGAGGGCAAAGGGTTGCAGCGGAGAAGCAGAAGACACTTAAGAGATAAGGCTAATGGCTAGTTGGTTAGCTACGAAATAGTAGATAAAATATAAGACATGCAAGAAGTTTTGACGAGGACGTTTAATGCGTATAAGACAGAACAGCACACAGCCTCATGATTCACTAGATGAGAAGGGTCTAGAAATAGAATAGAGTCCCCTTATATGATAAATAATAAATTCAAACCGAAGCAACACAAGTGGGTAAGAAGCCCGTTTCGTTGCGTTTATCCCATAGGTAAGAAAGTCATTACACGATATGCTTCATCCTCCTTAAATATGTCCTTAGCTGTCTACGGCGGTTCCTTAATCTGTCAAGGAATCATATCTTCAGTATAATAGTATGCTATATATGAAACATGGTACTAGAGCCGAAAAGTAGTCCGCAGGATGGAGAGTTATTGGGCCATCTCTAAAGATCCGTATCGTGCTCTTGTATATCTGCGTAAGACGTGAGAGCTGAGGGGTTTCGAGACTAGGAGGTCGATTTTGGCTTCGATCTCTATCTTACAACTTCGCAAGTCATTTGCCTCATATTTCACTTCTTTTCGTCTAGGCACCGTACCGGCCTTTCCTCCAAATCCCTTATCCCCGGATCAGACGTAAGGGCTGAGATAACTTAAAGAGTCACCAGTTCAAGGATCTCACATTACATTACTCCCACTCACTCAGACCCGAACTCATTCATTCATTCATTCACTCGAAGTCTGTCGTTCTTTATTTGATATTTGCCTAACCTATCCTAACCTAGTCCCCGTTAACCGTCCCCCGTGACAATTCATTCCCAAAACTCCGAAAGTGCTTTGGATATGTTGAAGCATATATATGTATATAAAAGGATAAATATACATTCGCTCCCTCTCCCCTTTTTTCCCGGGTATCCCAATAATGTTTCCATCTCGGTTATCTCCCGTTCCGTGGCCCAATTCATGATTGGCAATTTGGATATTTCTATAGTTAAGGTGCGTATGACTTTCGTTGTCGACAATTTTGTAGCGACGCTGAATAATTTTAGCCACTCGTCTGTTTTTTTTTTTTTTTCAGACGAGAATAAGTGAAAGTTAGGGGGTATCGTAGCATATTTCAACGCCTGCCACCCGCCAATCGTTGCGAGGAATGCAGGGTGGAGGCTTCTTGTCCTGGATTATATCCTTGTCGTTCACGACTTCTCTTCGTCCCAACCCCATACTTGCGAGAGATATCTCTCCATGTTAACTCGCTTCGTTCGCATCTCCACTATCCAAGGGTGCTCGAGCATTCTCCATGGACTTGCCCGGCGGCTTGGTTCCTTCTCGAGACTATTGGTGTCTTAGTTAGTCTTAGATCTCTAAAATAGTTGTGACAGGAAGGACTTACCAGCACTCGATGAAATACTTAAAGCTGTCACTCCAGAATATGCTGGCATCCGGTTCGTCCTTCAGCTTTGGTATCGGCTGTCGAACGATGTAAGTCAACAAGTCGATCAGACCCGCCTTGGGCTGCACTTCGGTTCCATCAGCCGGGAAGGGGAACCGGTGTTGAGCCACCTCGAGGAGAGTGACTCCGGTAGACCAGACGTCTGAGGTAATCGTGTAACTCTGGCCGGTGATACGCTCGGGTGCCATGTAGTAGCTCGTGCCGATGAACGTGTTGGCTTCGCCCTTAGTTCCGAAGTCACCCGAAACACCAAAGTCGCACAACTTGACTTCGCCATTGCGGCAAAGCAGAATGTTGGACGGTTTGATATCTCGGTGGATGATCTTCTTGCTGTGAAGGTACGTCAGACCCCGGAGGACGCCCTCGGCAATCTTTCCAAGAACCTTCTCGCCTGTTCGGCCTCCGAGTCGTCTGACCTCCTTGTAGATGCTGTCAAGGGATCCGCCCTCGCAGAATTCCATAGCAATAGAGATAGTGGCCGTAGTAGGATCGTTGAAGACTCCATAGTATCGGCAGATGTGTTCCGACGCACACTCCTTGTTGAAGTTGATTTCACGGAAGATCTGTTTCTTTACGTCTGGATCCGGGTTGGTAGTAATGACCTAGGAAGTATGTTAGCACTTATTCGTACTCCCTGGAAACGAGGAACCAAAGAATCGGCGGCATACTTTCAGTGCGAATACTGTCTTCCCCCCCTTCAACTGGCAGCGTGTTACGGCACCACCAGCACCCTCACCTAAGCTACCCAGTTCGACGATCCTGTTCTCCGCGCTCGCTATTCTCCACCCGTTGTCGTCGAGCTCCTCCACGTCAGCAGTCCTTGCTTTTTCCAAGGTAAGCTTATCGAAGCTATCCTCGAGCCCCTGCATGCTGCCATCCCGCTCCATCCCGATGCCTCCCTCGCTTCGTTCGGAATAGATGGAACCGACGGCAGATATCGGGTCGGGGGTTCCCTGCGGCTTCGACCCGATCCCATACTGCGATGCGAACGAGAGGGCGGAGAACTGGGAGCCCGCGGAGGTGGGGTTGCTGGCTCGGCCGTCGAGGGGCCCAAAGCTGCCTGACCGCGAGTGTGCCGCGCTGCTCTCGCTGCCGCCGCTCGCCGACTGGCCCGGCTGGACTGTCGGTCGGTGCTGCTCGTAGGGCGCGACGGTGCTGCCCATCGGCGTGGCAACATGAACTGTGAGTTGGGGGCGCGACGGGCCGCCCGCGGCAGCACCCACCGGCTTGACGTTGGGAGACGGGGGGATGGCTAGGCCCAACCTTGGCGTTCGTCCGCCGCTTGGTCTACCGCCTCCGAGTGCGGGTCGAAGGGGAGCGGGGGAGGAGGACATGATGGGAATGGGTGTCGAGGCGGGAGGAGGGGTGCCAACTGCCGCATCGATCGATGCTGTGGTTGAGGCCTTCATGATGAACGAAAGTTAGCATCGCAAGCACGCGAGCAACGAAGCTTGCCCAACCTGAGCTAGGATTCGGAATAAAGAGACCTATGATACGAAAACTGCATATAGAATAATAAAACGAAGTTAGGAAAGAGAGATCAATTTACATTCTGGGTCACGGGCTCAGAGGCCAGTGCGGGATTCTCGTGGTCGGGCATTTGTGCTAGTCCGGGTTTCCTCTCCACCACAGCTGGAGAGATTGCGTAGCGAGCCTGTGGGTGTGGGTATGTGTATGTGCGTGGTGCGTGTCCGTGGTGTAGTTTGCCGAGGAGGCGGTCGGGCTTGCTCCAAGTACAAAGAGGAAATAAAAGGGCCGAAGCTAGCTGTATGTAACAATCCGACAGCGAAGGCGAAACTGGAGTCACTGGACTCGTTCAAGTATATCTCTAACGAGGTCACACAGCGACGTCGCAGGAAATAGGTAATATATTCGAGGTGACGTTATGTCTTTTAAACCTGTTGGTGCTACTGTTTGGAATATGGAGAGAAAAGAAAAGAAAAGAATTATAAGACTGTTTATTGTGGTATCGTATGATGTAAAAGAATGAATCTCCTCGGATACTGTTGGTGGACAAGAACGTGATGTTCCTAAATCGTAGATTTTAGTCGTGTGGGAGTGATGAAGCAGTGACCAAAAGTGACCAGGGAGAAGGTGGAGGTTTTTGCTTGTGTGCCGCGCGTAGGTAGTTGATGGCTTTCTTCCCCCCCCCTTGTACGAGGTTCGATGCCCAGCAAGCCCACGTACCTTGTCTAGTTCCTCTTCTGGAAGCGGAGAAACGACTTGGCTAGGGAATCTATGTAGGTATAAGTATACTAAGCCCGGGTATCGAGTCGTCGATGGTAAAGCGCAGCTCGCTTGTAGTGTTGGTGTTGGTATTGGACTATTGGGCTTGATATGGTTTTTCTTCTGGCTCTTCTATCGCCAGTCGAAAGGCGGGACGAATAGAGGGACAAATAGAGGGACAATGGCTTGCAGGGATTCTGATACAAACCCTTTCATACCAGTACCGTACCTGTCTCTGAAGGCCCCAATTTCCCCCAGCGCCAAAACTGTTATGGATTGGTAGACAAATGACGAGGCAATCGATGTGGAATAGCTTGATTGGTATGGCTTATGGCGTATGAGCGTTATGGCGTGAAAACCGGCGTGTGTGCAAAGGGTGGAGGTATTTGAAATAGGCGGATAGGTGGAGAAGTACAATGTCTGTGTCGGGTATTAAGATGATCAGCGGGGCGGTTTTAGCAGTTTAGCAGTCTAGCCGTCTAGGTATGTGGTGGTAACTGTGGTAGCTAGCTATCAAACTGCTAAACGCTTAGACATAAAGCGTATTAGAAAGCGCGAAGTTGACAAGACCGGGCCGAGCCTAGAACTACCTAGACATAAACCGCGCCGGTAGATGCTTCAGGGAGTAAGTATGTAAGATAGGGAGTCAGGGAATTATCAAAAAGGTCTCAGTATCAGGTGAGCGATAGTATAGTTTCGAGTCTTAATACGAGACAAGTGTCTGGCGGTTAATGAAAAACGAAATAATGAAGAACAGGACGAGCGAAGGGACAAGAAAGTAACCTGTTGGAGGGGTTCGGTTTTGAAGCATGCCAGGAAAAGCTCGAAGCGGGAAGAAGAAGAAAAGATGACTTTTGTACATATGCATGGCGTGCCTATTCCAACCGCCTTGCCCCCTACACCCCCTAGTACCCTAGAATGTGACGAGTGCTAAACTCTGAAAGGATCATCGTCGCATATGAATGGACAATCAACGGCATCACTGCAAGAGAGAAGCACATAGCAGCATAGTTGCGCGCAAGGGGGAAATCTTGAAGTCGTACCGTACCACCACTCTCAAGGGTCGAGCGATCATCTCGGGGTGTGTCCACTGATTTCACTGATTCCACGGATGCTAATGGTCCCCAGGGGATCACCCCTGACCAGGCCTGCACGCTTGCACGCTTCAAGCCTTGGCCAGGACCCCATCGTTAAGCTATCCTGGACATCCTTGCGCCCATTTCCACCACTCACGGAGCCGGATCTAGCTGTCGTCTAAAGAATGACTTGATGAAACTTCCAAGTTGCAACTTCTTGTATTTGCTGACATGTCTGATTTTATGTCAGACCGGGTTGATGCACCTCTACACTTTCGGAGTAGGCGAGATTATCTCGACTTTTTGGCAGAAGTCGGCACCCAAAGAAGGAATAGTGATAGTAAGAATTACAACAACCTGAACACTGTATTATGCCAGTGGTATGTATGAAACCTCGAGCACCCTAGGCCAGGTACCCCAAATCCGTGCGGCTGTGGAACTAACCACCGTAAGGCATACCTCACCTTGGACTCCTTGACAATGTTGGGGTCGGGGTCCAGCTTTGGGGTGAGACAGCATAGACCCCAATTCTTGATAGCAACACGAGGCTAGAGTAGATTGGCTCGGAAGTCATTTTTTGGAGTTATTCGCTCTTTTCACCTTGGGGTCCAAAGGATCAAGCGGTGTCCGATCGTGACTCTCATGTACCCAGTATGATGAATAACAAAGCCGAACGATCGTGGTTCGACAATATATTTGCAATTGTCCTCACCTCTAGGGCTCTGTCTCTCTCACCCTGCTCGTTATTAGATAGGTACCTACGCAACCAAGCTCGTGAAATCAAGCTCTGCAGGAAGGCATCGGTAAACATAACATATACCGCATGCATAACCTACCTACCTTCACAGGGATAGCTTCCCGCCTAGACCCTGTTCTAAGCTTGCCAAGCACTTGCGATGAGAGATTAGCTACAGCTTAGCCGAACGTATGTATTCGCCCGATTCGAATTCATCACGGCATAAGGCTGGGCTGGAACATCTGCGCTCAGACATGGCTGGGGCTTGCCAAGGGCCGCAGATTTTACTAGTCATGTTATTTCGTTATTTCGTTTTCCGACAAATATGAAATTGACGGATGAGAAGGTCGGCGATGAGGAAGGACTAGGGTATCGGTATTCATCTAGAGAAGACATGGGGGACGTTGCATGAGTACGCAAACATAATGTCTTTTTCTCAAGCGGATTGTCGATCATGTAGCTTCAGCCGGAGAAGATGCGAGATGTGAGATGCAAGAGGCAAAAAAGCAAAGATCAAAGATCAGAGATTAATGGATCGAACCTGGCAAATCTGCGAACCAACAGCCGCGCGTTTACTAGTGCGACCTTAAACCATGAGCCCGCCTTATCTGATTGGCTCTACCTTTTGCATTTCCCCACATATCCGATACCCCTGTCTCAATTGACTTCGACTTTTTTTTTCTTCAATCTTTGGTAGCGCTCAGCTATGTAGATGTTCACTGATGCGTCTGGGATCCTATATCAAAAATTAGATCACACGATTGCGTACGCTCTATCTGCATATTAATATTAACATGCCGGCATCCGTAACTGTGGCCGACATAGCCGCTGGATCTGGCTCAGAATCCGAGTTGGACGACCAAACAGTGAACTCACCCACATCAAATGCAAGTGAGTCGTCATCAGACGCCGAATCCGACTCGCTCGACAGTGCAGCTTCTCGAAAAAAACGCAAGATCTCTAATGATCTAGCACCTGTCGCTGCCGACTTGGTTACGTCATCTATAAACGTACCATCTAGGATCAAGCGGAAGAATGCCGCCGTCGTGCAAACTAAGCCGGTGGAAGACACAGTACCTACGGCCGTTTCGGTGATCAACTCAGTCGCCGCACCCGTGGATCGTCATACGACGTTCGAGTCCTTGAAACTCAGGCCATGGCTTGTCCAGTCTCTTGCCAACATGGCAATCAAGAGGCCCACGGGAATCCAGAAAGCTTGTATCCCCGAAATCCTCAAGGGTCGAGATTGTATCGGAACAAGCAGAACCGGTTCGGGAAAGACGGTTGCTTTTGCTGCTCCTATTCTGCAGAAATGGGCTGAAGACCCGAGCTCGATTTACGCCGTCGTCCTGACTGCGACTCGGGAATTAGCCCTGCAGATCTACGAGCAGTTCAAGGCGATATCATCACCTCAGTCTCTTAAAGTGATTTTGGTCACTGGAGGATCTGATATGCGCCCCCAAGCTATCGCTCTAGCCCAGAGGCCCCATGTCGTGATCGCTACACCTGGCCGCCTAGCCGATCATATCCGTTCTTCCGGGGAGGATACTATCTGTGGCCTACGACGGGCAAAGTTCGTCGTCCTTGACGAGGCCGATCGATTATTATCTGCCGGTGGACCTGGTAGCATGCTACCAGATATAGAAGAGTGTCTCGGCGTCCTTCCGCCATCAACTCAGAGACAAACTCTTCTATTCACTGCTACTATCACCCCTGAAGTCCGCGCGCTCAAAGACATGCCGCCAAAACCCGGGAAGGAGCCAGCTTTCGTATGCGAGGTCGATACGCAGAAGCTTGCCGTTCCAACGACCCTACACCAGATGTATATCCAGGTCAATGTCACGCACAAGGAATACTATCTACACGCTTTCCTCCTAACGGAAGCCAATATTGAGAAATCACTTATCATCTTCTGTAATCGGACCTCTACTGCCGAGTATCTTCACCACTTATTACGTCTACTTGAGCATCGCGTGACGTCTCTACACTCCAGGTTACCCCAAAGACAGCGCGTCGATAATCTGGGCAGATTCCGGGCATCAGCTGCACGGATCCTTGTTGCCACAGACGTCGCCTCCCGAGGTTTAGATATCCCGGAGGTTAGCCTTGTAGTGAACTACGACGTGCCGCAGGACCCGGATGACTATATCCACCGTGTGGGACGTACCGCCCGAGCAGGGCGAAAAGGTGACGCCGTCACTTTCATCGGGCAACGAGACGTGGAGCGCATCCACGCCATAGAAACGCGCGTGGGTAGGGAGCTAGAGGAGTGGGAGGAGGAAGGCGTTAACCTGGAAACCAGGTTCATCCGCGACCACATGAAAGAGGTCGGCGAGAAGAAGAGAGAAGCTTTGCTAAATATCGAGGAGCATCGGGAAGTCGGAGGAAAGAGGAAGCGGAAGAAGCTTCGGCTCGAGTGATCCTCATAGTGAAGAGGAACTTTGCTTAGCTGCCTACCTATAGATGGATAGAGAAAAATAAGGAATAATGTCTTTAGCTATATCGTACTTCGATAAGTTGTCACGTGGTCTCACTTGTCTACTACTTAGAATACTATGGCAGTATAAGGTACGTCTTTTCTTGGGCCCGCATGAGTTACCTGTTAATCTTGCAGAATGACGCTATTATCCCCCCTCACAAGTTCTAGGCTATCTGTGGCTTGCATTCGACGCGGAGATATCTATTTCATGGAAGTAGGGGGTGGAACCATCAACAACGTCTAGAACAAGATAAATATGAGACCCCATTATTCAGGGGCGCGAACTGTCTCGTATCGGCCGAGTGACTGCCAAGGCTAAGTGACGTCTTCACTTGAGTGTAAGCCTCCTAAGCCATGGCTAGAGAGAAACAGAGCGTCGGGACCGCCTAAAATTGTAAGGAACCAGCTATTCTTCATATTGATTGACATTTTTGCTTTTCTTCAATGGTCGCCGAGCTCGCACACGGCCGATACCTCTCAACACCACTACGCCTAAACTAGTGCCCATCTGGTTAACTCATACAAAGACCAGTACCTAGGTTCCGAGTGAATACCTAATCACGGCCCGTCATGACAAAAGGAGCACGCCCCAAGTATCTACCCCAGGACATCCCCAACTATTATCCCGGTCAGGTTGGGCTGGGCTGGGTTGAAACCGACACACACGGGACGGTAGTTTCTGGGGCTGGAACCCGAGGACTTGGGACCATCTGAGCAGGCTGCCGCCACTAATCTGCGTCCCCATACGGTGGTCCTGCAGGAACATACCAGATAAGCATTGCTGGCGTCGTTGTATACGACCTCACCCACACGCCATGTACGTTTGGGTCTCACTTCCCCCTCCCACCTCAGGGGTTTAGTGACCAATAATGTTCCTTTACCTTTTCGCAGAGTCTCCAGGGTCTGGTAGTTAGAGATTTTGCATTGAATTATGCCTTCTTTGTAACTGTGCTGATTATATCGTAAAGCTCTATACCTCCTTCAGGGGAAGTCAAAGTTAAGCTTACGCTTGGATGCTATAATAATTACCTATTGGGTATGTCAGAGTTTCATCATGTATGGAAGAAACAATCCTTCTAGAAGGATAGAAGACGGCAATTTCCCCATAGTGCCCTGATCCGAGAATGTGGGACGGCGGTAGATAGTATGAGTAATCTAGCATGTGGCTGCTCGGCAGGGACTTGCTCCTGCCTGCTGATCGTGGATTGGTTGTCGTTGAACGAGGGGGGTGGACAAGGGAGGCATGAAGTGGCTTACCTCACTAGATGATTTGTCAAGGGGGATGTAGCCAATGGCCTCGTCAAGGCTCACATCTAGCAAATTATTCGGCAAAGCATACCAAGTACGGAAGACAACTCATCGATGCCCATCATGCTTTCTACCTAGACCAAGGCAAGGAACCAGATCTGGAGAGATGAGCATCGAGGAACGAAGCATACAGCACTAATAGTTCTGCGGATCACCATCTATTCTATTGCCGTCATAGGCCCTGTGGAATCGACACTTCTCATCCAAGCATTGCTATGTACCCAGGAACCAAAGTATCGCGACTTACTACCCCTACCATCCATAAGCTCGTTCAATACCAAATCCCCGGAACCGTCAAACCAGTCCCTTGTAGCGTTAATACGGCATCCCCGTTTTGGAACGGATAATCTCCTGCATTACTCAGATAGCGTGATCATATACTACCCTTTAGCCTAACACGATCTATACCCTAGGCAATGTATGATCTACTTAACCAGAGATCCAGGAAGACGGAGCCGAGATCGGCAACCTCGCATCTCATGTATGTATGAGCGTGGTATAATTAATAGTATATGCATACAGAGACACCATACAATTTCCGCTACTCTGACATAAGAAGCACTGCGAACTGGTGGGACTGGGCTGATGATGACATTCTACGAGACAAGATAGGTATGAAAAGGGAAATTAGCTACTGTAAGCGGTATTCTAAGCTACTAACACAATTCTTTTTGTCGGACTAGAGAATACGATGGCATAATAGTAAAAAGGAAAGGCGGAAACGCATCGTAAACTACCTACGTAACTACCCAACCTGATTAAAGCGCTATACCTAAGTTCAAGCTATGCCCGCTTATGGCGCGGCTGGGCTTATCTCCGTGCCTCTACGTCGATACTCAGTAGTGGGACGTAAGGAATTTGTCAGAAGCAATAAGAGCCTCCGTTTTGTCGAGGACGGAGCCGTAAGACGCTTGAGCTAGTCAATGAAACTCACCCAGGAACAGGAACGCTAGATAATCTTTTATTCAAATCATGGAATTTGCGCTATTCAAGTAACTATTGGTTATTTTACTTTCCGTGAAGGTATCCTTCACTTGTCGATCTGTCCCCCGAACGAGGTAGACTCGCAAATTACTTACATTTTTCTAGGCATGTAATCGCGATGATTACAGAGCAACTATTGCTTACATTTTTCGAGTACCTAACTACCTACATAAGTACCTTCCCGCTCAAAAAGGTACCCCTAGCGTTGACAAATCGAGAATCACCTGCCTGATTGGGCGGGTTACATGGCGTTGTATGTATCTCACGCGTGCCCTGCAAGGTTCTTGATGGGGTGGGACGCTGTAGAGCCACGTGCGGAGAGACAGGGGCAGAAGGATGAAGAGGGGAGGTTGACCCCCATGTCGTGTATCCCATCCCTCCCCTCGCAGCGTAAAGTACCGCTTAGATTCGCGACTACGCGTGGTGCCGAAAGCGAAAGCCGCTTTGTTTAATCAGATTTGATCGTGTTTCCCGGTAAAGATCAACGGAGTGATCTGCTAATCATTACGCCTGATCAGTGGTAGTTCATGCCCATACCCGTGTCCTATTTTATGGTCGATCGGATATTGTACTGACTAAACCCGTGCCGGTAATGTGTGAAGCCGAGACATACATTTTACGGCGAAACGGTTGTGTTCCTATCCGTCATCACGCGAAGGAGCTAGATAGCACGCGGCCGTGTATGTCTTGCCTGCAGCACGTCGATCATCAAGCAGGCTTTCGGAGGCACTCGGCCGTTTGAAATGATAAATCATTGAAGACATAACTTATAGGCATACGAATCTGCATCGGACAGGAGTGCAGTGATGTCGCGTGCGTTCCTTGATGCATCCTGATTTCCATCTCGGCAACGGCGGCCGACCTAGGTGTGTACTGCGGTATGTTAGTTGGACCGGACCTCCTGACGACGACCTCACCAAACACACCAAACACGCTGGAATTGTTTGTGAGGGTGTGTGGCTGCTGATGTCAGAGGGGAGATTGGACTGCCGAAATGTCTGAAGGGGTTACAACCAGGCACCGTGGATGCCACGTTTTTTCTGTACGAAAAGTAGGGTTGCACACATAAATCCTTCGCGCCCTTCACCACCAATAGGCGCCGTGCATAAGCTAGGTACTCGTGATAATGGTCGGTACACGGAGTAGAGCTGAAGGATTTGAAATGTCCTATCTTCATATCGTCATAGTTACCGTAGTAGCGGTTGATGCACCACGGAGAGAATGCGCCGCAGCTGTGCGGGATAGGGGGCACTTGATATCTGTATGATTACCCACTGAGAACAAAGAACCTTATAAGTCGGACGTAGACAAAACCTTTTCTGGAAAAGCTTCATGTCAGCTTGCTTGCATGAGTGTGAATAGTCAAAAGGCTATCGCGTCTTTAGAGGAAATTGGGTATCATCGCTTGGTTATACGTTGTATCAGATCCGCGCAGCGATTGATCAATGCTGTAATTCGACTGGCTGACTCGTCTCCAGCTGGAAAGACGATTGCTACCGTAAGCAAAGTCTCCTGCAGATTCGACCACGTGTAAGACGCAAGAGAAGCCTTCTGGAAGCTTTCCTCGAAGGTCGTAATACAGGAAAATATTCTTCTTTGCGACCCTCCTTAGACTTGCGTCAAGTTTTCAGGAATATATTTACTTTCCAGTCGAAATGTGTTAATCTAGAGCATGCGGGTCCATTCCTTCGTTCATAGATGGTCGTATTTGAAGAATTTGTTCAGTCATCTTCGATCCATCCATCAGACGGTACGGGATGTAGTCAGAATGTCTCCGAAAAGCCCGTCCGAACTATCGGACACAATAGGGGATGGTGGACCAATTACCGACCCGCTCCCGCTTCTTTCAGGGACAGATTATTGATCTTGATCTCGCGATATTAATCAGTATGTAATAGTCTTGGAAGGATTCCTGATTCTTGATTCTTGGCAGGGACAGGATCTATGCTATACCCTCCCGAGATGTTAAGATAGAGATCTTCCACAGGCTACTATCTTGTTAGCATGGGTTTTAAATCCGTTAAGATCGTGATGATGAGCCAATGCGGCTGCATCTGCCGGTGAAGGAGTTGATACGAATCTCATATCGTCGTCATAGCAACACTCAAACAGTCTGTACAATCGTACGAGGTTGGGTAAACGTGCCAATGCCAAGGCTTCAGATCTATTCTGGAATTGTATTGGTTCTCAAGATGAAGCATTTCGAAATTGCAAAGCCACACACTGCAATGTCGAGAATCTCGATAATCCCTTCCGATGCTACGTTACCGGACCAATGGTTACCATTGATGAATGGTGGCTTGTCTTTATGGAGATGACCGAAGCGAGAGAACGGCATTGGTAAAAATTCGCGAGGAACCTCAAGGATAGGGGTTTAGGTGGTGAGTTAAGTGGCTTGGTGGCTAGGCTGCCAGGAAAAGAGATTCAATCTAGTTGAAATTGGGTAAGATCCAGGAATCCTGGGGAAAACAATTTCTTACTTTAGTTACCAAGGTCCGTGAAACCGTGGCTTCCACTTCCGGCAGTATGGGTAACCGACTTCGAGGCTTAACTCCTTAGCCGTTCTAACCGTACTAACCTTATTCACATATCTACATAATAATGTAATTTCAGCCCTACGCTAAGGTAAGAGAAGTACAGTACCCGCCTAGCAGAATGGCATAGAAATGGAACATAAGCTGACAGGCACCGGGTGTTGGTAAAGGCTAAAAGGCTGCTTGGGTCTTTTGGGTTCCAACTCTATTGTATCCATATCATTTCATAAATTATGCCGTCAGATACACAATTGTGGAAAGTATTGTACTTTTTTTGTTGTGACCTTGGTCTTACTTTCTCCACCGTCTGGTTTCGAATTCGCAAATCATTCAACGGGAGAGCGCCAAGCCTTTCTTTTCTCAGTACTTGACATTATCGTATGGTTCTCAATATGGAAATGTTCTCGAAGCAATTTGCCAAGGCCTTTCGAAGACAATGCGTTTTTATGCAAGCTTGGCAAGCTTCGGTCTGAACAAAGAATAATTCGGGTTTATTGGTTTCATAAACAAAAGACCATACTGGTGGAACCGCTTCTCGTTCGTCCATTTTTGTCATTTGGACGCGAGCAATCACATTTGTACGGCGTATTAGATACCTTGGCTGCTTGGCACCGATTCCGACATGCAGCCTTACATCAATCCAATTGTTCACAAATGCGAAAGAACACTATGTGTGTAGTTACGACGCGAGTGCGTATTCAAGCGCGCAAACGGTGTGCCTAACTTCTCCTCGTGATTAAGTTCGCAAATTAGTTGTGTCGCATTCGTCTTGATGAACTGCGCCCATGTGGACAACGGAATGCTCTCATGAGTCAGTCAGAAGCGAGAACGAACCGCTCGCTTCGTACTACTTCTTGGCTCGGTAGCAAATCCTGACCGAGAGAATCCCGCTACCTGCAACCCCGCATAAATTCACACAATTGCGAGCCCCGGGAATTTTCGGATTAATCATATTTGAATTTTATTCTTCTTGTGGGATACTAGTAACGGGACGGGCGGCATAGTCACGGCTCCGAATTTGTTCAACCTGGAGCGACTTCGGGGTTGGTTAAATAAAAGAGCCTTCCAAGTCCGATGCAATCTTGTGACCTTATCTAGCCCGTCCATGGTTCCTTGTGACAGCCTGGTTACGACTGCTCGGGTAGTAATGGATTTTTGCTACGGATTTCAATTGCGCCTTACTATGTGTGTATTCTTTTGTGGATTTGTCATTTTATGCATTGGTGGCTTGCCAATACTCCATACCTAGATGTAGAAAATAGGGCTCGGTGTGTTTCTGCCTTATTACAGGTTTATTTAGGATTGCCATTATATATGCATGTGCTTTTTTAGTGATGTGATCGATCTGTGCGATAAGCGACTACGGGTCACGGAGATCGCGGACTTTGGTGGTTATTAGAAGACCACTATCGCCATACTCCGTGTCCAAAAGGAAGAGTCAGAGATTGCGACGATCGTCAATAAAAGTATGAATTGAATGATGAATCATCCTATACTATAGTTAAGCCAGCCAGACTAGTTAGAATCAAGCATGAATAAAAGCCGACTTTTGTTTCCTTCGGCGATATGGTTGTGCCTTGTTGAGAAGTTAGTACTAGTATGCGTAATTTGCAAAACGGCGCAATTATTAATTCTATCCCGACTACCGGTACAAACTTGCCGTATTATGTCAAACCTTGCTGAGCAATCCCGACTGAGATCCGATTCCTCAGCAGTCCATAGTAGCGATTAGTATCGCATAGAATGTCCCCAATAAACCTGGAATAATTGATTTATGCAAATCTTATGCAGATGTTACGCTGCGATATTTGATGTCATTATTATGAACTTTTTGCTTATGAAATACGGAAAACGGGTTTCAATCCGAAAGCGAATCTCCTGCCACTGGGCACCGGTTATGGGTTATGTAACCAACGAGACACGGACATGTTCCAATAAACAAACTACCGTAGCGGTCTATCGTGTCTATTAGGTGCAGTGTCATAGCAGAGCCACAACGGTCAGCAGTCAAATTCCGACTTTCTAGGTGGACATTTATTGTTTTGATATAAGACATTGCATCGTATCCCTGCTCGCAAGCTCGCAAATGGATGCTTTAGATTGACTGACTGATTGTTTCCGATGACACTGCGCAGTTGAGAGGACAAAAGGAATGCGGGCTTATGACTTAAGCAAGCCTTAGGAGCGGTCGGCGAAGTTGCCCGCGATTCGATATTTTGTGCAAGTCGGTCTTGGCCCGCTAGTACGCATAAGTGTACACATAATACGTGGAGGTAACTCGGTACTTTCTGTACTTTTTTATTGCGGTGAGAGGATGCATGTGCGTGAGAAGGAGCAGGGGTAGGGGGCTTGTCTGGTTGCCTTGTCATACACTACATCCACAGATTCATGGATGGATCTTGTACCAAAGTACCGAAGTACCGAACCAGGGAGAATTAATCAATTGCGCGCCCATTACGAATGATCCGAACCCCCGTCAACCGTTTAAGCCCGAAGCAAAAGTCCATCATCGCATTTATTACAACTCGATGGATTTGTATGTATGTATTTTGAAATCGAGCAATACCACTTCAGACGATCTAGTCAGCGGATATATTACAAGTAGAGCCCTCTCGCCCCCATCCCCCTTTCAGTTCTCCGGAACGTCAAACTTAGATTTCATATTCATCATTCCACTCCAACCACTTCGAACCATCATCATTCCCCAGAGACCACGGGTACCTAGTAACCATACCAGCATATAATATACTTCACTGACATTAAGATCGTGGCACCGCGCCCTACCAACGCAACACCTACAACTCCACACCGCAAGCCTCGAAATTTCGCAAAGGCGGTCGGTATAGGGTACCACGTTCTTTGTACCTTCGTACCTTTGAAGAGCCCCCCATCCCCCCGGTCCCCACTGCGCCTGCCGAAAAAAAGTTCAACGATCGTAATTGCACATAAAGAGAAGCCTTCGCTGTTCGGTCATTGACTCTACTTACCCTTGGCCGGATATCGGTGCCTGACTCACACAACACAACAAAAAATATTATTGCTACCTATTGCACCATTATCGTACAAAACGAACACACAGACGCTGACAAGCACTATCATACAAAATGGTTTCCACAACCTCACCGTCACCATTCCACCCTACTTCCCATCATCCATACTCACCATCAACCTCACCACCGCTGAGAAAGAAGATGTCTATCACCCAGACCTACTTCCTCGCTCACAAGGCACGGGCCAAGCTTTCCAATGAAGCTGCCCGGCCTGACCACAACCTCCGTCTCCTCGTCGGTCACGCCAACCTACTGGACTCCTTGATGCTTGACCTTGCCGAGGCCGAGCAGGAACAAGAGAGCTGGTTCAACCAATCCGTCCGAGGAGCCGCACCCAAGACGGAAGAGAGGCACGTGCAATGGGCCGACAGCACTGCCATGGAGGACGACTGGGAAGCGGACTCCTCCGACTCCGACAGCGACACGGAAGACGAGGACGAAGATGTGGAGATGGTAGATGCGGCACCGCTACGACGGATACCTTCCAACGTCGTCGTACCGCCATCTCCACAATTATACACGATGGACGAGGATGATGACGACTTTGAGGACGACGATGAAGACTACGACGCCTTAACACTCACACGATCACCATCACACCTAGCAACATCACCCCCTGAGCTCGAACACGACTCGGACTCATCAGAAGACGAGGCGATGCCTCCTTCACCACCCGCCGCAACTATACCTACATTCTCAGATAAGCAGAAGGAAACCACAGTCACAACCAAGTACTACGATCCGAGGCAAGATGAAGACAACAATAAAGCCGATTTCTACAATGACGGATACTACCTGCCGCCGCGAAATCCGGGACGAATAGTATCCGCGATATCGGTTTACTAGGAGGACTGTCTCAATACTTGTTGATCTTTCACGGCTTGCATCGGCATCGGCATTGGGTCTGGTTTGACATAATGTGATTTCTTCTGCATCTGGGCGGCGTTTCAAAATACCAATAGCGGCATGGCATTTTCAAGCGCAAGCGACTTCATTTGATTTTTCTTTTATTTGTCTCGATATGAATACTGTGGAGGAATAAGGGGAAAAGACGGGTATCACCGCAGCCTAGAACCAGACTAGGCATTCAGGTTTGGGAGGCATATGTCACCGCTCACAAGTTATTTTCTATTGGAGGACTATTGGAAGAGTACTACCGAAAGCGGTAAACATCAGGACAGGATTAGCGGGGCTTGCTTTCGCTCCCTGGTTTTCAACCCACGCACAAATATGCTAGGTTCGAATCTCAAAGGTCGAGTGGAACAGTACATACATAGCCGGCGTCGCTTCACCGAATTTCAGTTACTACATAGCGAAGGCTGCTACATACTGCATACGCATACAGACGCAGTTAAAGCCCATCAATGAAAAATACAAATAATTAGTCAAACATTATTCCTCCTGACATGCAAGTGATTAATTGATTGACCCGTGAATATTGTCCTATACCGTCACATGATTATGTAAACCGGCGGTAGTTATCTATTCGATCTATATTTCTAAGTCACGGAGTCATGTGCGGCGGAGTTGGTGAGGAATAAAGCGTTCCCGTGTATGCCGCGATATCGGTAATCATTAGTTGATTCATCATCACACCCGTGGCTGCTTGCGATGCCGAGGTGGGAGGGGATCTTACTAACCCGCTACATATCAGGGTTATCCTAACTACAAATCGTCGAAGTCTACGGAATCTAAATCCACCTGCTAGTAATTGCTGGCATGGGAGTGCCAGATTATCCGGTCTAAACAATAAAGGTACCCGAAGGGAGTCGGAGAGATGACAAACCCCGCGTTAGTACCGGTTCCCGAATTTCGTCGAAATATTTCGTCAACTCTAGCTTAGTAACGAAAGTCTGGCGCACAAAAAAAAGACCGAAGACCCTGATTCCTTTGAGACAAAGGGTTTCATAAAACGTCATGACGATGAAGAAGGAATCGAATCCTAATTGTTGATCGAGGCTCTTTCATCGTTTTGCATATATGGTGTATGTACCTAAGTAACAAAGGGGAAGGGGAAGGGATAGGGGAATGGGGAAATCATTACGTCCGTAAATTCAAACACAATATCCGAATCAGGCCGGAATCAAGAGGGATAGTCATGACAGCAAAAAGACGTGGGTAGGTTTGAAATCAAGGTACATATCAAAGATTATTAACAAGATTATCTCGCCTATCCCTGTCTCCCAATTGGGTAGGGGGTTGCGAGGGCTTGACTTCACTTTACCTGGGCACCTGGGCAATTGCTCATCAGATCAGGCAGACACGATAGTTGAGGCTTCCGCCTGCTCATCAAAGTCTTGGCTTTTGGCCGTATGTACTTTCCGTCGTTGGGGGGAAAAGCAAAGAGGGGGGGCCGTGCACGGGGCACTGGACCTTGTCGTCGGGTCGTCGGGTGATTATCTTAGATCCACACGACTAAGGTACAAGATATAAGGTAGATACCGGGCACTAGCCTAGAACAGACTAGCCTAAGTCTTAGCTCAGGCGAGAAAATCCCAACTGTCTGGGCTTCCCGCGCGCAGAGCCAAAGGTAAAAGCCGTTCGCTGTCCAATCAATTCCTGCCGCGCGATCTTTAAGTCTGTGACACACCCCACACTCTCGTTTACCGTTCGTATGGATACCTGTACTCGTTCCCTAGACCGGCTGAAAAAAAAAGTTTGAAGCTAAGTGGATATTATTAATTTGTAACCATTTCACTTTTTCTTTTCTTTTAAATCACAAGTGTGCGTTTGGCGAAATCTCTTTAATATGAAGCCTCCTTAAACCTAGGCTGTTCGGAATTCTTCATTTTGAGTCATGATCCGTACAGAATCGTCTGATAACCCGCATTGTTCGGAGAAGCTGTCCGTGCTAAGACTCTCTTTCGGAAGCTACGTGGTCCCTTTTACCTCCTTTGCAAGGTCTAGATTCTCCACGATAGGCACCGAAACAGCTACTTACGGGTAGCTCTCCCGACCACGGTACTATGTAAATAGGCAATTCGGAGAAGTACCGTTCAGGGCAAGGGGTAGCTAAGGGGAAGCAAAGGGGAAAACAGTCTGGAGCTCTACTAAGCTGAACCATTGAATCTCAATTAAATTGTCCATATTGTCTTACGGATACACTTTCCTCGCATCCGGTGCGAACGAGCTGGCGGACAACCAGGCTGGCTTCTACACCGTCAGCGGCGCCAGTCTGGTCCATAGCTATAATCATGAGGGGCCGTTTGGCGAGGGGGCGCTATGCAGCAATGTCGTTCTTCGTCAATTGCCCTATCATTTCCTCGGATTTCTCAGAAAAGCAAAGAGCTTCCGTGTAACCCTAAGCTCTGTTTCTTTCCGGAACGGGAAAAGGGCAGCGGAGAAGCACGAACTGATTGATGACGGCGCTGAGATAATACGGCCTTCTATCTTCTATGCAAAGCCCTACTGTGCATATCCTTCTGTGTATGTAATGTACTAACACGGCCACGCCTACGCTGGAACCCCCTTGCTCTCCCGCATTGGTAACCCAAATCTGCGGTCAGCTTTTACGCCTGTCACCGCTATGTCCAACTGATGGGACGCCAGTCGTAGGAGATAGCCAGTAAGAACCGCCCATTTTCGCTGCTATCGCCTCTCCTGGCTGCTTAGGTTTCATTTGCTCCCTCCTACTGGCTACCCATCTAACGATAACGGTGATAGCGATGATGACTGTACCTACTAACCTGCGCCTCAGTCTTTGGAATGGAACGCCTGCTTTTACCCGTCAACGCTAATTTACGATATATTGACATGCTAGGCACGTAAGATCGCGAATGTTGCTGTTGCTTTCAAACCCCGACATTTAAGAAGCTCAAATCACGATATCTTCGACATCGCATTCTTTCGCCTCTACAACACGCGATGCCGTATTCTCTTTCTCTACGTTGCACGCAGAAGTGTAGATGATTTGCATAGGTGATGTAGTTCTGTCGTCGAAGCGAAACAGACCATAATCGACAGATAGGTAATCGCCGAAGCACAATAATTTTCTTATTATTGCTAACGTCGCAAATTGCCTATTGAGCTAGCATCACATGTCTCATCGCCTCATGTCGCGAGTAGGTAGCTTAATCAAACAATTGCTTACATTCGATTCCAAATCCAAAGGATCCTGGGGATCTAGATTTACGCCTCACGCCTCAGGTGATCTACCAGACGAGCCGGTATGTGCGCTGGCGCAAGTAATTAAACAAGAGCCGCCTAAAAGAAAGCCCCGAGTCAAGAAGCCCTAAAACAGGAGCTTCTCCCGTGGTCGATCTGGATCACTCACAAAAAACTCGATGAAACAACAAAAATATTTACTACCTATGCTATGTAGTCTGTAGTCTAATGTCTAATGTCTGAAAGATTCGGTGAAGATATTGCTAGCAGGGCTAAACCATCGCAACCGTGGTCGAACGAGTCTCGGAAAGGCTAAGCGTCGTCATGGTGTGGCTAAGGTCCCGCGTAGTTACGGATAGATCGATAGTGGGATGGATGAATGGTCGCTGGCTGCTACACGAGTTGGCCCAGTTAGTCATCTTGCCGTTGGATGCGACTAAGTTGTCGACCGCCAGAAGCTGGAGGGGCCGTCGCGAAGCAGCCACACAGACGAGCTCGCTTGGACGTTGGCCTATCCAGAGGAGCGGTGAGATCTTGCAAACTGGCGGGACACACTAGACATATTGGAGACACAAGTGTGTAGTGTAGCGTAGCGTTGTGGTGGGAAGACGGCGGGGAGCGCGCGCTGATTCATACTTACATCGTCCATACATCGTCCAACGACGGTGTGAATCATTTGCGGGCTGCCTATTCATTGGCTGAGCCCGTCGTATGGAGAGACTATGCGAGATCTGACTGGGTCGAGAGAACGAGATTTCAACCACCCTGGACACTGCCGACGTAGAGCACGATAGGGCCTAGCCTCCGTGTGATATTTCATGTGATGACTAAACTAGTTGGCAATTGGACTCTCGAAACCTTAGCATGCTGCCAGCGTATAAGCCACTTCATACACACACCACACGTTGGTACCTAACATACCCGGGTAGCTAGCTGGCTGGATGTAAGGCGTATGGATACGTTACAGGTGGTTTCACAAAATCGGGCTTTGGTTTAACTTATGCTGCTGCATGCAAGCAGATCATTCTGGCTTCTTAAGGTAAGGTAGGCATATTCGGGATTGTATGCAAAGAGCGCTTTATGTAGTTCACCTTGATACCATGTACGAAGTATAGGGTACTTAACCTACCTAGGTAGAATAAAGCAGGATCTGCTTCGCGGATTATTTCCTCGACCCGGACAATGCATAAAATGCCAGTTAGTTTTGGTACACCTTGAATTGAATGTTAACCCTAATATTCCAAACCGCCCACTACTATCCAGAAAACAGTATGGCGAGGTAGTCCGTCAGCCGTATCAGACATATTCTTCGAAGATCACAGGTACGGATTCCAAACACTGCTGCTGACGTGATAACTTAAGCCCGCGACACGCATATCCGCTGTGGGAACGAACGGACTACCGGGCGATGCAGTAAGGGTCCTGGGTCCAAGAAGATGCGCACGTAAACTTCAGGGCTAACCTAGGTAGCCAGCATCGCCAACACCTTCGTCCTCGTGGCTGTTTCGGATAGAAAGGATTTAAGAACGATTCGGAGCCGGCATTTCTACTTGGGCCGCCTAGGTAAGGAATGTATTCCATGGAAACAAGACAGGCACCAACATTGTTTGAAACTACGGGTGGCGCGGAATCCTATTCAACTTGTCAACGTGACCAGTTCGTACAGGTATAGGAAACAGCCTTAGACGTAAGGGCAAGAGTCATTATAGGCGTTCCAGCCTAATAGACCATATCTGGACTTCGTAACTCTTAATCCCGCGCCGAGACTACGGGAAAGTTCGCGACAGTCGGGTGAATATGGAATGTACCTACCTATAGAAGTAGCTGCCGTAGCTGCCGTAGCAAGAACATTTCCACGGGGCAGGTGCACTAGCCTTAGCCTTGTAAACGCCCTGTAACTGCCCCGTAGTAACGCCTGGAATCTGCGGTAATAGTGGAAAGCCCTGGGCACCGTAGGGTTTCGGGGCCGAACCAATCCGATTACCGACCTTCCGAAGCCGAAGCCGAAGCTTCCCCGTTTTATTCGTTACCTGGAAAATTTGGGGCCAAGTTCTTCCTACGGTTACATCATATCGCGCATATCCTAACCCTTCCGCCGGAAGCCGCGGTAGCACGTCAACCCGACGACAAGAAAGTTTCTACGGCAACGTTAGGTAGGTTAGCGCCTAGGTAGCCTTCGTCGACGTCAATCACACCCGGGTATAGCAACCGTATCTAGCGAAAGGATCCGACATCGCGCCGCCTGAGCCTCGCTAGCACACGCACACGCATCCATGGATACATGCGCATAGCCATAGCCTTAGGGAAACGTAAAAAGTACCGTACGCGCAAATGCAGCAAATCATCCCACGGGCGTCGCCCAGCCGTAAGGCCCTAAGCTCTTTCGTATGCCAGTCGTGCCGGCGATCCCTGCGCCGGTTCTCCGCGTCGCCGAACCGTAGGTCAGGAGGGGTCCCTCCGCCCCCTCCGTCCGGGTACGCCCACCTGTCCTCGCGGCGGCTCATCAGCGTCGCGGGGCCGGACGCGCCCAGGTTCCTGCACGGCATCATCACGCGGTCCGTCGTCGCGGAGCCGAGCACGAGCGGCGGCCGACGCTTCAACCGGACCACCAATGCCGATGCCGCCGCCGACGCCGCGGCAAACTCGATAGCCAGCACGCCGGGGTTCTACGCCGCGTTCCTGAACGCGACGGGCCGCGTGCTGCACGATGTCTTCGTGTACCGCGACACCCTGGGCCTGAGCGGCGGCGGCGGCGCCGCGACAGCGGCCGAGGGCGAAGCTTTCGTCATCGAGGTCGACGCCGACCAGGTGGACGTCCTGGCCCATCACATCAAGCGGTACAAGCTGCGCAGCAAGCTCGCCTGCCGGGTGCTCGACGCGGAAGAGTGCGCGGCGTGGCAGGTGTGGGACGACAGCAACGGCTCCTCTCCCCCAACACCCACACCGCAGGGTCTAGAAACGCAGTTATCGCAGCTCCAAAACAGCATCGTGCTCCCGGATACGCGCGCGCCGGGAATGGGAACGCGGGTCCTGCGGCTCGGCAGCGGCTCTGGGGCGGGGCACCTGGACCTGGACCTGGACCTGGAGAAGAGCGACGAGGCGGCGTACCGCGTGCGCCGGTACCTGCTGGGCGTGGCGGAGGGCCAGGCGGAGATCCCGCGCGAGCAGGCGCTGCCGCTCGAGGCCAACATGGACGTCTCGGGTGGCGTCGACTTCCGCAAGGGCTGCTACGTCGGCCAGGAGCTGACGATCCGGACGCGGCACCGCGGCGTCGTGCGCAAGCGCATCTTGCCGTGTCTGCTTTACCCCTCATCCTCATCCCCTTCCTCTTCATCCCCGTCTCCCCCGCCGCCGCCGCCGAGGAAACTTGACTACAGCCCTTGGATCGGGGGAGGGGAAGAACAGGGGGAGGGACAGGTCATGTCGGCGGAGGACGTCCCGCCGAACCTGAGTATCGGCCGCGACGGCGCGAAGGGCCGCAGCGCGGGGACCTGGTTAAGGGGTGTGGGCAACGTCGGGCTGGCGCTGTGCCGGTTGCAAATCATGACGGACGTGGAGCTCCCGGGGGAGACGGCGGCGGCGCCGTTCAACCCTGATAAGGACGAATTCGTGGTGAAGTGGGGCGCGGACGAGGAGGGCGGTGGTGGACAATCCGTCAAGATCAAGGCGTTTGTGCCGGATTGGCTGCGGGAGAGGTTGAATGAGGATAAGAATGCTGGTTCTGCTCACTAAGGAGGGTATGTGGGATGGATTAAACGTAGGCGAGCTGTATGGTATACGCGTTTGTATTAGATATGCTGGTATCACTACTCTGAGGCCAATGTACTTATCATAGATATTAGGGCCCGATGAATAAATCAAGGCAACTTAGCATGTTACCTATCTATTGGTTATTTGTACGGTGATGTGAATGGGCCAGTTATGCCTTAGCTTTAGGAATATCACATTGCGTATCGTTAATTCAGCCATTATGTATCTCATCTTTATCCAAGATATAGGCGTATCATCTATTCTTTCATAAACTAGGGGTATCACGACATCAAAAGGTAAGAGAATAGTAGTATCTAGACAGCAAAGTAGCAGTGCTTGCTATTAGCTGCCAACCTCAGCACCACTTGTAGCAGCAGCAGCCTCCTCCGCTTTCTTTCTCGCTTCCTTTTCAGCTTGAGCAGCTCGCAGCCTAGCCATTGTTGATGAGAAGTCCCCTTTTACTCGAGGTTTGCTACTTGCGGTAGCATTGCTGCTGTTGGATGCATTGGTAGACGGGGCGAAGGAAAAGGACTTCGCTGTCCCTGATGATATCGAGGGGTCCTTCTTCTCGTCAGCTTTCAGCTCTTCTGGTACGTCAGGAATGGGTTTAGCCTGATGAGCCTCGAGCCTGTCTTTGCCAGACCCGCCATTTTCCCGCGCTGCTTTCTTGTCTTTCTTCGCTGCTTTCCGCAGTCGCGCCTCTCGGATTTTTCGCTCTATATCCGCAATTTGGTCGTCGTAACCATCGTTGTTTCGTATTGGGGGTTCGGGATCGATATCCGTTTTTGACTCGGCTGCGCTCGAGGCATCAGGAGTTTTTCTACGACCCGCTGGTTCGGATTTGGGCGGACCTGACTTCTGCTGATCCTCTATATTTGCTTGCTCCCTATCTCGTTCCGATTCTCTTTGCCTTTCTCTCGCCTCTGCTTCTCTCATCAATCTCTGCCTCTCTTCTAAGCGACGTTTCCCAGCCTCGGCTAACCGCCTCCTCTCTGCTTCGCTCATCGTGGGACCATGGCTATCGTCCCGCGGTCGTTTGACACCCCCGCGTTCTCGCGCCTCGAGATCTTCTACCATCGCGCGTCTCTTTGCGTCCATGGCTCGGCGTTGCTGTTCGCGTAGCTGCGCGGCAGACCGCTGCGAATCGTAGACCTCGCGCGCCGCAGCATCGGACAGCACGTCCCGGGCTCGTTCGAATAACTCCCATTTTGCCGGGTCGAAGTTTGCACCTGCTTTGTCTGGATGGTATTTCAAACTGCGCTTACGCCTGCGGGAAGAAAGGGTGTTAGCTCACCGGAGACAGAGATTAAGATATTGGAACGGAAGAACCAGACTTACCAGGCACGATGGATGTCCTGTTTAGCTGTATCGGACGTCACGCCCAGAAGCTCGTACAGATCTTGTGTAGTCGCATACTCCTTGGCGTATACCAAGAGGTCAGACTTATCCATCGTCGTTGTTCTTTGCGTATTGCTCTCGTATTGAAGAGAATGTTTGGGAGAGGATGTTTTTTTTATGGAGAAATGTTCAAGTCAATAGTAACCTATGACATACTACGCAGTACAAATAAACCCCACTATTGAATTATACGGTAGGCGGTTAGCGCTTTGCGGGGTGGATCTAGGCTGTTTACTTGCATGAAAGCTTGGTTAATATGATTCATTACCTATCCTGCTATCCTATTACTGCCTACTGTGCCTACGTACATAAACATTTGCCTATAATTTGCCTATAAATACTATCGACGACAACTACATCACAAGAGCATAGGTTTAATATACCTCGAGTCTCCAAATTCGCATCTAAAGCCACATACATAATTATGATGCTATCTTACACCAATATATATCATTTCGAATAACCCAAAGGAGAGCCTGCCGGATATCCTTGTTCCTAACTAGAACCTCCGAGCTGTAGGAACACCATTAAGACTGCAGCATACCTATTACAACGTTAGCATCTCGACCAATGTTAGGACTATTGCCCCCAGGCCCTCTTTTCAAAATCCACTTACGCGGCGGTTGCGCCCAAGGCCTCAAACGGTTTTGTGGCCATGGCGAGCGATAGCGTGAGCAGAAAGACGAAGACAAACAGAGTAATGACAACGAGTTTATATACTTGGTTCTGAAGCCATTGAAGAATCCAGATAGGGGCGATGAGCATGATAACTCCTGCTGCCACGATAATACCAGAGGCAAATTGGTCGATACGTTTATCGGAATAATACGACACAAAATCGGCGTCGTAGTCAGGAATATCTGGGCTATCCCGCTTCCATATCGAAAATGTTCGTAGTCGCCGCGAATGATCGATTAGTCGTCGAACGGGCAATTTATCTTTTGACACTATTGAAATCAAGTCCTTTTCATCCTCCAAGTAACTCTGCTCGTCCTTATCTATCGCAAGATATTCGTGGTTGTAATGCCAGTTGCGTATCGATTTGATTACCCGCCTCGGTGCTGACTGGTATTTGTTCATCGCAGTTTGCTGCATGATGAAGTCATCTTCAGCCATGTTAGCCCCTGGTAGCTTAGTCTCGTCAAGGAAACTCACTATAGTATCGTATCTTCGGGTTGATCCTATTCAAGAGTTCCGCGCGGTCTATCTGATCATGTCTTAACGTCCCATTGTTAACGTCTGCTGCGCCCTTTCTACTATAGTCTTCATCGATCTTCGATAATTCCTTCTCTAGTACAGATATCTCATCTTGAAGCGATAAGGCAACCCGAACGTTAAGGCTATTGAAACGTCTTAGTACATAAAATTCATCGTCAGAAGCAAGGAAACTTGAATAGCCTTCGTAGCCGATGTACTTCCAGGGTTTGAGCTGAATATCTTCCTCTGTCGGCTTACTATCGTTACTATTGATCGTGGCAGCCATAGCTACAAGGGGAATATGATTGTTGCATAACTCTGGGGAATTTCTGAAGCACCATAGTGGCAGTTTTGGGTTCAGGTAAGTAGGGAGGTAAGTGTATCAGATGATCAATCTCATGCAGCACCCAAACTACACCTCTACCAAATCTAAATACCACGCAGGCATTGCCACGGCACAGCTCAGGGTCGACGGAAGGCAGCCTAAATCGCCTGCATGGATATCCGATAACATATTGAAATCTATTAATCGCTTGCTATTTCCACTGTTCTCTTTCATCTCAATGATTCTCTCCATCTTATCATCATGGCCGACACCACTGAAGAGCAAGAGGCATCTAACTTGGCACACCTCAAGAAGGTCAAGAATACAGCCAAAACGCCTATGCCAGAGGATTCCATGCTTGATTTACCAGACCCCGTGTATCGCCCAGACCACCTGCATCGCACTTGTTCTGCGCAAGTCAAACGGCGGAATAGAATCTTCAAAGCAGAACAACCTCCGCCTCCCGCCACCCGGGTCGGCTTTACATCAAAACATCGACGATCTAATTCTAGAAGGAAATCAAATAAAGCCGACGGAGATGATAGAAGCGATTCTGATGGCTATGAGTCGGCGCGCGTACACGGAGAAAATGATGCTTCTGCTATGCGACGCCGTCCCGAGAAACAACTACCTTCGGACTCTGTTCAGATTGCCAATGCTAGCTCGTCGAGCTCCACTTCCTTTACACCCGAAGAACAAGAACGCATCCGCGTAAGCCGTCCTTTAAATGGTGAACCAGACATGTGGCAGTCTGCATCACAAACATACAAGAACAACACCCCTGAGGCTTTAGCACGCAAAGAGCGCTTGGTTAAGAATGAAGATGGCTCGACTAGGACACGTGCCGCACCCCGGCGATTATTTGATTTCAGGATAAGCGAATGCAATGTTTCCTGAATGAATGTTTGGGCCGTGACACTACTACCGAAGAGATAACCGAGAGGAAGGAGCACATCGAAGACTCGGATGAAGCACATGATTTGACCCAGGAAATTGTCGAACGAATCGAATTAGAACTTATCCTAAAATGGGAGAAGTTAGTGGACCTCCCGAATGTCGATGTTGATCTAGAAGGTGCACCTACGGTACCTCTACTGCTTGCTATCGCCGGCCATATACCTAATAAAAGCAATGCGCCGCATGGGGGTTCACTTGAGAGTGGTCGGTATGGTTCACTCGCCTTTTTTCATGAAATGAAAATCTTATCCAATACAAAAACAACGTACAAAGAATTGCTGAAATCTTCCCGTCAAGATGGCCGATTAAGTCCCGAGTACCTTGAATGGATATATTCATCTATGACCGACCAATTCTTTCCCAGGCTCTTGAACGGGAATATCCGAATGTGCCACGCCCTAATCTTGAATTTGTGTTTAACGATTATCGCCGTGAAAAAGAGTACCGGAAAAGAGGAGAGGAAGCCAGGAGAACTTTCAAATCGATGGAACACCAGATCATACAGCCATTCTGAGAGGATAGAAAGCATCAGAGAGGTGTTATGCTTGTGCGCTCAAAGGATGGTTACGCGGCTTTGGCGAGTCACGTCCCGGAGGAAGAAGTTCGCAGAATTGGACGGTTCAGAGATGATGAATATGATCAGAGATACTGTTGCTTCGAGTTTGATGACAAATTTGGCGCCATCTTTAAGGTCAGTATGAATGGGAAAGTTTTAGGCATTGGCCGAACTTGAGTACTAAGCAGAGCTCACCGATTTCCTAGAAGTTTGACTTGATTACTAGGTCATCATTCTGTTGGAATTTTTTCGCTATATTCTCAATTCAATAGAAAGTATTAGGTTATTATGCAGTAACCTTTTGTGAGCACAGGATGAAAGTCAGGGAAAACGATGTTAGCAAAAGGTATATTAGCCATCCTTTTCAAAAGCGTCATTGAGATAACCCACGAATGTCTCTCGTATTCTCTCTGGCCCCATATTCCCTACCCCCTCGAGACCAATACCACCCCTGTGTAAGCCCATATAGGCCCTTCGTAAACGTTGTAGTTGAGGCAACCCGATTTTCTTCCCAGCGGGTAATTCCACGACCAACTCGTCAGCGTCACCACCACTACCTCTAGAAATACTAATCTCATCCCCACCGTCGTCACTTTGCTGGTCTAATATCCTCTTGACAATCTCTTGCGTCTCCTTGTCGAGGATGTATAGATAATCACCTCCCGCATCTCGACTCCGCTGCACCGTCGCCTGATTCGGCCTCACCACTTTCCGCGCCTCGCCCGCGATCGTGTCCCACATACTCTCGAAGACCTGTCTCGCTCGCGCTTCATCATCTTCCCATATGAGCGTGAAAAGCGGGCTATCCCACCTCGTCATCGGGTTCGGCTCCTCGTACCGAAAAACAAGGTTCTCCCAATTCGCCGGCTCGTAAGGGCCTTCTATATCCCCATCCTCATCTTCCTGCTTAAGTCCATTAGTTTCCTCACCATTCTCATTACCACTCCAAGCCCCGACGCCATCCCGCCTTCTTCTCAGCCTCTCCTCGTTAACGGCCTTGGCGCGCTCCCTGTCGCACCCGATCTGCAGCACGCAGCTGGGCGTGCGCACGGCCTTGGACTCGCAGAAGAGCTGGTACCGCCAGCCCTTGATGTAGTTCAGGCCGTCGAGGACGACGATGTCGCGGTCGCTCAGCGCGCGCTTGACCGCGCCGTAGATGCTGGCGCGGGCGTCCTTCTCCGACGCGTTCGCGGACCGCGCGTGCGCCGGCGTCGACGAGAGGTCGTACACCGAGCGCGGGATCGAGAGCGTCTGGTCTGATATCAGGTGCAGGCGGTACTTGGGCGGGGTGGCTGTGGTTGTGGTTGCGGGGGTAGAGGGAGAGGTTGAGGTAGAAGTAGGAGCGGATATGCGCTCCTCGAGGAAGCTGTAGAGTTGCTTTGCGCGCGTGGTTTTGCCGGACGTGGGGAAGCCCGTTACTATTATTAACTGAGTGTTTTCGTTAATACGTATTTAAATCTAGCTACCAAATATTTATTTTAGAATAGGATACTTACCGGCATCTTAGAATGTTCAGAGAGAAGATTGGAGGGACTTGGGGGTGAGAATACAGCTTGACATTTTGTAGTTTGACTAAAATTTCTGACGTTGAAAAGTACCCCGCGACAAGACATCCATGGATGTGCTTATTGAGATGCTCCCCCGCTGTAGATGACGCTACGGTAGCGGCATGACACAGGGGTCTTGGCGAGATCCGGGGCCGTGGAAACCTTTTTTTAGCGTGCTTCTCTTGTTCAAACTGTCAAGACCGAAAGAACATTCAAACTTTCAGTCATATTAATCAGCAAAGTCTAGCTAGGTATCTAATGTAATAAGTCTTATTCGAATGAGCTTTTCTTTCAGACAATTCTATTATTATACGTAAGGGGTATCATTGGTGTCTTATTCAAAGCATAACCACAATATTAACATCATCTAAAGTATTCTAGATGTCACCTGTATATTCAGATTTTAAGTTTTCGAAATCGAAATTATGGAGATAAAGATGTTCATGATATGGATGTCTATATTTAGCTCAAAATACCCGCTCCTAAACAAGTGCTAAATGCATTAAAACAAATGATCCCAGAACAAATGCCCTTCAATTTCACCTGTATCCACCCATCTCGTGGTCACGGTCCACCTCGCTCTGCTGCCACGGCTGCTGGTAACCAGTTGCTACCGGGACATTCTTGTTGGCCGGGAGTTTGTGCAAGGTCATTCCGATGGCCTCGACGATAACAATGACGATCATCTCCATGATGACAGCCATACCTAGGTAGATGTTCATGTTCGCCGTCAAGGGGCTGAAGTCAGGGTTGTTGCCGAACACCGATTCTCCAGAGTAGGCTAATCGGACGAGGATGAAGGGAAGCGAGAGGCCGACGGCCAGAACCAGCCGCTTCTCACCAGGCTCTATGTGGGATAGTTGCAGTGCGACGGCGACGGTTGCAAGGACCAGGAGGACGTATGCCGCGATTGTGAGGCCCGTGCCCGCCCGTGAGGTATCGGCTACGGTGTAGACGCCCGTATCACTAAAGCTCGAAGAACCGCCGACGATACCCAAGATCAAACCCACGAGCGCGATAACTTGGACGAGACGCAACCGTTTCTCGGTCACAAACGACGTGGTCGATTTTCGTATGCTTCCGAGGGCACGTCCGAGTAGACCAAGTTGGAGCATAATTAAGGGCGATAGACCGATGGTTTGCAGAATTGCCGCTCCGACCTGAAGGTTGAGGTTTTTCGGATCTGAGATGGTAGCTAATTGGAAGGATGCTCCGAGGATGCGGGCGAGTGAGAAGATGATCAGGTAGAACCACCCGGCGCTACGGCCGAATCCGTGTTTGTATGAGAGCCATACGGCAATGAATAACGATGGCACGTAGATAATAATCTGTGCGATGGAGATGTTGTTGTGTTCAGTCAGAGCCATCTTGGGAGAGAGAAAGCCACGTGAGGACTTGTAGATAAGAGTAGACAAGAATAGGTGGAGTATTACAAGATGATCTACTAAGTTCTTATTGTCCTTGGTGTTCTTGTCGTCGTTGAAGCACAAGAAATGCTTTGAATTAAATAGTCATACCTCGAGCTTAGAACTTACCTGTCTATATAGGATTCCTGATGCTACGGTTAGTCAAGCATCATTGCGTACTTACCTGGCAATGGGAATGGGTCTCTTGCCATAATGTTTTGGCCTGAGGTCTTTTTGTTAACGAAACCGAGAGCGAACGCTGAAGGTGCCGCAGAAAATTGTGACCCCCATGCGTGCTGCTACATGAGGTCTTGCTCTGATTGGCTAGCAGACTTCAGCTTTGTGACTAAGCCTCGACAAGCTTTGCCAAGGCGGTCCTAGTTCCGACAGTAAGACCCGGGCGGCTTCAACCGATGTGGGTCTCTGGAGAACTCAAATAAGGAATGAAATTAAAACTTCCATGGATGACATGAATAGCAAAAGCACAAGGCAGGCATAAGGCGGAGAATGGGTAAATATGCAACGTTTTTCGACCAATCAGGTTGAAACTACCCACATACCGACTCGATTCATAGGACTAAATTAGTATATTCGCTTACCTAAAAAACTAGTTGCTGCTACTTCTAAGTTCTATCAACGCGTTGAAACGGCACAGCATTTGCGTTTCAACCAACCGCACTCACAGCCCCATCCCGCAGATAATTCACGAGGCACGCAGCAATGGCGCAGCCTTTGATGCTTCTGGAAAAACCATTCCCTGGCCACGTAATAAGTCTTACTGTTTCATTGGACTAGAAGGATGTATAATTTGCATCTTAAGAGTATGAACGTCCGGCCGATACTCTACTTGATGTATCAGATTTCAAATCACATGGTGTAGCCAGTCTATCTAATCGCTTCGCCGTGATGTCTATTGACGTCTAGGTGGCGGTGCATTACCTATCTCCAATTTCTCCATTAAGGCTCATTTTTCAGTCTTTAGTGTCACTTAACATATTAAAGCTATGTCATTGGCATAAACTAGCTTATCGGCCACGACTATTGTCTCAATCGCTTAGTTATAGCGTAGCGAATGCGGGAATGCGTTTATTCCCTTCTTTTCCCGAAACCGAGCAAAAGATCTATAGGCTAATCTATAGTCTCAGCCCTACGCTATGATGATGAGATACCAATATGATCCACTGCCGGGGGAGGCCTACGTTAGACTCGTCACTCTCCATCCGGGCCGGTTCAACGATGCCGTCGTCATCTCTTTTCATACTTCACCGTTCTCTAGCGATGACCCGCCTCCATATGAGGCTCTATCATACACATGGGGCTCGGGAAAACGCCATTGGCCAATTTACGTCACCGACCTTCTTACTACGACCGCAACGTTGTGGAACGTTGTACGTGCTAAGTTCAAGAGAGTCATATCCCAACAAAACCTGGGCATTGCTTTGAAGCACTTACGTTATGTCGATAAGCCGCGAGTCATGTGGATTGACGCACTCTGCATCAACCAAGCGGATGAAGTTGAGAAAGGCTCGCAAGTCGCGAGGATGAGCGAGATATATCGACTCGCGCATCGAGTAGTAGCCTGGATCGGGCCGGAGGAGAACGACAGCGACCATGCTATGGAGTGGATGGATTTGCTTAGCTCTCAGGTGGAAGTTGATTTTTCAAAATTTGAGCTAAGTCCCGCAAAGAATTGTACCGACCCTACAATAGGCAACGTAGCTGTTCCCCTCGATTTCGATGCCAGGAGTGCGGTTTCGGTCTGTCATCTGCTTTCTCGGCAATGGTTTAGTAGATTATGGGTTCAGCAAGAAGTCGCCTTAGCCAACTCGGAAGCAATTATCAAGTGTGGTTTCTATCAAGTTAAGTGGCATAACTTTAAGCGAGCCTTAGCTTGTTTATATTTGAAGTCGAAAAGTTCGACCGTAGCGAGGGAGCAATTTAACCTCGATCTCATGTCCCTCACCGGCTTCTTTCGCGGCACGACGCAAAATTCCATAATAAATTTACGAGAGAATTTTGGAAAATCGCATTGTATGGATCCGCGGGACCGCCTCTATGCCGTTTCAGCCTTATTACCTGAAATCGAACGGGCTTTCGTTTTACCTCCGGACTATACCAAATCCTACGCGGTGATTTATACACATGTCGTAACTGAATTCATCAAGACTTATCGTGGCTTAAATATCCTGACTAAATGCGAGCTTCGGGACAACTCGCCGTGTCCGAGTTGGGTTCCTGATTGGTCGGACTGCTTTGCTTGGGACCATCGTATAGCTGGGGTACACATCCAAGCATCCTCCCAGCTTGGTCCATCGTACGAATTTCCCGAGCATGAGGTGTTGAGAGTGATGGGTATGTCTAAAGCAGAAATTAGGGAATGCCATCAGGTTCCGATCGTAGGTGACGCGGATCCTCATATGGCTCTTAAAACCCTTCGGACATTAGCCTCGAAACTAGGCGTTGGAGAGCAGACCACACTCGAGGATTTCGCCCGGACTGTCGTCGAAGACGCACTTGCTGACAACTATGATGTACAATCAGATATCTATTTAGACATAGACGAGGCTAAAGATGTTATCTCATTAATCATGTCAGGCCACCAATTCAAGGACGACGACTTCATCTGGCCTTCCGCCTGTACGAAGCTGTTAAGATGGGCCAGACTGTCGGGGGCACCATACTTTCAGACCACAAGCGGTTCGACAGGGATTGCTCCAAGGGCAGCACGGCCTGGTGATGAGATTTGTGTTATTCTTGGCTGTGCTCTTCCCTTACTGCTTCGGCCTCTAGGCAATGGGAAATTTAAGTTGGTCGGTCCGTGTTTTATGGTCGGTCTCATGCACGGCGAGGCCTTCCTCGGACCTCTTCCCAAAAACATTCGAATGGTCGAAGCTTTTGATAATGATACCAGTAGGTTGACGTTCTGGTTTAAGGATGTCATTTCTGGTGAACTATTTTACGAAGATCCACGGCTAAAGTCGCTACCTCTAGACATCGATCCTTTCCGTAGTTATTTATCACAACACCATTCCGCTGTTCTCGCTACAGACCCGGAGGCATTACAAGAATGCGGCATTGGCCTAAAGCAGATTGACCTTATATAGCCTTAGCATTATTATTCTATAATCCAACTCAGGGTAGAGATTGATATCTCACATAATATCCTGTTTTTACTCACGATATGTCTGGGTATCGCCGAACGCCATGCAATGCAATTCATTTTTTACCAATTGTCGAAGTTACCGAACCCGCCAACCTTTGCCTTTTTCTTAACTGGCTCTTCCCACGTATCGACATCCTCCTCGATAATCTCATCTTCGACGGCCTGCTGCTTCATAGCATCTTGTAGATACTTGCCCACACTTCCGCCGCTACTGCTCTGGTCGACTGTGCCGTCCTGTCTGACTCGTTTTCCCGTCCACGTCATGCGGTCATCTTCAGTTCCACCGGACCTCTCGATCTCCGCCTTCGTTTCGGCGGCTTTGTCGCGCTCAGCCTTCTGCTTCATGAATTCGTCGAACGGGTCGAGGTACACGACAACGTCCTTGATGTAAATCTTGTTTAGAGGTCGGTCCGAGCCATCTGTAGGGACTGCCTCCATCTTGCTCAACACGTCCGTGCCGCCAACAACCTTGCCAAAGATAGTATGTTTTCTATCAAGGTGCTTTACCGGACGGTACGTAATGAAGAATTGGCTGGAATTCGTGTTTTTGCCCTTATTGGCCATGCTGAGTAAGCCACGAGAGTCGTGCGTCAAAGGCCCGTCAAATTCGTCTTGGAAGTTCTTGCCCCATATACTCGTGCCTCCTCGCCCAGTCCCAGTAGGATCGCCTCCTTGGATCATGAAGTTTTTGATGTTGCGGTGAAAGGAAACATCCTTATAGTAGCCTTTCTGAGCCAACCGAGTAAAATTCCAGACTGCCTTCGGCGCATATTCCGTCTGTAGCTCAATGTTTAAATCACCCAGATTCGTCTCAATTCGTGCGTAACCCTTTATCTTTACCCTCTTCGGCTTTAGCATGTATTCCTCATCGGTCAACTGGGCTCGTTCGCCACTGGTTTCCGGGGTCAATCCGGTACTGGTAAAACTTGCGGCGGCTCTGCCTGTGGTATATGCTGCCGCATTGTAGGCTTGCTTCTTTTCCTGTATCATAGATGGCCGAACAGTATTGTTCGCTACCGCCTTTGTAACTGCCTTGGATGAGCGATTGATATCCCTGCTAGCTTCACGCTCTTTTCTCGCCTTCTCGACGGCCTGCTTCGCTCTCAGGACCTTGTCGCCCACTCTGCCTAGGGCATTGATGTTGATATTGCCTGCCTTTTGATCTTCCTCTTGTTCGTTTGTTACTAGCGCATCTCCGCCATCTTTCAAGTGCTGGAACTGGCTTAGATCTCTGCTTGCGATGTTCTGGGGATCTTGGAGGGTGATGATGTCGGATCGACCAAACTCTGCATCATCCACTAGATCGCGCCACATCTTTGCTTTGATATTCATCCTTTCGACCGTCTCCCAGGCGAAAACGTTCGCATAGGTGCCATGTCGGATCGCGACGATGTGTGTATTGTCGGTGAAGATTTTGAAAGTAACAGGGTCGATCAAATCCCCTTTCCCGTCACTACCCGACCCGTCTGCGCCCTTCGAATCGACGTCCCCATTACGCGCAAAGTTGAGTTTGATGAGGTCGCGTGCTGCCAGAGGTTCCCCGTTCACGGGATTAGTCTTGTGGGTTTCGAGCCATTTTGAGATAACCTCGACGTCAAATATCGTTCCCTCGGGAGTGCAGACGGGATTTTTGAACGGTTGGAGACTTGCGGCGCAAAAATTGAAGGGTAGTCGTTTGAATGATGCGCCGCCGTCTTGAGTAGCACGCGAGCCGGTATTCGCCGAGTAGGCGTCCGAGGACGACCACTCGGAATGTGTGATATACAACTTATCCGTCCCTTTCCCCATGACTCATCGGCGATTCCTGATGCGATGAAGAAAATGAATATTAACAGAAGTGGAAGAAAACAAAGTGACGGTTTCCTCAGTAATGGCAAGCAAGCTTTGAAGCTGATAGGTTCGTGTTTGTTGGTTGTATTCTTATCTTATCGTAATCCTAGTTAGAGCCTTGGCAGCTCCCCCCGACTACTCCGTAATTACCTAGCATGTACGTATGCGCCTAACATTAGCTGCGAAAGTAACCTGGAAGTGGCTCTGCTCAGTTTCTAATAAAACTGATAAACCATAGCGAAACTTGGAGCAAACATTCATCATCCATGCACATGAAGCTTAGGAGATATCTTTTTCAGCCCGCGAACCGTTTTTAACCACGTCTAACCTGCCCACATCACTCCTCATGCTTCTCTGGACTTTGAATTTGTTTTAGTCCAGCTTCGAACTGCTTTCCAATTTGCCTCTGTGTTGCATTCGGTAAACGTATTCGAAATCCGGAATAGCGAGGACAGATTTACTTGCCGAGGCTGCCTTGCGCGGCGACAACAAACGTCTACCAACCCAAGATGAAGAGCTGGTTATCTACATTAGTCCTTCTGGGCACGTCCTTATGGACGGCTCGAGCATTAGAAGTTAAGATAGTACGAAAGCCTCGCCGTCCTATCGATTTTAGTTTTAAGCTAATATTTCCCCCATCAAGGACGATACCGAAGAGAATCAGCAAAAATGTGCCGGTATGTCCGATCTACCCAATGCACAACGATCGCCTACGCGAACCTTACTGATCTGCCGTATCCAGGCATGTATAGCAGAAGTGCATGGGGTGGTCCGGTAGATCCTTTCATCCTCACAGTATTCCCGAACAAGACTGTCGAAGGCGACGACGATCCTATCGTTAGTTTAGTCATATTTGAATGGAAGGACCAAGATTTGATCGGGGTCTACCCAAATCCCGACGCGCTTCAAGTACGGTTACCGATGTCTACCGGTCAGAACGTTAGGACACGAGGCTGATAATAGAATTAGAAGGAACTCATTTGCGACGAAGAGAATGTTCGAGCCAGTCTGTGTAACGACACAGATATCGGCGAATGGATTCTATCCCCCAACGCGACCGAGAAGTCAGAGAATTTTATTCTGACCCAAGCTGTTCACCTCAAGTCCGCGCCGCCCATCAACTACCCCATCAAGAAGACGGGATATTATTGTGTTGCTGCCTATGGTTTCAACACGAAGGATTATATGGGAGTCGTCGAGTTCCGAGAGGCATATGGCGAGCTTCCCGCGACCCAGATCCCTAAACTTCCATTCTATGGGGGAATTACCATCGTCTATGCGCTAGTCGCCGTGTATGTTTTGAGGCTCTCCTATGTTGGACTCTGTACTGACGACAACCAGATTTTGGGGCTTCCTCTACTATCAGCATAGATATGACATCCGTAAGCTATTTGAAACACACCCTTTTCTCCCTAAAACTAACCTAGCCGTAGTACCCGTGCAGAACTACATCACAGCTATTCTTGTCTTTCTGGGTGTCGAGATGTTGATGACTTGGGGGTTCTATGGCAAGTTGATCGCACCACCCCCTTAAGAATATATGTCTAACCATTAGCCACAGATTACTTGAATAGGAACGGTTCCAACATCGGAGCCAAGGTTCTTCTAGTCTTGGTGGCTATTCTCAATGCCTTCCGTAACTCGTTCTCCTTCTTCCTACTACTTATTGTGTGTATGGGTTACGGCGTTGTAAAGCCTTCTTTGGGAAAAACGATGGTATATGTTAGGTGGTTGGCGATTGCTCACTTCATCTTCGGATTGGGCTACGCCATTACCAGTCTGCTCATTTCTCCGGATACAGCTAGTATGAACCCTGCCTCCAACCCGTGATTTACAATATACTTATGCTAATTTTGTATTCAGGCCCCTGGCTTCTCCTCATCGTACTTCCGTTAGCGGGCACCTTGACTGCCTTTTACGTGTGGACGCTCAACTCGCTCAACTTCACGCTTAAGGACCTGCGCGAGCGCAAGCAGACCGTCAAAGAAACCATGTACAAGAAGCTCTGGTGGTGTATCCTAATCAGCATTCTTGTTACCTTTGGCTTCTTCTTTTTCAACTCCTTCTCATTTGCCTCGGCATCTGATCCGGACTACGTTCCTTTCCACTGGAAGTCACGGTGGTTTGTTATTGACGGATGGCCGAACCTGGTCTATCTCGCTGATGTAGTCTGGATCGCGTACGTGTGGAGACCTACGGCGAATAACAGACGGTTCGCGATGAGTGACGAAATCGCCCAGGATGAGGACGGAGGATTCGAATTTGCTGACGTGGGTGCTCCGGACGACTCGGACGATGACGAGGAAGCACACATTGGCACCAAGGTTGCCCAAACGCGCTCGGCACCGACAACAAACGCTACTTCTACGGCACCGCAACCGCTACAGAGCAGAGCCCCAGCGAAACCCGAGACGCCGCGGGATTCCTTCGATGGAGAGACGATATTCGCGGTTGGCGAAGATGGCGATAAGTTCAGTGATGATGACGAAGACGACGACGATGATGACGATGAAGAGGAGGATGATGAAGAAAGAGGTGAGGGGTCAAAGCTTGTTAGTGGAAAGAAGAATTAAACCCGCTCTCCAAACTATGAAAATCAGGCGAGGCAGGAGTGGTATCAACTGTAGTATCTGGAGCTACCCGCTTTCGTTACTGTACTATTATAGACGGCGTTGGATGCTGAAGTACCGAAAATACCTAGGAAGGCCTATCGAGGTAGGGTATTGATCGGCACGAATCGGTCGCTTGAAAGGGTGGTAGGCCTTGCTTTATTTAAGGTACATTGCATGCATGAGGTAGCGCAAGGTACGAAAAGAACTTTGAATTGTAACCAATATTAGGAATATGCCATGCAACGATTTAATACGAATATGGATTGACCAGGAACATTTGTGCTATATATTCAGGTCTAATCAATGTTTGCCTTTTATCTTCCGTAGATATTGTACAAGCGATTCCTCACCAACCACCCCTTTTACATGTAAATGCCCCTTAATCAAGCACTCACATCCCCACCAAACCCAACCGGCCTCCTCCTACCCCCGTTCTCGGGCAGGATAGCCAAGACCTTGTACACCTTACCCATACCACCAGGTCCGCGATCCACGAGCCGTTTCCACGAACGCTCGATCTCCCTCTTCTTCTCCTCGGTATCCCGGGTCTGGGTCTGGGTCTGGTCCTGCGTCTGCTCGAGCTTCTTAACCAGCATCTCGGCGCGCTGGCGCACGCCCATGGTCTCGAGGAAATAGGCCTGGTCGACGGGGCCGTGGACCTCGACGCCGGGCGAAGCGAGCAGCGCGGCCTCGGCAAGGCCGGTGAAGTCGACGTCGGCGCTCAGGTCGACGAGTCCGGGCGACGCGAAGGGTGAGACGCGCTGGTGCTGTCGGATCCCGCGCAGCGTGTTCGCGGGGATGGTGGCGGCGGGCCCGTAGTCTAGGATCAGGGCTGCGCCGGAGGGTTGGGGTTTGGCGGAGGATGAGGAGGAAGAAGAGGAGGAGGTGGTGGTGGTGGTGCCCCCGATCCGCGTCGCGAAGTCCGCGGCGTAGAGGGAGGCGTCCGGACATACTTCGATCAGGGCGCCTGGAGTGGATTTCAGGGCTTGGTACCGCGCCGACGTCTCGGGTAGGTATTGCGCGTGCCGCGTCGTGGTCGGGCTGAGGGTTAGCTGGAACTCGGGCACGGGCTCGTGCTGCTGCGACTTGGGCGTTCCGAGGTCCGCATGCGTTGTTCCCTGGGGCGTGGGCGAGACGACCATTTCGCGCCATTGGTAGGGGGATGAAGCGGTGGTGGATGGGGAGCCGGGACGCGAGATGGAGACACTAGTAGCATTGCTATCCGTCGGCGCGGGTTTCTGGTTTGGCGGTACTTCAACAACTTGGAAGGCGTGGATAGGTAGGGCATCGAAGAATTCGTGAGCCACTATGAAAGGCGTCTTGTTGGGGTCTTGGGGGATGGCTTTGATGGAATCCGTCCATACGATGGGCAGGCCGGAGTACTTGCATGTGCTATGCCAGCCTATTTTCGACTCTGTCATTACGGCGTCCTCGCCGCAGAGCAGGTTTTTCTGGGTAGTTCGCAACTCTTTGCTTGCCTCGACCATGTAGACGGTCTCTATGCTGGAAGACATATCCTTGAAATTTCTCATGGTCTGCCGGACGTTAGCTTTACATGTTTTATCATTGCAGCATAGGCATAGGTATACTCACCCGTAACATATCATCCATCAACGTCCCCCTACCAGGACCGACTTCGATGAGCTCCACGCCCTGTTGAGGCCGGCCTTGAGTCATCCATTCTGCAATGAACCAGATACCAATGAGTTCGCCAAATATCTGTGATATTTCTGGTGAGGTAATGAAATCGCCTTTTCGGCCAAACTGATCTCGGCCCTCTTCTATAGCTCCCGTGTAGTATCCGCCCGTATCCGATGTAAGACACATGCGCATATAGCTAGCTAAAGGAATTGGGCCTGTTGTCTATGCACTATGAGTATCAGGTTATACGAGGTTATGAAAATAAGCTCACATTAATTGCTTCGGTCAATTGTTTAGCTAGAGGTGTCGTCCATTTTCTTTCTTCTTCCCTATATGAGGGTGTCGCTATGAAACTCCTACAGCTTTGATGTGCAACTTTGGGTTTATGAGAGACTTGTCGTCTTGACAGACATCTAAGCCCTCCTTGAGCCGTTCTCAACACATTTGATCTCATTTTCAGATCGTCAATTAGAGAAATTCGTTAATTCATTATGGACAATGGAATTCATAAATTGAATATAGCCCGATTTAGCATGGGGAAGTACCAAATTTCGAGGTCTAAGCTGTTTCCCCAATTGAGAAGAGAAAGCTTCCAAGCTTGAAATTTTAGTTTTAGCCCCGAGCATTGACCGAATATAAAAAGTTACCAATTACGTAGTTGCAAACACTTCCTACGTCGCAACTACCATTTTATGAATCTGGTCCGCGTTTTAACCAGTAAATAAAATATGCGGATGTCTGGCTTTCTAATCCATATATACTAGATAATTGGACTTTCTACTGCCAATTCATTTCCTGGGAGGATACATCAGCATGACAACACAGCCTACCGCCTCTTATCGATCCACCTAATTTCCTACCATCGAGCCATCGACGCCATGGCGAGCAAATCTCGCTGGGCGGACACCGAAGAAGACGCAGCGTACGAAGCCAAAATCAGGCGTGAGAAGGAAGAAAAGAAGCGTCTAAAAGCGGAGAAAGCACGGAAGGCAGAAGAAGCACAACGCGCTCAAGCCGAAGCCGAAGCAGCCAAGCTACGAGCCGCGCAAGAGCAACAACAGAACCAAGACGACAGACCGCCCGCGAAACGACGGAAACTAACGCCCGAGGGAGAAGGTCAGGAAAGCGGCGGGGCAAAAGAAGAAAACAACAACAATAATAATGCAAAACTCCTACGTTTCGAGGCCGGCACCTGGGGCAAGTCGCGCAGCGTCGAGAACTACGATAAGCTAAACGACATCGAGGAGGGGGCGTACGGCTGGGTGGCACGGGCGAAGGAGATCAAGACGGGGAAAGTAGTCGCGCTCAAGCGGCTCAAGATCGACCCCAACGACGCCGCGGGCCTGCCCGAGACGGGGCTCCGCGAGATCCAGATCCTGAAAGACTGCTCGCACCGGAACATCGTCGAGCTGCGCGAGGTCGTCGTCGGCGACGACACCTCGCGCATCGAGAACGTCTTCCTCGTCCTCGAGTTCCTCGAGCACGACCTGATGTCCGTGCTCGGGGACATGCCGGAGCCCTTCCTCGCGTCGGAGGTCAAGACGCTGCTGCTCCAGCTCGCCGGCGGCGTCGCCTACCTGCACGACCACTGGATCCTGCACCGGGACCTGAAGACGTCGAACCTGCTGCTCAACAACCGCGGCCAGCTCAAGATCGCCGACTTCGGCATGGCGCGCTACGTCGGGGACCCCCCGCCGCCCAAGCTCACGCAGCTCGTCGTCACCCTGTGGTACCGCGCGCCCGAGCTGCTCCTCGGCACCAAGACCTACGGCGCCGCCGTCGACATGTGGAGCGTCGGCTGCATCTTCGGCGAGCTGCTCACGCGCGAGCCCCTGCTGCAGGGCAAGACCGAGGCCGACGAGCTGACCAAGATCTTCGAGCTCTGCGGCATCCCCTCCGACGACTCGTGGCCCGGCTTCCGGCGCCTGCCCAACGCCCGGCACCTGCGTCTGCCCAAGGCGTCCGCCGCGCACGCGGGGTCCGTCGTGCGCGCGCGCTTCCCGCTGCTGACGACGGCCGGCTGCGATCTGCTGAGCGGGCTGCTGTCGCTCGACCCGGACCGGCGGCCCACGGCCCGCGAGATGCTGCAGCACGAGTACTTCCGCCAGGACCCCAAGCCCAAGCACGAGGCCATGTTCCCGACGTTCCCCAGCAAGGCGGGCCAGGAGCGGCGGAGGAGGCGGTCGACGCCGAACGCGCCGGGCAGGGGTCAGAAGGCGGCCGAACTGGGTGCCGTGGACTTCAGTGGGATATTCGCGGCGAGGGAGAAAGAGGAACGAGGCGGCGGGTTTGCGTTGAGGATGGTTTGATGGGTCATTTGTCATTTACCAAATCTACGAGAAGATACGAACTTGGATGAATGCAAAAAAACCGAGAATCCAAAACCACATTAGGCATTACATTTATATGATACCAGATTAAATGGTAATAAGGCTACGAATGATCGTGAATTTTAACCTGAACCTGACTAGGTGTGTGTGGTTGTGTCATTAAGAGCTATGTAGTCGATGATAAAATAACCCTTCCGATGCCATAAGACTTCTAAAATAAGTTGTCGCCATTTTCGATCCGTTGCCAGAAGAACGCATCCCTCCCACCTCAGCCCTTGCAAACGCATTTCAAAAAACGCCACTACATGATGTTATATCCTGAATCCCAGATTACCGTGTTTAAATAGTTGTCCATTAAGATGCTGTCTCGTATCTCCAAAATATGTGCATTCAGAAAATAACCGTCTCCTCATATACTGCTCGAATACCTGAAGGATGTAATGAATTGCGACTACAGCAACGTAGCGAATCCTGTCACATACCACGTGAAGCTAAGGATGGTGATGAGGCTCATCGTAACGGCAAAACCTAAGGCTTGGCGGTCGGCTTCTCCTAAAGCACCACTGCACGTCGCGCACTTCCACTCGCCGAGATCTTGGTACGGCCGGGATGTGTACAGACCGAACGTGAAACCGTCATACGGGGCAAGGTAACCGGCTTCGGCGGTAGCGTCCTGAGATGAGTCGGAATCGTGGACAAGGAGTGTGTACATGGCAACTAGTAACGGGCTGGCTACAGCACTCTCTGAGTAGTTCTTAGTATCCCACTTGAATGTGGCAGTCGGCTCAAAAGTCATGTTCTGAGTCAAGGTCCAGGTAGCCGAAGCCGTGGAGCACGATACAAGGACGTCGATAGCGGTCGGCGACGCTTGGAGAGAGGTGTAATTCCAAACCCAGGTAATTGGGGTCGTGTCTCCAATTCTGTAGAGCGTCGTTCCTGCAGTAGTGGCAGGCGTGATCATGGCAACGCCGCCAGCTCCATCTTGCGCATCGAAGGTTGAGCGGGTAGTAGTGCTGTTACCGGTAGCCGTGCTCCCGCTAGAGCCCGTGCCCGTGCCAGTTGAAGTTATCTTGGCCGTGTTAAGGTTCGTCGTCTGCGGGTCTTTGCTGTTGGCGGTGCTAGTGGCTTGATCGGTTGAACTATCAGTCGCATCAGTCGACGTAGCAGCATCGGTTGTGGCTGTGGATGTGGCATCGACTTGTTGTGCTTTACGGTTGTCAGTACTTTTTTTATCCTAACGTATACAACATTCAAAACATAAACACATACTCGACGAGCTATCATCTTGTCGGACAACGAGGGTATCTAAATCCGGAAGCCAACCTGGCCAGGCAGATGCTATAGGGGCCAAGGCGAGGGAAATGGTCAAGAGCTGACCAAGACTTCGTGTTCCCTTCATTGTTGTTGTTGTTGTTTCAGGTGGTGGAATGCGGAGAGAGGATGCGATGGTTCGATCGACTCGAGATAAATGCAGGGAACAAAACGCCACAAACAAATAAATGAACGCTCTCAAGAATCAATAACAATAATGATTGTCTATTTTTCTTTCGACGTCGATTGATTGAGGTGATTCAGGATAACGCTGTTGCTTGTTGGCTGTTGACTCGCAGGTTCCCTTCCGTCTCGTATGCTCGATTCCCCTATTTTTTTTCCCTCCCGCTTGACACGACGTGTGGATACCGAAGGAAAGCAACAAAACTAAACGCAGTAAACAACTCGGACTTCCCCTAACTCAAGAGCAGATAGGGTAGTAAATTATTGCAAAACCAAGCGAGTGTTGTAAGTATGTGGCAGTATTAAAGCGAATGACTGATTCAACGATGATGAGATGGCATCAATTCGTCGAAGAGTGAACTGATTTCTAAAAGTTGGGAAAGAGACGAGGATGCGAGAAGACAACCTTGGAAGCAGGACAAGGGAAAGATGAATGATGGGTTCACTAGGTACGAAAGTACTCTGGCATTCTCCCGCTAAGCCCTTGGAGTAGAAGATTCTATTGGCCGGGGTTGATCTATGCTTGGCCATGCCTGCCATGCTTGCCATGAACACGAAGTATTGGCAGCAGCGGCGCACTTCGTAACACGGAACGCTCTACCCAAAGCGGTTTGGCGGCCCCGGCAGGTGCGGTAATCGGGTTGCATTTCAGCAACTGGTACACTGCTGGTAGTAGGCAACCAGTGGTTGCTAGTGAGATCCATAGTGGTGGCGTAGGGGGGTGTACCCGGAAGAAATGCAGGCCCAGAACCTGAATCTCAGATGATAATCACTGCAATAGCCAAATCCAGTACTGCTGTACCATGATTACCCTGGCTGCCCTGAAATCTGACGGCATTGTTTTTTTCTTCCCTTTTGTTTTGGATTATTCCCAGGTGTTAAGAGGATGGTCGGCTCTGTTCTTGAATCTGAATATATGAAATATTCCAAAATCGCTTATTACGTCCATAGACCTGACAATATTTACGAAGTGCAAATAAGATGGCATCAACACGTTAGGCTTTAGAACATGTCAATTCTGTCACTTGAAAGTCAAATCCAAGGTCGGGTGAGTCCGAGTGGGTCCAACAGCAACGTTTAATGCTCAAGTGCTCTTTCTCAGCAACTAAAAATAGACAGGTTTCTGCCATTTTTACATACCCGCAAAGGTAAAAGTTAGAAAGCGTCATGTAAACTTTACCAACGCGTCAATCATCTTGACAATTCTTCAGCTTGCCGCTCGTATTGTTCGTATTGTTTTACCACACAGTTCTGCTGCTGCTTCAAATCAAATGTAAAAACATAATAGTAAACCTGGAGTGCCGAACTTTGCTCCCACATGTTTGCCGAAACTCACATACTTGAATGCACCGCTACAATGCAAGACAGGGCGCTCAATAGCCTGTCAGCCTCATACCAAACAGCCCTGACACCGTCAACTTGTCGGAACATTTTCTGTTTTGAAATTGGTTAGTTTGAGCTTCTCCAATGTACAAGAAGTCCGAACCCTACCAATTGACAGCTCTAACACTATTTTAGTATGAACAGCCCCAATTTTTAAGGAAGGGTTCAGTTCTCAGGGCCTGGAGATCCTGCATACTAATTCAGTAAGCCAAGACGTCGTAGACGTCGCCTTTGAATGGTAGCTCTAAGATCAAACATTTTGTATGCGTGTATTATGCAACAGCAAGCTTGTTTGTTTGTGTGTTTGAATCCTCTTGAAATCTTAAACATTGTAGAATGGATTGATTGATACAAACACCATCTAACTGTAGTCAGCTATCTCATGCTGCTAGGTAGGTATGAGATGAATAACTTATAAGCTTTTCCAATTGCTGCCCGCTGTATATAACGTTTACTCGCTTGGCGTTTGCTATAGTGTCAGCGTGTTCCTTAGTGACAAACTCAACAGTTCGCGAAGTTTATAAAAAGTTTAGATCATAACTTCCACTCGTGGTTACTAGGAAATCATGGAAATAACTCAGATCAAAGTCTTCGATATAGGTAGGTAGGTAAGCAACATATCACACCTACTTCCATTGCAGTTAACACATCCCATGATGTACTTCCTTATCCTAATATTAAGTCACAATGAAATCCGCTTGTATGCTATTCAAACCACAAGTTGAGCACATTGATACATGCTAACAATATTCTTAGGCTTGAGACAAGTGTACAGAATTTGGATTTATATTATAATTTCAAAAGTCAACGCGCTGCTTTGTGCATAGGTACGTACAGTTAACCGACTACTCTGGACTTCTTTGAGGCGTACCTCTACTAGAAGAATTAGGAGTTGTACGTACCTACTAACCTGGTGGAATTTAAGGTTTCCTTAGCGCAAAATTACCCCACGATTTCTAAATTTAAAGCCGTGGGGGCTCACAGGGTCAACCGAACTGGATCCATCTATACGTAGGTACCTGCCTACTTAAGTACATGACATCCACTCTCTAACTTCATCTACCTGCCTACTGCTATGCAGGTAAGTAGCAGGATACCTGTTCTTGTGTCCTCCAGTATGTTGTGTTGATTTTAGACGTATCCATTTTACTGGTGCAGCTCGACCACGTCCTGTTCGACCAATATTTTTCATCTTATCCTCGATTACCATGAGTTGAACCCAGCTATCATCCCGTGCCCCCAATTTCCGATCACTGTTCCTGTTTTCGTGTTTGATATCATCAGAATTCTTCACAGCCACGGCTCTTTCACTTTTGTTAGTCTTTCCCCCCTTTTTATAAAATCTAGACCTAAACAATAACCCCCCATCTCTTTATTTCATTATGCCCTCTATTTGTCGACACTGATCTACTACTTTTGAAATCATTGCCTAGCTTAACACTCTGGCATCATGAAGACTTCCACTGAGATTGCTGAGGAGTTCCCGGCGGAGACCTCGTCTCTACCTCAGTTTGTCGCAATCGAGAAAAGAAATCTAGAAGTTCTCATTAGACGGTAGGTTTTATCCACATTGCTATGACTGACAGTATAATCGAAGACTCTTCAAGATATTTCTATGTTTGTCTGCATTTGTATCACAAAGCTAACACACTAACCAGGGCCAATGTGGTAAGCTGCCACTTACAATCTAGCCAGATCCTTAGCATCCTAATCAAGCATCCCAGCGGTTTACCAATGAGTGTCCAGAATCAGACTCTGTCGTGTGTCTCCCAAAAAATGAGTATGACGGGTTTCTCCAAATACAAAATCAATACGGTATAGTTTGATCTTGTCCCAAGTCCAATTTGCTCTGACCTTCCAATAGCAAATCTTGTACACAACCTTCTGGCATCTGGAATGCCCCCAGAGCATGTCTGGGTAGGTCTATTCCACTTGTGCATATTATCTACCAAGATAACTAAACCTGAGGATTAAACTATCACAGAATCTAGCCAAGGACACTGCCCATTCGTCGGCTTGCGTATCTCTGGGAGCGCGAACAACCCTTTCCCCCCAGATAGCTCATGTTCCTTCGCAGCAAAAGGTTATTTCAGTACTATCTGATCATGAGAGAGTCGACAATGCCGAATCCAACATAGCCTACCCACCCAGTCCTACAAATACTGATTCTCGCAGCGAGCGGCACATTACATCATTTAATTCAATTCATACCATAGAGCAGAAGTCAAACAGCAATGATCACCGCGAATATATATATCCCCTTAAAGCCAAGAGATCAGTTGTGCTCGAAGGTATTCCTGTCGGCGCTACTTGTTGGGACGTAACCAGCGCTATCCGTGGTGGAGCCCTAGTCGAATTTACTATGATAGCAGCTAGGCGAATGGCCATTGTGTCTTTCGTATCCCACGAAAGTGCAGCACGCTTCTTTGAACATTCAAAGAAGAGAGGATTCTACGTGAACAATGTTAAGGTTAGTGAAGTTGATCATCCTTGATTCAGTGGTCTAACCATATTATAGGTCCCCCTAAGATGGTCAGAAAGGCAGTACACGATCCCTTCTTACATTTCTAACAAGGCCGAATCCGGAACTACAAGAAATCTAGTTGTGAAGGCATGCAGATCGCGAATAACAGAGGACCGCATTCGGCAAGATCTCGAACATATTCATCGTCTTGTCATCATCAATATTGACTGGATCGATGATGATTGCCATATTAAGACCAACTCTATCCAATTAGCTATCTATGCTAGGACATGTATGATGAGCCGAAGGTAAGTTATTCTCTGTATTCTCAAGGACCAAAAAGTAGCAGTATCTAACAGCTTTTACATAGTGAATATCATGGGTTACAGATTGGCTGGGATAACGATGAATGTGACCAACCATTGACAATACCTCGGGAAGATATGCTCACCAAAAGCTGGAGGCCGCAACTCAACGGGGACATCACCGCACCCAAGATCCAAAATCGTTTTTCTACGCTCGAAGTTGAGGGAAATGAGTATGATGATTAAGCAGCTTTTGTAAGTGTCAGGAGCTATGACTGTTGCAACAAATGTTGAGGGCGAATGACTCTATCGTTTCTCTCGTGTCACTTCTTTGCATGTTTTTTTCACTTGCACTTATCGCAGATGAACTGCGTGTCCATGATGTAATGTCTAAGGATTGAGGGGTTGAATCCCAAGCTACCTGTGGAAAGATAGTATCTGGAGTTCAAGATACCTCGGTCTGGGATCGTGTTAATCACGAGAGCCAAAATTATTTTAAGGGTCATTCTGAGATGATTCCTTGCAATATGTACTACTAGTCAATTAGAGGATTTTCTCATCATTTCTTATGAAGACCATGAGTATCATGAGGCATGACTTTTACATATATTGTCTTAGGAACTTGTACCAAATAACCTTTACATGGTAGTTGTAACATTTAGTTCATCACATGAATGTTATATTATCTTGATCTATGGTGCTTATGTAGATATGTAATCCTTGTAGCTCCCCCTGTTGCATATGTACGTATTGTTACCCCCACGTCGAACCCGAGACCATGGAATTGGGTCCCGTTTAATCGTAGCTCAAGGCGCTAATATCGGTAGTTTATTAATAGATCATGGAAAGAACGGAGCGTCTACCCATTCACTTTACACAAGGCATAAGGTACTACGTACAATGCCTTATACTTATCAAATATACCTATATAAAGATATTAATTAGTTGATTATATTTTGTTTATGTAAGGTAGCTACATATAGCTACATGTTCAAAGGGATGATATATAGACAGGTTTTATTTAAAAGATTTAAGAAATATTTTACATAATTTAGATATATTTATTTTCTCAAATACACATACAATGATATCATACCTGAAGGTGAGAATTGGATGCGCACATGGCTTTATGAGGATGATCCTGGCAGCATATAACCAAGTTACTGCTACCTACTTGTCCATCAATGCTCGGTTTGATACTAGCTGTTTTCTTGACATGCCTAGGTACCTGCTAAGCAGATTGCTTGTGAAACTGTGTCAACAATCAAAATAAATGCAATGCAATGCATGTCCCTTAGGTACCTAGGTGAATTTAATGTTAGGTGGTCAAGTACCTTAATATCTTGGAGCAAGCATCCATTGTCTACAAGAACGGTACAGTTGTGCTGCAGAACTCTGTGACTCGTTTAAAAATTTGACTAATTTTCCGCGGTATGACTGGTCAATACTGTATTTGATTAGTAATCTTGGCGGTCAGAGAAATTGCCGTATGTGTTCGAAAACATTTCTTCCAGCAGGACTTTCACTTAACCTTGATGTTCTTTCAACTTTTCTGACATTTACGTACAACTCTTATTGTGGGTCGACGACAAAGTACTTCAGTACCTTCACCTTTCCCCGTCGGTGCAAATCAGCACAGGCCACGTTCCGCACCTAAGCAGCTGCAAGCTTATCAGCCACGCCGCCTCTCCACTCCCCACCTTACTTCTCAACTTCCCAGCTAACTAAATCATTTACCCATTCACTCCATCCTCTACCTATTCAATCAATCGATAATTCAGACTTCTGCGCCTGATTGAATGTCATCTCAACAAACTTTTTATGTTGAATACATACAAACCCTCTGAAGCAGAAGCATAAACAGCATAGTCCAACTCAGTTCTCGTTACGGCTTTACCTTGAGTAGTGCATCGAAAGCTGCCGACCTTGGCCACCCCTCTTCTCTCGCCTTCTCGTTGCGCGCGACTCTGTCATTGGTCGCCGCCCCAACACACCATCATCATCCTCACTCCTCATATACCCGTGGTCATGCAAATGAATCGAAGTCGATATGGCCACCAGAAAGATGACGCTTGAAGATTGTGAGATAATGATTTTTTTTATCTTGTTTATTTTATCTCAGTTTGATCACGAACGATGCCGCGCGTTTGAACACGATGGATATAAGCTAATATTCTCTATGAAGGGCTCGATGACCTGTGCGTCAGGTTCATCATCAACCTCCCCAAAGCCGACTTATCTTCTGTCGCCCGTATCTGCTTCCAGATTGAGGAAGCCCAGTGGTTTTATGAAGATTTCATTCGATTAATCGACCCAACCCTCCCGTCCATGTCGCTCCGAAGTTTCACGCTCAAGATGTTTGAGTATTGCCCTCTACTCGCGTCTTTTTCGGCAGAAGAGCATATTAGAGCCTTCGAAGAATTCATGACATATAAGACGCGGGTGCCGGTAAGAGGTGCGATCTTGCTGAACGACACCATGGACGCCGTGGTCCTTGTCCGCGGGTTCAAGAAGGGTGCGACGTGGAGTTTCCCACGAGGAAAGATTAACATGGATGAAGATGATTTGGATTGTGCAGTTAGGGAAGTCTATGAAGAAATAGGCTACGATATTCGGGAAGCCGGTCTCATTACCGAAAATTCAGCAGCTCAATACTTCGAGGTCACTATGCAGGGCCAGCAAGTTAGGCTGTATGTATTTCGTGGAATTCCGGAGAACACCGTTTTTGGTACGCGCACAAGGAAGGAGATCGGAGCCATTAAATGGTACAAGGTCGAAGAATTGCCGACGTACCGTAAGAAAAAAGGCGGACGGATGAACGGAACTGGGGGACCAGGCAATGAAAAGTTCTACATGGTGGCGCCGTTTATGGTTCAGCTGCGACAATGGGTATCAACGCAGCGGAAGCTTGATACGCGCAAAGTTGGAGACCCAAGCGCCCACAACCACCCTCCAGCATCTTACGAAGAGACAACGGATGAGAACGTCATGCAGGAGCCTGCTCAATCGTCTGCTGCTCCGTCTACATACCCCGAGTTGATTGATAACGCGACCAGAGAACTGCAACGTCTTCTTAGAGTGAGGCCGCAGACAGACCAGCATGCTGGCCATGCGCTCATGTCTCTTTTGCAGCCTGGAAACGCAGCCGGCAGTGAGGTACACAGACATGTACAAGAAAATGATGTTGATGCTCGAACAGTACAACATCAGCATCAGCATCATCACCATTTGTATCACCATCACCCACCTGAACCACCACAATACTCAACCGAAGTAAGACCCCGCCCTTACGTTACTTACGTCAATGCTACTACTGGCCCTGAGGATAATTATCAATCTGTGTTATCCGAGAAATTTCAACAATCGCAGAACCAGTCAGTACAGCTGGTTCACCCGCAACCTCTTCCGCCCCAAGTTCAGAAAGCCATGCTATTGCGTGATGTTATCCCATCATCGTCACCGCAAATTGCGGAGCATTCTTCAGGTCGACCGGCATTCCCCGGGTTCTCTCAGAGCAACCAGTATGCTAGTCAAGATCAGTCCGCCTACGTTCACAGAGCCCAAGCTGCTCAACCTGAGCGCCAGTTACCTGCACATTCGGCAAATTTACTGAATGTCCTCAAAGGCAATGTATCGCAGCCGGATGCAGGTCAGAGCCTCGCCCCAAGACTACCTAGTCAACCTGCGAGCCGATCGCCTGAGAATAGCTCCCAGCATCAGTTTCCTATGCCGGGCAAAGCGTTTGTTGGAAAGCAACGCGCTTCAGCCACCCCATCCGAATATAGCTCTATACCGGTGAACGGCGTTCATGCGAACCCGTCAAGCTCCGATGCGCGATTGCTTCGTCCGACTGATAAACATCGTGCCGGTTTGCTTGAGATGTTTAAAAAGGCAGAACCTGTAGCGCAGAATCAGCTTGATGGGGAGGAGATGACTCGCCGAACCTCCCAACTAGGCGAAGACGCTAAAAAGCAACGATCATCCAAGGTTCCATCGACAGCTAGTGTTCTTCAAACTGCCGCTCATGAACACGGCGAGCCTCTGCAGACTCACCCTGAAGCCAACCTTCCGTTTAGGGCTTTGTCCATCTTATCTCGCCCTAAGCCAGGCCAAGAACAAGGCGAGAGTACGGTTTCACGACCCTCGCCTTCTTTCAAGAAGGCTTCGCCAAGAGCTAATCACCCGGTATCATCGAAGGCCCAACCGTTCGGCCAGTCCTATCCGTACGGCTCGACCCAGCCGAATCCATTGTCACTATTTCCAACACCACCGTCTGCTTCGTCACTTCCAGTTCCAGGCGGCTTCCAGTTCAGACAAGAGTCGACGGAGGAGCAGAGGAGTACACTACTTTCGCTTTTTGGCAAGCCGAAATCCAACTTCGAACAGAGCAAGGGAAAGGAGGCATTAATGCCTGATCAGTCGGCCGCCAATGCCGCCCCACGATCTCAGCTGAGCTCGGTCGCCTCTAGCCGAGGGGAAGCAAAGCCAGTTTTGCGAGGGAACGCATCCCGCCGCGGCAGTCAGACGCCGCTTTCTCCTGCTGATAGGGAGTTCCTGTTGAATTTCCTAGAAACTGCGTCTAGTAATGCAAGACGCTAACTAGACACGCAGTTGGGAATAGTTATAAACAGGGAAGATAGAAGAAAGTGGCGGAAGATAGAAGGGGGCGGTGGAAGGTAGAGGAGGGGAGATAGAGGGAAAAGGGGGTGGGGAAGAAAAGAAGGCGTACAGGATGGACGCTGTACACTGTACTAAAAGGCAAAGCAGTGAAAGGGGTTTGCATTAGTTCCCAGTATACCCTTGGTGCATAGTGGTTGCATCGTATAATAGTGCTTTGATTCCCAAGACCTTTCAGTTAGTACCTATGCATTTTATGATGTGTGACGTGATATGTCTAGACTGCGTCTGTGATTACTTAGAATATTCTGCTACTATTGACTAGGTAGGCATCTATAGGTTGTGTTGTATCCAACCTGGCGGTCGACGATCTTTTCTGTCTCCCATCAATGAACATCTTTCTGGGGTGTTGAAGTCTGGGCAATAATTAATACATCTGCTCTTCTAGAAAGGAGTAAATATCCATGATGTTGTTTACTTCTTTCGATGGGTAGGTACCTTCGTACTAGGGAGGTGTTAATTAAACGCGGCTAACAGGGATAGGATAGGATAGGGGGAGAGCTTAAAGCAAGTTTACAAACAGCCCCACCTACCGCCGGCGGGATCAGCCCTACATCATAGCGAAGCGCGTGCTTTCGTGTCCCCCAAACTCTTCAACTTTTTGACCTTTCCGCCTTTCAACCTATGTAGGTAACTTGACAACTCTATCACGAACTGACGAGCTTACGAACGACTTACGAATTCGTCCAAACCTCTAAAATAGAAATAAACATCCCAAGCTTGCTTTGACTCCAAGTTCTTCTCTTCACCTTTCGCAAAAGTGATTTCTCCAAAATCTAGAAACTCCCGAATTCCTAAACATCACTCCCAATTTCCACCATGGCGCGACTAGTCCAAGCGCCCTTGACCCAGAATAGGGTCATATCCAACCCGGATGCTCTGAATGACCTCAACCGCCTACTCGCCCGCTTGCAGGAGAACATCCTCCACGCGGACGCCGATAGGGAGCGGCGACTGAGGGCCAGCGAGTATGAGCGTAGTAAAGCCAGAGTCGTATGTGTCCATTTAGCCCTATTACCTCTGAGTTCAAATACAAGATAATGTGGGAATGCTAACACGTAGATCTCTCGTCTGCAGAACATCGAATACGCCCGATCGATCGTGACGAAGCTGGAGCAGGACGCGCTCGCAATCAAGGTACACTCGCGACGCCAAGAGATGCAGGCCGACCTGAACCAGAAGCGGGAAATCCTCGACCAAGTCACCGAGCGCTTCCAAGAGTTCGAGGATGTCAGCGTAGACAGCGACGAGGACAGCTCCGAAGGCGAGGATCTACTAGGCGATATCATCGATACGCCGAGCGAGAGCGTGGTGTCGGGTGAAGCAGCAGACCAGCAAGTCGACGAGGACGAGTACGATGTCGGAGAGGATCAAGAGCAGGAGGTGAACGCGGGTGTGGGCGCGGACGAACCTGCTGACGAATCGACCCTTGTGCCCGAACCCCGTCCCACCGTAACCACATCCTCATCCTCTCAGCAATCACCCTCCACGACAGACCCCGCCTCCCAGCATACACCCGCAGGAACAAGCACATCGCAGACCCTACGCGCACGCGGCGGCGCCTCCTCCCAGCCCGACCCCGCAGCCTCAACCAACAAGGGCGAAACAACAGCGCTCCGAACCGAGCTCTTCGGCAACCGCGCCACCTCCCCCTCCTCCCCCTCGTCGGCAGCAGCGACAGCAACCACAGAAGCGATCATCGACCACCACCGCTCCGAGCAAGACAAACTAACAGAGTCGATGGTGGGCATGGCGCGCGCGCTCAAGGAGTCGTCGCGCGCGTTCGCGTCGGCGCTCGAGCAGGACACCGACGTGCTGCGCGCCGCGGGCCGCAACCTCGAGCGCAACGAGGCCGGCCTCGGCGCCGTCGCGGGACGCATGGGGACCCTCAAGCGTATGACTGAGGGCACGGGTTGGTGGGGGCGCGTTTTGTTGTACGTGTATATTGCGGGACTGGCGGTTTTTGCGGTTTTGTTGGTTTTTGTGCTTCCTAAGCTGCGGTTTTAGGGGGTGGGAGATTCGGGGGTGTGTGGATGGGAGGCGGAGAAGGGGGTGATGGATGGGGGGAAAGGGAGTGTGAAGGCGTTTGGAGGAGGGAGTGAAGCTCGTGAAAGGGGTTCTGGAAGTTGGAGGGATAAGAGTCCCGAGGTTTTAGGACCACTAATTTACGATATTACGAAATTCGCCGTCGTTACGTTTTGCATGCCTCCGGCTACGGCTACAGGAGAGGAGTTCGTTGGGTCACTTGGCAATTACAAGTAAGGCGTCACGTCATGTTACATAGGAACTCCTGCACAGAAGTAAAATGGGGGAAATTCAGATTTGCATTGTGAAAACCTATGGTTTCGGCATCAGAGGTCGATCAATCCTACTTGAGAGTAGGTGAGAGACGATACGCGAATTTGTGTGTGGTAAGGGAGGGGGGGGGGGGAATTTTGGTGGATGTGATGAACTATCTAGTAGGAAAGAAAGCTGACCGGTGTGTAGATGCGACTGAAGTTGGTGATGTCGTGGCTAGTTGTAGCTCGGTGCGTTGCGAGGTTGAACCATAACTGCTAGGTAGGTAGAAGCATCGCCGAGCTTCCTGTGCAGGGCGTTGGATGTGTCGTTGCGGGTGTTGTGCTGCAATGTTTTTCGTTCTTTTTTCCTTTTCCGATTTTTTTGGTGTTTTGGGGGTTTTCTGAAATCATCATTGTGCCTATGAGAAAAGCTTCACCGCCTTCGGAATATGAAGCCGGCAAACCATTCGTCTCATCTCGTCTCATTTCGTCTCATAATCTCCCGACGGCCACCGTCCATATCGTGAGCCGTTCGGTCATCCACCTATTCCTCCTCAGATACTTCGCTGGAGTCAAAATCGGGGTCGTTGGCATCATCGGCCTCCGCCCAATCATCAGCTTCGCCATTCTCTTCATCCTCGGCCTCGTCCTCAGACTGTGAATCAACTGAGCCGGCCCTTAACCCGTGAGGGATAGCACGCATCTCTCCTGTTCGACCGGAATATATCGGGGTTCTGTTCTCATAAGCCGGCTCAGACTCAGACTCAGAGGAGTTTGAGGAAGAAGGGTTGAACACCTGTTCGTTATCTTTGAATTCCTGCTCGTCTTCCTTAATCTGCTTCATCTCTGCTGCTTCCTCCTCCTCCTGTCTTGCTTGTGCAGCTTCCTCTGCCGTCAGGGCACGAGGCATTGTGAGGGTGTGTGCCGGAGTAGCTCTCGCAGTGGCGCCCGCGGCCGGAGAGTTCTGGGGTTGCTGGGGGTCACTGCTGGGTAGCGACGGGATGCCCGAGGACGGCTTGCCAAATAGGCTACGGTCAGAGGAGGAGGGATCGGCGTTGCCAGGGGACGGCTTGCCGAATAGACTTCTGTCTGAAGAAGAAGCGGGGATGACTTCATTTGCCGGCTCAGGAAGCTCCGGCTCGTCGTCAGCGGGTGCCGAAGCGCTTGGGGAGTGGGCCGGGAGCGTTTGGCTCGAAGATTCGTCACTGGTCACACGCTGGCGCTTTGGACCTCCGGCCTCCTCGTCTGCATCATCGTCGTTGAGCTTGTGCTTGATGGTGCTTCCTTCTGCTCCAGGAGCAGCCTCTTCGTTCTTCTCTCCAGGAAACGGATTGTGGAATCTGAAGGGATTACTGTACCAATCTAGCCACTCCTTTAAATGAGGTTACATTTGGTTAGTTTAGGTGCTAGGAATCGATGCGTATCTAGTATTAATCATAAGAGAAAGACTTACATCATTTGCGCTGTCAGCGTCGCGATGATCCTTGGGATGGTAATCAGCCACCTCGTCGGCTATAGTAGCAATATGTCAGTATGAAGGTCATCATCGTTTGAAAACAGTCCTCGAACTCGTGTAGTATAGCTCGTTGATAAATCATGACGGGGATGCTGGTCATTGAGAGGGAATCAAGGTGTGATAGAATGGGCGATGTACTCACGTAAGAATCCTTGAATGAAGGCTTCTTTGGCGTATAGAGGATGAACTATTGCGATGTTGAGTTCGATGGCCTTTTGAACCATCGGGGTTCTTGCAATCCACTGCTTGTGACACGCAAAGAGAAGGTGTACCTCTTCGTGCAACTCCTTCTCAACCGTCGCCTGGTGGTTATCGAGCGCGGTCCTGAGGGCTTGTGACCAAAGGCCCTCGCGAATACCCTCGTGGACTACAACGGTGGAACGAGAAAACATATAATACCGGGGTTCATATTGAAGCTTCCCGTCATTAGCACGGTCAGCCATGGTTCCTCACTATGGATGTAGATAATCTTGACTAAGGTTTGCTGATGAAAAGGGGGGAGGCGTTATGTGCTTGGGCAAGGGATAATAGTAGAGGATTTGGAGTGGTCTGGAGATGGTTCACTTGGTAGATGTGTATGAGTGTGTGATGTAGAGGAGAAGGTTCTGAGATGGGTTAGAGAGCTGGGTTTATATAGCAAAACAAACCTGAAGGTCTTTCCTCAGACGAAGGTCATTAGTTCATCTGAGGCGGGTACGCGCGGGTCCAGAGCAAAATTTTTCCTGTCACTTTCCATCTGCATAGTAGCGATATTCCGGATCTTTCTGTCTTAGTCGTTACCAGAGCCAATAATTGGATAGAATGAGGAAAACCACGGCGAATAACTGAGATTTGGCGGGAACTAGGAGTCTGAATCAGGAGATGTTCAGGAGGCACTTTCACTTCGATCGTTCACTACGATCGTTAACAGCCGCCAGCACTCCGATCATAGCAAATCGCCTAAGAATATGACAGCTGTTAGGAGTGAAAATCGACATCGAATGAACAAGTGCTTTCCCTCTAGTCTTCTAAGGAGACAACCAGTGACCGGGAATGCTTAGAGTATGCCAGTCGGCTTGGTCATATGGGGAGAACCAGGGATGAAAGCAGAGTAGTACGGTAAGTAAATACGTTCACTTCGATCTCGGACATGATGATTAAACTGTGTTAGTCGGTGTCCATTGAATTAACCTAATCCATCATATATAAAGATCATTGAGATTGTACGGTTAGATAAACCTCTTCAACTTGGGTCTGGTCATGGCGTTAAAGACGTATGTTCGCCGGGTGATAAGAATACGGCGAAAGCAACTTACGGCGACGACAATGATAACGACAGAAATATCACTAAGGCGGCGAAGTTACTTCCTTCGAGTCTGGATCAAAACCTCTTACAGAATAAAAGGATCATATATCTATAACTTACACCATCTACATGCTACTGCTGTAGGATTTCTCATGGGATATAATTTCCCTAATAATTGGAAATGGAACCAAAAGGTTAAGCCACTCTTAGTTATGCCTACTAAAGACGAATTAAACTATAACAATTATCTCAAGCTCTTCAAACTTACATATAAAAGCTATGTTTGGGAGAAGTGTCGCTATAGCTGCTAGTCGTCAATTGTTACAGATGTCCAGATATATCTCATATTACTACCTATTCATTGTTAGTATTATAATCGATATATTGGCCATGATTTTGAATACAAGTGACAAATCAAGTCAGTAGCGAAGTCTCATAACTTCAAATGGTTTATCCCTTATGCAACCCCTTTTACTATAATCGTCGTCTTATGCCCAGGCCACAAGAAACTAGAACAACAAAAATACCGGCAATTACATTTATGAGTGGAACACTTATATATAACTACGTATCGAATTTGTATATTGATGTGTAAAGTCATCATCTTCGAAAGTCCCTGGATGAAATGTAAGGTGAAAGGAGAGAGGAGAACAGGCCAACATTTTCTTCAACGTAATAAAGAATGGCGAAAAAATCACGTCTTAGGTAAAATTCACGGCGTTATAAGACCGTATTTTCTGTTAATTCTTGCTTTTGAAACTTTATTCTTTGCCTTACATGGTAACGATTCTAATTGAAGTGAAGCGGCAGAAATGAAGAAGACGAGGAAATCGGCGAAAAGACAACGGCAGCTAGGAGGGAAGTTGTCTAGATAACGAAAGGTCATGCTTTGGGATTAGAAAAAAAAATTAAACGGCGGAAGAGAAGCAAACGATGAGAAGGTGCTTAAGTGTATATCCACTAACTGACAAAAGGCTTCAACTAGACTTAATGTCCACCTAAAAACAAAAACGGTGATGACAACGGCGAAAACCAGCACAACGGCATAACAATAAATTACTTAACCGGTGTTAATAGCATAACATCTCATTCCTTATCGACTACTTTCCACTAGCACCACATCACATGAAATAAAACCAGACCAGAAACTCGAATACGATATGAACAACACGTGGGTATCATTAAACCAAGTCTAACTAAGCAGTTTGCCCAAACCTGCCCTAACCACTCCCCATTCCCATTCCCGATCCCATTCCCATCCAGCGCAAAAGCGGCACAGCCTAATAATCCCTTGCTGTAAGACCATGCCGTGCACCGGACCGCCCAACCAACGCGCCAATTCCCAAGAAGCCACGGGAATTCCAAGTTGCCAACCATGAAGTTTATACACGCTTCTTCTCCCATAGGCTCTATCCCAGCCCTTCTTCTCAGGTAGGCAGGCTTCAACTAAGCGCGCTCCTTCCCCTTCCCCTTCATCTTCTCCCTCTCCCCTCCCCCATCCGATCAAAAGAAAGTGCTTTTCTTCTTCCGCATCTTCCCATCATCCGCACTCCCGCCTCTCCTCCTCCCATGCCCGGTCTGCGGCTGATTGCCATTGCCATTCCCATTACCATATCCATAACCGAACCCGCTCTGCATCATCGGCATCCCGGGACTCGTCCCGAGACCGTGGAACCAATTCCCGAACCCTCCGCTACCATTAGCATGGGGCCTGGGTTCCGCGCTCACGGGTCGCGGAGGCGGGATCGGGGGATGCAGCGACGAGCCCGCCACGTTCGACCGCGGCGGCAAGCTGGGTTTAGGTCCGAAGTCCTGGCCCTGCATGCCGAACTGCCTCCTCAGCCTTTCCGTTTCCTTTGCCACCTCCACGTCCCGGCGCTGGCGCTCGCGCTCCTCCTCTTCGAGCATCCTCTTGATGCGCTTCTGCTCCGCGCGATCCCGCTTCTCGCGCTCGCGCTCTTCCTGCTGCACCACGGCCTGCAGGCGCTTGGTCTCGGCTTCGACCCGCACGTCGTTGGGCGGGGTAGGCTGCTGTGTGATAGGTGAGGTGCTCGTGGCGGGAGGTACGTTTCCGAGCCCGCTGGTCATCATGTGCATGTTTGTGGGCGACGTGGACGCCGGCGCCGGAGTTGGGGTAGGCCGCGAGTTCTTGCGCCGAGAGGGCGCGCCGACGATATTGAACGAGTCGCGGTTAGGAAAGAGGTATATTTCGCGGATGACCTCTGCACCGAGTAGAATCACCACTTCTAGACCTTTGCGATCCTCTATGTCCACTCTTTGTAAGTTCGGTTCGTATATAGTGACGGTTGGCTCGCGGCCGTGTTTGTACAGTGCTATTGTAATGTCCGGATCCTTGCTCTTTCTGCCCCCCACAGAAGTGCCCGTCATGTAGCACGTCATATCTTTGGAGAACTTGCTGTCCCGCTTCCATTTGAACATGATCTTAGGCGTAAGTACGCTCGCGACCGGGTTCGACTGCTCGCGATCGACCTTGGATACTGAGGGCATGCGGAAACTCTGCTGGGGCATCTCAAACTCCCACGACTCTTTGCCGGTCCAAGTGCTCTTTTCGCCCTTCACAGCCACCTTTTGCTCGGGATTGTAGAGTTGTATTGTGAAGCCGTCGGGTATCATAGGTACGGGAGGAGGTGGAACGCCATTCTGCTGTCTGATTTCGGCAGCGGAAAGCGTAGGTTGCTGAAACTCGGGCACGATCGTGACCTCGGCGTAAATGACGTCCTGAATGGCGGCATCCCCCAAAGCCACAGCATACTTATTCTTCGACTGGGGGAGGTCCGGATTTATCTTCTGGAGAGAGTATTCGGCCGCAGGTTCGGAGCCATTTTGGGTGAAGTAGAGGACGCTCAGGAGTGGGTTATTAGACGAGTGTCGGAAGAAGAAAGTTGGTAGGTTCTCGTCGAGCATTTTTGGAAGTTGTAATAATTCATTTACTCATTCGTATGTACACTTTACGATCGAAACTGGCTACACAAGCGAAGGTGGATAGGTGACCAGCTGAAGTGGACGATGCACAACGTGTCAGGCGACAAAAGAAGGGAGTCTAGTTGGTTTCTAAATAAATATCTCTAGGGCAACTGCAGGTGATCTGATGTACGTTCTTATGTAGCGTTAGGTGGGTAAGGTAGGCGAGGTAGGGGTGACGAAAGTGAACACTAGGCGCAGATCTCACTGTAGATATAGCGACGGTAATGAGGCTGAGTTACAAAAATAAAAGAATGGGGTGCGCGCCAAGGTTTAATTAACTTGCGTAGTTGGAAAGGTCAACGTAATGTTTTTACTAGAGGTACTAAGACACAGGATGAAAGAGCGAAGATTGAAAAAAGAGGTTGCCTAATATTAGGGCCATGTACATATGTATAAATGGACAGTTCCTACCCGTGGGTATGCGAAAGTTGGAGATTCCGAGATTCTGCGGGCAACGGAAGGCAAGGTGTTATCGGTCTCATTGTCGTCATGTGCTTTCCCTTTTGTTTGCGACTTCGCAACCTTCGTTGACCTCGCAAAGTTCGTTACTTCCCGGTCAGCTGCTGGTCTGCCGATGGAGGTGTTGCTATTATTTTCACTGTCTTTTGCAAGGCACCTCCCCGTTACTCCCCGCTATTAGTAGCGGGTAACGGAACTAAAGGAATACCGCGCCACTAGACTGGAGGCTGTGTATCTCAGCTCAGACAGCAGCGCCTTCTGCCAATCCAACAACCGGTTTTCCTCGATTAGTAACTCCCACTCTTCCAGGCCAACTCAGCTCAGTCATAATCAACACGCGTCTAATTTATGCTTGGCTTGATCACGAGTGAATCGTTTTTCATGATTACGTGCGAAAACTTCGGATGAAAAACATCGGTTTACTACTTAGGTGTTATCCTTTTGACGGTCAATGAGTAACCCGCAGCAGAATTTGTAACGCCGACAGCGACAACGACGAAAATGCTCCACATGAGATCATCTATACTATCCATTCAACTAAGTAGATCACTTGAAAATCTCTAATGCATTCAAGAGTATTGAGGCATTGATCCTAGCCCTTGTATCGCGAGTGTGCTATATTCTATATTTGACGAGAAAAAGAGAAAAGAAGAAAAAAGGACCGGAATTAGACTACATGCTTCTATTTGGCGTCATAGGATATGCTCTCGTATAGGAGCCAATTCTGCAAATTCAAATGCGGTTGATATACAACTTGATTGAAATGAATCGAATCTATGTAACAGTCGTTATCATTGGCTCCTCTACATTAATCCTCTCCTACACGAACCCCCTTCTAGTCCTCCTAACATGAGAAACGTGTGGTATAAATACTGAAAAGAAAAATTGACCTCAACACCAGCGAAGTGGATTCTAACTGCACGGAACGCTCGCTGAAATGAAATACACTGCCGAGCTGGTGATCACAGCACAAGTATAGGCGTTGAATGTACATACATAGATAGGTATACACAACATTGCTGATGTACATGAATATGATACAACCTGCTTGATTTTTGTAAACTTGATATGAGTCCTCATCGTTATCTTATCGTAGGTTGGCTTCTCTTGAATATCTCACAGATTGAGGTTTGGAAGGAAAAAGGAATCCCCTGTGGTGCTGGGACTGTAATCAAAATCGGGTTAAGTATCGCATCGGGCTTCGTCGTATTACATTGAACGATAGATCACCGGTAAGCCGTCTGCCGAATCGCACTTATTTCGCCTGGGATTGCCGGCATGACTGGCACCTCTCCACGTTCCCGTGCCCTTGATCCCGCTCGTTTTGCCCGACCTGCCTGCTGGTTTACCCAACTAGTTATAGATCGAAATCGGGCTGGTCGATCCTCACTCGTAGTTGTATATACTGTCTCCCTCCTGCCTTCTTCCCGATCCATCCAAGACTCTCGGGTGGAATCTCGAATGGAATCTCGAGTGGTTTCTCGAGTGCCTTCTTGAGTGGTTTCTCGAGCAGTTGGGTTTCCCGTAGCTTCCTCTGAGGAAGACTTACTAACCGCTAAAGGTGGTGGTATGATGATGTCGCCGTCGCCAAATCCAGAGGAAATCGAAGATAATTCGCTAGCTCGGTTTCCAGCCCGTCTCGGTGGATGATAAGTGTCCGGTTGTTGACGGGCAAGCTCTGATGCTGTGTAGTATGGCTGGGTTGTTTGCGACCTCATAGTAAGATTGATGTCGCTATTATTGGCTGCACCTTCGTCGCCCGTCGGGTACTGGTCGAGAATGCTGGCCAGTGCTGAATCATTGTTTGGCATTCGGCGAAGTGTTCCCATCTCAGAATTCGATATGACTGAACGAGCGGCGCTGCCAGGTCCTGGAGGGTATGGTTTTCCGGGACCATACATTCCCGATTGCATAGTGCCATATTGACCCTTTTCATAGACGGGGGGTGCTTCGTTGCTCATGTACATCGTACGTCCATCCCAAGTACCATCCATAGGCCCTCTTCGTTTCCAGGGGAACTTATCGAAACCCATGCCACCACTGACACCAATGCCCTGACCCTTGGTTTTCTTCATGACTTTATAAATGACCCAACCAATGAAACAGAATAAGATGAAAGCACCTTGAACGTATTAGCCAACCATTTCGTCGAATACTTAATCCGAATATTTGCTTACCAATAGCACCTGCAGCGATGAGAAGGTGTTCCGCTACAGGGTCTAACCCTCCAGGAGGACCTTTATCGTGCATTTTGTGTTTATCTCCATCGTAACCACCGTCACCATTGTCCATGGCGGGCTGTGGGACCTCTCCTATTGCTACAGCTGATGCTATGACTGTTGGGGTTGACATAGACGTTGATGTTGGCTGAAACTTTGTGGAGAAGGTAGACGAGGGCACAGTATTGGAATCACCTTCTTCCTTCCTCTCGGATGTTGGAATCGGGTAGTTAAGATCGCTTGGGTTTAGGTATGATTGTGCCGCCTAATAACCAACTGATTAGCTTATATTACAACTTGCTTGGATGGTGTACGTGCGTACCTGAACAGGTCTCGTCGGAGGAGTCGGTAGCGTCGGAAGGGCAGCAGTTATAACACCTGGCCCAGCACTAGTTTTAGGAGGTTGTAAAGGCGTTAGTGTAACAATAGATCCCGATGAACTCGTCGGAGATGGAGCTGGAGGTGGTGGTATCTGCTGTGGTGGGTTGCCGGCGTTATCGTCATCATCGTCGTCGTCACTGAAACCTCCAACATCATCTCCAGAGTCGTCAGAACTGTCCGATATATCATCATCAACCAAGGCCTGATCGAACATGCGAAAGCTGCGTTTTTCGACGTCATCCTTGACTTTGCGTGCACCAAAATTTCCAGCTCGATCTCGAGTAAAAAGTAAACGTGTTCCCAGTCCTCTGCTGCTAAGATGGTCGCCTGCAGCATCTCCACGCCCCAGGCTATCGCGTGACTGAAGCTTCGATCGCCGATACATTTTTGGTGAGCTTTTCCATGATCGGGTGTCTTGGGGTTGTCGCTTGCTGCTAGATGACGGCATGTTACTGTTCAAAATCTATAGTGCGTCGAAATGCTCTGCATCCAAGCACCAGTCTTGGTTCATTCATAATATGACCGAATAGGCGAAACAGCAAGATAACGAACAGCAATTAGTATTAAGATTCACTCCCGAAAACGAAATCGACTTGGCAGACCGAGAGCAACAGGAGCGACAGGATGGAATGAACTGAACAGAACACCAAGAAACCCCAAGCCTGGGAATTGACGAAACGAATACAAGAAGGCCCGCCTTGGGAAGAAAAGAGAGAATAAAAATTCGAAAGAAAGAGAAAAGAGCCAAGGGATATCGGTGTTACAAAGTATTGAGAGAAGAGAATACGAATTGAGAAAAGGCGTATCAGATTCAAGGAGAAGGTCTCCCCCGACCTGGGAGTTCGGGAGACTTTAGCTGACCTAGTGCAACATGTCTCAAGGGTGTAAATGGAGGCCCCCTCGACATACCCTGGACGGCCGCATCCCTGGTCAACCGACATGGCATTGCCATGTGGGACACCCTTCTCTTGTCCAGGCTCATACTGCCGACGGATTCTTCACTGGAATGGGATTAGAGCATTGAAGTTTGTTGTCGATGCTACCAGGCTTCATCGCCACAGAAGCGAGCATACTATTGACCGCGCGGGCTACATCGGTCAAATTACTTAACAGGTTTACGACGACGAGCTACTTCCCATAAAGATCAGCTACTCAACTAGGTTAAAGTTGTTTAGGTAATAGTATAATGCTGGTGTTGATTATAAGCTGACGTCGTCGCGTTTGAACACAAACTACGAGTGTATGTAGATGAATGAAGGCGCGCGCCAATGTCGGTTTGTAGGAACCGATAACCCACCATTTAGTAGCTAGGTAGTTTGAGGCTCAACAGCTAAGGAGGTTGGTATGTCCATATGAAGACCATCTCCTGCTCATCGTCGCCCAATAATGACCGAAGGGAGTATCATAGCGGAATCTCATACGGTTTCGCCGGCGACCTTAGGGTCTTTCTTCGCCAATTGTGAGTGCTAGGAGACACTCAAGTCGTCGCCGGCAATTGATGTTACTGCACTGCTGCATAGAACTTGAGATCGTCGTTGTAACAGGAGGACCGGGGCCTCTTGTCTCAGACAGGGGTTATTTGCGGGGAGTTCCAGGTTTCATCCAGGGTTTTGGCCAACGGTGCCAAACTTGACACAGATCAGCGTCTTGCATTTCAACCATTTCTTGCATTCCAGTCTTGAAGCGGGACCGTGCTGGCTTCCGACACCCCACAGCATCTCGAAGAATCTGGCGCTTGTTGTAACACAACGGAATGCGAGAATGTTCTCGGGAGAGCGTTCTCAATCGCCTTATAGAAATGATCAAATCAATTAGATATGGTGTATCTGCTTCCAGTAGCGACTCACGCCTACTACGCAGTACACCATAAGAACGAGATGAATGAGATGGATGAAATAGATGAGATAGACGACCGATGTTTCGAGATGAAAGAGAAGGACCTAGGTTCGCAGGTATTTCACGCTCGCCAAGAGGTCAATATTCCTTTAGGGGATAGCCACATACATGTTATACAGCACACACTGAGCACACAGACATAAAAGGGTGGTGACAACGACGTTGAGAGCTCGGCGCCAACCCAGCCAAGTTATCGGAAGCTTTTTCCTTCATGAGGAGGATCTAGTTGTAACCTTTAAGCTTTGATGTTTGCTGATCGCGACTTGGAACATAGATTACATCCCAGTTTAAAAGATTTGAGAAAGCCTGCACAGATCCTGTACAGATCAGAGGAGCACAAGCATTCAATTATATGAGGTCCATTGGACCGGATAGATAGGAAGATCCTCTGCCCGGGGAAAGTAGATGACAGAATTGTTTTCGTATCAACATTGAAGTTGGAAAATTGAAGTTGTTCACGATAAGGATGGACTTTCCATGCTAGGTTTAGACAAAAGTAAGAAAATTCCCCCGGCCCCAGGGCATCTTCCGAAAGAGACAGGGCAGCTGCAGGGCTGGGACCAGGGTCTTTCCGAGAAGGAACATTTGAAGTCTTTTCTTCCTTCCGGGAGACTGCCGAGAATCAACCCTGTTGGATCCCCTACTAGCCTCGCTATTTCAGCTCTTAGAGGCTTAGAAGCTAATCAGTCCCGACTGTTAAACTGCTAAACTTCAGTTTGATCTTCGAGCTTCCTCAACTAAATCAACCAAAAGGCCATTGCAACTCTGTCAACTTCTACGTTCTAATCTAACAACGACTTCCCAGTGCGATACTACACTAGTAATCATACATAGTGCATCCACTGGCTATTCCCCACCTTCTCCATGACAGGTACCGCGTGCCCGGTTCCGTTTCCTCTGTAGTACAGAAGATCACATTCGTTGATACCCTTGGACAGCGTATAATGACCTCCCATCAACCGGAAATCTCTTCCAGTACAGTTGAGAAGAGAACGGATCCCACCCTACGTGAGCAAGACTCCCGAACCATTTGCCGTTCGCAGGCATTCGGTCTTTGTTGCGACAGCTTCCGGTGTTATACGAAGCAGCCGTCTAACAGCCATGAATGCACAATTGTCGGTTAAGCCATATGGGTTAGATGCCGTCATTTTGCAGAGCTACAAACCGGATGATATATAAATATCAGTAGGCAGAAGCATGCAGCCCTACTCGCCTAAATCCTGTATTTCGACCTTCGGAAACTGAGATACCACGAGGAAGGAAAAGGAGGTTGAGGTTGTGTTTTCATTCGCCTAACCCTTGAGATCCTGCGTGCTCAGAGTGCATAGCAACTGGTAACTCGGCGACTTTTTGGGCACCAAAACTAGGTCCTCGACAACTTTTACAAGACATATTGAGATCCAATGTCCCCCCACAAGGCTATGAGGAATCGAGCGATGTCACGGTCTCCTCGCAATTATGATGCCATTTCCAACTATTTCTAACACGTGGTCCTCGAAGATGGTAATGCGTTCACCCAAGACGGCAATGGTAAGATTGTGGCTTATCTAGGACAGGAACAGGGGTTGAAGTTCTCGGGGCTAAGGTAAGGCGTAGAAGCTAACATCCACAAACCTTGGAGAAGACCCATCCTGTGGAGTCGCCGGAGTGAGGCTGGATCCATGATTCCATGATGGTTTCGTATAGGGAAGAATTAGAACTGAACATCTGATAGTCGATCAATTCTGGACTGGTTATGGTTATGTAATGTTCGACGGCACGACATGGCATGGCACCTATCAGGAGAGGGATCACAGCAAAGATACCGATGACGCTAACGGGAATAGAAGCTAAACCTTGAACTCACAGATACCCCTAGCCTCTTATGGCCTCATGTAGCCTCTTGTAGCCTCTAGAAGTCTAGGTATCTTATCTAGCTTTTTTGGCTTATCACACAAGCCCCCCTGAACAAACGTCAGTTCAACCAAGTCTCTCAGTCGTTGTAACTTGCCTATATAAAATCCCTCTTCTGTTGTTTGAGGAAATCTCGAGATAGTCATACCTGACATATCATACACATACATTTGTAGGTATGGTGCAGCCTAGGGAAGTAAACAGCCTTAGATCCATTCATACCGAGTGAATACACCACTACACTACTTGTTAATTACCAATTACCGTTTTCGTATAAGTCGGCGAATTCCACCGAATCGGATCCATCGACACCATGACAATCCGCGTCTCTCTCATTACCGAAGCAGATATACCAGGTGCTATATCTGTGATCCAGTAAGTGTTACCTCGTTCCTCCAGCCTGCCGGCAGGTAACAATCCGAAGCCACGGGTTTACATGCTGTAGGTACCGTCGTATCGTGCATACATGGCGTACCTACATGACCTCGGGGGAGAAAGGGGGCGCGCAAAGGGGGCCGCTGCGGCTGATGAGGTTTCTTCAGCTCCTTACCATTCATGCTAACCAAACCCTCCCAATCACTGAAGACAAGCTTTTGCGGATGATCCATATAGAAATTGGGTCTTTGACAAATCCACGGTATGCATGTCTTTCTTTTTCGCTACCTTTTCCTACTATGTACCGAATTGCGAATCCAGATGTTTCGAAATACGACATGTTTCCCTCTTCGAATGAAGTATACTGTTCCCGGGCTCGGCCAGATTTTCTAGCCCATCCATCACCCATCCCCTATCCCCCACGAACGTACGCCAAGGAACTTCGTTTCAAACGTGGAGATGGGCCGCGCAACCTGCTTTATATTGCCCGATCCCAATTGCATGTTTTTCTTTCGCGTCCGCGTACCACACTCGTCACGGGGGTTCCTCTCTCGGATAAATTAATTGCCCAAGTAGTTTCTCGTGTTTCGCCTCTATAGGGACTGAAGTCGAATTGCGACCGTGATTGGTTCTTCGTGGTTTTTTGCTTGTATACTAATGCCTCTCGCCAGTTCAACGCGCAGCGCAACGCGGCCTCTCTTGCCATTCGCTGCCGCTGGGGTATGCGTAATGGCATTTTCCACGTCGCGAAAGAAGAAGGCAGCGATGAGGTTCTCGGTGTCGCCTGCTGGTTGAAACCGCAGCCGGCAGGGAAATCGCCCACCTGGCATGACTGGGCCGAGGGCTGGAAGCTATGGTTTAACCAGATCGGGATGAATCTCGTCTACGGCCGGGGAGGCCTCAACGTCAAGGTGAGTTTGACCGGGTTTTTTTACAATTCAGCGATACGCGAGTGACGTCTCCGCTCCGAAAGAAACACAAGCACTTTTGATCTACCGACTTGGCTCCATTTCGCGGGTTCGCAATTATTACTCTCTTCCATTCCAAATCATACGTCAAGGTGGTATGAATATGATTCACCAGTCGGAACAGGAGGTCGCTTTCTTGGAGCCCCGCCTCGCCTTCGCAATGCGCATGGCTCGTTTCAGCACCTGTGTCAGCGGAGCGATCGGGACTGGCCGCCAAACGTGAATATTTCGACTTCTCAACACAACTTTTTCGAAACACAAGAGCAAAGAAGAAAAGAAAAAAAGGAGGCCGCTGACTTAATAACCGATATCTAGCGCTATTACATATGGAAGGAGACACAGGCCAAAGCCCAAGCGGCGGTTTGGACCGACCCTCGGGGATACTATTTCCTCAACATCATGGTCGTGTCGCCTAAGGCCCAGGGCAAAGGAATCGGACGCCTCATGATGGAGACCGTGACCGACCAAGCTGACGCCGAGGGCATGAAGTGCTACCTCGAGTCCAGCAAGGACGTACCCAACATGCAGATCTACGGCCGATTCGGCTTCAAGTTCGCGAAGGAGCTAGAGTGCAATGACGACGGCACCGCTATCAAGCTTTATGCGATGGTTAGGGACCCCGTCGCAAAGCCGCTGGCGAATTGATCGTACGCGTCTTGCAACCCCTTGGGCTATAGAGTCGCTCTTACGGTTTGACTACGGCTTTGAGAGTTGCGCACGGGTTCCCTATGTCGAACCGAAGCTGTCCATCGGCATGTGGGATAATATGGATATGCTATCTGGTTTGATCACCCTAATTGGCCGATCACGATGGCCCTGATATCTAATGGAGAGATCTTGGAAATGTTGATCTTGGGTACTCGGACGGTCACCCACATAAGTCGATATCCCACACCCAAGCAAGATACTTGGCCTGCTTGGCTATCTTGCTTGTGCCTTATTATTCTCACATGGATACCATGTGCATTTGATCTTCCCGAAATATAAAGAGCCGGATATACTCTTCTATACATCCACAGCCGAGGTTAAATAGGAGCATGTGTTCGATGGACTGGCACGCAGTCTTACAAACAATCGGGGTGCGTGTGCAATTTTTCGGACGCCTACAGGGCTAAGGGGCTTATGGTACTACGTGTTTACTCTATACTCTATAGCTCTTGGGGGGTAACAACCAGGAACTCGTACAAAATTTTTAAACATCCGTCAACTTTTCCCCATGCTTTTGTTTTAGCACATATGGTGATTGAATACCCAGTGTCAGATAATACGGTAAATGTTTGTTTGATATGTACGTATTTACTATCCCCCTGTTCCAAATCATCTACGTCGAGAAGTAGGAATTAGGCATAGAAGGCTCCAGTCACCGTAAACGTCTAAGTAGTTTTAGATATGAATACCTGGATTATATATGACGAATGATAAATCAGTGCCGATTCCATTGAAATGATTGTAGCTTTTTGTATTGATCTCGTCGGTGTTGGTATGAGAGTTACTTGGTCTACACAGATGAGTTATATCCTAAGCGAGCCTTTTCCCTCGAGATTCAACACATTTACTAAATAAATGCAAGGGTTCGAGCTGGGAGTTGGAAATACTATACTCGAAGTAAGTTCAATTAGCGCTAGGTCCATCGTGAAGCTATTCAAGACTTAAAAACATAAGACCCAGATTCCAGAGCAGTACTCGTTCAAAGCCTATCCGGCTAGATTCATTGGCATGTCCCTGATGCTCCCCATTTCACAATCGATCAGGATTTATGTATCACTGCATGGGAATCATTGATGATAAATTATTGATCATAATACATATGGAAGCGCGCCCCAGCAAGCTTCGCGTAACGCCGGTCTATCCTATCCTAACCTACTACCTAGGATTCCTAAGACAGGATACCACTCTCTATGCGCTTTTGTGTGCGTGCCATTCATGCCCCCCTTTGTCAGAGAAACCAGTTTTGTCCACTCCGTTCTCGTAGTATTAGGTCTTGCTAGCACTTCTCCCAACTCCGCAAGGACGAAATATACAAGGTACCAGGACCCATGGAAGAGAAAATTCATCAATTCCGATTCAAAGGAAAATCGTAAGATGATCCGAAAGGTTGTTGGGTGAGATTAGATACTGGGCAATGGTATCTACTCTCGGGAAACGTCTCGTCCGTAGAGCTTAGCTTTAACCCAATCGAGAGCGACTAGAACACGGTTGCGAGCTAGGAAACTATTAGTATCAATCAGTCATAGCAATATAGGGGTATACATACTGCTAAAACACATGCTCAAGTAAGCGCTTCGCCAGAAGAGATAGGTGAGCTTGCCGCCACTGGCAACGTTGCCGTTCAGCCAGGCGACATCAGCGACAGCCTTCTCACTGCCGATATAGGCTAAGCTGCCTTGGTGAGAGTAGTGGAAAGGCTTGACGTCCTTGATACGGCGAAGTTGCTTCTCTAACTCTTCGATCTCTTGCGTCACCTCTGGTGTGTTACCAGGTTTGAGGTTCAGACCAGCGCTAAGGTCGCGGACCCTCTGCTCTAGATCCTCGGTCCTAGCCATGTTGTTGAACAGCCTAGCGAGGAAAGCGCCTTCTTGAGAGGCGACTTGGGCAGTTGGCGCATATCCGGCAACAGCGCAGTCGCCCACAGCCCAGATGTCTCTTGCTCCTTGAACAACAAGATACTCGTTAACAGCAAGACCGCGCCTCGAATCCTTCTGGGCGGGGATTTGGGACATGAGATCCTTGACTATAGGGCGAACGGTGTTGCCGGTGGCCCACACGAGAAGACCGAATGGGATAGTGACCAAAGTCTTCTTTCCATCGGGACCAACAGCTTCGGCCTCGACCGTCTTATCAGTCACCCGCTTAACCATGGTCTTAGTCATGATGGTAATATGCTCCTCCTTGAAGGTGCTCTCAGTGTAGTCGATGAGTTGCTTGCTGAACATAGGTAGAACGTTAGGGAGGGCCTCGATCAGAGTGACCTTGAACCGCGGGGCAATGTCGGGGATAAGCTTCTGGATATCCTCGTCAAAGAAATCCCGCAGCTCACCAGCAAACTCGACACCGGTAGGACCACCGCCGACGACTACCATGTGGAGAAGACGGTCGACCTCATCTGGTGTCTGGTCCTTGAAAGCGGCGGTCTCGACACAATCCATGATCTTGGTACGAATAGCCTGGGCATCTTTAATCTCCTTCAGGAAACAGCTGTGCTCACGAACACCAGGAATACCGAAAGTGGCATTCTCGGCACCCACGCCAATAACGAGCATGTCATAGGGGACCTCGGTTTCATGGACTTTGCCCTTGATGTCACTGTTGTCAGTGATCCTGACAACCTTCTTGTCAACGTCGATATGGGTAGCCTCGGCTTCGTAAAACTTGACAGCGGCTTTCTTGTGGCGTAGGATTTGGCGGACAGGTTCCATGATGGAGCGGTGCTCGATATTTCCGGTGGTGCAAGAGGGTAGTAAGGGCGTGAAGAGGAAGTAGTTACGAGGCGAGATAACCACGACATTGTAGTTGGCAGTATCCAATTTCTTGAGTAAAGCGACGGAACCCCATCCAGTACCTTTAGATATATATAGTTAGATATACTGAAAAAAATTTCAATTGGTACCGAGTTAGGTACTCACCCAGGATCACCAAGGTCTTCTTCTGAGGATCAGGGACATATTGCTCTTCTGGATGACGGTCTGAGTAGCCATCATAGATGACAGCGCCGACGCCAGCGAGGAGGGTTAGGTAGGTTAGGCGCCAAGTCCACTTGATGGTGTTACGAATTCTGCGCGGCTTCTTTGTCGGAGCTGCATCGGCGTAGGATCTCGTGAATTGGCGAGGGAGAACTGTCGCTCTTCCACGTGCTCTTGCGACAACGGTGGAGGTGGAAGTTGGGTTTCGCGGGCATGACGTCGTGCTAAACTTGACGGTGGGCGCATTCACATGCACAGACAACTGTCTGCTAGCCGGGCCCGTGAGCCGACTTAATGCCCTCGAGGACGACGCCATCGGATCGTGACCAACGGCGAAGTTACCGTGTAGGCGAAAAGGATAAAGGACGAACAGATGCTTGGGGAGGCAAAAATATAATCGGAAAAAAAGGTTTCGTGGGGCGGGAGGTTATCTAGACGATCAATAAAAATACTAGGTAAAAATTGGTAAGGGTCAGCAAAGACTCATCGTCAATTGGAACGAATGTGAGGAATTTTTAGGTGGATCGGGTCTCGAAATCCCTTTTCTTTTGTTAACTTTTCCACAAAAGGAAAAGAGCTTACCTCCAAGCGAAGTCCGTGTCCGTGGAATATACAGGGGTCTTTAGGTTACTGCAGGAGCAACTGGAGCAGCACAACGCCAAGAAGCATGACGATTTCCCAGAAGCTCGGATTTCCCTTTTTATCCAATTAAGCTAGGCCAAATATGGATGAACTTAACCTCAAGATCATTAGTCAACTTCTAACCCCCACCATGTCCCGCCCTATTCTAATCAAAGATAAGTTGAGGTATTAATAATTTTCAGACTTTCACCGTGTTAATTCTCAAGTTTCGATGCTTATGAGACGGAACATCTTCAATCTTATCTCACCCAAAATACATACTTCTTTCTTATTCCTTTTTTTCGATGATATCTCTATACTTATGATTATCATTTGTTGGGTCGACGAGACCCGGGCTTCAACGCACGGAATGAATCAGCAACCCGTCTCGGAAAGATAAGGGCCTCGGATATGATTCGGGCATCCGGAGACACCTCTTTCCGTCACACTGTTGAATCCGTTCCGCCGGACTTATCAAGTTGAAGGTTAGATCCAACATCTACGAGGGACCATAATAGTACTGCTTAACTCTTTTACGATCTATGATTAAGAATAACAGATGAAATCAGAACCATATCCCCAGTTTCTTTTTTGTGGACGTACACTAGTAATTATGGGACATATGAAATGGGCAAGTAACCCCGGATTCCAGATTCCGAATGTCGAATTACTGGTACAACCTCAACTCTTCCAAGCCCATGGATCAGACGCTCAGCTCGGTCAACAAGATTATAACGCATCCTATGAGCTCATAGTACCCATTCAACAGCTTTCGGTACCTAGTAGGACATCCACCATGGTTGTATGTTTCTATTAAATCAAACCTGGCATAACGATTGTCTTAGAAGATAAGCCACTCTCAACAAGAGCAAGGAGGCTTGAGCCATCCGTCCTATCTTACTATTCGGATATAACTATAAGATTATGGACTACACTTACCTACCGGTGTATTGGGTCTCCCCTGTCTATGTGTTGAGAGCTACCAAATCGCCGCTCAACATTGGCTCCTCACTACTATATATCTTTATTTTATAACTCACTAGTAAGCAATGATCTATTCATCCATGGAATTGGTCTATTATTAGCAATGGTCAATACTTCTTAATGACTCCCCTCTAAATCAACATGTTTATCCCTCACTCCGCCCATAATTTGATCAGCCAGCGCAAAAGAGGTCACTTAGATTACGTCTCTTGCTTAGATACGGCCATTCTATTACACAATGAACGTTGTGCTCGTTGGACGATTTATGATATAGATATCGACTAGATACCGAGGTGAATTAAGGCTGTGGTATAGAGTTTAAGGAGGGTGTATTACTAGATCATCATGGCGCGGGGTCAAAATCGCTGCAATGATTGGAGATAGAAATAATCCAGCCTCATCCCCACCTCAACACCTACCGCCGTCGTTATCATCGTTTAATGAATTACAAGCTCAGCAAGCCGTATAGTCTGGTGCGCACTTGAAAGCATACTATCTTCTCTCAGCTCAGAGTTTGTTATCCTCACGTTTAGTAACTATACCAAATTACATACCATCTCACTCTCACATCTCAGATAGACGCCAGTCTCAGGCCATGGCATCCGCAGCAGTCAAATCCTTCACGTTAATCTTCTACGCGCCGCCCTCCGCAGTCCAAGCAGTTCGTTACACCCTCCCCTTTGCCCGCCCTCCTCTCCCTTTAAACAACCTTTAACCTAACCCCCGGCAGTGCAAAGCAGCCATCTTCGCCGCCGGGGCGGGCCGGTACCCGGGACCGGGGAACTACACGGAGTGCTGCTGGTCGACGACCGGGACGGGCCAGTTCCGGCCCGGCGACGCCGCGAACCCGCACATCGGGAGCGTCGGGGCCTTGGAGGAGACGCCCGAGGTGCGCGTCGAGACGCTGTGCGTCGGCGAGGACGTCGTCAAGGGGGCTGTTGCCGCGCTGAAGGGGTATGTTGGCCTCCCCTCTCTCCGTACCATATCTCGCCCATGTGCCACCTCTCCCCTGCTTTCTCTTCCCGCTTAAGCTAAGTTTATTTGCTTTCTTCCAAGTCCGATTCACCTCTCCCTCAAAAATATGTGACCGGCGCTTGTAGCTAACAAAGCTGATCCTGTTCAAGGGCTCATCCGTATGAGGAACCCGCGTACCACGTCCTCAAGCTGGAGAACTACTAGCATATATGGAAGCTTGTAATTAAACAACGAGTAATATGGTCAAGGGATACGAGGAACGATTTTGTCGACCATGGCTAACTTGACCTTTCCCCCGTACTCGAAAAAATAATGGTTAGTCTTGAGCGAGATTGTACATAGACGGCCGTCTACGTCAATCGATGGGGCTTCTATGACTTAAGGGTGGGCTGCATATCCAGCCAACTCGCAGCTCGCATCGCAATATGGCTTATCACACCCAATCTTCACATCACTCTGCTCACTTATCACCGCACTGCCTTAATAATGTTATTGCTCTTTTTTTCTTCTTTCCTTTCTACTGTACGCCGCACCTCTTAGGCCACAACCTTAGAATATCGTAGTAATCGTTCCTGTCCGGCACATGTAGCCAGACCATATATAAATATGGTACATGTAAAGCACAAAAAATCAAGCCCCAACCGAGCCAGCCGAAAACTACCTTGCGCCCGGCGTCGATGCCGGCATCTCGCCGTATCTCCCCCTATGTCTCGTCGTATCGTACGCATTGATCACACGCGTCTGACTCTCATCTGCTTGCGAGAAAGCATATCCGCGTTGTTTTCTCATGCGCTGCACCTGGCGCACTTTCCTGATCGCCTTCTGGAATTGTTCCATCCTGTACATCTCGTTAGTCATATCGAATAAGAAAAAAAACATATCAAGACTGAGAACTTACCTAGGACGGTAATCCTGGATATTATACTTCTGGATCTCTTGTATATGATGGTACGTTTGGGGGTAATACATCCTCTTAGCATACTTCCAGGCGAAATCCCGAAGCAGGCAAAGCATAGGCAGAGTAATCGTTTGGAGCCAGAACACGGGGTTAGAGAATAGTACTGGTACCAGCCCATGGTATTCCTCGGAAATCCCAACCATCGGAGCAACGATACCGTAAACAACGATGAATATGTACCATATCAACATGCTTCCCGGGATGGCCATGACGTGGTACTTGGTCCAGTTGCTTGTCACCAACGCAGCTTTTCCGAGAACCGTTGCAAGGGTAGCCGCATACAAGGCCGTACCCCAGACCCAATGGCCTGCCATCGTACCATCGTGCAAAATCAAGTCTCCGTACCAAATAAGTTCGGAGAAAATGTAGAGGACGATAGAATGGTAGACGGCACTTGCAATCCAAGAGGCAAATGTGCTGATCTTGAAAAACTGATTTTGCTGTCCTAGAGTGTACAATTGCGGATAACGATCAAGGAGTCGTGCGGAAATGAACTGATCTAGAATGCCCATAACGAGAGGAGGTAGTACAGTGTAGAAGACGTTGTAGAAGGATAATGTCCAAGACTCGTAGATGATAGCGCCTGAAAACACGTTTTGGAATGTGTACTGCCGATGCGTTAGTCTAGGGTTCTCTAAGACTATGATGTATAGAAAGGGCATAGAAAAATATTAGAGATGGGATTAGCTTACCCAGAATTGCGTCATGTATAGAGTGATGTTCTTGTAGAAGGAGAAGAGGATGGTTTTACTGATACGTTGGTAGCTCCAAGCACCGTGAACAAGGGTGAGTTTGCGGAGAAATCGAAACTGAGCAATCGAAATATCGGCCGACCGTGCAGCCTGAAGACCTTCAACGCCCGAAATACCAACTCCGATATGGGCGGCCTGGATCATAGACACGTCGTTCGCTCCGTCGCCAATAGCGAGGAGGATCTCCGATGAGAACTTCTTGACCAACTTCACAACCAAGGCCTTTTGCAACGGCGAAACACGGCAACAGATGACCGCTTTGCACATAACGGCAAGGTCGTAGAAAATCTTCTCCATGTCTGGGTCCAGGGCGTAGGTAAGGGATTTACCGTCAATGACAAGGGCTAATGTGTCCATTTCAACCGAACCGTCTGCGTTATTCCGGATGGCATCCAGTTTCTTCTGGATATTATCGCGAGTCGCGCTGGCGTCTTCTTCGTTGACGATGAGGAGCATCATATCTTCACTCAGTAGCTTGGAGCTCATGCCGATGTTGATGGCTGTCTCCTGGCGATCTCCAGTCAAAACCCAGACCTTGATATTCGCTTGCTGTAATGTATGGATGGTTTCGGGCACGCCGTCTTGAAGACGATCCTCAATAGCAGTCGCGCCTAGCAGGTAGAAGTCGTGCTCGATAATCTCAGCCGCTTTATCCAGCTCTTCAGCTCGGTTACCGCCCACAGTGGTCTGGGCCCTGTCAAACATACTGTACCACTCCTTGAATTCCTGGTCAGGGATCTCACGCACTGCCAAACAGAGAGTACGAAGACCTTCAGAAGCATATTCCTCCAAGTGTAGTAGAGTTTGCTCGACATGGGGGTTGTCCTCATTCAAGCGTTCTAGAATAACGGTGTCTGCACCCTTGCAGTAGAGTCGAATCTTCCCATCGGGGCATCGGTAAATCGTAGACATTCGCTTCCTCGTAGAGTTGAATTCGCAAACAGCTAGAAGCTCATACTCGTACTCTTTGCCTTCAACCTCGATAATTACGGATCGTGGTTTCCGAGCAACGAACTTATAGCCTAACATCAAGGCACCCTGAACCAGGGCACCCTCATCGGGTGAGGCGGCCTGATATTTAATACCGTCGCCCTTCTCGTCCCGCTCCGGAATAACGGTATGGCAGGTTGAGAGGAGAGCTAAGAAATGGTGCATCGCCTCGGCACTCTCGTGTGATTTGAGGTTCTCGCGCAATCGCTTAAAATCGTGGATTCCAACTTCCACGCCGTCTTGTACCGTGGCCCTTCGATCCTCCGGTACCTCGTCCGCGTATTGTATTCCGCTGATTGTGCACTGCTTAAACTCCATCATGTTACACGTTAGAGTTCCCGTCTTGTCCGAAAATACATAACCGACCATGCCTAACTCTTCAACCAAACTCGATGTCCGGCAGTTTGCAGGTGTATCTGTCTTGTCATAGTAAATGTCGAGGTCGTCGTTGATCAGAATGCCATGCCAGTATTTGACCATCTCGACAGTCACAAACAGCGAGATGGGAACCAGAGAAGAGAACAAGACCCAGTAGGTGACGAGATCCTTGAATATCGCATTCACCACGTCGCCTGCATCACTTAGGGACCCTAACTCCAGGTAAGAGATTGAATCCGATCGAACGGACCGGAAAACTAGCTCTCCCACGGTAGACACGACACTGAGAACAAGTAACATGCCGACTAACGCAAGGACCAGCATGTTGAGTTGCCGTTCGACTTTGGTCCGTTTGATCGGAGCGGCGGTGGCGTTGCGCATAAGCTTGGTCTCATGTCCCGTGAACACTACAATACCATGTACCCAGGGAGTATTCCTGAGGGTGGCACCTCGTAGTAATAGCTGTTCTGGGTTAAGGGGCAGCTCCTTTTCTCCGCCGCCAGCTTGCATAGTCAGAGTAGCTTCATACGTATACAGGCTACTATTTGGTTGTTCGGAACGGACCCTGCCCCCTAATCTACTCAATTCCGCTGGACTAACCATAGTAGAAGTCTCCGGCAACGCTTGTTTGATCTTAAGGTTAGTTTCGCCGTCGAGGTTTGCTGTTTCGATATAACACAATCCCTCTGGTTCGGAACTAGCAAGCAAGACAATATCGGCAGGGAAAGGCTCCTCCGATTCTACCCGCACTATATCCCCTACGCCCACATTGATCCATTTCGTCTCTTCAAAGGTTGATCCTCGCAAGACCCTAGCTTTCGAGTTATTGAGAGCACTATCGGCCTGCTTCCTCCTGTAGTCTTCGACTAATTCCTTGCCCGCAGATACCAACAAAACAACGACGAGAGGGCCAATAGTCGTATAACGGTTCGTCGGAGACAGGTCTGGAATTTGCTGCAAGGCTGCCGTAAATAAGAAGAAAACATTGGCGAATTTGGAGAACTGCTCGATTAAGAATTTGGGTAGGAACGTGGCAACGTTATATTTAGCGGTAGAGACATGGTTGTCGACATATTTGTTCGCGGCGTTCGCGGGAGGGTTGTTCAAGTGGATGATGCGAGGACCCAAAGTCGACGGGTCCGGTTTGCCCCTGCCAAAGCCAAACCTGAAGTTCTTCAACTCAAATTTCTTATTTTGTTTTTGAGGCTCGGTGCCCAAATCCCCCCTTCCGTGACCTGGCTCCGTCAAAGGCAGGTCCATTTCCGAATAACCCTTCTGTCCCATGCCGAGCATCTTCTTTGCCCTTCCCAAAAAGCCACCTCCTAACCCGAGTACGCTATTACGGTTCCGCGCATTGACACGGCCTTCCATGTCGGCCGCGTTCATCGCTCCTCCATGCTGATAATACGACTGACCGTCATCGGGGTAATCGTCGAAGTCGTCGGCGTATCTTGAATAGTTGTGTAGATCGGAAGATTGGCTGTATTGTCTATCGTTATCGACTAAGTATGGTGGTCGAGGTCCCGAAACACCAGCGCCGGGTGCTGGGTTTTTGACAGCCGGGTGGGTGGTTTGGCTGCCGCCAACGAAATCATCGTATGATACAGACGGTCGAGATGAGTGGTCATCGTGTATAGGTTGCCTTTGCCCTCCATAGGGAGGGCTATCGTCGAGATCGAGTAAAAGGTCATTTCCGGAACCAGAGTTGCCTCCAGGAGGCGCCCTTCCAGCCATGTCGCGAAGGAATGGATGCTACAAAGGGAGCGAAATGGGAGGCATACGGGACGCGACGGAAATCCAATATTTTGCTAGTCGATCTAGTTTAAGGCTTTCATTTAGTAGTAGTTAATCTAAGACCCAATACAAGGTTCCCATATGTAGATGGTTTTGCCGTTGGCTTTAGAAGAATGACATTCAAATCGCTGTATTATGCAGGACAGACAGGAGGTACGGAATACGAGATGGCCTCAGTTCGTATATGGCGAGAATCGAAGGTATGCAATTACTAGGGTGACGAAATGCGAGCAGCGATGAATGGAAAGGAAAGGTCGCAATTACGACGATGAGGGAGTGATAATAATCGAAAAGTTGTCGTGTTGACGATGAGGCAATGGAAGAGAGTCTGATAAATTGTACCGGTTCAGCGGTGGTATGTACAATCAGCCAAAGTAGGTCGAAACGCAAGAAATGCAAAAAGGGTAACATCAGTACAGGCCAAGCCCCCGGCCTAAGCAATATCCTTAGCAGTAGCATAATAAAGTGGGCCGCCGCCTCCCGTGTTCGTGTACGACTGTCTTTTTCTTTTGCACAGCCCTCAGTCAGGAGCAACCGGAGCAAGTCGACCAGTAGTTTCCGCCCGCGGGGTGTGGGTAACGCAAGCCAAGCTAACCTCATTAATGATCGCCTCTTAGTTGGCAGAGGCTTTTGATAGGCTAAGGAGATTACAGGTGTGGCTGATGAGGCGAGTTCAATATTTGATGTTTCCTAAGGGAGGGTCTGATTAACGGAAAACACCCGTAAGGTACAATCTCTATCGTACCTTAACGCACATGGCTGACGTATATATATCTTTAAGATATCGATTATAGGTAAAGATCTCACCTACTAGGTACGTACGCCTCTTACTTCATCTTTTGATGCGAAACATCCAGGCATTGCGGGTGGAAGCGTCTTACTTAATATCGGTATAAATGCATTTGCGTGACATTAAGAAAAGAAGCATAAAACCATCGCGATACCAATCACGCTGTTTTCTAATTTCAGCTCAGCGCAACATAAATAAAGTCATTAAATAAACATCCACTAGCTCACTTAGCTAACTTCGCAAGGATAAAGTGCATGCGCAGAAAGTCTTGGGACTATTCATCAATCTTATTTTAAGTGGGCGAACATACTGCGTACATATTTCAGAGGCGGAGGGGTTACTACCCGGTATTCATTGTGGCGTTGTCGACCGTAGTTTCCTCCTCCTTGCCCGACGGCGTACAAACAATTCCTATCGAGTTTAGACTCTTAATCTACTGGAGGTAATACCCATGTAGTATCAACTTCTTCGTGATACCCTCGCTCAGCTAGCTTATACTCTATTTCAATTGGTATAAATATTAGGTAGACACTTTCTCGTTCTACTGACTCTCCATGCCACACCTAAACAGTTCATGCTACATATCTACAAATTCCATTGCCTACCTATGAATAGCAACAGGCAGCAACTATGCGAGACAGAATAGGCTACACATTGCGCGTCGCGCATAATCAGCCACTCTAATACGAATATCCATCAATTGCACGTATGCTAAGTCCTTAGTATAGTATGTGTTCTTTACATATGTACCGCTTAGGTGCCTACGATTGGGCTATGGGCTGAACTCTAGCTCTACAGCGACGCCTTAAGCTCATCTCCAAGGACGCTCTTGACGAAATCTCCAATATGCTTATTAGTCTCTTCGGGTTTCTCAACCATGACCCAGTGGCCGACATCGTTAATAACTTCGCTCTTAAGCCCGGCAGTGAAAAGCTTTTCCTGGCCTTGCGCTAGACGTGGCGGGAGCGCGGCATCTTTCTCCGCCATGATCAACATGGCCGGCACGTTGATTCTGGGATCCGGATTCTTCGCGAGCTCCAGGTCGTCCTCCGCGTTGAGAGTGCGAGTCCGGTACCAGTTGCACGGGCCGCGGAAGCCGTGGCGCGAGTGCTCCTGGACGTAGAAATCGATCACCTCCTTGCTAACGGACGTGGCAGGGCTGATCTTCTGCAGGTTCTCCTCGATGAGGCCGACCTCGACTCTGAGGGCGGTGCTGCCATCTGGCGTTCTACCGCCAAGTAAGCCGTTCATGAGGCCCCGGATATTCTCAGGCGTTTTGTTGAGGATATTCTCCGCCTCCCCGCTTGCAAATTGCAGCTGATACCGGAAGTTAGGCATCTTTTCCACCAGTTGCTCCAGCGTGATCTTGACCGGTGACGGAGGCATGTAAGGTACGCAAATGCTGAATATTGCTCGGATTAACTCGGGGTAGTATGCGTACATGCGCCTACGTGAGAATGGTGTCAGCACATGACCAATATTACGAGTGTTGTTCCCGATTAGGACGTCAGTTTCTTGTAGCTGCATAGTTTAGGGGCTACAAGTCGAGTCACTGGCGATTAAAAGGAGCCTCGATAGCTAGCAGCTTACCAAACGAAAAACCCGCCCCAATCGTGCCCGCCGAGGATGACAGGTTGGTCGGTAACCTCCTTGATAATAGCTGCAATATGAGCAGTCATTTTCTTCATCGTGTACTCATCGAAAGAATCAGGAGCAGAAGTTTGCCCATATCCCAGCATGTCTGGAACAATAACCTGCAAGCCCAGGGACGTGAGGTAAGGGACTTGGAATCGCCATGCAAACCCGAGATCAGGCCTACCGATGGCTTCGTGAGCAGTCCGCAAATCTATTGGGTCCGAGGCTACTCACCAGCCATGAGCAAGGAGAACAGTGGCAACCGGTTTGCCCTGCGGCTTAGCTAAGACATAGTAATATTTGATATCGCCAAAGGATTTGAATTTATGCTCGACTCGAGGGTCGTTGGGGACCAATGCGTCTATGGACATATTGTTCTAGGATCCAGGGGCTTCCTGTCGTAGAGATCTAAAACTTTGCGATCAACTACCGTTACAAAGCGGATGGCAACTACGCGGGTGGGGGAGAATTCGGGCTCAAGTAAGGGAGCTACCTATTTATATGCCTTTGGGACCGGCCGTTGACACGCCGGTTCGACCGAGTTGATGTATCTAATCCTTCGGGCAACTTCTAAAACAGGAAATCGGTTGCGGGAGCTAGTCTACCTAGCATGCTTGCAGAGTGTCACCGGCATGATTCATGCTAACCTGTAGAGCTGTTCTTACTAATAGGTATACATATTACATTAGGCATTGTAAGGGCAAACATTTTCGCCGGTATAAGTGCCTACATGGGTCGGCAAGGAATACGACAGACGATATGTGCGTGCAAGAAGTGTCGCTAGCTAGCCAATCGGGCGTTTATGACATGTTGATAGATTGCCTAGACAAAGAGCGGAGACGAAAGCTATCCCTGGCCGGGATGGCATTGTAGCTACGTAACCATAGCTTATACCTGCCTAGGTAAAGGGATGCCGAGGATGTCGGCATACCTTTACATTGAGACATATAGTATTGCTTCTAAGGGGTCATGCTTGGTCCTAATGTTTGCATAATGGCTGCATGTAAGATATGTGGGTTACGTCTAGCAACGTGGAGCTCCTAGTGGATATATCTAGACGACTAATTGCCCCGACGGAAACAAGTGCTAGGAAACTATCGGGACTTCATGATTCAATAATTGACAGCAATACTGGTAACAAAGGGGACAATCGTCATATAGGTAATTCCTGTAGTGGTTTGCCGTCCAATAATACGGCGAAGAAGCATCAACACCAAGAGAGGCACATATCTAGCAACCATGGATGATTATTGGAGAAATCACCAACGGACTGACAATTGAGATCCGACTTAGAACATGTTGGTAACTACACGTTCCTAACAAGCTCACCGGAAATCCGAAATCTTAGGCTGGAGTATGGTCAAATGCATTGTATAAACTCACTTTCAGTTTTAACCTTGGTTAGTTCCGAAGACTCGAAACTTACAGTAAATAATTCCCACAGCCCGTAGATCCATATCACGCAAATGCGCCTGTACCTTCCGTCCACCGCCTGAACATCCCGAATACATAACAATAAATAGAGAAAATCAGAGGCGTAGACGTTGGGAAATTTAGTATATAACCGTGTCTTCGACCTCCTCTATCATTACATCGTCTGCCCTGTCTGGCTCTTTTTCGTGGCCAACCTTACCGGCATGGGAAGGGGGGCGATCAGTAGTAGTAGAAGAAGGGTTAGATTGTGGAATGTCAATAGGGTGCTCATCGTCAGGTTTACTACCCACTATGTCCTTAGGCTCAAGCGCAGGGGGGTCGACTGCGATGCCTAATGCTTTTAATCGCTGCTCTTTGCGTTGTTTGAATTCGAGAACCTCCCTCTCGATCGTATCCTTGGCATCGCGGACTTGCTCCTGGATGGCATCTTCTTGTTCGGGCGTGGGGTCCCATGGCAAGTAGTACTAATACTATGGTTAGCCGATACATCTATATGATCGCAAGGTCGCACTGACGATTTTTGGAGTGCTCTTAGTCTCTAGAAAACGAGCCATCGCTAACATATTTGTGTGCCTCGTTTGCATCTGATAAACTTGTTAGCTTAAGGAACCTAGGTAGCCATCAGAACAACATGAGTATCAACTTACAACTTTCTCGTCGAACTTAAGTTGTTCTATTTTGCGAACCGTCCTCAACTTAGCTAACTTTTCTTCTCTTTGCTTATCATCTTCGGCTCTCTGCTGATGGACTTTTGCCTGCTGTCGTCGCTCAATCTCTTGACGTCTCTTTTGCTGCGAGCTAGAAGTGGTTTGACTTAGTGTGCTTAGCAAACCGCCGAATAACCGCTTTCCGCGCCTTCTCTCTTCTTGCAATACGCTCTGGCGGCGGTCTGTGCCGGGCTCCTTTGGGGTTGGTGGAGCCTTAGCGCTGGTATCTTCATCCGACTTGCCGTCCAATTTCGCTCTTTTCGGCGACTGGCTAGGCTTATCTTCGCTGCGCGGAGGCGACGAAGCCTTACGTTTTTGCGAATTAGTATTATCTTCCTCTGTTTCGATAGCAGTCGTCTCGCGCTGTGGGCTGCGACCATTGGGGGTGCTGATTTTAATTATTAGCCAATTGCGACCAATAGAATTAGAGCCAGGGTCGTCTCTCACGTTTCGTTGGCCGACATCGTGTCGACTTTCCCCAGCCAGAGCAGAATTATGAGGAGGATAGGATGCGCAATTTAAGAAGACGACTGCCACATCGCGCGAAAGATTAGATTAGGTCATTCTCGTGTGGTGCAATTTTCTCGTAGAACATGTGTAGGCAGGAAAGATTGAATATTTTAAAAACGTCGCGAGGCTGAAGGATAGAGCAAACAAACGCGGGCCCAAGCTCCAAAATGCGACTGTCAAAGTTGAACTAAAAAGGTAAGGTCAGGTACCAGGTACATGAAATATCCCCACTTAATTACATCGGACAAACATGAGTTTATGCAATTGTGCATATGCTACTCCACTTTATGTACATTATGCTAACAAGGTTCGATCTCGTGCAAGCTCCGTGCAGTCTGCCGAATAAATCTGTAGAAAGAAGTGGCAAGGCTGAGAAATCATCTAGAAGGCTATCGTATCGACAAACCACCGTGATACTGTAATTGGTTTCGAACTATAAAGTTCCGATTCCTCCTATCTACAACATCATCCCAATCACTTAATCATTGTGAGGTTTCTGTTCGGTCAACATGTCTCGACATCATCCGTAAGTGTCACCTTGGCGATATCAATATCGTTTTTTTTCACTAGACATTGGGTATAGAAGCTAACACAATATTCCATAGCGATCTCGTAATGTGCCGCAAGCAATCCGGCATCGCCATCGGCCGCCTCTGCGACAAGTGCGACGGAAAGTGTCCCGTATGCGATTCCTACGTGAGACCGACCACGCTCGTCCGCATCTGCGACGAATGCAGCTTTGGCAACTACCAAAACAAATGTGTCGTGTGTGGCGGAGAAGGCATTTCCGACGCGTTTTACTGCTTCGAATGTACGCGACTCGAGAAGGACAGAGACGGATGTCCTAAAATTATAAATTTGGGCAGTTCAAGAACAGATGTAAGTCAGCGTATCCTCTTAGGAACTTGCTTTATTGTTTAAAGATACTAACTTGTCGTGCAGTTGTTCTACCAGAAGAAAACGAATCGGACAGGATACTAGCCTTCATGTGGCCTGGGTTTGGGCCGTGGAGGTTGATGGCTTTTGATATACGTGGCAAATCGATGTCATTGCTGGGTATGTGGTCACGCGGAAAAAGGCATACCTTAATACTAGCATTCTCGGCCGGCGTTTTGAGATTATGGCATTCATTCTATGAGTAGACTAGACAGGCGAATCCATGTATTCATATTTGAGTTGAAATGATTTCTATTATAAAATCATGCGATCTGTGTAGCGTCAAACTACGTAAGGATGCTGCTGCCCGACTGTTTCCGAGTGATTATTATCTGCAAGAAGTTGATGGACAGAATGCCTCGATTATGAGCCCACCAAATAAATTAGATGTAGCTGACCTTAACGCCCATACCCGCTGTTGTTTTGACCTTATTCCAACCTGTTCCGATAATCTGCTGAATCCGCTCACGAATGCCCTTCCTACCAAACATAACAATAATACTAACGACGAAAGCGATCAATCTCATGAGCAACATAGGGTTAGCTTTAAGCGTAGCCCCCATCTGCTCAATAACCTTACGAAAATTCATAATAACCACTGCAGCTCGTGCACCAAAACTCGGGGGCGCTACGGCCTTCTTCCCTTTAGGGACAGACGACTTGGCTGCTCTCGATAAAGCAGAGGATCCACTGGAGGTTCGAGGTTTGTTCTTCGAGCGAGGGGCACTCTGGCTGTTTTCGATGCCGTAGTCGACCTCGCTGCCTTCTCGCTTGGCTCTTTCTTCATCCAATCGGCGTCGCTCTCTCGCCTCATTCTCTGCTCTGAGTCTCCTTTGCTCCTCAATATCTTTCTGCAGCTGCTCTTCCTGCTTTTGCTGTTCTTCGCGCTGTCTACGATCTGATTCCTGCTGCTCTTCTTGCAGACTTTGGAGGGCTTGCAAGAAAGCCTCTCTTCGTTCGTCATCTAGGACCGCGCTGACGCTAATAAATTCCCTCGCATAGTCCCACTCGTTATTGCGTAGCAAGACATGTAGAGTGTAGAGCTCCAAGATTTTAACTCTAGCATTGAGATCTCTAGGGGTATCAGCACCGCTAGCAACACCCTTAGATGGCGACCTTCTCCTCGACGACAACCGCGAAGTTTTGGTCTCCTCAAGTCTCTGGGATATATCGAGATTCGGTGTAGTCGACGAGGCTAGATAGTTTTCTAGCCGTTTCTGATTCACCGCCTGTGACTTGGCATGTGCGAGAAGAAGTGTAGCCCTACAATCGGTTAGCTTGACAAGACATTTCCGTACTTCGAATCAGGATCCAACTTACAAATTTATGACCACATCCGAATCGACCTCCCCCTCAACGCCATGATATCCAAACTGTACGACCTCTTCCCAGACATCGCCATCCCGAACCTTCTTGCACAGAGCTCGCCACTCTTGGGTGCCAAAGGCCTCTTTTCCTTCGTCGGGATCCAGCTCTAATATGGCATTCAGGATAGTCAGATATAAGCTCCAGACTTTTATCCTCGTAGACCTCGAGGCTCGAACGACGGGTGCCGGTTCGCTTAGCCCATTTACATCTGCATTTTCGGTCGATGGGGTAATCAACGGCAAGACTGTTGATAATGCCTCTGGCAGTCGACGCGTCAAGAATAATTGTGATGCCTGACGGTAGGTCTTTGAGATGTTGCTTGATGAGGGACGGGAAGAGGTTGTAGATGCTAATGAGGATATCGAGTTCGAAAGGACATGCGATCCAAAATTATCGGATGCCGTAGGACTCAATGTTGCGGTATAGGATCCATCGAACGACATGTTTGCGAATACTTAGGTAATTTCCAACTTGATAACTTAGATAGGAATTGGCCTAAATATCAGCTTAGACGCGATGATAAATTCCAGCAACAGAAATTCATAGTAATAAATTAGAAATTGGAGAAAATAAGTGTCAACAATGACATCGTAAACTTTAAAAGCATGCACATGCAGGAACAGCGTAGGCATGTGGGACCGGAGAAGGTCAAGCTTGCCTTCGCGTTCTCTGGTATGCGGAAGGTTTGGATTGAAAGCCGCCGTTCTTTTCGTCCTTTCGGTGATTATGAGATGACTGTACCTCGGTATGTCGGCCCACAGGTATGAATATCGTTAGGTTGCCCCACATAACACATCAGTTACTCCAATCCATGTCCGGCTTATATAATTAGAGAGTTACATAATGAGATTTCCCTCCTCATACTTCATTCGTCCGCACTCCGAACACCGTTGAACAAACACCGTTCCAATATTCAACATCGCTTCTGAATGACTTCATCTTCAACATGTGCAGAAAGCACTTAGAAACCCATATTAATATGCCAATATGTTCACACAATTATCTAATACGACCAGCAAGACAACTAGAAATGAAGCTTGTTCTTCAATCAGCTCCTTAGCCATAGTCATTAACAATCAGCAACCTGCATACGCAAACATGATAGCCTACCTAGGTACACAGAAGAAGTTTATCAATACGAACTATACTAGTTAAACCACACGGAAGTTAAACCATTGAGATATCAGTATGCCCCTTATTGATCAAGGCGTGCGGAGCTTTCTGAACATATCACCTGTTCATGCGATAGTCCACTGGCATCCACAGAGGCTCAATTCCGATTAGGTAGTTGAGAGTACCACTGTACTAAACCAGGCCCACTACGTAGACTGTAGTCGGAGGGACCTATAGACTCAAGCAGGTCAAGGAGATATGTATAATCAGATTGGGACCAATTGCAAACAGTGAGGTCATTGACCCATCCTTGAAGCTGAACTATACCCAGAGATAGCACAACCAGTTGTGAATGTCTCAAATATGTATCATAATGGAGTCTTCACATCCATGAGGGGTTCCATCCACTCTTTGCCAAGCAATATGAGTGGGTGGATTTCAAACAGGTAAGATCATATACTCAATGGAGATAAAGAACTTGTTATTTATAGTCAGTCGGCGGGCTGGAACCTAAGGTAAGTTACCTCAAACCTAAGCATATTATTCTTAGACTAACATCACAGTATAGGGACAATATAATGTCAATATAATGTCAAATCCGTCGCTTGTATAATAATGAAAGTACAGACATGAGATAGTGTCGCACCGGATTATGATACTATGCCTTTTCTACGGGTCACTAATAAGAAGCTGTTTGTCATACCATGTTTATGATTGTGCAGCAAACCGTTCTAGTTTCGTCAATTTTATTACTGTTTCTCTTTCGTACCTAAAATAAAATCCAGGCGTTTTGCTAATGTCTTCACAGAAGTGCTCCTTCGACTTGTGAGAGCGGCTTGCCCCCTTTATTGTTCCCCACATTTATTTGATGCGATACTATAGAATCAACAAGATCGATCGCCAGTACCATAGCAGGTGCAATTCCATCAAAACAATGGAGATTGACAAGAACAACTTCTTCTGGATGCTTCCATGCATGCTACACGAGGCACAGAAGGCGCGTTTCGTAGCAATTGACGTTGAGATGAGCGGTATCTCCTCTGCCCATGGCCACGCTGGTCACGATAATTCTATCCAAGATTCGTACACTAAAATCAAAGAAGCGGCTGAGAAATATCAAGTGTTACAGGTTGGGTTTACATTCTGCCACTACACTGAGGACAGATGTAAGCTTGCCAAAGCATCAAGATCAACTACAGCTAATGTGAATGACTAGCCGAACATATAATTCGCACGTTCAACTGTAACGTCTCGCCCCTGTTTCCCAGAAGTCCTTTATCAGATGGCCTAGCTCGACACCTCGACAGAAGATTCTGTGTCTCTGCGAGATCGTACAGCTTTCTCCAACACAATAAGTTCAACCTGGCTCATGCCTTAGACCATGGCGTGCATTATCTGAGCCGTGAAGAACTAAGACTTGCAGGGCAATATTGCTCATCCAGGGACAATAACCATGAGCACGTGGACCCCCTGAAGCTCGATGAAGAGTCACAGCGTTTTTACAAATATGCTAGAAGGCAAATCGCGGGATTTGTTGCTGAATGTGTTAGACCGGTACAGCATTCTTCCTGGGACAAAAGTCATGAAACTAACATATTTCTAGGGGACGGAATTCATCATAACGAACCCATATGGGGGTAAACTTAACGGGTTACAGCTTCGCTTGATTCATCAGATCATCCGTGAGGAATACCCAACATGTACAGCTAAAAGGATAGCAGCAGGTTCTATGACAGGAGGTGTTTCTGTCAGTCTGTTAGACGAAGCTATAAGACACAAGGTTCGTGGTTAACTCCCCTATGCAGATTCTATCTCAAGCTGAGTTTATAGATGGATATAACTAACCTAATAATGCCTTGGGCTAGAACGAGACTCGTCAGCAGCTGGATCTAGAGGAGGTGAGGAGGCTATCAGGTTTGTTCACCAGGAAACTATTACCTACCTACCTAGATACCTACCTAGTTACACTCATGGCTCCGCAATCTAACGTACTACCGAAAGGCCTACAGATCCTATTTGAAGCATTGTCGGGCGGGTCATTTGCTACAAGGGTCAGCCGAGAATGGACTTACCACAGTAAGAAGCCTCCTATCAGTCTTGAGTCATGGGGCAAGTTCAATCGAACTTTCGACTTTCAACGCTGCGAAGCAGCTCTCAAGAAATCCAGGCCTATATTAGTTGGCCACAATTTACTACAAGACCTTGCTTTTCTTTTCCAAACATTCTTTGAACCTCTCCCACAAAATGTTGATGGTTTCATCAATAAATGCCACACACTTTTCCCACGCATTGTAGACACAAAATTCATGCATACAAAAGACAGGCACATGATGGAAACAGACAGCACATTACAAGAACTTCATTATCATTACGGAAAGCAGCAGTTCCCTGCCTTTCGCTGCGATCCCAGATTCAACAACGGGCGGGCTGGCGCCCACAACGCTGGGTTCGATAGTAAGTCTGCAAAGCCTCAAATACTAGTCGTGATATATTTATTAACCTTAATAGGTATGATGACGGCAGTCCTGTACCTGAAACAAGCTCATACTTTATTTCATACTGGAAAGCATATCAATGTCATTGAAGAGACGTGTTATGTAGCCACATCGCCACCAGATCAGGATGATAAAAGGTCGACAAATCACGGTAGCTCAAGGTATTTCCAATACGACTAACCACATCACCACGACTCACTAATCACTATTTCTAGTGCAACCTCCTGGTCCGACACAAGTGTCAATAGTTTGCTTGACAAAGAAGAGATTGGTACATCAGGGGCTCTCCAGAAGTGGGACGTGCTCGTCGCAGATGAATCTATCTCAAAACAAATATCTCATATTACGAAGGACGCGAGAGACAAATCTCCCAAATCGGATGAACCAAACTCATCGCATTATCACTGTTATAGTGCAGTATTGATGCCAGCTGAGACATATTCAGAAAAGGAACTTCATATAATTCCTCCCTGGACGGATGCCTTCTGGAGAACCTATGGCAACAAATCATCCATAACAGGGGCCGGGTACATATCCTTTTCGTAATCCTTTCCCTACAATTATTGAATAACAAGCGAAGATTTATCCAGCCCCACGGATCCCGCATCGGGTTCATCCCATCAGATTGGATACGACGTCGGACAGAAGACCTTGATGGTTACTCTTCTATAACCAGCGTTTTCTTATTCGCTGCTAAATGCCAGGGCAACCGCGATAGCACTCTTTGGACCAACGCGGGTCCATATCGACTTTTCATTCATTATTATAATTTACTCCATCTTTCAACTTTCACTCGAACTCTCCATTAAAGCAAATTTGGCTTTCCAAGGAAAGCCTAGGCCCGAGTCGCCGCAGTGGTTCATGGGTATTACAAGATATGAAGAGCAGGTATTATTGAAACATATACCGGCAAATCACCAGATAAACCGAAAGTGGTCTTTATTTCCATAACATCTTCTGTTCTTGGGACGGATCACACGAGAGTCGCATAGAAGACATTACTATGCTTTTACTTCTCTGAATCCTTCACGGGGCAGAATAGTGCTTAGAGCACAGTCCAGATACCCTAGAAGGTATATAAGGCCCAGGATCACTTCTTTACCAATGCCTTTTTCTTTAATTTATTGGAGACTCCCTTCGACTTTAGGGATGATAGGTGACAAGTATCATTTTGAAGGAACGCAAGCTCACTAGTATCTAGGTGCTAGTGCCAAGTGTGTATACATATGGAGTCCGAGGGAAGGAAAGCGGGAAAGAGATGGATAAGGTACTAGCCTGAGACATCCTACCGCCCAGCTGGTTGCCTGGCGGGAAGAATACAAGGCTCCCCTATTGACTCTTTCCCGCTACTCCCCGACTTCTACGAGGAGCGTAGTAGGGCAAGCAGAGCCCAGAGCAGCTAGCACGATCCACCTGCAACTCTGGTGGCACTCTTGGGATATGCTAGAACCCCATAGCATCTCCCCATGGTTGATCCTATAGCTGAGGCACATGATATTGGCGAAAGGGGTCGTGGGCCCACAGTCGCCTCAATGTCACTTGGGTCTGCCTGAATTATGAAATTCTCCTCAAAGAATGGTGTCAGTGACGTAGGCAATGAGAAGAAACCGTCCTAGAGAACGGAACTTATCTCAAGCCGATACCTCCCCATACTTCTCATCACACATTAGTGGATTAGGGAAGAATCCCATCCCATACACAGTTGGGATTGGTTAGGTCTTCCGATTTAGTTGGTAGGGGAAGAGAGCGGCACAGATTGGATTATAGTTGACGGGGCTTGGGAGCTTGTCGACGACCTCAATAGCGAAGCTGTCCGCTTCATGGTCTTTTTCAATTTCGTCTTCCTTGCCCGTGGCTGCATATGTGCAACAAGGGGCTGGATGACAGCCCCCTGACTGTAATTGCGTATGGGCAAAACACGTACATTGGGGACAAGTACAAGAGATCCCCTCTTTCACCTAGAGTTTACTAGCCGACATTGTGAGCTCTTAAATGAGTCTTGGTTGGAGTTGGACATATCTTTTCTCCCAAGGTTCAGCCAAGTATTCCTAGGAACATCACCGAAGAATGCCAAAGTTAGGTTCATACCTGTTTATTACCGTTAACATTGTACGACTTGCTGCATCGCAAGCCTTCATGCTTAGCTTGCCTTCTCTGGCCCGCCTCACAGGCTTAAACAAGTAAGTATCTAGAATAGCTACCTATATAACTGCTTTCACTAATATTTTGGTAGGTAATAAGACGATCTTGGACTGGCCTGGGTCTTGAGTTAGCACTCATTGTGGGCCCCAGAGCGTTCCGAAATTGATACTTCGGACTTAAGGGTGTGCTTGATCATGGTGAATTGGTGGTTGAATCGTGGTTAACATATTTTATCTCACCTACCATGGTCAAGCATCTTTCCCTCTGGTCCGGGCGAGCGGTCGACACTCATCTCGCCGCCGGGTAGCTTACAAAGAGTTAAGATGGACGTGATTATTGCGCGATTCAAGCAGTGGCAAATACCTTCAGTCACAATTTTCAACGTCAGGTCACTAAAGCCTAGTTATCTGGATTTCTGTCGAACTTGGACTTCCTTACCTAGTACCCAACATCGTGGAGCCACATATGTAACGCAGTGTGCAGTGTTGAGTGATATTCACGAACTATTAGTGTTAGGTGCTCGGGATATTTCGAAGGCTCAATGAGTGGGTGGGCTGACGTCCTCGAAGCACCCGAGCACCTAACACGAATAGTTTATTGACCAATTTGAAGTTGATACGGGTCGGATCTGATCCCTTCCAGGTCTTTGAGTGGGGTTGAGTTCTGATCATATTCTAGCTGCAAGATGGATATAAGGGAAGAAACTGCAAGTCGCATGATAGTAGGTGTCATGTCGTTAAAAAGAGAGGCAGGGATAGGATGCCAAGGTATATGATATAGAACAACACAACACATTACAATGCAATATTTTTACAATTGATGGTATTGTAGAATACAGGAGGCTCTACGCCATAGTTTACACCTATTTCTACCGATCCGCCATCATGTTCCTTACGGCGTGGAAGTATTTTTCAGGTAAATTCTCCTTCAATTCTTCCTTTGTAAGCCAACTGAAATCAACTAGTCCCAGCTTATTTTCTTTTAAATCTGCCTGACCAGCCATAATTCTCCCCTTCAAGAAGAATATTTTCTCACCCCTTCGTTTAACGGAATTGTCCTCGTTGAACTCGGGCTTCTTAACCATATGAGCAACCGGTACCCGGCCCACCATCCAAGTGTTCATGTTAACACCTGCTGCAGATTCCAAAGCTGTTGCAGCACACTGTAATTATGATTAGTAACTCATTTCGTCATCGTAAATGTAAACGTTGCTCTTGACGAACCTCGTGTAAGTTCCCGTCTGTGGGTATGTCTATAGCTGGGAATTGCCACACCCCATCACTACCTTTGACAACCAGGTAAAGCGTCCTATCTAGCTTGCGATCTAACCGCCTCACGTCGTTTGTCTTGTCTGCTTCGGTAATCCTATCCATCGGCCGTTCGACGGGGACGATTTCATCCGGTTGCGCCTCCTCACCATCTTCCGTCACCCGATTTTCGGCATCCTTGAGCAGGATCTCCCGCACCCGCTCTTCGTTACTTAGAGTACTCCCTACTAAAAGCTCGTCGTTCCACGCATTGCGCCCCTGGGCATAGTATCTGCCCAACTCTTTCGCCGGTATCTGGCCTCGCTCGTTGAATTTGATCCTCCAGTCCAAGTCTGTGGCCGTGTCCTTCTTGAAGAACAGGGTATGCCGGAAAGGCAGAACCAATCGCTCGTTCAAGCGTTTCTGGTAGAAGAAGAATGCGTTCTCGAACGGAGTAAGTGCGCGGGTGAGTAGAGGTGCTCGGGTTAGAATGATACCGGATTTTATGCGGTATTCTGCTGGAGGGTATTGCGGTCGGTCGCGGTATGTGGGTAGTGCAACTGGAGCTGTCGCAGAAGCCTCGGCACTGGTAGAATATGACCGGAATTGGGCGTTCCTGCAGCTGGCGCACATACTGGATGGTCCTCCTGGAAGATTTTAGTATTAGTATATTAATACAGGTTATTGACTGAGAGGTGTGATGACCTACTCCGTAACAACATGGCGGCAGCATTGCTACTTCTACTGGAGGCCGCCATACTTAGGAGTAGCAATTGCAGCGCTTCTCCCGGTATCAATGGCGGAGGTTCTGCAACTTTACTATTTTCTCTATGTCGCGAATATTAATATTGAACTTTTTTCGATAACCCCTGTCAACTGGGAAGTCTGCGAAGTGAAAGCCACATTTACCTCCAGCCACACCGTGGGGTTTATCTGTTATCTGAGACTAGATATCGAAAATTAGACTACGGATCCGTCGGGAAGGTACTTAGGTACGATCATCTAGTAGCTTCCATTGTGGGAACTCGGTGGTGGCTGGATTGACTGGTTGCGAGGGTGGGGCCTACCGTCAAGCGGCAGTCGTCATCTGGTCTGGGCTTGTCCGGGGAAGGCACGGCTGCCAACTGCCAACATCACTTCTCACTTCTCTTCCTGTTTCAACTCCCGTATCGCAAAACTTAAACAAACATGTCAATGTCAATCTCAAGTTGCCGATCTGTACTGCCACCCCCTTCGAACTCATCCGTTACTATTCCTCGATAAGTATCCGACTACACCCTTTACCTATGTATTCCGAGAGCTAGAATGTCATCGCAATATAATCCTTCGTAGCCCATCCGTCTTCGAAATACTCCAAGCTTTCCAATGGGATCCTCCGATTGCCTGGACGACCTCTGTTTGGCACCGGGCCTGGCCGCGCCTTCAGCAGTGTCTATGTCATTATCTTTGGCACCTTTCACCATCACCTTTCTCGTCGTCTCTATCCTAGTCTCGCAAAAAATCTTCCCTCAACTAGCGCGCGTCCAAAATTCACGCGATGGCGAAGACCACTTTCTCCCCTCCGATGCGCCCCCATCGCTTCAACAAGCCCATGCTGAGCACGGTGCCAAATCGATACGGAGACGTGTAGCAGAAGGTGCTTTTTGTACGACTGTTGGACTGGCAGTTGTTTTGGGCGAGTTGATCTTGTGTGAAATATCGGAATTGGTCAATCCCTATGCCCGAGCTCTGGCTCTGCGAGTCACTGTCCCAACCCTCTTGTTCCTCCTTATCGTACTGATCCCTTTTCTCGAACTCCAATCACTCGTCACAGGCTCGGGATGGTCTTTTCAACGCACGTCTAAAGGAAACATACCTAGGGCTGCTTGGGTGCTTCAGTTTGCGATGTTTGGCGTTTGGTTATTTGCCTTCTGGTCGCTTGGAAATCTCGTCCCGGTCGGCAGCGAGGCCGCGCGTACTAGTGCTAGAATGGAAAAATTCCGTGCCGAGCCCCTATACTCTGCGACTCTAGCACGCGCCTGTCTCGAGCGCATTGGTGTTATTGGTATCTCGCTGATGGCTTTGTTATCTGGATTCGCTTCGGTCTCTTCACCATGGCATACATTCGGAAGTCGTGCATCACGACGCCCTGTGACGGAGGCTGATGTCTCCCGTAAACAGGCGGGCCTAGATGCTACTAATGAGATGCTACTAACTAAACGACATCGTCTGCAAAGTCTACTGCGCAAGGTATCAGAAACACCTTCAGCTGAGAAACGTGGGTTTGTCACCAAGGTCATCGGTTCCTTCCGAGGCGGGGGCGATGCGGCAGAAATCCGTACGTTACGTCTCGAAATTGCTGGCTTGGAAGCCATGGAAGCGAATCTGTCTTCATCTCTATCTATGTTGCGTTCAAGGCAAGCCAATTCAGCGCGTGCCGCTACCTTTTCCGGGAAGCTTCTCTTAATACCCACTTACGTGTTCAGCGTATACTGCGTTTATCGTATAATAGCGACTACTCTAACTACTTTACGGCGGTTATACTATCCGGCCGCCTCGTTTTCCTCATCTGATCCGATTAATCGATTCCTTGGGCTTTTGGCCAAACATTGGGATCCGAAGCTTGATCAAATCGCATGGGCCAGACAGATCTCATTTTTATTATCTGGTGTGATTCTACTTGCGAGCGCAAACAGTGCACTTCAAACATTCCATTTCCTCGCTAAGTGGACTCCCGGGCTTTTGTATCAGGCTCAGGCCAATTTGGCTCTATTGATCGGGCAGATCAGCGCCATCTACGTGATCTCTGCTGCACTACTTCTACGTAGCAACCTTCCTAAAGAGGTGGGCAGTGCCGTCGGCGACGCTCTAGAAAGCGCTCTGGAACCAGGTTTTGTAGATAGATGGTTCGAGGGCTGGTTCCTCTTAGCAAGTGTGGTCACAGCAGGAGGAATCTGGCTAGGTGGGAAAATAGGCGAATGGAGCGAAGAATGGGACGACATCGGTATGGAAGAGATGGGTCAGAAACGATCATGAGGATACGAATACAAAGCTTCATCACACCATAAGAGTTCCCAGTACCGTCAAACGATCGAACAGGGACGCCATACCAAATACTGTAGACCTGCCTCTACACCTCACGTTCCGCTAAACCACCCCTTCACCGGAAAGGTATCACGTAGTCTGTCAGCAGAAACGCAAGCAGATTTCACCTATCGTAGCTACATACATATCATGGAGCATTGACATACCTTACCAATATCATGGTTTGGCTTATGCCCACCCTCCCCCTTTGCCCCAGACTAACCTAGCCTGGCCTACTTTCATCACGATATGGGAAGCGTTTCCAAAACCGTCTTGTTCTTCCACCCCAATACCAAGCTATCGAATATCTACGCCTCCAAATCCGTCTTCTACTCGGCCAAATTGATAACCACTGGAGGAGCAGGCGGTCGACGTGCCCCATACTGAGCGAGCAATAAGGCCACCTGCTTTCTAGACTTCTCAATCTGCTCCTCTACTCCGTCGCTGCCCTGCCACAACGGCTTCGTCGTCCGGCATATCTCGAGGGGATGCTGTTTGTGCCATGGCCGATCTTCCTCTAGATCGTACGGATGCTCACCGTCGGGGTCGCCCATCGCATTGGCATCGCGACACTCAAGAAGCAGACTGTGTACCCAGCTTTCCTCTAGACGATGTACCGCATCCTGGAGAGGTGTATACAGGAATCCAGGGGGGTTCGGGTCTGCGCCTCTTTCGAGGATCATTTTCAAAAGCTGGCCCGTAATCTGTCCATCATCGCCGTCGTCACCGTACGGGTTCTCAAGCGCCACGAACACGATGTGTGGCTCGTTGACGAAATTGGCGCCGGCACCAATGAATATTTCCAGAAAGTCGAGGCGCTTCCATGCCACGCACAAGCGAAGTAGGGTCACAGGCTCGCCCTTGGCGAATGTCCGCGGCATGCTGTCATCGACCGAGGCGTCGATCGTGAATTCTTCGGACCAGATCATGTGCCTGCGCTCAGGTGAAAGCCGACCCCATGACGGTTCCCGCAGGTATTTCTGTGCGAATTCCGGCCACCGTAGCAGTACTAGGCTTACTAGGGTGCCGGTCTCCTGGCGCACGGAACCCCGTTGCCCTGCCGTTGTTGGTATCGCCATATTGTCGTACTCGCCGAATGCACACAGCCTACGCCACTTCGTAAACCGTTTTCGCACACGCTCGTTTCTCAGCGACTTAATGTACTCGCTGTTGGGCTTAAGGCATGGCACGACCGAATCGAAGACGCTCTGGTGCTTGACGATCAAATTACGACGATCACCGCGCAAAGCCGAGTCGCTCATCTCGAGGCAGTGCTCCTCGTAGCGGCTGGGGTTGCGCTGGTTCGCCGGTGGCCGGTTATGACCCCACTGCTGCAGCCCGTTAAAGACGACTTGCATCTCTAGCGTGCGTATGTCTGTGTCCGTGAGTGCGAACTCACCGGCGGGGCGCGGCTGGTCGTCGCCACCCTTGGACGGCGCAAAGAGGAATTCCCGTACGGTGTAGTGGGCGATGCTGACCTTCTGTAGGTTGAGCCCATCGTCCTGTTTACTCAAGATGTGCTGCGGCTTCCTGCGCAGGTCTGTTACTTTGATCAGACATCCGAGGATCTCCTTCAGCATGCGCACGTTGTACATATGCATCGCGCCGTGACGAACGTTGTGAAGCGACGCTTGGACTAATACGTCGGCGCTCTTGATGTTGGAGGTGTTGCTGCATATCAACGCGAGAGCCGTGCGAGCGAATGCACGCTGTTCTGGCGGTATACCTTCGAGTATCCTCGCATATGTGTCGAAGAGAGTTTCTGGCAGATTGCTGAGGGCGGCTATTACCCGACTTTTGTCTAGGTAAAGACGTTCGATGATATCGACCTGACATGCGACCCATCGGAACCTAAGTCGACTTGTTAGCGAACACTCTGGATACCTAGGTCTCACTACTACGGCCGAGAACTTACATCCCTCTAGCATTCCTTGCTAATTCTTCCTCCACTCTTGTTCTGAACTCTGTCTGCCATATTTTGAATCTTTCGTTTCTCGCAAACTGCTTCTTGACGTACATCCGTATTGCTCGCATGACGTCGGCGTTCGACATCGTGATAGCCGTGTGCCGCACACCAGCCGGCGGATACAGCTCGTCGTCTTCATATCCACCCATGGCGGCCTTAATATCAGGTTCCTCGCGGCTCGTCATCAACAGCGAGACATGTCGGTAGTCCGGGTCCGTACCAATTGTGATCAGCACGTCGAGGAACCGTTCTCGCGGCTTTCTACTCTCATCCACGGCATCGACTACCAGGTAGACCCGCTGGCCTCTTTGCATGAATTTTCGGCTCACGGCCAGGAAACAGTTCATGAGGCCCGAGATGCTGAAGTTCTCACTCTTGCTCAACTCTTCCAGGGCCTGTGGGATGAAACGCCCGATCTGTCTACTCAAGTCACTGACGATCCAGCGGAGGAAGTGGAGGGTCTCGTCTTGGTTCCGCTCGTGGTGGCAATAGTAAAACGAGTACCCGGTCGCTTGGCAGTGCGTCCCAATAGCGTCGATGAGAAACGAGGCGAGGACTGTCTTTCCGGCGCCGGGGATCCCGAAGATCCATATGAAGCGTTCATAACCTTCTTGCCCGAATGAGCCTCCGTTGAGCCACTGCTGCCAGCCCTGAGAACCGGTTATCCAGTCACACGTCTCGTCTTCCTGCTTGTCATGCTGTTCGGAGTGGAACTCGTGCATGTCGACCTTCGGTTTTAACCAAGACAGGATTCTTCTCTTCTCACCGTCTGCGTGTTAGGAGAAGTGTCAGCTATGGCTCAATGGCTCTAAAGGGGATTTCAGTATATCTTACCGTCCAGTACTGCCTCGATGTTTTTTACAGCAGCATTTGTTTCAGCGATACTCGCACTATTTAATGAAATCAGCCAACGAACTGTGAGATCATGTGGAGTTGGACTCACGAATTATCAGCCTGGACAGCTATGCTGAGCTGAGACTTCTGCCTCTCGAGCTGCTTCAGCAACTCCTCCGCCTTACGCTGATGTACGAGCGGCCATTTAAGTCTCTTCCGAAGGGACATTGACGACTGTTTGGTCGGGGGCGTGGCCGTCCTCATCGGAAGAGGTTCAGATTGGTCAACCTTGAAGCGGAATGCCGGCTTTGACTCGGGGATTTTCAATGCCTGCAATGGAGACAGCAGTTTGTTCAGACTCGCCCCGTTAGGTGGATTGGGATGATTAAAGGGCGAGGGGGTTCTATTCCCCCTGTTGGGTACAAATGGACGAAAAAGACTATGAGTCTTGCCGTGAGACGACGAGCTTGAAGAGTCCGAATCGTCTTTATTCTCCGGGACCACAAGCTTCTCGAGCTCGGACAATGTAGTCCTACAATTGCTAAGACATTCTTCAAGTCCCGTCTTACACGTGGGTCCTATGCCCCCTTCTAGAGTCGCCCCGAGATATTCCAAGATACCTTTCAGTATGTTCACCTCTAGAGCGATACTCTTGACTACTTTGGGAGCATCCTTCACGCTTCTCGTATAATCCATGAAGCTGGTGGCGACCGAAGCAGCTAGCTTAATGATATCAAGCGTGAGGAACACGGGATCAGCCATGTTGCAAAACTGTTAATGTTCTCCTATCGGTATAACACGAGTGATGAAAATGAGGAAGAGAGAACACCCTTCTAGTTAGTGAAGGGATTTAAGTATACCTAGGCATGAGACATGATGCGTATGTGCTTATGAGGCACCATCGGGGAGACAAACACTAGGAAACAAGCAGCTGGAAATCACCATGTTAGTTACCGTCTACAAACGGAGCGCGTGCCTTAAAGCATTTGGGAAAACAACCCACTATACCCATACTGGCGCTTCCGATGATGAGGATTGTTGATTCCGACAAATGTCAACTTACTAGTCTATATGCAGATTTACACCATTGCGCCGGTTGTTAGAGGAAACCTAGGCTTCTATGTCTTTGAATTGAGCAAAGGGGGTAACTCTCAATACTGTTTAGCCTCAAGGTTTGCTATTTACATTTTTATGCTGGAGGAAGCTCCGGAGATGCGAGCTTGGATTGCAGGACGCTTTAATCGTTCAAGTTTGTTGGATGAATACCTCGGATGTTTGAAATATCATCTATAGAACAATACATTGAAGTTTATCATGAATTGACCTCATATGATCTATTACTTCTTACTAGCCTTGAACAAACAACACAAGACCAGATATCCCTATAGATACGGCGTTCATGTTAGATGCAAAACTTTGATATAGAACTTGCTTAATGATATGGCTTTTTTTTTGGTCTGATCACCTATCTTAGTATGATTTCTACGGCTACGTATAGGATGAACGAGGACGTTTCTCTATTTGGTGGAGTTCGACTGGTAGATTTGTGAGAAAGTTGAGCAGAACTTCCTTTATGGAGGAACGGCCCTAGGAATGGTTGTAAACTAACAACTAAGTAGCCATTTACGTCCACACTGAACTCATAAGCCGAACATTATAAATCAGAAGTCCTAGTCATATTAAAATGGGAATAGGAGATACATTAACTATGTGAGGAAACGGTTAGAAAGATGCTAATCATCTTCCCTTGCCATGCTAGTTCTGTACACGTCATGAACCCTTCAATACTCGACATCGAGACAGAAGCTCACACTCACCAAACCCTGGTATGCGCAAGGTTTCCCACCATTTTCCATATCTGGGTAAGTATGTACGTACCACTACAATATCCCACGAAGCCAGATAATCTCATCGAGACTTCGAGCATTAAGAACCCGGCAATGGCATCCCCCCATAAAACATACATCAACACCGGACTAATTCGAATAACCCGGCCAGCCACCCATTCCCATCACATAACCAGCCCCCTTTCCTCCTCCCTCCCCCATCCCAAATTCCTTCCCATACCACCACCCCTTTACTCCGCCGTCCTCCTCCACAGATCCCTCATCTGAATAACTCCAGGAATAGTCGCGAGCGCGCCGACCGCCATCTCGCCGAGCATGCCCTGCTCGACGCTCCAGTGGACGGTAAGCGGGGCCCAGGCGAGGTTCCTCGCAACGCTCTTCTTCCAGGCGTCGGCCCACTCGATCTCGTCGCGCTGGACCTGGGCGGCCGACTTGCCTCCGGCGAACTTCTCCTCGCGCGAGCGGCGCCCGCGCCGGTGGCTCTCGTAGAACAGCCTCCCGACCTCGACGCCGACGAACGCGGCCCAGAACCGCGCGCTCCACAGGCCCGCCCTCCGCTGCGCCGAAGCGCTCCACCCCAGCACCCCCTTCGACGAAAGGTACGCCCCGTTCTCCAGCGCCTGGAACACCACGCACGTCGACATCTGGACCCAGGAGATGGCGCGCTCGACCTTATCCTCCTTATCCTTCCCCTCCTCTTCCTTCCTGCTACCCAGCACCAACCTGCGCGCCCAGAAATACATATTCAGCAGCCCCCAAAGCCTCAAAAACGTCCTAGCATCGCTAAGCAGCGCGCTCAGCGCCCTCAACCTCTTCGCCACCCCCAAGATCGCGGCGACGCCGCCGCCGGGCAGCGCCTTAGCAGTAAACACGAGGGTCGCGGAGGGGGGAAGGCTGGCGGCGATGGCGAGGAGCCGGTCGGCGGAGCGGCGGATGGCGGGGCGGGTGAGGGCCTCGAGCACCGAGGCCGACAGCCGCGAGGCGTAGCAGACGAGGAGCAGCGTCGTGTCGATGCCCGACGGCGTCTGCAGGCAGCGCTGCAGGTGCGCGAGGAACGCGTCGGCGTTCGACGGCGCCGCCGCGAACAGGTCGCGCAAGGGGGGCAACGGCTTGGGCGAGGGCGCCGGCGCCGGCGGCCCCGACGACGGGATCGGTTCGCCGGACGGCAGGTCCGCGGTCGCGAGTTCGGTGGCGCTCATGATCTCGGTGTTGGTTCGTTTTCTTTTATTTCGTTCGAGCGAGTATAACCCCTCTTATTATGCTGATTTCACATATGTATGAAGAAACGGGGACGATGGTTTGGATGCTATGTAAGTCGGATTGTAATTGAGCAAAGTAGTGATCGCTCTGATCGCTCTACTATCGATAAAAGGGGGTCGATTTCGACAAATTGCTGCAAAGACAGCTCAGCTAGCACCAGATGATCTCGATTCGAACTTCAATAAGACAAAGCACGAAACGCTTCAGATGCAACAAAGAGAAAAGAAGAAAGAAACAGCAGCAATGAATTGTTACGCAACTTGACGATGTTGGTTGAAGGACGTTGGCGCCGTTGAAATTAAGATTTATTAAACGCATTGAACCCGAAAGTCTCTCCTACCTCGGCACTCCGGTTTAAGGAGGCTCTTGCATACCGGTAGGCAAGGTACTTCATGGTACACTTTAGCTACTAGCGGTTTAGCCACATTGGCTAAATCCCCACTGACCTCATAACGCATACCCTTGCTCAATTCTAGTTACGGAATTATCGGAATGCTTCACTCAAAAGCCTCAAAAGCCAAATAGTTCTCGTGACATTTCTCGTTTCTAGCTGTTGAATTTCGAGTTACTATTGTACAAAGTTATGAGACTTCATCTCATATACCTTTCGTGGTTCGATATCTATTTTAACAAGGTGAATCCCACTCGATCTTGATGCGAGTCTTGAAATACGTTCCACTTGCTCCCTTCGCTTCACCCAACCCTTCTAAATCCATAGCATCCCTGGGTATCGTTTCGCTCCTTTTTTTAGACATTACTACTGTTCGTACATAGTCGGGTATACATCCTCGACATTGGCAAGGGAATACGGCTACTACCGCAACATAAACATGGCGACAAATATTACAGCCGTCAAGGCTTCCATACAGAACCCTGGGCGCAGGGCCGTACCCAAACTTTCGACTGGCTGATCGAATGGGCTACCGCCACCAAGTGTCGGATCATCATCACCCGAATCATCCGACGATGTTGTTTGTGCTGCGCTCGTAGTAGCGGATTGTGCCGTGTTTTGCGTTGGCGTAGTATCAGTCGACGTCTGTGACGAAGTGCTGCTACTATCGGACGTCGTTGATGGCGGCGGAGTTTCTTGATTCGTCGTCGACTGTATTATCGTTGATAAGTCGCTCGTAGGTGTGGTTTGCTGCGACGTTGTGGTTGAGGCTATGCTAGAGTCGGCCGACGTAATAGTCGGTGCTGGATTTATTGTCGAGAATCCTCCATTCGTAGATGTAGGTTGTACAGTCTGAGTTACTGTCGTAGTCTCGAAACCGGGGCAGAGAGTATCGACTAAGCCGCCAGATAACACGATCCCGAGCAACGATTTCGCACTGACATTCAAGTCCCCGCAAGCTTTGTCTATAACATCTTGCACCTGCTCGAGTCCCTGCACACAAGTAGATGAGCATTGCCTTCCATTTGTGAAGTCATTCCTCGTACAACCTTCTATGTCGCTCTGGTAGGCCTTGATGCAACTTTTTGGTATTTGGTTTGACGTGATGACTTGGAATTGGGACAAGTTAAGGGCCGAGGTTGTCGAGGCTATGGCCAACAGTGACGCACGTCTCAACAGTCGTCGTCGCGGACGTTGCCGCTGATGCGTCATTTCTAGCGAGAAAGCCTTCCGCGATAGTCGTAGTTCAATCTATCGAACCGTGGATATCTCGGTTCCAACGGTCGTTGGATGCTCTGCTGTACCAGAGAAGGTTGACAAGAGTGGCTGGTCTTAGAATATAACCTGATGGAATACGCAATGTCGCCTTATGTCCTAGCCGAGCAATTGGAGTACGGCCCGATCAAGCCTAGCTTTCTAGCTTGCTCGAGAAATCGACACGCCGAAACGCGAGTCGTGTCAGGAGACTCTGAATGACGGCGTGCCCACGGCTTAGTCCAATGGGGATGCTTGACGAGGTCCGGGAATGGCAGTGCCCAGGTTCTCTACGATTCTTGACTGATATACACTTATATCTAATCTTTCGGTTTCCAATTTCCTAAATCGGATTTATCCAAGATCACAAAGCTTCAGCGGATTTTTTTATGTCGACGATGACATCAAGTAACCCAGGGGATCTCCAATATCTGATCACAGCAACGCCGTTTCAGAATTGAACGATGAACCAGACGCCGCTTTGTATGTCCAAAAGCGGCACACTCCACGAAGAGAGGTATCCTTCATATAGGAGACGCTAGGCGTTTGTCCTCTTGGGTAGCGTAGTACGGCGTAAGATGCGAAATTGTAAGAGGGTTAAACTGCAGGCCAGGGGCGGACAGTGGCGCGTAGAGAGGAAGAAGTAACCACTCGAAGCAAATTATATGTAGTGAGACGGGTAGGAAAAGGGGTAAAAGGTTGTGATAGAAATCAACTCAGTCGCCAATGCGGTCAACACGAAACGCCACCTAGGCAGTTATAATGAAATATTGAATAGAAGCACAGCTTCTTTATTTTTGGCACTCAGCACGCCGTATCAGTGCGAGGGTTTCAAGCCATGAAGGTGACAACGACGGCACTCGAAGTCGAAAAAATCATTAAATGGTTAAATTAGTAGAAAGATAATGGACAGAGGAAACACTTTATGAGAAACATTTTGAGTGTTCCTTCCGAAATAGAGAAGGTTCAGGAGCCCATACGTTTCCTATTCGAGATTCGAGCTTGCCATTTGAGATCATTTGGACCCCAGCCTGCCCAGCCTACCTAGCAGATAGCAGCTGCCTCCGTGCTATGTAGAAACACGAAGGTCGCTTGGCTACAATTGGCAGTATTTGCTATACCCCTGGCATGTACCCTTGACCTATAGCGCGGGAACAGCCAATCCATTAACGAGATTCGCAATATCTCCCTCGTGGTAATCGCATCATATCTTGTCATGACCACTGGTGATCCGGTCGCGATTCGTTCTCGAAGTGACCCGACAATTGGCCCCTACAGGTAGGACTCAAACGAGACGATCCAATGAAAACGGGGGAATGATGTAACGCGGAGGAAACGAAACAATTAGGCGTTTGAGGTACCGATCAGCTAACCCCTACCTTCCCTGGCCAGAGCTCCTTCTCCAATCGCGATTATCCCCCAATTGCATACGCAGATGCGGTGTTACATTGAGTATTACCGTCTTTGAATTGGATTTCAGCAGTTACTTTATACTCGAATTATTCCTCGCCATATTCATCTTTTGCTTCATAACATATGTTATAATTCCCGTCCATAATGAAATTGCGGACTTTATCAATATTAAGACTGAATGAGCTTAGTAAGGATAATACCTACAGTTAAGAATTGATAGGAAAGGGCGACGTGATCCGCTGCAGATTGTGGTACCTAAATTCTTTTACTTTTTCTTTTTGCATATTCGTTGAGTCACTGGCCGATGCAACTTAAATTAGTACAAGCTTAGCTGAACATAACCATCATCTTCTCATACGATCGCTTGCCAATGGCATTCAAATAACGAAATGAATAGTAGTATGCACATTCTCCGAGGTTCGTATAAAGTCTATACGAAGCTCTCATCAACGATGCCTGGAAGAGTGTAATCCCGCAACTTGTCTTAGTCGCCGATATAATCACCTCTTTGTGATCGTTATTTGCGGAACGCTTAAATTGGCACTAGAAACAACTACTTTGCGAAGACAACTTAAATTTAGAGATGGCTGCAGCGAGTCGCGAAGAGATCACTTCAAGCGTCCTCGAAACCCTCAAAGGGACACCCTATGAGGCATCTTCATTAGAAGTACTATCAGGGGGTACAGCCAACTTCATATATCGAGTAACTTTATCTCGGCCACTCGAGGACGGGACACAAAATGTCTTAGTCAAGCATTCCGAGGATTACGTTGCGAACTCCCCGACCTTCAAATTGACCCTATCTCGTTGTGTATGCAAGACCTGACGCCAAACGCTGGACGTCCACGCGGGCTTATAATGGCCACATACTAACTTTTCCTAGCATATCGAAGTAGGATGTCTAAAGGCGTTATCGGACTTCCCTATCGCTGGCAAGGCAGATGAGAACGATAATTATAACTTCATCGTTAGAACGCCTAAGTTCTTCTATTTTGATGAGACAAGCAATAGTCAGATCCAGGAGTATCTGCAAGATGGCGTCGATTTGAAGAACTATGCGCTCACGACTTATGTCAATTCAAACTCAGAGACAACGAAACACCAAGCAGTCCAACTAGGAAAGGCCTTGGGCAGATGGCTCCGAGTTTTTCATCATTGGGCCGCTCAACAGGCAGAATTGCGAAGCGTGGTTGACAAAAACAAGGAGTTGCAGCAATTGAAGCATTTCATCAATTATTCATGGTTACTAGATAGGGTAAAACAGTTCCCAGCAATCCTTGGTGATGCTGAAGCTGTCTTTAAAGGAGTAAAGGATATGGCTGCCATAGAACTGATCGACGAGAGTCAACTCCAGGTAATTCATGGTGACTTCTGGTCAGGAAAGTATGAATATCTACTAATATTTTCGTTTTATAAGACTTTTTACTAATCTAGCTGTCAGTATTCTATTACCTAAGAACCCAATCCAGGAGGAAGCGGATGTACCGATGTTCGTCATCGACTGGGAGATGGCACAGCTGGGGAAACCGAACTTGGATCTAGGCCAGATGATTGCCGAGTTATACGAATTGAGGCTGTACAAAGATATTATAGCTGGCCTTTGGATTATCCAAGGATTTGTGAGTGGTTATGGCGCGATGAGCGAGGATTTCGCTTTCCGCACCGCAATCCAGACCGGAACTCATCTCATTAGTTTTGGGACGTCGGTCCAAGGCTGGGGCACACAAGAGCAGGTGGAAAACTGCGCGCGCGTCGGGAAGGAGATCATAGTCCGCGCGTGGAAGAAGGACCGCCAATGGTTTGAAGGGGGCGATCTTGCTTGTCTGTTTAACACAACTGGATGAATTGTTATTAAGCTATACAACGAGCAATGAGAATCAGTTACTATACCATACTCCAGTCGACGATGAAGAAAAACAACAAATATATGGCTGGTGTTGAATTATAAGGTTACCAGATGAAGTGTAAGTAATAAGGATAATAGGGGAGAAATTCCGGCCCCACGTGATCCCTAAAGAAAGAATTCTCAATGACTCAAGCCTAATTTTCAACTTAAACGACAATCAATACACGTTTGCTGTTACAAATATACCCCTTTCGTAACTTATATACAGCTATTTCTAAATCTGATTACATTCTGCCCCGAACATAGAAATCTTATCGGAGGCTGTAAACTCGTCCGATGACGACAGCGGCAGCATCTCCGGCGGATGCGACCGGGGTTTCCCCACCGTGCAACCGGTGCAAGGAGCAAGAAGGCACTATAGAGCTTCGGGTTGCTGAGAGAGTGTGCAAGTGTGTAGATATACTATACCCCAGCCATCTATTTATAGAAACCTAGTAAACTTACCATTCGCATAGGGCATGTTTCGCATACTACGTCTCCAGCAAGGCCATCAAACGACTCGAGGCCCTGCAGCGGGAGACCTCCGCGCCCCGTAACAGCGGCAGCGGGCCCCCGGGCCAGAGGCGACCGCAGCGGTACCTAGTTGGGCTATCATGCGGGCCGTCGTCCACGGCTCTCCTCCACGTGCTGACGGAGAACGTGCGGCAGCAGCGGGCGAAGGGGCAGAAGACAGCGCGGTTCGAGTACGTCGCCGTGCACGTCGTTGACGATACTTTATCGCCGCCCTCTCCCCAGCCAGGGTCAGGAACGGCACCTCCAAATGAATTAGATAGAGCGGAAGAACCGTCTTACCTCGCCGCCTACCGCGCGCGGTTTCCCGACGCGGACCTGCTCTCCGTGCCCCTGAGCTCCGCGCTCGCCCTCCGATCCGTAGACTGGACCGCGCTCCCCTCTCCTTCCCCTGACCTACAGTCTTCCCCTGCGCAGCAGCTATCCTCCATCCTCGCGCTCCTACCCTCCGTAACCTCGCGCGCGGACGTCCGGCGACTCCTAGTGCGCCATATCCTCGTCGCCACGGCGGCGCAGCGCAACTGCGACGCCCTACTACTCGGCCACAGCACGACGTCGCTGGCAGAGCTAACACTATCAGAAACAGCCAAGGGCCGGGGCTTCTCACTCCCATCCCTTGTGAACGACGGCTTAGTACCAGTACCGTCTCGACTAGACCCTCTCAACTCAGACATCGCTCCCAACACCACTATCACCAACAACACAAACGGCAACAGCGATGAATCCCACTCCCAAACTCCTATTTCCGTTCCTCCCCCAACTCCCACAACCCTACCAATATACTCTCCCCTCCGCGAGCTCTTCCGCAACGAACTCCTGACCTACCTCACACACACCTCTCCCCCCTTAACCCCTCTCCTCCCCGCCTCCCCCGCCGCCACATCTAACGGCGCCGTGGTCTCGCACCGGGACCTGAGCATCGACGACGTGCTGTCGCGGTACTTCGGCGCCGTCGAGGCGAGCTACCCGTCCGTCGTCGCGAACGTCGTGCGCACCACCGGCAAGCTCTCGCGGCTCCCGATGCCCGCTGAGCGCGGTCATCGTCAAGGGGCGGCGGCAGCAGATAGCGAGGAGGGAACCGCGTGCGGTCTCTGCGGCGCCGGACTCGACGAGCAAGGGGACGAGCGGTGGAGGGGCGAGATCGGGTCCGCTAGTAGCGCGGACGAGATAGAGGGCAGCGGTCGGGGGAAGCCGAGGCTGTGTTACGGGTGCGAGAGATCGGTGCGCGGATAGTTGTTTATTGCTTGGGTTGAACCGCAAGGCTTGGCCCTTTACCATCTAGCATTGCGTAGCATAACATACCATAGAATAACATGACATGACATGGCATCGCATGGCGTGGCGTGGCATAGCATGACATAGCATTCGACGATATAATGTGATCACAATTAAGAGTCTGAGTATAAATAATTTTCTTCATTGACCCCTGCTCACTTTTCAGGAGACGCTGAACCAAGCGCCTCACTTGCGTACCAGTAGTAGTATATCTACGTGGTTTCCCAAGCCCGCGTCTAAAGCTGCCGTAGTTTGCCCTAGTACAGTACCGTGAAGTGTCCGAGTATCCGTCTATCTATCCGTGCTCCTTCTATAACGAACTCGGTGTGTATAATCATCGACACTCGGATCGTCGTTATAAATATGTATGTACCGCAATGAAGATCATATCCCCATCTTCTTGAATAATACTTCCTTATCCTCGAATAGGCATGATTAGATCCGAATCCACCAGCTAGTTCTCACAATAACTACTCTCTGTAGGAACTTGAGGCACTCCCTACATTTCTATTTTCCGTTAAACCGTTATTTATTCCCTAGTCCCTCAACTAGGTCGGCTTTAATACAGCCTTTCATAGAGCCGAAGCAGGTAATATCTTCTGTTCCACCTTACGGACCAGCTTATTCGTCTGTTCCGCCAAGCTCAAGGTAAGGATGGTATGCGGTAATATACGCGCCAGGTGGGGCAGGAAGCCCTTATATATCGCGAAGAAGCCCTCTGTCCGGATCGTCTTGCCCAGGCAGTCGAAGACGCCCTTATACAAGTTACCGTTCTGGTTATACAGTCGCGACATGATCGTATCTGCGTTTTGTTTGTCAGCTTTCCTCAACCCCCTCTATCCGTAACCCACAGACCAACGGATCCAAACATCCAATATGGTGAAGAAGGAAAAAAGGGACGTACCGGGAGGATGCATAAAGCAACACACGACAAACCCAGACACCGTGCTGCTCGCCAGGTGCAGCGGCGCGCCCTCCTCCATGCCGAGGTGTCTGACGAGCCTCCTCTTCGCGAAGAAGTACGTCGGCAGCTGCACGGAGCTGCCGAAGCCGGTCCGTATCATGGCGGCGCCGACGCCCCTGTACAAGCCGCGGAAGCCCTCGGCGCGGTAGATCTGCCCCAAACCGTCGACGGCGTTGCGGTAGTTGTGCTGCGTGCCGACGGGCAGGAAGGGGGAGAAGCTCTGGAGCCGCGTCTTGACGAGGAAGAAGGGGCTGCCGGCGGCGGCGCCGATGATGCCCGACGAGGCGCCGCAGAACATGTTGATGCCGAGGTTCTGCTTCGAGCCGTCGCGCAGCAGCAGCGTCGCCAGCCCGTTGCGCATCGGCTCGTAGAAGCCCAGCCGGCACCCATTCAGCAGCACCTGGTAGACGTATGCGCACCCGATGCCGCGGTAGATGCCCTTGAGCCCCTCGTTCCGCACGATCACGCTGACGCCGTGGAAGGGCCCGCGGTAGTGGTGCGGTTGGTGGCCCTTGGTCTGGAGCTCGCCCTGGAGCTGCATTCTGCGGTGCGTCGAAGAGACATCACGGTCAGCCGAAGTCCCATATACATATATATATCTCGTCACGATGGAGAGGGTATGTTCCCAGACGCCGTAGGTATGCCCATATCTAGCTAGCTAGATCACCGACCGACTATTTGGGAAGTCCTTGTGCGAACGAGAGAGTGGTATGCGTACCGAATCTTAACCGTCTCGAAAGGGTGTGTAGCTGTGACGGCACCGCAAGCGGCTATACCGCCCGCCACGAAGGCCCTGTAGCTCTCGGATTAGCTTTCGAAGCTTCGACACCACCAAATAATTGGTTTCCTACCCAGCAGTAGTCGACATAGCGTCGTCCCGAGCGATCCGCGCCCTCAACCACTCGAATTGTTCTTGTTCTTTGTGTGAATCAGGGTCTCGGTGAAAATTGGACGCGAAGCTCCCTTGTACCTAGGCACGAGGTCGAAATTCGGCTTGGCGAAAAAAAAGATCACCGCATACGTTCTCCCGATTCGATCTGCGTCTTCAATTGCTACGAGGGCTAGCGGAGGAGAGGCGTAAATATTATAAAAGAAAGGGAGTGAAAAAAGGGGGACATTTATAAGTACATTTTTATTATTCGTTAGTTGACAATGAAGTTCATTGAACGAAATTGTCTCGTGTAAGCCGATGACTTAGGGACTTTTACCTTGGACCCTAGGTAAAGAAACCCCAAAAATTAATTGATCTCCGAATTCATTCAACCTCTTTTCTCCGAGCTCGCAACGGGTTTCCCTAGCGCCTCCATCAACTTATCTCATATGTACATATCCGTACCTAGATTGTACGGGTACATACATGTGCATTTCGAAGGATTGAATTAGCGCATACCGTGGACTGCATATTTGCTACTAGGTAAGCTTACGCATAAGGCTGTCTTAAATCAGGGAAGCCAATTGGGGCTATGTAGCCTTCCTTTACTTTACATCTTAAACAACTAGATCCTACGACCGCCCCGTGTCCGGTCGCCAGTGACTAATATTATAGGTATGGATTCATCCGAATTCGATTTTCCATTTGCTGCCGTGCTTTGTGAGCTATGTCCGATTCATAATATTACTATGCTTGAGGCATATACCAGACTCCATGACCCGTCACTAGTCCCACCTAGCCTAGCCCGTGAATGCATTCTATACTGTACACCATCCGTGGACATATGCTTCGTAGACTCCGTAACCACGAAAGGAAGAAGAGAAAACAGCTAAATTCGATGATTCGATGAAAGACACCAGCTGAAGTAATGCGTGTCAAGCAAGTATGTATGCCATAACCACTTGGCTTTTGAATAGTATAGAATATCAACCTCGACGAACCCGCTCCGCTGGACATCTAGATATGACCAGCCACGCCCAATATCAACAAAGGAAGCGCTATCGTTGGATTCCTAACTCGGTCTCTGGGACACAGATTGGACATTTTATATAATGTCCTGTTCTAGCCAATCCCGCGCGAAAGCCGATGCCGTCCAACGCTTTCATCTTAGCTTCTCCGTAGTCACCTAGAGGCCCGGTATAAAACACCACAACCATACGACCAATGTCTATGCCGAATGTCAACGGATAGGCACCTCTAAGATCGTGGCATTCTCCTCGGATTTGAATCCTCTAGCTGTACGCCAAGTACGGGAGTAACATTTTAGCAGACTTTCCCCCTTGTAAAGTGGATGGAGGCCGGATAAAGTCAGAAAGACACTCTATGATCTTTCGACTCCTGCCTGTGCCGCAGCGTCTAAGCTGGTCATGCCATTTCGCCTAGTGCTCTCCTGGCTAACTCGTGAGGGATTGCCATCAAATACCCATGGACCTGCGTCATTACGGGGGGTGATTGGGCCCTCATGCCCGTTGGTTAACGGGTGGCTATTCGGAGATGGTGTTCGATTTGTTGCAGACCGATCGCCGTTACTCATGCGAGGTGTCGCATTTGGTATGGGGACTGGTTCTGTTGCAGCGTGCCTCAATAAACCTGTCTGCACCGCGCTGCTATCGACCTGCATTATTGTCATATCGCCTACATCAACTTCGTTGGACGACTGATGCCCGTCACTGTTGCTGTCAACTGGCGAAGTTGCCGGCGATTCAACAATCTCATTTGCTTGAGAAACAGGGCGTATAGGCTTCTCTTCTTGGGCGTCTTCTATCCCCGAGTCTAGCTGCTGCCATTCATCGGACGGCTCATCTACTTCGGCATCCAGGTCGGCAGTAGCTCGGCAATTCGGGCATATGAAGATTGGCCACGATGGCCCGGTTAACATTTCCCGGATGCATTTGTAGTGCCAAGTATGGGAGCAAGGTGCAACGAAGAGAGATTGGCAAGGCTACCAGGGCAAACCCAAAATTAGTAAATGAACAGAAACCCTATGTTGTAGATATACTTATGATCGGGTGACATACTGCTATCGCGTTTAGACAAATAGAACAATCTTGGGCGTGAGCTGACGAAGATGAGGTTAGATCTCGTAACCGCTTGTGTGTTGCCATGCTACGAACATGTTAGTCATTGAATCCATATAATAATGAGATAAGGCGAAAAAATGGTATGAGAAGCATCCCTGCTACAGGTCTTGTAGGCGAGTATGGTGGATCCAACAAGGTAAGAAAGATGTAGAAAATTAGAGCAAACCGTACTTGAAAGTGTTGGGCTTCGATTGCCAGCCTCTGTTCAACTCTATGCGCATCTTGACGCATCGATAGATCATCTCCTCTCCACCCTTGAAGTCTATTCCGAGTTGCACGATGTCGCCGTCATTGATAGGGAAAGGTTTGCTCTCGGTACCCGGCGCACTGAGACGGATGTGATTAAGAAAAGTACCGGAAGAACTCTTTACATCCTTGATGTACCATTTTCCCTTCTCGAACCAAAATTCACAGTGACGGCGGCTCACCACCTTGCTCTTGAAGCCTACGGGGGCGGCTGACGGTGTGTTGATTGGGACGAGGGCATGATTTTCTCGTTCCGAATATCTGCCAACCTTAATCGTCTCTTTGCCGGTAGGTAATGTCCGCGATATCGGGGTAAACGAAAGGGATGGCCGATTTGAGCGGGCATCGTAGAATGCGGAGAATCGTATGGTCGGCAGCATGTCGTGGCTTAGGTCGCCAGTCGTTGCTGATCGAGTTCGTGTCATCTCTTCGTCGGGTGCCCCGTCAGGAGTCTCGACTTGTGTGTTAGGTTCTGACCTGGAATTTAATAGGGCTTCGGAAGCGGCCTCAGAGAATTTACTCGTACGACGACGGTGAATCCTACTCGTCGAATCGTTGTTTTGGTCTGTTGTTGTGTTAGGTGGGTCTGGGTCGACTTCATGGGGCTCATTGGGAGCGCCGGTTGTCGAGCCTTGGCCGGAGTTAGTGGGGGAAGTAGGCGAAACCGAAGGCGCAGACGTATCAGCTCTAATGCTATAATGAGCAAGGCTAGAAATATCACGCGACAAGCGATGTAAATGAATTAAGCCCCTTAACCTACTACCTCGGCCTGGAGATAGAGGAGATGAGGACGACGGTGATGAAGTTGCAGAGAGTGGGATGGTCGGGAAATAACCCGTTGCTGGCGGAGGCGCAGGTTCAGTGAACATTTATTACGGTGTGTGGGAAATCAATGAAGGGAAATCCGGGGGGGGCCTTAGGCTTAGGCTGGAAGAAGATCCGCCAAACTTCTTGTGTGAGATTCAAGAAGCGTAGACCGTTTTTTTAAGCTAGTAATGCAGCAGAATAACGAATTATAATGGATATGACGGCACTAATTTTCGACTGGATGAATGAAAAGGTCGCCTTTCTTTTTTGACCTATGCTTGCAATGCTTGTAATGCTTGCAGAAAATAAAAACGATATGCGGAGATGGAGTTGGCTGATTGATATCTCAAATGGGCCTCTCGCAGTGGGGGGAAACTTGGGGGGGATTTCTGTTTCTCGGTTCCTCTCGAGGTCTTGTGTTCGCACGACGCGATTGCTAAGATGCGGAGTCGGCTGATCAGACTGATTGACCTTACCACCGAATTCTAGGCCAGGCTATTGCGTGGACCTTGGCTGGTTGCTTGCATTCAACGTCGTTGATCTGAAATGTTCCTGATTCTCAATGTTCCGTTTATATATAAACGTAGTTGGCCGGGTTTTTTCGTTATTAATTGACGGCGCGTCGGGTCAGATAATTTCGAAAAGAAGAGAGAAAAAGGAAACAGAAAGGAAGGGATAGAGAAGGATAATCGATTAAAAGTTACAAGACAAAAATGTATTGTACAAATAATTTGGAATACTAGTAGGTAATCAGGAACGACTCAGCTGAACATTGAAGGCAAGGAAAGAAAACCAACTCAACCAGATCGGAAAACTGGCAAGTCTTACCTTGATAACTGACGACATTTCTGTCTTTATTTATTATTAAGGTTCGGTAACTGTACTACATAAGGTACAAACTCATACAAGAACATCGCGCAGTGAGAAGGCGCAGGGTAAGGCAGGTAAAATTTAGAAACAGACCATGCCTGATGGAGCAAAAAGCTGCAACCACATGCTTTCGTTTGTGCTAGTATATCCTAGGTACCTACCTAGGTAGGTAGTCCTGGCAGTGTACATGAACGCATTAAACGCATTAAAAACATTAAAAGGCTAGGGGGATGGGAAAAACGATGGAGAATGAATCCTACTTTGGAAAATATGCCCAATTAGGTATGTACCGAGAACTATTCATGGCATCCATGGCACTTATGGCATAGCATAACGGCTGCTTTCGTACGTCATAGGGACTTCGCCTATACTTCCGCGATCGAATCGTTCGAATAGGAGGCATGTGATAAATATACACAATATGTCGTTTGATAGATCGTACGTTACTCTGCAACCTACCCGAGTAGATAGAAGCATTCGTAGATGAATCGAAACATTGAAATAGTTATCTGACGGTAAATTGGTCTAGGGCTGCGATTCGTGATCGACTAACGGGTGGGGTTACTGCATACAACTCCAATGCGGCGTCAGCCGAATCAAACAAGAAAAAAAAGGTTACGGATGTCTTAAACACATCCCTGCTTGGCATTGGAGGAACTGTACGAAGGCTGATGTCGGAGATCCCTAGTGATGCCGGACATGATTTAAAGCCTTGTTTGTTGTTAAAGTCTTCAATAGCCGTGATGACGTATGAAGCAGCATCTCCATGTCATCCACTGCTTACATTTGATGCACAGTACATACATATATACGCATCTCTGTATAAGTAAGTACCCAGATGTGTAGTGCCATTGGTTCATTGGGTAGCAGATCATAAATTGAGGGTATTATTATCGATCAGCTACTTTGGTCGTGAAGTACTACCTCGGCGCGGTTCTTCATTGAGAAATGCAGTATAAACTGACCAAACCGATCAGATGCTTATTTCAGATTCCCTTAGATGCACAAACGCAATTGCAACTACTCCCGGGGTCCAACAAAGCCAATAAAGCTAGTTAGCTACCTTAACGCCATTGCCACCGGACCTTGTCCTTGAACCATTCAATGATAAAACTTAGGTTTATGCCAGGGATGATTAGGCACAGGAAAGAGGCCAGAGTTTCCTATTTTGAGGTCTTCTGTTTCTTCGCCTTAGGCTTTTCCTCTTCTTCTTCCTCGTCTAGCATCATCTCATCTTCGTCTTGACCCGCATCGCCATCAACGTCGCTCTCCGCGCTGCCGGAACCCGATGATTCGTGAGCCGAATCGTACTCCTCGGCCACGTCACTTTCACTCTCAGCCTGGAAGTCCTCGTCTACGCTCTCTTCGTCTTCATCGGCTGATCCGCGATCGGCTCTAGCACCGACCACTTCCTCCTCGGACTCATCCATGACCTCCTCGCGCAGAGCAGCCGCAAGTAAATTAGCATCTTCATCGATCTCGTTCTTAACACGCAGACCCTTCAGTTTGAAGAAGCCTTCAAGTGCCTTCAGATCTTCGCGATTAATGTTGCTGAAGGAGTGCGGCGCCCCTCCACTCTTCATGTGGACTGCAATGTCGAAAGTCGACAAGGCGGACACTGCACCGCTGACGCGGGAGAACACGATGGAGGACGTCTGATCGTAGGACACGTAGGTCGCAGGTTTAGGCACAAACATGAAGGCCTTCTCGAGACAGTAAAGAAAACCTTCCGCTGCTTTGATGGAGCACTTGATGCCGAACTGATTTCTGTGCGTCATAAAATCCTTGGCTGGAGAGGTGATCTTCTTATTGGCGAGGCCCTTGAAGATGTAAGTGATGACTTGGTGGAGCGGTTGTTCGTAGTGTGGTTGTAGTCGATCCTTGTACTGCTCATTCAGCTGCTCCTCTGTGAGGTTCAGATCGATGGTAACTTCCTCGTCCTTCTTAGCTTGCATGACGATGAATGGATACCTTGTCTGTCCCTGGCGGAGAGGGGGATCTAAACCGATACACAGCATAAAGTGTAAATCGTCCGGCTTCGGTAGTACCATAAACTTCTTGATATGTTCGTACTGAATCTTGTAGTCGTACGTCTTACCACGGAGACGAAATGACGCTTCATACATGTCGATATCAAATCGTCCACTGCAAAATGGTGAGAAAAAATATAGCTAATACGAGGAATAAAGTTAACGTACCGAGGTGTAAGGTGAAGAACCTCCAAGAAAGTAGCAATCGCATCGCCCGCGGTCTCGCCAATCTCAGCCTTGTCCATAAGCGTCTCATAGAATAATGTGGCAGCGTTCTTCTCTTCTTCGGCGCCGCTTCCTGCTTCTTCACCTTCCGTTTCCTTGCGAGTGGTGGTGCCGGGAATATAGAAGCGCATCTCCACGAGCTGATCCTTGCCTGCACCGGACTTTTTACCGCGACCTCGTGCTCCGCCCAAGTGTCCATTCGTGCCCGTATCATCTTCATTAGAAGCGGCGAATTCGACAGAGACTTCGTTGCGACCAGCAAGGTTCGTGTTGGATATTTCGGAGTAGGGCACTTCGAACGCGGGCTTATTCTGGACGTTGAATACAAGCTCGGCCTTGCTGAATTCCGTCTTTCCCCAATTCCAACCTCGTAGCGCATGTTCCTTGGGGTCTAGATTTATGCTGTACCAGTTCTTGAATATTTTGCTAAGACGCTCTAGATCCTGCGATGGCGGTGACAATTAGCAAAACGCATTGCAATATAACGAGCCGTTCCTCTTACCTCCTGCTGGAACCCGTCGAGATGAACTAGCTCGGAAGATCTCTTCAAAATCTTGACTTCGTAGCCCTTCGCAGCACGACTCCATTGTGCACTGACGATGTCTCCGCGATCGAGGGTAAATGTGTTGCCGCCTCCCGAGGGTTTCCAGCCCAAACCATTCTCAGCGAATCTGCACTTCCCGGACTCCTTGGACAGATCCAGGAAGATGCTATCGAAATTCTCACTATTGGCCATCCTAATTAGCATCAAAGATCGTAAAACCCTACTTGGTTCCGTACTTACAAAGCCGCCATGTTGTTGGGAGAGGTCCTGAAGTTGCGGAACGATTGATGGAATCGGTTGTGCAGATGCGACAGTGAAAAACCCGCCTCTTGAAGAGAAAAGATTAAGAGAAGGCGCGTCGACGCGGTACCTTAGGTAAGCTAGGAACTTTTTGGCGTAAATTGAACACGTGATTGCAGCTAGGTATTGGTTGATTATGTAACGAAGGCATTCATCAATGTACCTAACCGCATGAATTCTGGGGTGATGGAAAACCCCACTTGCCTTAACCTTGTCAGTCAGTTAAGGAGACGGTGGTTGGTTACTGCAGCTTGCAAAGACACGGTCGTAGATTTTAATAGGAGTACCTGAGTACATGGGCTTCAAGTTTCAGTCCTCCATCAACCTTACCTAATATCTTATTGCTTCGTTTTACATATTCGTTCTCCCCTATCGCCACTTTCCTCACTAAGCCTTCTCCTCCTCGCGCCCATACGCTCACACGCTCACCGACTGAATACCCATTCTCCATCTTATTACTTACTTGCTACTTACCTCACTTGCCTATTGTCCACGACCAATCATGTCTGGTCGCTTCGTTCGAGCGTCCAAATATCGTACGTCTTCTCTGCTGTGCTGCGCTACGGTCTCCTCACCCTTCGAGTAGCGAGCAGCTTGCAGTTCCAGTAGCTTGACTAACCTCGATCAAGGACATGTCTTCGGTAAATCCACAAGGAAAGAATTCTGCTACGACAATCTTCGCATAAGCCGAAATGCTTGGGACACCAACCTAGTTAAGGTCTGATTTCACCCTGCCATTCCGTATTTATGGCTATATGTATATATAACCTAGGTCTAGACGCTGACAATTCTGGTCGCAATAGGCTAACCCAGAATACCTGTCCGTCAATTGGGAGGCCAGTGGTGGAGGTGCCTTCGCCGTCATTCCCTTAAACGAGAAGGGGAAACTTCCCGATGTAATTCCTCTATTCCGTGGCCATACTGCCGCCGTTCTCGATACCGACTGGTGCGCACGCGACCCTTCGAGTGGCTGACTCCCCCTATTCCGAAGACTTTAACCTAATCTTGCTCAAGGAACCCTTTTAACGATCGCCTAGTCGCTTCAGCTTCCGAGGATGGCAAAGTAATGTTATGGCAAGTGCCTCAGGGCTTCACTCTCTTTACTGATGCTGAGGAACCAGCCGACGTCTCCCCCGTCGCTAAGTTGACCGGTCATGCGAGGAAGGTCGGTCAGGTCCTTTTTAATCCCGCCGCCGAGAATATCCTCGCTTCCGCCTCCGGCGACTTTACGATCAAAGTATGGGACGTGGGTGCCGGCTCCTCCGTCCACACGCTAAAACACCCCGATATTGTTCAAAGCCTGTCGTGGAATGCTAGTGGAACGATGCTAGTTACAACCTCAAGAGATAAGAAGCTTCGTGTATGGGACGTACGACAGGAGCGCCCTGCTCATGAAGGTCCAGGCCATGAGGGAGCCAAGAATAGTCGGACGGTATGGCTAGGAGAACAAAACAGGTTTGCCACCACCGGTTTTTCGAGAATGAGCGACCGACAGCTCGCCCTTTGGGAGCCCGGCAACAATACGCCTATTGGCGGATATAAGACTCTTGATAGTATCTCTGGTGTTTGCATGCCTTTCTGGGGTAAGATGATCACATGTGTGTGTGTCTGTCAGGCCTAACGTTGTTGTAGATGACGGTTGCAACTGCTTATACCTTGCTGGAAAAGGGTAAGTCCTTCGATTTTCCAGCAAACGACCCACAAATGAGTGTCTAATCTTGACTACATTAGTGACGGAAACATCCGCTACTTTGAATATGAGAATGATAAATTCGAATTCCTGTCGGAGTATAAGTCTGTAGAACCTCAGAGAGGTATTGCTTTTGTTCCCAAGCGCGGGGTTAATGTAAGTCATCGCCTCTTGCTTATACCTGTGACATTCGACTAACACTCATCAGGTCCATGAGAACGAAATCATGAGAGCCTACAAGACTGTCAACGACGCTTACATAGAGCCTATTTCCTTCACAGTGCCTAGACGGGCTGAGACATTCCAATCCGATATTTTCCCGCCGGCTTCTGGTATCAAACCAGGATGTAGCGCTAGTGACTGGCTCTCAGGTAAAACTGGCCTACCACCGAAGATCGATTTTGAGAGCATCTACGAGGGTAATGCTCCAGTCGAAGTCCCAGCCGACTATAAGCCCCCTACTTCCACTCCAGCGCCAGCACCAGCCCCTGTATCCAAGCCTGCTCCGAAAAAGGAGCCAGAGCCGGCACCGGCGCCGCCTCCCACCATGAAGGAGCAAAACCGTTCCATGGCAGTGATATCCTCGAAGTACGACGATGGCGAAGAGGTGGATGATGATGAAACCTCTAGTTTTGAAGAAATCTCGAAGCCAGTCCAGCGTAGTTCGATACCTGCAAAAACCGAACCAAAGCCGCCTTCCCCGACCAAGACCACATCAGCGCTGCCTCCGAGGGCGGCACCGCCGCTCAAGTCACCTACTAATGCACCAGCCTCGACTATTGCCGCCCAGGGTCCTCTATCCCCGACGGCAGGTGGCGTAGGAGTCGAGGGATCCTTGGAGCAAATCAAGCACTTGTTAGAAACACAGACGAAGTTGATTAGCGTGCAAAGCCAACAAATTAGCCACCTAACGGAGGAAGTAGATGGTCTGAAGAAACGGGTGGGATCTGGATCGCAGGACCAGAGTGAACGCATCCGACAGCTTGAGCTAGAACTGGAGGAGCTGAAGTCGTGATGTGGAAGGATGTGGGGATATGTGTTGAGGCAAGATAGAAGAGCCGAGCAGGTGTTGAGTAGTGGATGGATACTGATCTTGATGAAGGTTGCATGCCCAGTCGATCGCAAATATCTCAAAACCTAGAGATGCGTTGACGTTCCTAAATCTCTTTGTATTGATAGGTGTTCAACCAAAATCTCTCATCAACCTAACGTGGATAGGTGAAGTCGATGCGTGTTGGGTGTATTCTTATCACGTTAAGCAAGCTTTTCTCATACCCCTAGTTTAATACCCTTTGTTTGCTGGCTTAGGGATTATGTTCATTATATTGTCACTATCCCTATTGTTTAGCATTCCATTCAACACAATCATCAAATTTGACCCCTGTACCGCCAAAGCAGTCCAACGCACTGCCAATAGTGAGATCTACTTTACCTTTACTTAACTTTTTCACTAGCTCTAGGTCATCGAGGTTTCTCCCGCCGCCAGCATACGTCACCGGTATGTTGCACCACTCGGCAAGCCTCTGGACAAGTTGCTCGTCGATGCCTTTTTGTAGGCCCTCGTTGTCGGCCGCATGGATGAGGAACTCGGAGCAATATGGTTCCAGAGATTTTATGGATTCTACACAGCCAATGTTTAGAAGAGTACGCTTCTCGGTTTAAGACGAATGTTTGCGTACCTTGGTTAACCTCCATGTCTGTAATAGTCTGCCACTTATTCATAGCCACGAACCACTTATCATCACCTCGCCGCCTGCAACTAAGATCGATGACGAGATGTTCTTTTTGCTCGCTAAGCGCAGCCAGCACGGCATTCAACCGCTCCTGGCTGAATTTGCCCTCTGGAAAGAGGAAGGATGTGATGATGACCTACTGGAACGTCCAGTCAGCAATAATATAAAGGGAAACGTATGAATCGTGGTTTTGGAACGACAAGGCTATCCGACAGCCCGAATATCACTTACCTTACTAGCACCTAGCTCCATCCACATAGCAGCGTTCTTATCATTGATCCCTCCTCCAACCTGAAGATGACCCGGCCATGCTGCCAAAGCCTCCTTTGCAGCTTCCTCGTTCCCAGGGCCTAACATAATCACGTGCGCGCCATCAAGTTCATGATCTCGGTACAGACTGGCAAAATAGCCCGCGGAGTGTTGCGAAACATAGTTCGTCTTGAGCTCGGCGGTAGAGCTACCGAGGGTTCCGCCCACGATCTGCTTCACCTGACCAGCATGCAGGTCGATACATGGCCTGAATCGTGTCATTATGCGTAGATGTTGTAAAGAGGTTTCAATAGAATTGTCATTCCTTGAAACTCGTGGCGGGGCGTTTTGTCTTAGATCTGACGATCGTTTAGCTATCACGAGGCTATGGCGGGGTGATTTTTGCTGACAGGGGTTAAAGCCAATTACCGTAGCTGATTGGTGGGGCTTAAATTGTGAATGGGAAGGCTTGGGACTAGCACTAGCGTCTTCGTCAATCGCTGAAGATCCTCAGACCCACTAAAAAGTTTAGACTCTTTCAACATCAAACGTCAATCAATCACTCTATATCAACCTCATACCATATTTACTAAATCACACCAAAGATGGCCACAGTTCTCGGGAAACGAAAAGCGCCCTCACAAAAGGAGGAATCTTCAATAAATCAAGAGGATGCTCAAGCAATCTTCAAGCGGCACTTTGAAGCTCAGTTCGCCCCGTTAGAACTAACACAACCAATTCTTAAGACGACACAAACTTCTGAGCCTGAAGATCTGCGATCTGATTCAGACGACGCCTCTGATGATTCTTGGGATGGGATATCTGGCTCAGAATCAGATGAAGAGCTTGAAAATTCATCTCCTGACACTTCGGCAGCCGAAGCCGTCGAAGTAGTCTCACACACAAGCGCGCTCCCAGGACTCTCTAATGACCCCCTATCCAAGCGTGAGAGTAAAGCATATCTTTCCTCACGCATCCCATCCTCATCTATAGACCCATCACCATCTATACCTACCTCAACAAAGAAGCGCAAGACCACCACGGATGAGGATGCCCCATCGCTTCTGAAGAACGACTTAGCGTTGCAACGCCTATTATCTGAATCGCACCTCTTCTCAGGATCAGGACATAATGAAGGGAGCACAGAACATAAAGGCCGCAACCGCCACATAGCAACAGATCTACGGTTATCAGCTCTAGGTTCGAAAGCCAGCATCTTTAAGCAGACCAAGATGCCCATGTCGCATCGAAAGGGGATCGCGGCAGCAGTAACGGCGCGAGAGTCCAAGAGGCGAAGGGAGGCACGTGAAAATGGGATAATTCTTGAACGGCCTGCAAGCGGAGCTGGCAAAGGAAACACAAAGATGAGAAAGAGGGAAAAGGCCGTCGACGCACCGGCGGTGGGGAAATTGAGGAACGGGATGTTAAAGCTAAGCCGGAAGGATATCACGGAAATCCAGGGCAGTGACAGGAGATCAGGTGGCAAGAGCGGTGGGAAGCGACGACGCAGGTGACGATACAGTGTAAAAGTTAGCTGGTCAAAGCTGATAATGAATTGTGATATGACTCATACTGTGCCCTTCCTAAGTATGGGTATATCACAGCTGTTAGCCCTAGAGGTAACTTCATACTCATGATCAGCCCCTCCAGTACCTAACTTTTTTACTATAAATACTTCACTGCAAATACTTGTTCACCTCAAATACTTCCAACTTTCCAAACTTCTAGCAGCTCGTTCAGTCCCTTGTCCACACACCGTGAGCCCAGCACTAAAAATCTTGTCTACCTAGACTTTTTTTATTTATCACCGTGACGCAACATGAAGATCAAATCTTTTCCCGCACAAAACGTCACTGAACCCGAAAACAACATCCCCACAACCACAACTTCAACGATCCCAGGCCGCGACATCATGGCTTCCGACGCCGACAAGCTCAATCAGTCGTTGCAGTGCATCTCAAGCAGCATTAACGAATTCGCGGCCAAGACAGAGTCGAAGTTCGCCCGTGTTCACGATGAGATGAAGAGCACGGACAAGCGCATCGACGCGGATCTGACCCAGATTCGTATCGTAGTGCGAGCCGAGGTCGACGACCTCAACCGCGAGGTTGCTAAGATGCAGAAGGACGTCAACAAGCTCCAGCCTCACTTCGATGTCGTGTACAGCGAGCTGCAGCGCCTGCGCCAGGACATGTCGCAGCTCACCCAAGTGCCACAACCCCGTCTGCCCGATCCGCCCAAGCTCCTCGACTCCGACAGCCACCTCTGCCCCTGGCTCCGACAGATGGTGGCGAAACTGCGCATCGACGGCGACGCTATCGGATCTCCTGAGGCGCGCTTCTACTACGTGTACAACTTCTTGAGCATCGGCATGCAGGCGGCGGTCCTTTACGTCTGCTCGGAAGCCGACATGCTAGGCGAGTGGGATGTCAAAGCCCTCCTTGCCGCCATCATTGAGATCTCCCTACCACTTAACCGTGTCCAACGAGATTACGCGCAGACTATGCTTCATCTCCTCTAATTGCGTCCGACGAATGACGCGAGTACTGCTTCCTGTATCGAATCGCACAATTTTTTAAAACGATGCAATCAAGTGTTACCTGGTGTTGTAATGATACCTATTTGACAGAAATTCCCGCCGTTTGAAGGTTTTTATCGATACTTTTCAATCCTCTCGCTGTCGACCCAACACACACTCGTCTCAATTGTGCTTTTGTCTACTTATCGCCGACTGTTATCGACTCTGTAAGTACGATCACAAGATACTTTTCACTTTGCATGTGCTAACCTACAAAGAAGCAGCCGCCGGTACTCGACACAAATTTTTTTTTTTGCCTCGGTTATTTTCTCGGTCTACCTCTGAGATGACGAACGGCGTACGGTATACGGTCTAATAAACGTTTCATTTCCTCGGTTTTTGACGTTTTCTATCCGGCCACCATTGCATCCGAGATGCTCATCTCACGATGAGTCGGCTCAATTAGGAATCACGCGTTGTTATGCAAGGGAGGAGTTGTTATGGACGGATACTGCTGTGGGCTTCATAGGAACCCGATGACAATACAAAGGACATTGTCATATGACTTGAATATGCGTATATACAATGTGATATGAGCCGTAAAATTTGTAGGAGCTCATGATGCTGCTTATCTGTAGTACATTTCCACGGCCATACCTGCGGAACGACTTACCAGAACCATACCTAGCCTAATTGAACCTACCTACAAGGTCCTGTATAATCCATACTTTGTCTGGTCCTCCCCTGATTGTCTCCATACGCCCCCTTCCATCAAGTGGGGAGAATCGAGTCGTACATCCCAATATTGGAGTTCTGTTATGAGGCAGCTCAGCGGAATAGATTGGAAGAATATGACCTAAGTAGAGGTGGCGTCCATGGTCATCGTCATTCCGGGAACACCGCCGTCTAATGTTGATTATTCAACACCAGTCACGCTCAACCGCGTGCTACGAATCATTCACCGAATCGAACCAAAGAGACAAGCATATAATGGATATTTATACATCAATATTTATTGAATTTTCAAAGTTTGTACGACTAGTCCCATCATGACTATATCTTCAATACTTTGAAGGGTCGACGTCGACCCTTTAAACCTGGTATCATCTCCCGTAGCTCCGGCTCCCTACAGCCGGCCCATAAGAATGGTGAAGCGACAAATAAAAAAAAGGATAAAAAAAGAATAAAGAAAGCAAATATATATACAAATACACGAGTGGTGGTTCTCCGACGGCTTTCCATCTCTTCCCCCGATCATGTTAAAGAGGCTCGCTCGGCTTCGCTCTTCCACTATGAAGCGGCTAGCCTTTCCAGTCAGGCAACAGCCGTCCCGTCTATCAAATGCTTCGTTTTTTGGTATCCCTCGTGCTAAAAATGAAAAAGCAATCGCCGTGCAACGCGATTAAATGTTGAGCAGGACTCTTCTAGCCCACTGATATGAATGAAATCCCCAATTCTAGCCACAATATGCCATGCAAAATCAAACCGCTAAACCCGAGTTAAAAGCCAAAATTGGACGGGTATATATCCCATCGTGATGCGTTCCGCATAAAAATGAATTGCGATTACATCGCCCCCGCTGGCTGGCTCATCGTCATTGGCATGCTCAGCGTCTGCAGGGGGTTGAATGATGACTGGGTCATCCCACCCGTAGCAAGACCGTTAGTCGTGGGCGTCGATGTTGCGACAGAGCTCAAGGATGTTGGGATGTAGCCCGACTCGGAGTTCGGCGAAGCCTCCTCAAGCGAACCGAGCTGATCCTCACCCGAGTACTCTTCCTCATCTTCACCGGAGAAGTTCAATCCGTTTTCGGCACCTTCGCCGCGATCGTGTGTGCGCTTGTGTCTGTGACGATAGGGTTAGCTCTAGCCTTAACTAGTAAACTTGTCGCTCCTGATGATGAGTTGATGTAGGTGCTGTTGTAGGCTTCTCATGCTGTGGCTTGATTCGGATAGATTGATTTCGGTCTTAGTGCACGCCGCACAAACATCGTTGCTCATCACAGGATCTTCAAGTTGACAAAGAAAATTTAGATAGAAAAAGTTGGAGCCATACTGTGCTAGGTTGTCGGATCTAGAGAATGCCTTGCTACAATAGGGGCAGATATAGGGTCTTTCTTGTGTATGGGTTCTCACGTGTCTAGATATTTGGTTAGATACACAACGGTGCACCACACAGGAGACAAAAGAAAATAATTGATCTTACCGCTTCAGGTGCTCGAGGCGCTTGAAGAGACGGCCACACGTGGGAATCGGGCACGAATGAGACTTTTGCGGGTAAGGTCCCAGCTCCATGACAGTAGCTGAGCGAGCTCGGCGGACCACGTTGGGACCAGCCTGCATCACCCGCTGTTCGGTCATCGAGCCGTCACCGTTCAAGTCCTCGTTGGTGAACTGGGGGAAATCTTGTCGCTGGAGAGAGAGTGGGTTGAGAGCAGGGCTACCCTCGACCGTAGATAGAGGGGTGCCATGTCTGGACATCTCCATGTGCTGCTGATTGGTCAAGGATATCGTGGAATTGCTGTAGGAGAGGCCAGGAGGCGAGTTGCCTTGAGACTCATCACCTTCAGCTACCGGGCCGACTGACGCTGAGACAGATCTTCTCAGGTCCGACGGTCGGTGGGCGGCTGCTTGAGCCTGCGCCTGAGCCGTGGCGGCAGCGATCGCCGACATTGTAGGAGGGATGGATGAACGCCGTCTTCTCTGTTTGTATGTCGGCGATCCTTCGATTACAGAGTAGACATTGTTGGTACCATAGGCACGAGAAAATTGTGGCCCAGCTAAGTTAGACGGGGGTAATTGCATCATCCCGTTCAAACCGTTGACACCAGCCAAGTGGTCGGGAATTGCCGTGTACAAACCGGTCTCCTCGTTAGCAATGTAGGCCGGTTCGGCTCCAATTCCCATAGCTTGTTGAGGAGGCGTGATTGGCTCGAAAGAGATGCCTCGGTTGCTATAGTCTTCGTAATGGGACGAAACAAACGAGGGGGCAGGCGAGTATTCGAGACCGTACGCCGGCATCGAGGCATGACGCTGGTGGCTATGAGACATAGGCACACCGTTCTGGTTGTACTGGACACGGTTGAAATCAGGCTCCCTCTTGACCACGTGTTGGACCTGCTGGGGCATAGCTGGGGCCATCGTCGCCATCGTGCCGTATGGTACCATGGCGTCCATCCCATCCGCTAAAGGGGCCATCGACTGAGGCATCATTTGCGGTGGGGGCATGGGGTCCATTGCCCTCATCACAGGGGATGGGGCTTGCGACTGAGAAAAAGACACTTGCTGAGCGTTGAAAGACGAAGAGTTGGCTTGTTGCGCCTTCGTTAGCTGCTCGTAGAGAGATTGCGAAGAATCGTACTGGAAGGACAGAGCGGGTTCGCTAACGGCCATGGTAGTGGCCTCCTGACCCATCTTCTCCCTCTTCAAATCTCTTTCCAGAGCGTCGAGGAAAAGGCGGTCGTGCGGTACGCTATACCAGTAGAAGACCTTCTGCTTCTTTTGCGTTCGAATGCAATTGTTCTTGTAGAGGAAATCTAAAAATGGGCTCTTCGGCTCTTCTAGCGAAGCATCCGTTCCAGACTTCAGATTTCGAAGGTCGGAGAAAATACCCTCCTCGAACTTCTTCGAGTTCTTGACGGGTCGGCCAAAGGCCTGAAATCGAAATGAAAGGCATCGCACAATATCAGTACCGGAAATGTGGAATAAGTTGTTCCACAGCACACAAGAAACATATTCGCCGGTGGGCAATAAGAATCGCCTAATGTACTGATCGGGCTGCCAGTCTACTGGTGCCGAAATGAGGAAATATTTCACTGTGATCAATGGTAAGCTGACGGAGCACTAAGAAGGCCTGAGCGTGGGGAATTGGCGACTCACGATTATCGACTTGCTGCAATGCTACTTGCGCATCGTGTGGTAGGGCTTGCTGAGCTTCGGTGCTGAGCATGAAAGTCTCAGGCTTCTGGGGAGCTGCTGCCGCCATTGCCGCCTGTTGTGAGTACATTATGTACTACACAATTGCCTCGGGAATGGCGCTGGGAGTCCAGGGCCTTGGCCTCTTGCAATGACCAATAAGTGGGATATGTGGCTATTAGATTTGTTTTTATCAATAACAATAGAAGATGGTTCGTATTAGCTCGTTTGCGCTATCGTCGTTTCTAGATGTTAATATCAGGGGGATCTTCAAGGCACAGCCCTTCTTCAAAGAGTGATCCACCGATAACAGTTTCGAGGTCTGTGTCGTTGATTTCGATGTCGAGTCCAGCCCGTACAAAGTTTTTTTCTTGTTATGCAGACGATATTAAGCCCCCAATTTGCCTCAAGCGAATGGTTAGGCGTCGTCGTCGGTGCGAACCTTCAAGGTGACAGTTGGTAATGAAAAAGATGGCGAACGCTCCAATTGCGAATCTCTACGGTCTGTGGTGATAGTGCGAGCCGTGCACCGAAGAATTGATATGCGAAGTTGGATGCTGTGCGCGGTGGAATTAAAATAACGTCGACTCGCTTTCTGCAGGTTTGCGGCTTGCCCTTCCAGGTTCTCGCTGGAGCTGTTGGCAGTTGGTGGATATAATTGTTGATAGTTCGCCAAGACCACGTAAGAAAATCCGACAGACCGAACTGGATTAAATCTTGTTTATTGAAACAATGACAGAAGTTGGTTCCGACGTCAAAAGAGACGAAACGGAGGAAATAATCAACAGGATGCTCCCCGAGAATCAAGAATACTGATTGATGGGGCTACGGTTGTGCCGGACAGTCGGGTCTACGCTCGTATCAAATGAGAAGAGAAAAACGTCTCGCGGCCGCGGAGTTAAGAGTGAGAGGAAGATTGGCTAATCTTCTTCGTGTGCGGGCTTTCTCCAGAGAGAGGGAGAGGAGAGTGAGAGAGAAGAGACTGTGAGTGGTTGTGTAATTGCCTGCAACACGAGAGGAGGGCGAGGCGAGAAAGGCGAGAAAGGGGAGGGAGAAGGGAAAAAGAGAGTGTAGAGAGAGGGGTTCTGAATAGAACAAGTTATCTTGCGAAGAAGATTCAAAGTAGGTAGGTCAAGAAAAAAACGGGAGGAAGAGGAGTTCGGGGGGTTTAATGATTTCCGCTGGCCTGGGGGTCTGGCCTGTCTTTTTGCTCTACCCAGGTCAGTCTGGTATGGCGCGGTGGTGTCGGGTAGGAGAGAAGAGATTTAGAGTGGAGTGGGCAAAGTGGGCGACATGGACGATTGGGCGAGTGGACGGAGAGACTTGTTTAAAACGGGCTTAATGCAAATAAACCAGTTAAGCACAGCGGCCAGCGGCCACCAGCCAAGTTAGCCCGGTACACCCGTTGAGCTAGTCTAAGCCCGAAAGGGAATGGTACTCGTGCCTTTAGTACACCTTTACTACATCTTTATTATACGCTAGTCTTAAAGTGGAACTATCTTTCTCTGCAAATCTGCAAGGAATCCAGGAACAAGATTGGGCACGACATTCCCTCTTCCCTCTTCCCTCTCAACGGCGGTTGTAGACATGTACCTATTCATACCTACCTACATACGCATGATGTGTTCAATGGCGTGCCTTCATTTGTACCTTTCCCTCTCTCTCATTCTGTCACTACCTACGCTACCTACATACGCTACTACGCATATGTATGTAGCATGTAACATACTTATACGCTATTATATATGTAGCCTAGGTAAAATGGACCTTTGCAACCCCCGTCCTCCTCCGTCCTCCCCATCTTCGAACTTGCATATTTGCATACCTTGATGCCAATCGACCAATCCATCTACACACCCTCATCGTAGAAACGTGGCTGTTCGGAGGTGTCTGTTAACGGCCTGTAAAGGCAACAAGAACTAGAACCCGGGCCTACGTCGACTACTTGGGTGCTCCATGAAAGGCACAGGCAAGATCAGATTAATACGAAGTTGTACAATCATCGTAGATGACAAGAAAAACTCTTCACGAGAGGTCATATTCTAAAGGAAACGCCGAGAAGGCCAGGAGTTAAGTTTGCTCAACTGCTTACATTCTAGAACCAGCTGTTAGGGAGGCTTACCGCATAGCATCTGTCGTTCTTCGGGCCCGCCATCATTAATAGCTACTCGGCGGACTAATATATTTACCTAGAAATAGATACTATGTGCGATGCAATGCCAACCCGACAGTTGCCATCCGTCATACATGGCATTGTCCCCTTGCCGTGGGAGGGAAGCAATATCGAGTGTACGGTATGATATAGTACCTAGCCCAGCCTTATTTTTACTACATACTATGTAGTAATATGTAAAGAACGAGGATTCCCCCTTTTCGGCATATGCTTACATAGTATTTCGCGTGCTGTATATAACCTAAAATCTCCTCAGCACGTTTTTCAATGCATCAACCTTGCCTGACGGATATCACATCTGCATAGTACCAACATTCCCACGGTGGACAAAGCGTTTTCCCCATCGGCGGCCATCTACGCAGTATTCAAGAATAAGAAGAACGGCGATCTCGTGCGACTTTGCTCGCCTCGCTCGAAGTCATCTCTCGGGGGATATCTCTTGTTATCCACCAGGGCCAGGGATGGTTAACTGAATAGACGGGTGAGTGCTACCTCAGAATCAAGTTGCAAGGGTAATTTACGTGGACTCAGCACACGGTCCTTCTTTTTATCCACTATCCCGTGCTCGGAGTTCCTCACTTCTCTCGTAATGGATCTATGCACATATTTGCAAGCTATGCCAGGTTTGCACTGACCTGAAGAACCTGGCATCGGTTTATTTTCCCGCTATCAACTGCATCATTAGGGGGCTGTCGAACCGAGCAGAATAGCGTCAATCTACCCAGCTAATAACGGATAACATCGTCTTTCAGCCTCCTCGTTACGTGCGTATAGATAAACTTGAATATCACAAGGGGCATGATTAAAAATTGACGGATTATAGAACGAATAGGTGTCACCCGTAAGTGATGGGGGATATTGGGTAAAGCAATAAAGCGGTAAAATGGTGAAGTTGTAAAAACATATTCCACTCCCCGATACCACCCTAGCTTTTGAAATATGTTTCTTCCATATTGACATACACGGTATAAATGAATAGGGGCTCGCCAAAGTTAAGGCAGCGAGTATCACAAAGTCTACTCCAACATATCAGAGTGACATGGCATTCTACCACGTTTGATTGGACTGCAGATTTACTCCGGGCACACTCGTCAATTCGTACGCAGGCCAATATATCAGGTTACGATTTTCTTCATCACAGATCTCTAGGTACATCCGTACGGGAAGCTTTGGTTGGACGGTTGGACGGTTGGGAGCCCTTCGCATACCACCAGAGGATATGTGCGCAACAAAGAATGCTATAAGACAGCCGCGATCCTGTCCAACTGTTCTTGTCTCTGAATTGGCTCGTCATCTTTTAATCTGTACTGCCCTAGTTGTATGTTTTCTACATACATATGTATCCAGAGTCTTAGACAGCTCAGTGTATTGGAAATCCAATTGGCAATTGAGGTCGATGTATGGGTCAGCTGTAATCTCCGTATGCTGGTACATCGCGGGATGACAAGAACAAGGTATGTAGACACGGGCAGCAGGGGAAAGGGGAGAGCAGGATTCATCACCGCTCATTACAGTCGTCGGTTGCGCATGTATTCGTCGGCTTCCATGTACCGAAATCGATAATCCAATTCTCAAATTCTTGAATTTGTGAAATACATTTATTGCGCCTGACACTATGGAATTAGGAATCGCTGACAAACTGCAAGAATCGCAAGATTCAAAGACATTCTAACCTCGATAGCTAATAATAGTTAAGCGATGCACTAAAACTGTTCCTACATAACGAATTGTTCGCTGTTAATGATTGCTGCTTTAAGCGAACCGAAGTATTTGCCACGCTTTGTTCACGTTAAATTCAAATTATTTTCTTGTGGTCAATGTTGCTAGCTTAATCATCTCTTGGCGCATAAGCCCCTGTAGTTGCATTAACGAGACAAATACCAGATATGTATTTAGGGAGGAAATAGGGGTATGGGCTATTTCGATTATGTATTTTACCTCTATTTTGTATTTTACGTACCTGCGTAATTCATGGATCCATGGATCAATGATCTGTTGTTCCTACTTCCCCTGTCGATAGGTGCCAAGAGCAAGAGACGCTGAATGGTGCCATTGGCACGTTGATCCTTAAATCCCTGTGAACTTCTCTCTGACTTCCTTGTAAATCTGAAACACGCCTGGAGCACTGCTTCAGAAAAATAGCTGGAGCCAGACATCGGCGCTAACCACTGCTTGGGTCAAGATGGTCTTCCCATTATCCCACCTTCACCAAGTTCGATCCAATTGTACAATTGCTCCAATTCGACCCAATCAGCATTAGAATTCCCACGTTGCATTTGCTTAACTCCTATCCAACAACGCGTCTTCCAAGTTTCCAATTACTAGGTAGTCAACCAACCAGCAACCTATCATTCAACGACCACATAGGAGGCGAGAATAAGAAACGGGATGGATTTTAACAATGCTACAGGGAACCATATTCCTCCGCATTTATGCATAGCATCGTATACACACAAGATCGATAACGTCAATAAAAAAGATAGTCATGGAATTTGGATGGTTAAACTCAACTATGTAAGTTCGTCGGGGAGTATCCTGTCTTTTTTATTTATGTCGGTATTATATCAAAGATGTTACAATCTGTGCCAGGCAAGCCTGTTTATGAACCCGTTGTATCGGTAGAATTTTTCGATTGTTTGACGGGTTGCGTCTACCGGCTCCTATGCTGCCATGTTCCGTGGGAAGATTCCCCGGCTCAACGTTTCTGGTATAGCTGAGAATCCTTGAAGAGGGAAAGGCTATAATATCCCGCCGCTATAGGTAGTCGATATTACCAAGTTTTTATTTCCTTTCGACAATCATAACTTTCGTATGGCTCTAGTTTAATAGTGTCTCCCTTCCAAGACAAACGTTAATATCCAAATATGAAGGGCAAGGTGTAATCCCAACTTGTCGTCCAATCCTTCACCAGCCTTCCAACGAGAAGTCGGCGTAGATATGGAACGGAAATGCGTCTAAACTTCGGGCTTTGCTCCTGCTAAAATGTTTGTTCAATCAAATGACAAAGTATAGGAAACGGCTGGAAAGCGGCAGGCAGGATTGGTTTGATGAACGTGGTTAGCATAATTCGAAACTCGAAAACAATCACACCGAGCAAAGTCGAATCGTCTATTAGGAGTTCAGGTCAGCCCCATGACGACATATGCAGTCACATCCACTCCTTTCCCAATCGACCCAAAGACCCTTGCGATGCTAGAACTTGCCGTCGTGGCAACTTAGCATCGATCTAATACAGTATCGCCATGTTAAGTCTTCACACATGTAAGTTTCCCGTGGCTGGCGCAAGCTAGCGTAGGAGGCGAGGATCGCAACCGCTGAAGCGAACCAGGCAATAGGTATACCTACACGTGAATCTAAACAGTAAACAAAAAAGCAGCACCGAGTGTTCGTATCTCGCAGGTGAGCTAGCGTATCTGCAAGTTGAAGCTCCCGGGTGACATCGCCGCAAACTGCAAACCTCCTCCGCAATTTCACCGCAAGCTGCAACGCAACGGTGGGATTTTAGGAATACGCTGAACAAGCAAGCTAGCAAGCTACAGAGCTCAGACACATAAAGCTTATCGATCGGTAAACGTTGAAACAAACGAAAGCTTACTACATTAGGCACTTCTCACGCGAGATAATCCTTTTTAGTAACGACGTCTCTCGGAGATATCACCTCTTAAGAGTATTCGTACAGCGCTACTAGTATAGTATTAATTTAGTAGTGCAGATAGCAAAACATAAGTCTAGTGCCGACCCTGGTCTCCGTATTTGGCCTGCTTCGCTGCTTTGCTAGTTGTACCATTGCTGAGCTATGGCGGCTGGTAGTACCAATGACTGCTGTGCCCGTTAGTATCACGAAGTTAGCATTATGCTTAAAGAATAAAAAAGTAAACCTACTTCGTACCGCATTCTTCAGCAATCCCGGGGAACCAATTCATGTGGGCGTCTATAGCGATCTAAAACATAGATTGGTATCTTCAATCTAGATTCGCTCCTCAGATGCTATGTTTCAAACCCCGTTAGGCTTGTTCCTACATCGGTGTGGTCTTTCTACTAGCCACCTACATGGTGGCGTGGACCAATGACATGGCTGAAGAGCTGATTGAAGACTTGCGTATCGCTCGCAGGGTTGGGGGCGTGAGCATAGCTCTTCAGCCTTCTCATTGGCTGCTTCAGATTCTTTACCAACCTACCCGTTGCCGTGTGGTCGCGGCCAGGACAGAAATAGAACTTGTCATTGTCTCTGGACCATAGATCTCGTGTTGACCGAATTCTTGGCACTATATCCGCTGGAGATCAGTGTGGGTGACATTTTGAAAGTGGAAGAGGAGGGGAAAGGGGGTCAGCGAATAGATCGCACGACGGCTCTTGCATAATACATGCTAGCGGCTCTCTCTTTAAATTGATCTCACCAAGTTTATTCTTAGTGCCCGCCTCGGAGAAAAAAAGTAAAAGTAGGTAGATTGAAAAAAAAAACAATGAGAGCACGTCAGATTAATGGAGTCGACACAAATCGATTGGGTCGCAAGTGCAAAAAATATGCAAGTCAAATGTCCAGTCGCCCAAAAAGGATTATGCCGTGGGCCGTCGCAAAGTTACCGCTCTATGGACTTTGTGGAAAGCGGCAAGCGCCGCAAACTTAGTACGTACCCGCTAAGTTCCTGCCCAGGCGTTCATTTACCAGGAATACAGGAAGTAGCATGGGCAGGAAATGACCAAAGCTTAATGAGGAGTTCTTACCGTCTAGATGTTTCCGGAGCCCAGTGCCCTGCCTGTCTGCCTATGCCTCTACATAGTGAAAGCTTACATAAGATCAGATTAGTATGCGGGTGTAGGTAGCCTCCAACTGTCGCTTCTCAACCCTAACTCGTAAGCCACCATTTCGTTAACAACTTTTCATAGGTAGGAATTGGCTATTGATAGTCATTAATTTAACCAATTCGGCACAGCATATATTTTCAACCAAGCGGTGGCTAGGCCCCCGGGATCGAGCCATCGGATGACCTCGCGCTGCCCGCGACAATCCAAGCATCAGCAATGCTGCGATGTCAATATCGAGGATGTGATCAAGAAGCAGCCGCACGGCACTTACTATGATGAGAGCCACAATGGCAACTCTGAAACATGATGGACTCGAGGTCACGAATGTGATTGAAACATTTCAAAGGTGGAGTGTGGGTTATACTCGACCGTCGTGTTTAATCTTCCGCCGAATCGGAGAAGGTGACGGATGATAGATTATCTCATTGGTGTGCCTGGATTCCGCATAAACATGCGGCAGGCAAAGCACCGAGCAAAAATAAGGTCCCTGGGGTCCCTAGGTCACTTGGTCCCTTCTTGGTCCCTACACTCGACAGAATCGGGGCGAACCACAACCTTCAAAGCTGTCAATCTTCACCACCCTAGCCACCCGGAACCTTGCACGTTCAGTTTTCGGTAGGCGGTCAGCCCTCTTAGACCAGCCCACCAGAACTCTGAAACCGACATCACGGACATCATCAACTCTCAGGTCGATTTTCCGCGGGTGCCCCCTCCGCTTCCTTTAGCCAGGTACATGAAACCGGCATAGCTCGTCACAAGTTCTTCCAGAAAGGATATAGAATTACGAAATGTGATGAATATGGCCTAGGTTTATCATGCCGTCCTACTATCAACTATCCACCACTACGGTATTATCCCGCCTGTGCGGGTCTCCACAGGTTGCGAGAACTTTGGGCGCGTGCGTACGCTACTGTCGTTGGCCTAGCCTATCCGACAACACATTCGGAGTCCAGTTGTTATGCTGGCGGCAACGTGCATAGTGGCATAGGAAACTGCGGAGTTGCAATGATTTCTAATCTCATGATCACGACCGTTGGCAGCATTGAGGTTGTTACCTTGAACTCTCGAGCCTCTATCGCTATCAGACTGTGGATACGACTAATCTATCTCTGTGCGCGTGTGTGAGTGTACGGGTGTGTCACAAGCTCATGAAGCTTGCCTCGGGCGAGCAACTCAATGACGACGACTACTATTTTGGCGTTCTGTTTGTCTTTGTTTCATATCTCGGTATTTCTTTCCTTCGAGGTCGTGATGACTTCAACTAACAGGACTGGGTAGGCTCTTGGCTCCCCAGAGATCGGCCTGTTTCATCCTTTCGGACATTTTACACCTTCCACAATCGTTACCAGCCCTGCAATGTTAACCTCAATCAGAAAGTTCTGAATTACGAGTCCCCGCCTCGCTACGACGCTATTAAGCTACCCTACCATCCCTCGTGGGTCTTTTGAAGCTTTGACTTTGCGTTGCCCTACCATGGGTTAAATTCTGAAACGCTAGCAACCAAATGCCTTCTGTTTCAGCCTTTTAGAGGGCCAGTTGTGCAGTTCTGGCGCTGGTTACCTTGAGGCGCCGACGCAAGCCCCCTCGATACAATCCCATCCCGCCGACGGATAATTCCCATCGTATCTAGTACACGATACCGATTATTCAATTCAATTCGTACCCTGTAGGATTGTGACCCACGCGCATTGAGCTACCTAATAGTCACCAGCTATAATACTGAACTCACTAGATGTCATAAATGTCATGAGTATCATTGCATCGGCTTTTAGGTCATAAATTAGGTTCGGTAAGACTAGCTATTTATGTTTACCGACGATTTCAAGCCACAATTTTATTTACTACCTATCGACAGGAATCTGAGTCGCCCCTCCAAGCCAGATCGATCTAGGAGCCAGTCACCAAGAGGACTAGCCGGAAGCTAACCGGCCCCGCTGACGGGGGAAAGAGATCGTCTTCTGAAACGGCCGGGGGGGCTCCTTGACCTTTTTCGCTCGATTTCCCTGAACGCTCTACTTGGCAGTCGACCGCGGCATAATTTTCGAGGGTCCAAAAGCATTCTCGACGAGGGCCAGGGCTCTACGACATACAAGCTCGAAGCGGTCTCTTCGTAGATCACGAGTGCCTCCCGGGCCGTGAGCACGAGCTGCCCCGCCGCATTGCTACTTGATGCTCAATGCAGGAACGGTCCATATCGAATCCTACCGTAGTAAGCTCAGACCACTTAATTAGGTGTCACCAGACCCCCGTATATGCGAATACTCTATGCCTCAGATGCTATTTCGGGATCTGTTGGGGGTCTAGGCTGGGCGGAATACCCGAAGGACTATCAGGCAAATCTCGAAATACCTACGTAGGTCTGGCCTTCAAAGACCAAGTTTCCTAGATCGGATGCTGGAAACTGGAAAAACGTATTTCGAATGACCTGAAATCGAGAATCCCATCGAAGCCCACGAGCTTCGTGTTATCATCTGATATGAGAGACGGGTTCGTCTATTCATGAGGTATATGAAACACCAGACAATGCTAGACGACACGACGGGATGGGACAGGTTCACCAGCCTCGGTGGCTTGACTACCTGGTAGGTGTGCTAGGCATACGCAATTACTCGATCTTGAAACAAAGCTGAATTATTATCATATCCTGGCACCTATTACGCTTGTGTAACTATCCGGACAAATTCTGTGGGTATAGATTGTGATAAGTGACCATAGCATTATGACAAGTAGTTATTGACATATAGGCTAGGGCTGGGAGTAACGTCATAGGTACTGCTGGAATCCTGGGGATGATCTGATCTGGCATTAAGCAATATGAGTTTCTTCTAAGGAGACTTTGAGTTACACGGACTGCTACTGCTGTGTATTATATTTCATCGTCAAATGATCTGAAGGCTCGAGTGCTCTGGTGAGTGATTGTATTCATCCAAGGTTGCCATGATATGGTCTATGATGTTATCATTCGAACTCTCATCTAATTTAGTCTCATTGGGACGATAGAACATCGCCATTTATCATGAGATTAGTGTTATGCTCTAATTAGTTCCATTTCGCTTAATGGCCTTCTTAATGGGGTGCTGATCGTGATTTAGTAGATAGCCCCAACTCCCACGCTTGATAACTGACAACGACAACTTGAATTCTCGTAATTGCGTTGACTGTGAGAGTTGCTATGACTTTAACTGACAATGCTAATGGTGAAGGGCTGGCGGCGAAATTGTTGTAAATGGGTCATAGTTGGTGACTACCTGGGCTAGCATGATGGAAAGCTACTTGTAAAGTCTATGATTAGACTCGACGACGTCTCTATGCCACGGCCACGTGCTGGAAATAGAGCGTCCTAATGTTCTAGAATCTGATGACATTCTGTAATGTTCCTAACCGAATGTCCCTCTAGCAGCATATGCTTGATGGTATAGCCATAAAGCAAAGCGCAAGAATCCAAACAAGTAGAAAGAATACAGAAGAAAAGGGGGGAAGGCAGGAAACGCTCAGTCTCATCTTAATCCCTTTGAATGCGTGACCTACGAAAAAAAACCCCCCATATTATTCATTGAAAGTCAAATATCAAGTCACAGTACAATTCTAACCGTGACTTGAGGCATTGGGTGTTGTAAGGGGCGGTAGGCCTCTGGTATATTGTGGTAATTGAACATATCACATTTTGCTTAACATAACCAATCCATGATTGATATTCGACGATACTAAGACACGTTTCTAATTAACAATTAGGTGCTTATCATACATTCTCTACATCCACAACTACAACGACAACCTTTAGATAGGCGAGGTAGAGGCGACTATAACGCCTTGCGGATTCCGAGCGTTAGCAAAGTAAGACGGGAAAGAGTTAATAAGTAGCCGTTCAACTTTAGATAAGTCGCTCGTTCATCCCACGCGGCATGCTTACGTATTGACATAAAGATAAACTTAAGCTGAGATGTTTAAACCTTATTTCAGCCTATCCTAGCTCTATAATCGTCACCACCAAAGTAGAGTCTGTGTGAGGGACGGTATGGTAGAACAGATTTTGTAGAACAACAATTGGGTCGGTGTTCAGTTCAACAACACCGTCCAACAATTCCTCATATTTGTTAGATGCTACAAGGCGAGGTTGATACATGCCGTTAAGGAACTTAGGACTACTCGAATATGTAGAGAGTTTAGGTTACTATTACTTCAGGGTTCATGTAGATTTGACATCCATCATAACTTTAACCGTTCGATAAGTTAGATTTTCATGTTGGATAGTGCTCGTAAACGACCTCTCAAGTTTGCCACCCACTAGAAAACAGTTTCCTAAAGCTATGAGGTTTTTGTCAATTGTAACACTTGGGTTATGCATAAACGTAAGTCTAGTTCTAAAGAGATAGGTCTGTTAGAGTTGGCTTGGAGGGTTGAATCAAAGGAACTGCTTCGTAGAACATGTCGGTGAAGGACCAGGCATCGACCAAGACATCTTCATTACTCATTCCATGACACCAAAATGAGTAGAACAGTACCTCAGCCGTCATTAGTCGTAAAACTCATCTCATAGCACCGTTGATCGGGTATAACCAATGTAGACTAGTAAAAAGAAATTTTCAAATTCAAAGTATCCATATACGCCAACAAATCGCTCGAATGCCTGTAATACGCCTCCCACGAGAAAAACACGGGGCTCACAAGAACCCATCCGTCCTCGGCTCCGGTGGCGGCTTAGGCTTGACCTTGACGCCGAGGCCCTTGAGCGCGGCCTCGAGATCGGGCACGTCGTCGGCGGACGCGGCGACCCTAGCCCACCTCACGACCCCTTCCTGGTCGATCGCGAAGGCGCCGCCGGTCTGCCAGCGGCTGCCGCTCTCAGTCGGGCGGTTCCAGATGTGCTCGTCGCGGGCCAACTTAATCGTGTTGTAGAGCGTGACGGGGGAGAAGACGTGCCAGGTGTTGGAGATAGGCAACCCCCACTGCCCGTACAGCTCGCGCTCGTAGTCGACGACGACGTTGACCTCCCAGTTGCCGCCCACGTGCACGACCCACCGCTCCGTCGCCTCGGGCGACGAGTGCGACACCGCCACGAAGTGGACCTCCGGGTACTGCGTCGAGAGCGAGGTCAGGTTCTTGAAGGTCTTTTCTGCGACTGCCGAAGGGTTAGTAGATAAGAAGGGACGTCTTTATGTTTGGAGATGGAGGAGGGCGAGGGGTGCGTGGGTTATTTACATGGACAGCCGCAGTGGCGCAAGAAGACGATGATGGTGGGCTTGTCGGTTGGGAGGGCGAGGTTGGGATGTACAGGCGCTTTGGCACCGACTTGAGGAGGGCGTATCACCTCCTTGGCGGGAGGTGTCTTGGGAGTATCCAATTCTTGTGAGTGAGTAGACATTTCGATTTGGGATTACTGGAAAGAAAAAAGCTATTATTGAGGTATTTACAATAAGTCTTGAGAATATACAATAGGGAAGTTTGTTTATCGAATGGAGAATGTTTGTTGGACAGTTCCAAAAGTTTAAAGTTGTCCCGAGGTCTATGGCGTTAAGAAGAAGCTTTATCGATAACGGCCTTAAAAGAGGACCTCAATGATATTCCTTGGCACTTGGCAGCAGGTGGCATTTCGTCATATTATGCTTTTTTATACATCGCTATTGCATAACGTGATTCCCAATGCCTACCTGGGGCATAACTTCCCTCTTCCAACATCGCCCAGCTTATACCATACCTAGGTAATAGTTCGCAGCAATGCGTGAAATTATTACTTTACAGCTCGGCCAGCAAAGTAATTACCTCGCGAACCATTTCTGGAATACTCAGGAATCTTACTTTACATATGGTGCTGATGAGGAGTCGGCCATCGACCATGATGTTCATTTTAGGCCCGGCATTGGGTCCGATGGGACCGAGACCTTCATGCCTAGAACTGTCATCTATGACTTGAAGGGAGGTTTTGGTACATTAAGGAAGCTAAATTCTTTATATGAAATAGATGGCGATCCGTCTTCTAGCAGCTTATGGTCTGGCCAAACCGTAATACAGCGACAGCAGCCCATAGAGGCAAGCGCATACCAAGAGAGTCTCGATACTGGCCAGGCACCTACGGAACTCACCACAAGCTCAGTCAGGTATTGGTCTGACTTCAACCGTGTTTTCTATCACCCGAAGTCCATTATCCAACTTAGCGAGTATGAGCTCAACTCGACTGTCATGCCTTTTGAGAAGTGGCACATGGGAGAAGAACTCTTTGCATCGCTAGACAAGGAACATGACCTCCTAGACCGAGATCTACGCCCTTTCGTCGAAGAGGCGGATCAAATGCAAGGTCTCCAGATCATGACTGGCATTGACGATGCCTGGGGTGGGTTTACGACTAAATATATGGAGAGGCTGAGAGATGAATATGGCAAAACCCCTATTTGGGTTTTTGGAGCGCAGGAGCCATCTAGAGGATTGCCGCGGGTATATATTCCCATCATAATTTATTATTGGCGTTCATTACTTATAATGAAATAGGAGAAGAGACTATTAAAGCTCGTTAACAAGGCTCGGACTCTCTCAGAACTCAATTCGCAAGCTTCATTAGTCATCCCTCTTGCGTTGCCAGAGCGACCCCTGCCATCAACCGTGCAGCTCGATTCTTCCTCGCCCTGGCACGTATCTGCCCTATTTGCTGCGGCTTTGGAGAGTGTAACCCTTTATACACGGCTAAGGACATCTGACAGGGCTTATTCAAGCAACCTCGGTAACATTACAGACCTCTTGAATGTATTTGGGAAGCAGACTATTGCGAATTTGGAAATGAGTATTTTCGAGGCTCCCATGTCTCATCAGAACGGAGCTAACGGTACAAACGGCACTAATGGGGAGACAAATGGCTTGAACGGACGGGGCGAAAATGTACGCGACCTATATGAGAACGGGATAAATCTCGACAACGAGTCTGAATCTGGTTCTCAAAAGGGGGCTGCGACTTTGGAAATCGATTTATCATCCCCTCAAGACCTTAACCTCGATACTAGTGGGAGGAGACGCAGAAAACGTCACATTTTCAGCCAGGTTATAGGTGACAGAGGATTGCAGAACCTTAATCGAGCCAATGATGATAATGATCGAGAACTGAGGGAGCAATTCGGAATGCAACGCCGTCCAAAGTTCCACAAGTAAGTGCTATCCAATGAGAACAGGCATCTTTTTGTCATCATTATGCTCGGGGCTGACTGAAAGTGTAGTTATCGATCACGGGTGGCTTTCCCCCTAATCGACAGCTATCCAAAGATATTCCGGGATAGTTATGGCCATCCTGTAAGGGAGAACATATCCATCAAAACGGCCTTATCCACAGACTCGACAGTCACGGATAAAGTTAAGGCTATACGTAATACCGTCATCCGCTCCATCGGCCTAGAAGATCGCGAGGCGATAGGCAACGAACTTGCTGAGATTGCCGATAGCTATAAAGAAGGCTGGTCTAGCGACAGCGATGAAGATTATGATGACGAATGAAAAGTCGGCCCTTGAATAAATGCCGGACTTATTGCACTAAAGCATCTTGACAAGGCTATAATCATCGTGCAAAGCAACTAAACTCTAGAGAGTAGAGACTTTCTACATTTGAGAGGCATATCTCCCCAGGAGTGGTAGTATGGGATCCTCCTGCAAAGATGCTCGCTTAGCAGCCTCGGGTTTCCTTCTTCTTCATTAGTGAAGGACTGAGTCATAGAATATCTTCAGAATCCTGCGTCAGTAGACCACCATCGACGTCGAACCATCATGTTATACAGTAACATGCTACCCCGTCCTAAGGGATAATCCATCCCTTTTACAGAGATCTCCGGCATTGGTTCTAGGTATAGGTATAGGTCTATTATGCCTCTCTACGCCGCTGAAAATCCCCGGTTATGGTCCAATATGACTTAGGTACAGGGCAGCAATATAACCATCCATTTACACCGGTTTCGGGTACAAATGACCTAGTTTCCTGAATAGGTCGTCCGAATCCTAACTACCCCTACATAGCCTAACGTCACATTCTTCAGCAGCTGAAAACGACATCGATATCCCTGTCTAGCGCGCCTTTTAGATAGCTCATCTATGCCGCGCTAAATCCGGACCGAGAACGAATTGGCGAATGGGTGGCACGGCCCGATCGTTGTTATTCTTTCCGACCTCGCTAGTATTCCTACCACTACTATTGCTAGTCTCTGTGTCACATTGTGCTATAGCAAGACCGGAATACTGTGCTCCCATCCAGATGATCAGGCACCGTCAAAATCTCTGGTCACCAGACACGATACGGCTGCGTGTTGGGCCCACAAGGTGACGATACTAGCAGATGCGGTGTAACATGTAACGTGTAAGCGACAGAAGAGGATACAGTTCGCGCATCTGTGCCCCCGCGGCGTCCGCAGCGCTGAGAGCCTACCGTGGCATGCTACGCTGATGAATATGCCGTCGGCCAAGGGGACTCGAAACCGGCTTCGGTGTCCGGAGCGGGAAATTGAGACCGATGATTACCGGCGTGCTCAGACATGAGCTGAGAAGGAGGGCACGGGGGTGTGGGGTATGCTACTTCTATCGCTTGCCTTCTTGTTATCTAAGAATCAAGACAGCGGTCGGTGTTGTGATACTAGGTATCGTCGGAAGAATGTTCTGGAGAGGCGGATGTGTGTATATATGATATATGATGTGAAAGGGTCAGGATAAAGCTATCAGTTTTGAACCGCCGAGATGTATCTAGCCTGTCTGAATACCTAGGTATCCAAGACTGAAATGAAATGTCGGTTGCTCCCGCAGAGAGCCTTGCATTCTTTTTCGCCGAGCAATCGTTCGTTAATAGCCGGCCCCATACACTCCCCAAGCGAATAGGTTGAAAGCCGGTGTTATGTGCGGATACATGTCTCCGGAGTGCCCTAATTTTAGTATTCAAACATGAAATACAGTATGGCTTCGGAGACCTTTCACTTTCTACCTACGAGAATAAGATTTTGGCTTTAATAAGTCTTGAGGTTGAGGTAGATGGCGAAAAGCGTCTAAAAAGGGGTACCAGGGGACGAGTGAGGAATAAACCTTGATATATCGATGCTTCTTGAATGGCATTTCACTATTTCCTTTTCTAGCTGTTTAGCTAAAACCACTGTTGATGTTAACAAATAGACGAGAATCCAAGCTCTCTGTTGGGCATATACGTTTTGTATTATGGTGTCGTCGTCAAAGTTATAGCGTATACAAGGAATGAGCGAGAAACGACTAGCGCCGACAACACTATTATCCATTCCCTAATTCTTCAGTTCAACACCTAGTTCATCCTCAAAGTTTCCAAAGACGTCATCCATCACAGCAACGAATCTGTCGACGATCATCTCTACAACATCTCTGGTGACGTTGTAAGCGGGCATGATCATGATATGATCACCTCTGCCTTCGCCGGCACAGCCCTGGCCATAGTATACCGCCAAGTTGTGGGGGGCGCTTAGAGCCGTTTGGTGAACGCGGTGCGCGATCTGTAGTTTTGGATCAAACGGCTTTTTGGTATCCTTGTCCTTAACGAGCTCAACGCCCCAGAACAAGCCGCGACCCCGAATGTCGCCGACGTTTGGGTGATCTTGTAGCTTGGTCCGGAGTAACTCCTCAAGACAACGGCCCTGGACTTGGACGTTTTCTAGGAGGTTATCACGCTCAATGATCTGCTGTATCTTCAGGGCCGTCGCACAGACCACGGGATGGTTCATATATGTGTGCCCATGTGTGAAGGCTGCGTTCTTTGCTTCCATTTCCCGCACGATCTTCTGGCTGGCTAGTATAGCAGAAGCAGGCTGGAAACCTCCACCGAGGCCCTTCCCAGTTGCCTGAATATCTGGCATGACACCCTCCTGCTCCCAGGCGTGGAGGGTTCCTGTCCTTCCCATACCACACATGACCTCGTCCAATATGAGTAGAGCTCCATATTTATCGCATACAGCTTTCATAGCCTGAAAGTAGCCGGGCACAGAAGGCATACAACCAGCGGCTGCCCCGACGACCGGTTCTGCGATGAAAGCTACAACTGAATCTGGTCCAGCTTGGACGAAAGCTTGCTCTAGCTCTTCGGCCTTCCGAGAAACGAACTCATCGTCAGTCTCTCCCGGAAGCCGTTGGCGGTAGGGGTTACAAGCCGGTATGCGATAGACGTTGGGCAGCAAGAGCGGTTGAAAGGGGCTTCTTCTGCTGAAGTGACCTCCTACAGACAGCACACCCAAGGTGATGCCATGGTATGATTCCTTCCTAGCGATATAATTGATACGCTGGGGCTCCCCTTTCCATACAAAGTATTCGCGAGCAAGTTTAATTGAACCTTCCATGGCCTCAGAACCTTGGGATAAGTTGAGCTCGAAGGTTCCGCATAATGAAGGACTGGGAATGCAACATACCGGACGATGTGATCCATGCCTTGGCGAAGTGGCCGCCAGAACTTTGCGATATCCATGTATTTAGATCTCGTCGACTCTGGCTATCGAAGAAGCCCCACGGGACATACGAGATGGTGGAAACTTGAGCGATGATCGCGTCAGAGACCTCCTTGACTCCGTGTCCAAGACACTGCAAGATTCGACATTAGCATGTTATCCATTTCAGCGTGCATTTTAGGTATTACAAGAAGTGACGTGGAATGTCTATAGACTAGGGTTTCTTGGAGAAAAAGTAGGGAACTATTTTGCTTACTGCTACAGCTGCTCCTCCGCAACCGTCTAGTATTTCACGTCCGTCGGCTAGAGATAGGTAGTTACCCTGGCCTCCGACGACGAGGTTTCGGCTAGAAAGAGCATTATCATCTTCCGATATGGTTGAAGTTAGTAAAGTGCTTGACATAGAGTCACGGTCGTGGTCGAGGTCGTGGTCATGAGTCGGTTTCATGGCGTCGATTTCTATGGCAGACCATGATGAATTCATTTCCTTTTCCGGATAGCTATCTTGGTTTCCTCTAGATGATTCTACTAACATTGTGATCATAGAATTCTGGTGTTAGGGTTAAAATTGGATGACTGGCTCGAGTTGTAGGGAAGTAGATCGCCTTTGTTGTTTTCCTTTGACCAGAAGACGGCTTCGGTTTCGACCGGGCCCTATATACATATGTTAGGATCGACTAGAGGCCGAACTCGTTCTCGGATGCTAGAACGACATCCAAGTAGCACTACAGACTGTGCCGCCACTAGTCCGAGGATATCCAATCATAAGGGGATGCCATCATGCAGTTGATGAAGTATAACCGGACCTACTCGGTACACTAAGCGGGATGACGGAACGACGCATGGGATCAGTGGGTGTAGTGCAGAGCGGCCACCTGAATTACTAACCCCCTATTATACAACATGGCGGAGGCAAATTAGAACGTGAACAACCAGCAGATCGTGACCTTCATGCTTCTGTCAAAGATACGGATACCCTAGACAATGGATATCAGAGTGTATATAACTGACCGAGATCTAACGGCAGGGATTAACCAGTTATTGCAGATGAAGAGGAGTCGAGGATTTTCAGCTAATACGACCAGTCAGGATCGCAGGAACTCCCAAGGCCAATGATATATTGCAAACTATTCACCGTCGCAAACACTAACTTGAACGGTCGTGGCGACTGAAATGTAAACCTCACCGCTATATAAGTATACCTGTTTAGCTGGTCATGATCTGATTGGTTGGGCTTGAAAAGCAACCTCTTCATAGCTTGGCTACCACGCAAGTGGCTCATGGATAACCCGCTCTCCTGTGGGCTAGTCTGAGCAGCATGGATTCTCGGGTTCCCGTCCGAAGGGCTGGATTTTCTTTAGCACTAGTATCCGTTCGACACGCCCTTTGACAGTGTGGTTGCAGGCATGCCGAAATCGCGGGCATATGCAGGCTGGGGCGTCCATCCTACAGGGGATGGTTCTTATAGTGAATTAGGAGGGCATGCGTAACGTCGTCGGTATGGTGTACAGGAGTTATCATGACATATTGTTGCCAAGAAGTGGAGTATTTCCAGTCTCTGGTTGGGCAAATCATAGTAGGATGATTCTCATCAAGGGTCTTTGTTCAAAGAGTGTCCGCTAGTCGACTCAAAGCAGGCATTCCGAGGACGACTGATCGGTTCATGCGTATCCATATAACTAAACAATGAGACTAATAGCCGAACGAACTAATACCTGGTTAGCAGGATCCGCTAAAAGTAGCTACATAAGATGGGTACGGTCAGCTTCCCAATATCCGGGCTACCTCACGAGCTAAATGCCAGATCAAATACCGGGCCGAGACCATTCAACTTTTGAAGCCGCCTCGAGACTTCAGGGTCGTAGTATGGGTGTAATACGGCCCGACAAGAGAAGTGCGGTCGGAGGATTTTGAGTATGTATGTACTATTCGGCAATGCACTTGTGCCGCATGCAACTTGAGTTAGTGCTGACGCTGGAGATGTGTCACCGACATGCTAATTCCCGGGTATCAATTCCTGGTATAAACGAGGTCGTATAGCGAGGAGAGGTCAAAGTTCGGACGAACTCAGGCTCGTGGGTTATGCGAATGCTACCAATAAGCCACCCGGGTATAATACCTAGGTATTTGCATAGTACATAGTCGTCTCCTAGGTCGCGTAGCGTGAGGGCAGGTGGCTGTGTACAGCGCATCTAATGGCATCTGAGATCTGGCGTTGCGACATGTAACACGCGCGTATGTGTTCGTCGCACTGAGAGCACCAAGAGCTCTTTACGCGCTCTTGATTGGATCCATCATTTTGTTCATCGCCAATCTCGGGAGACTCTCGATAATATGCTCTTCTACGAGAGGTTGTTTTTGACGCGCTGCAACGCTTGGCAGTCTGACGCGACTAGCTCGCCAATTAGGCGCTTTCTGAGAGCACCTAGTTTGAGGATGGAAACCAATAGACGCTCAGTGTTGAAGGTGGTGTGAAGTCACCTATTCATAGGTGGATGATGTAAGGAACAAAATGATATATAATCTAAATGTGAGGCGAGGATGTATTCAAAAGTCGAGTCCACTATGCATCAATCCGCAAATGCGGCCCTAGGTACCTCTTACGTAGGTAGGGAAAGTGCTTCCAACTATAATGGCGCAAAGCAGAGGCTCGAGATGGGTGTACTTGCCTTCCCGAATAAGTCTTACATAATGCGGAGTATATTCTTCTACTCCTTCGAGATCAATTCACGTGTGTTTCTTTGGGTTACTATTTACGTTACTACAACGCATATTCCCACCTTCTGACGTTACAGCCATCGACATCAGTACGTTGGCTAGGCTCCTTTCGAGAACAAGGCTGATACACACCTAGCCTACTGTATACTATACTTTTAGGTCCTCTGCATGCTCGGGTTGCATCTTCCGTCTCACGATGCAAGGTGATACCCACGAATGGGACCCTCCCGGTGATAGCGTGATACCTTCCGGTGGCTTGAATTGTTCCGATTATGGCAAACGCCTCGCCGTCCAGGCTGAGCTGTACTAAAATACACTCCATAGCCGTGTTGTGTTATGATGGGAATAATGCCGTAGCCCACCATACGATACGCATAGAATTAAGACAAGGCCAGGCCGTTCACAAGGACTAGATACCTATCCTAATTGCATTTCTGCTCATTTTCTCAATTTCTCGTTTCTGAAAACCTAGGTTTCTCAAGGCAAGCGGGAGCTCGTCACACGTTCCACTATGTGTATGTCTTAGACACATCCATGATGTTGCATTTATAGTGCAGTTTTGCGAATAGGGGAATGGATAGGCCACGACTTATCAGGAGAAGATCCGTAGACTCTATTTCCGCCGTAGCCAACCAAAGCTCAAACCGGTCGTCCGCATTAATTCTTCTTTTCTAATGGTTGAAATTCACTGTGTACGCTACCCTGATCCTTTCATCCGGTCATCCAAGATGCTACCGACACCAGTTGCCATTGACTTATGTAATTCAGGGACTGATTCCTCGTGGCGAGTCTAAGGATAAAATTTCATCGAACCACTCTCCTCCGGCCACCGAGGTTCGGCTGCGTCGAGTGTCTCAGTCTTGCAGCGGCAGAAAACGCAGTATATATACAGTCGCCCGACAAAAGTTTGAGTCCGTTTTGTTAAGCCTCAAGTAGCGCCAAGGCGCTAGGCCTAAAACCGTAATACTAAGCTTCATTAAGTAATTTTAGTCTGGCTGCTTTATAAATTACACCCTGACTAACCGCGCCTAAACACTAAGGAAACGCTATAACAACTTATCTTATCAAGGTCTTTATTTAATTTAATATTTACCTGAAAAATTCGGGCAATAATAACAGCTAACGGGTGGTATACTCATTATTAAAATATAAAAGATTTAAAATGTATAAAGCGGCAACGTCTAATTACCATATTGGGATAGCGTGTTCTATAATAGGAATAGTAGAATCTTGGCGCTACTTGAGGCTTAACAAAACGGACTCAAACTTTTGTCGGGCGACTGTAAATCCCCAATGTAGAGATTGTGAACGTAGTGGAACTCACCAAATCAAGGAATTGAAACCATAGAAATCGCTAATATGCATATATCGAAGCTATGGAGCTTCTTACATTGATATCGGTCTTAAGTCTTTAGGATGGCTCATTTTCTAGGGGATTACGTTGTTGAACTCTTGAAAGTCTGAGTTGGTTCTTACCATCGCTCGCGCGGCCTGTGAAGAGGCGAAAATCATCTAAACCCTTCGCGATACATGCCACAGATCCCTCATGATTACCTGCTCTAGGACTTGCGGGTGATATGTCGAATTATTGGCACGCCTCTCACGTGTATCGACTAGAAAGCAGTGTCTGTCGACGATATGTACTTATTGATAAAGGCAGATTAGTAACTTGCTCTTTACCAGAGCATTTTGGCTGCAAGCGAATAGCTGGCAGGCAAACATGTCTTTCGATCTTCCTCTTGGTCACACCGCATGAGGCGGATGAGAATACAACGTGCGTAGTAATAATGTCTTAAGGTTGTCTATATAAACGTTTAGTTATAATGGACAACTCAAAATCACACTTAAACCGGGGAGATTGTACTAGGTAAGTGTTTGAATAACGTGAGGTTGAATTATCCGTCGGCGAAGCCCGGAGTCCCATCGGAGCTGGTTCAGCTTCCTGTTGAAGTCTCCTACCGAATTATAATAACCCTGCTAACCAGGTACTTTCATGGTCCGCCACTCCAAGGGGCAATTAGCATAATGATTCAGCAATGCTGATTAAGTATAATATTGAATAAGGGACTGCGCTGCTTCGACCGGTATGAAAGGGGAGATGTCGCCTAATTTCACGGACCGGGAAGCTTGAAGCATTGCGTCTAAGACCACCAACGAAATGCTATCGCCTTCCTGCCTTCCTGAATCCTAGTGAAGACAATACTCAGGAGTAATTATAATGACGTACCTAGATCCTTGGTTTATCATAAAAGCATCTCCTATGTGGATGAGCCTAGATAGAAAGCTTTAACATAGCGTGGAGCAAACATTACCAACAAGAAAGAAGCCGAATTGGTTATTGTGGACTCGCCCCTTTCGAAGCCGATATTAGGTATTTTACCATCGGCTGAGCGGTGGGCGATTTAATCCTATGCTGGTTGGTGGGAAAATCCCTGGCTCATTTTCGGCAGTCTCCTTAATTGATGGTGATAACGTTGGAAGCATTACGTATGCAGGCTTTACTTCGCCGATAGTAAGCAGAGAGGATATTTCGCCGGCTGAACTAGATTTCAAATAAAGGTTAGTAGTAGCCATGTTAAGATACCTAAATATGACGAAGATAATAGGGACATCCTGACGTAAGCAGATGTGTTTTGACTAGGTATGTGTCCATAATGGGGAAATGGGACGGTGTGAGATGAATGATCTTAGAAGTTTGCGCTAAGATGCACTCTACTATTGTTTGCAGAAGTGCATCATGAAAATGGAATAGAAACAGTAGGCTGGGTTAAGTGGCAGGACAGTCTCCGCAATGATGCGCAGATACCGGATTCTGCCAGGGCCAATAAAAAGAGGTGAGCCACAAGAATATAGCGAATTTGGAAGTTTCGTGGTGGAATTGAAATTGCGGGCCTTGTGGCCTTGTGCTTCGAAAAGTGCGTGTATGAGACGGATTGTTCTATGGACGAATGAAATGAAGGATCGTGAATGACAATAGTAAACATTTTACTATAAAAAGTTAAACGCTGAACATGGACGATAATAGTAAATAATGCGCAGGCTACAGAGCTAAATAGGATGAATAATAATAAAAATAGTTATGCATTGCCTCACGTTTCTGCGTAAAGATAAGATGAGGCTAAAAAAAATTGGTGAAGAGGGGAGAAGGAGCTTGGGGCAACTCCAAAATAATTCCGGAGCCTTGGGTGCTCCTTGACGGGCTTAAATGGTTTAAAAAGGTGACGCGCCTCGGGTGAGAAAGAAGGTGGACAGGGATATGGTTTAAGTTGCGTAACAAGGCAGAAGGCGCGACCGATCGACATTTTTTAAACAAACCACATCACCAAGTCAAACCAAGTCAATATTTGAAAACCTATCACCATCAAATTGAATCGCATCATATCGCATCCCACCACACAACCACCAACGACGCTACCTTTTATTGACATACCCGAGCGCATCTAACATAGCGATTCCCATTACGATAATTCAAGACGATATTATTTTTATTTGATGGTGGATTATAATTGCCATTTAATAACTCCCGCATCTAATTGGATTTTCTTTTCCACTTCTATCTGTACCTACCACGGTTCTACCACCCTATCTACCACGGACACGGACACAAACCTTGGAACCTTCCCGCTTCCCACAATCTAATTCTGAACCCGACTCTTATCCTGGCGCGCCTCATTTCCAAGGTTCCTTCCCCCGCGTCAATACTACCATCGCCGTTATCGCGATTATTCATATTACTTGAGCCTCAAAAACTCTGACTTCTCGATTCGACCACGGCGCTTCGCGACTCTTACCTTCAGAGGGCGCGGGACATCGTCAACTACATCTTGAACTTACGTTGAGCAGTTATCCGCCGCCTCTCTGTAATCCATATCAATCGCGAGGAACAGTTTTGGTCCTCCCGCATCCCTGCTCGACCTCAATACGCGCCTAGTTTTCGACCGTCTTCCAGTAATGGGCATCTGACATGCCTGTCTCATCGAAGCGAAGCCAGAGGACGCGCCGTCCTCGCGACGTTAGTCCGAGCCCAGCCCCGCTAGAGCAATCCTCGCCGTCGCGTCCAGCTAAGCGCAGACGGAAGGTAGATACCCCCTCTTCTTCTAGTCTACATATATTTGCTGAACACGTGCCGAACATCAAGGTCGAGGAACCTCAGTCGGAGCCCATCGAGGACGAGGGCTCAAGCCTCACTGTCGACAACTCGAACCCTGAAGGTTCCAGCGACGATGACCGACTGATCACCCTTGTAACGCAGCATTTAAAAAGCATTCATACCCAAGCTAGCCGAGACCACGCCAATGCCATACATGAATCTAAGACCGAGGATATAGAGGCTTACGCCAAGATCTCTGCTCAAGACTGGACCTATTATATTAGGTCTTTGTCTATCAATATCGGCAGAACATCAGAGCCGTCCCATACGCGCCCTTCCGGACAGGACGACGAAGACAAGGACTTTGTTCATATCGACCTCGGTCCCTCTAAAACATTCTCGCGCCAGACAGCCATTATCTACTACGACTCGGATCCCGGTAAATGGTATCTCTTGCCGAAAGGACGGAATGGGCTTAAAGTTGATAATGTCGCTCTCAAGAAAACGGATGATCCGCATGCGCTTTCCAGTGGTGAAGTCATTGAAATCGGCGGCATCGAGATGATGTTCGTCTTGCCAGGTAGCCTTGCCCCCCTTCGTATCCATCCTATGTACCTCGAACAAGCAGGGATCAAGCAACAACAGTCAAGTCCTGTCCGTGAAGCTGGTAGGACAGCTTTGCCGACAGCGCCTTCAGCGGATCATTCGTCGTCCCAGAGCACAGCAAGACCTTCCTCTCGGAGCCAGCTGTACCAACAGCCAATTGCACCCGCCCCTCCTGACTATAGGCGACCCGGAACCCCACCATCGGCTAAGAGCCGCCCTACTGCTGCGCAGCAGAAGACGCCTGCCCAAGGATCTTCCGGCACTGTGATAATGAGTCAGAGCGACGTGGACTTGAGCAAAGACGAGAACAAGCACATTAAACCTCATTTCAGTTATGCTCAGATGATAACTCAGGCTATCATGAGTACTACCGAGGAGAAGTTGAATCTGGCTGGCATTTATCAGTACATTACCACCAACTATGCTTACTATCGGCACCAACCGCCTTCTGGCTGGCAGGTGAGTTTTCTATACGAGCTCTGGTATCTGCGAACTGTTGCGCTAACTAGATCGTAGAACTCCATTAGGCATAATCTATCGCTCAACAAATCGTTTATGAAAGCTCCGCGATCGACGGACGAGCCTGGAAAGGGTATGAAATGGGAGATCGTCCCTGAAGCCCGTGAGGAAATGATTCGGGTCGCTTACAAAGGTGGACGAGGTGGACATCGCGGTTCTTCCGCTCCCTCATCCCCTAGTCAACCTAGCCAGCTGAGTTACATCACACATGGACCTCGAGACGTTTCAAATCGGGAGCCCACATCAGCACGAAAGCGCAAGGCCTCGCCAATTGCCTCGCCACCCCCCAAATCGGCCATGGCCCTATCCCAGGTAACAGTAACACCAGACCGTAAGTATCTACCGACGGGACCGGCGAGCTTCCAAGATGGCAGCCCGCTTCCGCGACGTAAGCCTCTAAGCGCCGCGGACAGTCTCCCTCAGTCCCCGCCAACTCTATCGTCTTCGTATCTCCAGGATGAAGGTGCTTCTTTTGTTACTCCGGCGCCTCATCGGGTCCACCCCCGACTCGCGCCCCCAAGTACCGCCCAGAGACCAAGTCAACACATGCCGACATCTTCGCCTGCCCCCTTCTGGAAGTATGCCGACATCACTAGCACGCCTCTGAAGTCATTGCAGTATGACTTGAGTCCCTCAAAGCCTGCGGCCCTACCGGAAAGCAGCAGCCCTCCTGCTGCACATGACAGATCGCCTATAGGTAGCCCGACCAGATCGACCAGACCCACCCACTCAGAGACGCAGGAGAAAGCTACGGTAGCCGATGATGAGGAAGAAGAGGGTGGCTTTGATCTTACTAAGTATGTTCACACCCTTTTGAGTTTTATGTAATCCCGATATATAAACTGACAGCATTCATAGGGGTTTCCAGAGCATCGGTTCTTATCATGCACCTGCCAACTGGATGATGTCCCGAACCAATGGGGGCCGAACATAATGCGATACTCCTTGGGATATTTATACTTATCTATCTAGCCATTTGCAACTAAGTCTCAGCTCACATACCCGACATTACAGGAACTCCGGCGTCGATTGATAATGAGCGAAGGCTCGATTATCATAAGACTTGCTAATAGTCCAACAAGAGAGATGACGGTGGAAAGTTCAATTCCAATTTTCCAAAAAAAGAAACAAAGAAACATATCTTGTATTATTCTATTACCGCGCGTTTTGGCTATTGCATTCTTATGGGTGGTATGGCGGAGGCAACGCATTGATCTACGATTACCACCATCGAAAACGGAGTTAGGGGTTTGTTTTTCTTCTTCTTTGCTTTCCTTATCATCCCGGAAGTGCTTTCTTTCTAGGAACCTCTGATACCCAATATCTGGCTGCCTAGTTCGATCACGAACAGCAGCGAAACTAGGGCGGAAAACGGAGGAGAGGGGCGTATAACTTTCAACGGCATACGGGCAATCCAAAAAAAAAATTTCAACCCGGCGTTTCTCGGAAAAAAAGGAGGTGAGGGGGTGGAAAAGAATCTTCGCATCACTGCCGAGTGGAAGGGAAAGGGGAGAAGCGGGATAACAGAACACAACATCTGGCAGGAGGGCGAGGTGGAAACGGAGCGTCTCTCACTCGGAACACACAAGGTCGTGCTGCGGGTTTTTTTATGCTTGCTTATTATTATTATTTTTCTCTTTCGTTCTGCGTTATGCCATGATTTCATGATGATCCTCGTCTTCCCTCCTTTCTCCCTTCAATGCTAGTTCTTTGAAGAACCGTCGCCCGTCTCATCGACAGTTTTTCCAATAAGGTAACGAACGAGTCAACGTCAATGAATACGGACCATCAACTTTAAAATAACCCTGCTCTCGTACGCAAGTGACATGAATGGTGCTTGGGTAACTTAGATTGGACGACATTTACGAAATCAGGAACTTCGTGGTTCAAGAGTGAAGATGTATGTCTATTTAACACACGCATGCCACGAAGCGCGTTCATGCTTTTCCTGTGTACCTAGAGGGGGGAGGGGGGAATTGGTAAACATCCCCCCGATTCTGCCTCCTTTTGTAACTTGAGTTGAACCGCCCCCCTAGTGCCATATATCCCTATTTAGTGTGTATATACAACGTCCTTGGGCCCTTTCCCACATGCATCGAGCGAGTTCCAGATTTTCATCGCCGCCGTATCATAATATTCGCCAGCCGGCCAACCAAGTTGAAATGGGAAGGATGAAGAAATAAAAATGTACATACACAATGCAAAAACCCCATTCTGCGAGAACTATGCAACCTTTTGAGAGGATGTGAGGGAGAGAAAGAACAGATTTTTCCTCCGCTTTCTAGAGATGCCTCGTAAAGTTTGAAGATATGATGATGCCTGAGGAATCCCCATGTTTCTTTATTTTATTTTTTTTATTTTTCCATCCTTTCCTTTTCCGTGCCCCTGAATCTCCATCCGTCGGCTAGGACCGATCTCCCTACCACAGTGATCCATGACTGACATATTTCCTCGTTATCATACCCAATTCTTTTCAGTGTCCATCGATTCATCATGCAGCCGCGCCTACTCGCGTCTTGGGCCCGCTACGCGCGGTACGCTTCTTGGTGCTCTTCTTCTGTGCCGTGTTGCCCTCGATGAATTTGATTAGATCATCGATGCTTCGGGCATCAGGCTTGTCCGATTTGTTCGCACTCAATGCCGCGGGCTGTGCAGTAGCACCGGCACCACCACCGCCAAGCGCGACGTTACGCGGTGGGAAGCGTATTCCGGCTCGCAGACGCCTCGCCTGAGCATCCTTATCCCTCTTCGCGATCGCGACGGCGTTCTGCGTCAGTTGCTCCAACCAAGTCTCGGCTTCTTTGGTGTTGTTGTTCTCCGGGCCTAGTTGGTGCAAGAAGATATTGTAGCACTCGCGCATCTTGCCGAGCGCGGCCTTGGATTCGTTGTCTAAGGCCAGTGCTTGGGCAAGCTGGAAGAGAAGGCTAGCAGCTGGGAGAGACTGCTTGCCCATCACGCGCTCGCAAACAGCAAGGGCTTGCTCAAACCAGATACGAGATTCATGGTAAGCTTGCATATGCTGTAGCATGACTGCTGCATTGTTCAGGGTTGTGATCGAATCGGGGTGATCGGGCCCGTAGATGATCTTCCATAGATCTAGAGCATGTTTGACGTATGCGAGGGCTGCCTTGCTATCACCAGACCCATGTACGTAAAGCCCAAGATTTAGGTAGTAGAGCAACGTTTCCGCAGAGTCAACTCCGATTGTCCGCTCCGATACGATAACTGCCTTCCTCGCTAGATCAACAGCAGCCTCCTTCTCCTCAAGTTGATAATAGATTTGTGCTAAACTGGAGTAAGCTCGCGCAACTTCTGGGTGAAGAATTCCGTAAATTTGCTCATGGAGAGTCAGACTCTCCAATAACAACTCCTGTCCAATCTTTCTGTTATTTTGCATGATTGAATGGCGACCACCTTCTAGGGCCTCCTCAGAAATAGCACTCTTTGGTGCAGAATCCTTGATGATAGGGACAATGTTCACAACATCATCTGGAGTGAATGTAGTGGGGACAGTAATGGAGTTAACAGAAGACGGAGATCCGTCTCTCGACTTCTTCTTTTTCTTCTTACCATCACCACTCGCGTGACCGTTGACACCATTCGTGGTTGTGGTATTTCCAGTGCTGGAATCGCTAGTGAACTGGAAGTTCTTCGCCTGCAATTGGAAGCCGAGCTTCAGAGACACCTCGCGGAGAAGTTGCAAGGGTTTCATCTGGAATTGTAGGTCTGAATCCAGGGTGAACCTGAACCGACGGAACACTTGCGCCGCAATCTCTTTTCGGAGGCTTTCTGGTGTGACACTGGCAAATGCAAGATCGGCTTCAGGATACAGTGCTTTTAGGGACTCGTCGATATCCGCAGTAGGGTTACTGTTGAATCCAGATCCAAGAAGGCAGTTAAGAAGATGGGCAATGCAGGCGGAGGTTAGGGGAATTGGTAGATATCGCAAATATTTGCCTGCAACATGCTTGAATGCTCTTGATATGATCTCATGCAAACATAGATCCCGAAGTCGTAAAAGCCTAGGACCCTCGCAAAGAGACACTATCTTGCCGAGATATCGCATGTTAATACCGCGCTTGTGCATCATCTTAGTAAGAGATAGGCCATCCATAGGGAACGGTAAATCTGAGGCCTTGATATGATCGACAAAAGTCGGAATTGCTATTTCGCGAAGATACTTGCAAGCATTTCGAACATCCTCTTCGTCAGCAGCTAGCTCTTCCTTCTCAGCATCGGTCTGAGGGACCTGACCACTGAACGCATCTGGGTTAAGCGAGAACTGGAATTCTGAAGCGTCGATGCGGTCTTCGTCTTCCATCGCGGCATCCTCGCTTGACTCGGTAGGTTTGTCCTCTTCTTTTTCTTCCGTAGTCTTTTCCTCCGTAGATGAAGGCTTCTCCTCTTTGTCGGTTTGCTCGCCCTCCGACTTGGATTTGGACTTCTGTTTTAACCTTTCGAGCTCCTTATTCACCCATTCGTTCCAGTTGTGGTTTCGGAGTAATTCTACGAGTTCTGATCGTAAGACAGTCATCCGATGAGGATAATCGAGCTCGGTCTTCTGTTCCTCAGTGGTACTGTTCTCTTCCAGCCACAATACATCTAGAGGGGTAATGCGGTATAAGTCAAGGACGTATTTTCGGCCATCTGTACCCATTAAACCCTTCGTTTCAACGCTGGCCTCTAGATCGAAGCGCTTGCCATCTTTGTCCCAAACTGGATGCTTTTTAACCTGCAAGGCTTTGGACAGTTTCTCAAAGGTTGCTGCGAAACGTTCATCGGCCGCAACTATTTCCTTGCCCTCTACTGCACCATACTCGATGGAATTCTCACCAGGCTCCCTCTGCTTGAAAATGCCCGGAACGACTGTTTGGCCAACAATTCGCTTTCCAAGATAGTCAACTACTACAGTTGCCGGGCTGTAGAGCCCATCAATATCGAGTTGGTTAACTAAGCGCACTCCGTTGACATCCTTTCCAGTGGCCACCCTTGCGGCATCGTCACCACCCTCTGAAGTGAAAGTACCCACACCATCAGCTCCAAAGGAGAAGAACACGTTATTGTAGACAAATATCTGGGCATCACGGTCTTCCGTGGGGTTTAACGGGGTGACCTCGCCGCGGGCAACCAGGATAGCTCCCCTGGCAGCAGCGTCGGAGTAATCGGCAAAAAGCTTTGAAATGAACCGCTCCCTGAAGACGCGATCCTGGACCGTCTCCTTGGGCAATTCGCGTGCCGATTGGAACTCTTCGTTCCAATCTCTCAAAGTATCGGTGTTATCAACACCGGAGATGAGGTAGCCCTCCTGGGTTCTCGTAATATCAGGGGTATGGGCCAACAATGGTGAGTTCTGCGAAGGGACTAGCCACGGCGCCGCAGGAATAGCGTTTGTCATCTGGAATGTGGCCAGGGGATCCTTGTGGTTGTTGTACTGCAACAATTGTTCGAAGGTCTCTGAGAATGAGGGTGAGATCTGGGTTAACAGTGTTAATAGCGAATGCGCAGCATGTCCTTTAGGGGCTGCCCGAGGCATGGGATCGAATTTGCTATTTGACGACTTGTTAACATAAAACCCGCCGACGTGAGATGTGATCTGATATTGCTCTCCTTCGTTCGTAGTGATGAGCAGATACAGCAAATGACCCTTCTGCCTAAGGTGGTAGGGCGGGGGGTTCCATGGCGACAGAGCAATGGACTTTACTGTCTTAGGAGCAGGTTCTTCCTCGCCCGGTATGAGGGCTAAAGGATTCGCAGGAGCATCGAAGTCGTAGGCACTGGCTTGGACATTGTCGTTGTCCTTAGCTCTGGTGGTGACCGAATCGAAGAGAGAGACTCCGGGCATAACTCCTTGCAGGGTATCAGTCCGATCCCCCGCAGCACCCACCAAGTCCCGAATTCGGATGACATGTATTCTAGCCTCTTTTTCATTATATGGATCCTCTACCAAACGGATCTCAGCTTCCGGACCGAGTCCTTTTACGTCGGAAATTTGGACGAAGTCGTTAATTCGTTCCCCCGCATGCTCGAGGTGGAAGCAAGAATATTGAAAGGCGGAGGGTAGCTCGATAATAGACTGACGCAGCTCGTGGACCTGCTCTTGAGGCGAGACCTACATTCAAGTTAGCTACGAGAAGCTTTTGTATTTTCAGCGTAGCAAACAAGGGTGACTGCTAACCATCACATGGATCTTATTCGGATCGCGGGGTAGATGAATAGTTAGAGGGTATAGAGCTATATGTCGTAGTTAGCATGAATGTGCGGGCACATATACAAATCTCGACCGTACCATCTGCAGCATCTCCCGCATCTCCCGCGTCTTCATCAGACGGCTGGCCGTTAGAGTCAACCTTAGTCTCTTCGGGTTGACCATTTTGGGTTTCAGCTTCTGGGGCAGAAGGTTGAGCTATAGCAAGCCACACATTAGATAACATTCAAACGGGGAAACGGCTCTGTAGGTTTTATATACCGGTGGTATCTTGTTTCTCAGGCATTATGATTCAGGGGGAAACAGGATTAGTAGGAAGGGTTCGTTCAACCTTAGGAAGCGGGAGTATTATACCCTCGTACTTGTACAAGAATAGCAAACGAGATCCGACGCACAGCTTAGGAAATCCGGCGTAGAAACTGCAAAAGTATTAATGGACAAGGTCTGAGAAGTATAATACAGAGGTAATAAAAGGAATGGCAAATCAATTAAACTCCTTAATAGTTACGAAAGTGTATGAAGGTAAGAGACTTTCGACTATGTTGAAATTTAGGAAGAGAATTTAATCGCCCGTCGATAAGATATTTGGAGCTAACCAAGCAGCATATCAATTTTTTTTTTCTTCTACGGCTCAAAAAAACTCAAAAATCTGAAAAACCCCGGCTGTTCCCGGCAAGCCGGAGCTGCGGCGGTCGTTAGGCCCATTGGGGTTTCCCTGCCCGCCCTAATCATGACGCTCTTCCCAGGTTAGCATGTAACACTGCATGGAGGGGAGTTGTTACCATAACTATACGGCCATTTCCATTGGATGGAATTGATTTTGTAGCTTTCAAGGCCTAAAAAACCGCACTTATCTTTATTTAAAGTTACTTCTAAAGTTTTTGCCTCACCGTGACCTTTTTTAGTAATATCGAATTGAAACAACGGGAATGCGGTTTGTATTTTCAAAATCTGTTTGCTTAACTAAAGAGCCGCACGGTAAGTAATTTGTTTGCAAGACGCATGACGCAAGACAGATCTTGCATGGTGTTGAGCATTGATTTTGTTTGTAGAATGTTTATCGATAACAATTTCATATTTGTGCGAAATATTATATGGGGCTTCCTAATTAGGAAGTCAAGTAAACAATCACAACGTGGAATTCGACACTGTTTTGTTCAACATCCTATGTATTCATCCCTGCAACCCGGGCTTGGTTTTCTTGCTTTTACATCATACGAATACGTGAAGCAGTCTTAGCTTATGCTCTAATTTTGACGCATCAGCTAGTAGGCTACATCTTTATGACTTATCATTACTAATAACGTCCGTTGCTTTTACCGCCATTGCTATTGATCCGTCGACTACATACAAAGCATGGAATTAGTAGCTTGATATCCTCACTAGCATATATGTGTTTATAAGCATTGCTACATTTGCATATCCATATTTGCTTGGAGGTTATGCTAGAGCTTATCCCATGTCGCTCGACGAGTTTGAAACACCGTATAGACCAAGGCGCCCACCGCCGAGACCGAATAGGTCAGGTGAAGCTCCACAGCCTTGGACTACGGCTCGGTGTAGCCGCTTACTTCGGCCATTGCTTTCGCGGATATCTTCCCTAAGAAAGGATACTACAACATCACTGCTGAACGTAAAGGACGACGAGCTTGAGCAAGAAACGAAAGTTGGCGATGGTCAACGAATCGACCATGAGTGGTTGGGACCGCGTAAGAGAGTTCGTTTGACCTACTCTCAAAAACGGCCCTCCCGTCGTCAAGATGAACAATGTCCGCTTAGTAAAGGCATTAAGGAGTCAGGCATAGCTGGATGCCTCCATCGGAGTAAGGGGAAAGCCCTCAATCCCGGCGAGATAGTACCAGCCACGCCTTTATTACGGCGAGCAAGAGGTCACGTCATCCCGTCCTCTCCTGCGGTCCCCAGTAACCCCAGAGAGGAGCCTAGACAACTCACAGACGGGTGTAGGCGAGATCCTCGTTTAAAAAAGGGCATGATCAAAAACAAAGACCACGAGCAACGTCTAGCTAGAATTCGATCTCAGTCGTCGTCTAGCAAGTACAATGACCTGGAGGCAATATATCGGAGTCTAGAAGCGCTTCTAACGGCAACACACCGCAACACCAGTCAAGGTCGTGGTCCGCGATCATTTCTCGACATGTGTCTAAGAAAGGTGCCGCAGTATATCGAGGCACTCGAGGCGCAGGAGAGGATGGACGCCGAGGAGAACGGTACGGTCTCTACGCTTCATAACCCCGACACCTCGGCGGATGTATACAACTACCTAGAGGAGATTGGCACCGATCCGGCCCTTGGTTGGAAACACCTTAGAGTTGTGGTTCGGTCAGATGGGCTCAATGCGATCAAGCATGCGATATTAGACGGACTATTCGGTGATGACTTTTCGGAATTACTCATCGATCTATGCGTTCAAGCCGGCGCGTTGTCAGAGGCCGAAGAACTCGTCACAGCACTGATCGATCGCCAATATCCTTCGCCAACGACGTCGGATAGTTCTTTTTCCGAGTTAGCGTCACTTCGACCACTTTCAGTATTATGGACATTTGCAACAAAACATGACCGCATTCCGTTCCTCCTCCGCCAACACACACTGTTACTATCTTACCAATGCCTTCCGCAAGATTGGCTTTCGACCCGAGAATTCGAGCGCATATGGGCGGTAGCTGCCCGCCACCTGTCGAAAGTGGACGCAGCTGACGACGCCGTGGCTTTCATGAGTCATTCTATCTCACTATTATGCCGACGCAAACGAGCTCTCGCCGGCGGACCCGACACAACCCGCCAAGAAAAAGACGTAGCCGCGGCGAATAAGCAAACGTTGATTAGTGCTTTAACAATGCTAACCGCGATGAGCTCTCTGGGCGAGATAGAGCTTCAGTCGGCAAGGGTTTCAGAAGCTGAGATTACAAAGATAAGCCTCATTGGTAACAGGCTTAGATGCATTTTAAGATCGTGCATGGCCGACCTAGAACTGTTAGAGTTGCCGAGGCCGGCGCGATACGGTTTGGGAAATGACCTGCTATATTTAGCATTGTTCCTCTCGTCGAGCACCGCCCGCAGTGACGACAGCATTAGCTCCCGTCTCAGACACAGCATCGAACAGGCATGGCGGGTGAATATTATCCCAGCAGCCACACGAGGCAGCCGCACGAAACACCGTCTCGACGACATCGCTTCGTTTGTGTCGTCAGTAGCCCGTAGCTGTGGCAGGGGGATGTCAGTTGCGTCTCACAAGTGCCTGGAGACGCTCTTCTCCCAACTCGACGGCCTCGACCTCGACCGGGAGATCCTAAGTAGTATGAAGGCGGTCTCTGCGTTTGCGCTGGCGCAGCAGACCAACGACGTCAAGGACTTCATCTACGCCGAGAAGCTAGCCTCTACTCAGCACACGACCGCCACAAAGACTGACGAGGACGAGGACGAGGCCCGCCCACGGAGGAGTCTGTTCTCCGGGTACCGGTGGGAGGAAACTATAGGCGAGTGGGTGATGGTCAGCCCTGAGAGACGACAACCCAGGGCGAGAACAAGGCAGTTTCGATCTGCTTCCAGGATGGAGGCAGGCTATAGCGAAGAGGGCGCCAGTCAGGCCAGGGGGTCCATATTTGATGATGCAGATAGCGTTCCAGATCAGGGTGGTCGAAGCGCCCAGGGCCTTCAACTGGCACTCGGAAGCGAACGCGTCAACACTAAGAAACGTGCGTATTCTTGCTCTGGGGCCGACAAGTCGCGAGCGGCAGTCGGGACTACCGGAGCGTGCCGAAGCAAGCAATTAACGAAACCTGCGATCTTATCGCTAGAGGACGATGATGAGCTCAACTCTGATAAGGAAAATCAGAATCACGCCACGACCAAGAAGCCAAGGAGGAGCATAGATAAAAGGACTGTGCTAAGTCTTAAACCGCGATCTAGTTTAGCAAGCCCAGCAGCAAACATCAGCATGCTGGGTGACGATTGCAGCGACGACGAGCTTTGCATGTGAGGCCTCGTCGTCTATCTTGAAGAGCGCCGCCATAGGATACTTTTTTCAAGTGGATAGACATGATGTTGCGCTGTTGTGTGACCTATCTTTGGATACATTGCGGCTCAGTGCATGTGAAATTCGGTACCGAATAATATGTTATATTGTATATAGATTAATTCTTTAACGGATGCGTAGGATCGGAGGCGTTCAAGAACCGTTCCAGCGGGATCTGGCGTTCCTGCACGGGCGAACCGGTAGAACTTACCTGAGTATTACCAACATACATATAAATCACACCCTGCGTTCTGTTTGGTATACAAATTGATAATAGACCATTCGACATAAGGCCATTATAGGAAGTTTGTCGGGGCCGTCGAGCTTAGATGAAGAAGAATCCATGTGTTCATCCTCAGATCCTTAGGGACTGGGCCAGAAAAAAAGAGACCATGAGCGGGCGCGGTTGAAACGTGAAACGGGCCAAATTGGGTAACTCGTATCAACTCGTAATTCTTACGTCGTACCACAAAAAGTCTCTACTATATCTGGATTCTGCCCGATGGGTTGCCAGGTCATCGGGATATATATGAAACAACCCGCCCTTGTATAGTCTCCGAATAGAGCGAAATTGACAATGAACGGAAGTGTACATAGTAGGACAGCGTGGGAAGCCGGGAATATCGTTCATGATCTTCAACTTCCCGGTCGTAATCAGGTTTGTTTGGTCCCGTTTTACTCGGACAATTACTTAAGTGCGTGGACAACCACTATGATAAACGCGGTAGGGCGCCTAGTAACAGATGGGTCCATCGAATGAGTCGCATATAAAAGTTGGGGGGCGACGAATAGAGCCCACAGAGGCGCCTAATTAGTGATTGCCTATACAATTGCGTCAGCAACGTGAGGCCATCCTTGTGTCGGATCTTCAGGCCATCATCCACTGAAAGTGAGTGTGTGGTCTAGAATAGGCATTCAAAGCCTAATAATTCATCCCACATCCCACCAGATGAGGGAGAGATAAGATGGAATTGTTTGAACAGCCCTGTTATTGTACATCAACCGTATCAATTTTGGCAGATTTGATGTGATCCCAGGATAGAGTCGATCTGATTGGATTCGTCTTTAACAAGATATGGTATCGTGTTTCACTCTGGTTTGTGGATGACGCATGTCTTTAATTGACGGACAAATTCGGGCATTGCGTCGTGTGGGAGCAGTGGCGTATGCCCTCGTTTTGGATAAGGCTTGGCAGTTTTTGTAGTTTTAATGCAAAATGCAAGTGTGATTCGCCGCAGCATTCGTCTTAACCAGGAAGCTCTTGAGTCCTCATAGATAGGATAACCATCTGCGGTAAATCATAAAAATAAAGCAATGATCGGAGGATGAAGGCGATTAATTAATCCATCATTAGCGATAATCCTCAGAGTAGGAATCTTGGCAACTATTTTGCCTCTCCCAAATTCTTCATTCTTGGAGGACTTACAAGTTGAGAAGTTGAAAAGGTATTGAAAATTTTGGAACACTTCCAAACGCATCCCATTGGTTGCTCAGTGGTAGCTCGCTGTCCCATCTCAGTACTGGAGCCAGGTTCTTACGAATTATCATTGGTGGCCAACATAACTAGATCCCAAGACTACAAACCCCTGTTGTCGGTTGTGCGCTGGCTTCGTTTCAAAACCAGGCTGTCGATCATGTCACTCTCCACCGTTGCAGGGTTAAGATCGGACAAAGTCGACGAATGATAAGCAGACGAACTGTTGACGAAAGGTCATCATGCTTCGAGACTGAAGCATTGACGAAGCTTGTCATTGTGTGGTTTCGACAATCACAAAAGACAAGTTAAGTCGAACCGAGATTTTAGAAACGATGAAAAAAGATAAAGCGATGACTAGTCGAATACGGGTCTGGGGTGAGGTCAACCAAGGATGTGATTCAGTGATTTTGCAGTGATTTGAGGAGGACCTTGATCGATCTGCTTAGATCCTCGGCCAATCTTGCTCCTTTCCATCTGTCCATTTTCCGTGTACCTTGCATTGGTGGCACTTTGTCGGCTCATCCCCACATTGACTTGGTACCCAGGTACAGGACAAGACTTGCAGAGCCTGCTCGTTTCTAGGCCTGGCAGGGAAGATTATTGGGAGGGACATTATGCGCACGATTGCGGATATCGATCCCGTACTGCGTACAGGTATGAAATGAATTGCGCATTGGTGAATTTTTATGACGACCGTGTTATGTACCTTTGTAAGTGACTGGGGAAGACATCAAAAGTAAATGAGTGAACATCACCTCGGACTTCAACATTGCTTGGCGCGTAAGTGATGATGGACGGATATTATTTGTCGGTGAAAGAATTCTGATTGACGTGAAATGTCTTGGGAGAATGAAAGAGTCCAGACTATCCCGTAGCCAACCCCCTATTACTATGTACTACATAGGTACGGCTAAGCACTAAACTTTGTTTTCCCAGCTGCAGTGTTCTCAATTTTCAGGGGAGAAGGCGCAGTGATTGGTGCATGGCGAAGAGGGTGCCGGCATTGGGCGACGTAATTGAATGACGCCCCAAAGTGGACCACCAAGCCCCGGGCGGGTACTCCGCGGGTACGTACTTTATGTACCAGAACTGTTTCCACTTTTCCATCTTTAACTGACCTCCACTGACCTCCTCCTTATTATTCCATGTCCCTATTTGTATATCTCAAGCAATGGGAACCGACCTGTAGATCTCGTCCCTCTCCACCCTGTAGCCCTCCATTCCTCCCCGTCTTCTTTTCTGCGTCCCTTTTCTACATTCCAATCAGTTGGTTCTCGTCCGTTAACCAGAGTTGGGTGTTTTTGGCATTGTTATCCCTCATTTGTAACAATCGCCCTTGTTAGTTTTTTAAGAGGTATTCTCTGAGGTATCATCCTTCGAGTTTCTTTGTCCCCCTCCTTATCCGCCTGGGGCAGGCCCATCACTAGATTTCACACGATTTAAATATCGGCCTTGACGCCCACATCCGACCAAGGTACTTCACCGACGCTCAACTTTGGTTGAGTCTAAGTCACTTAACATTCTCGTTCACGATTGGACCCAGCTTCCTTTCGTCAAATTTCATTCTACAGCTGGCTGTTTACTTCCTTTCACTCATCCCTTTAGAGGTATCGGGTTGACCTCGTCTACCTCATACAGTGTTGGATCTCACCAACGTTCGAACTAACCATTCCTTACATATACGGGTTGTTTGGGTTGAATAGGTCATGGCCGCACAAGCAGCAGCGCAAGCTCCTGGCCAGGGACAGGCTGCAGGATGGACGCCTGCGATGGAAAATGAGTCTCTGTCAAACTATCTACTGATTATCTGCGGTGCCGTCTCAGCCGCCCTCATAATATGGCGTGTTACGACTGCACTGATCACATATGTCCGAACTGTAACAAGTCTGAACAGCGAGACACAACGATACTATGTGGGAACGTCGTCAGAGTGGGCTTGGATCAAGAAGAATCTCCTGTACTCCCCCATATTCAGAAAGCGACACAATCGGGAATTTCAGTTGAGCAGTGCGATCAACGTCGGAACACTACCTACGCGATTCCAATTTTTATTCCTCCTCGGGTACTTTGCCACCAACATCGCCTTCTGCGTCGTGCACATCCCCTTCGAGAGCTTTCAGGACGCTGCGAAGCAACTTAGGAACCGAAGTGGAACTCTAGCAGTTGTCAACATGATCCCGCTATTTCTCATGGCAGGTAGAAACAACCCCCTCATCACTCTACTCGGTATGTCCTTTGATACGTTCAACCTGCTCCATCGATGGTTTGGTCGTATTGTGGCGTTGGAGGCAGTCTGCCACACATTTGCCTTCTGGGCTGCTTCAGCAGCTGGAGCTGGATGGGCCGCCACCCTGCAGAATACCGTGTCAAAGCCATTCTTGATGTTTGGTTTCATTGTAAGTTCCTTCCCAACCTGCATCGGTAATATTTTTTTTATTTTTGCTAACATTATATAGGCCACTATCGCCTTCGTCGTGATCCTCTTCCAAGCCTCGAGCATTTCCAGACACGCCTACTACGAGTTTTTCAAGTTATTGCATATTGGTCTCGCTGCGCTTGCGATTGCCGGCGTGTGGTATCACCTCAAGTTAGATGACCTCCCTCAGATCAAATGGCTGGTTCCGGTCATTGGTATTTGGTGTGGTGATAGATTCAATCGTTTTTTGCGAATCGCATACCGCAACTTCGGCAAAGGAGGAACCAGCACTCTTGTGGAGGCGCTCCCTGGCAATGCTGTTCGTGTAACGGTGAACATGGCGCGACCTTGGACTTTCCGTCCCGGTCAGCATGCCTACTTGTATATGCCAGCTATCAGCTTCTGGCAATCTCACCCGTTCTCCCTCGCATGGAGCGAAGAGGCCGAAGATCTCAGCACGGACAAGCTGGCCATGAACCGACAAGATGTGCTCGCTATGCAAAAGACTAGCATGTCTTTCATCATTCGAGGACGAACCGGAATGACCCACACTTTATACCAGAGAGCCGCAGCAAAGCCTGACGGCCGGCTTCTAACAACATGCTTCGTCGAAGGTCCATATGGTGGCGAGCATACGATGCACTCCTATGGAACCGTGATGCTTTTCGCAGGTGGCGTAGGTGTCACTCACGCAGTCCCTCACGTTCGGGATCTAGTCGCAGGATTCGCGAATGGAACAGTGGCTACGCGAAAGGTGATCTTGGTGTGGATTATTCAGAGCCCCGAGCATCTCGAATGGATTCGACCTTGGATGACCGAGATTCTGGCTATGGACAGACGCCGTGACGTGCTGCGCATCATGCTGTTCGTCAGCAGACCCCGCTCTACGAAGGAAATTCACAGCCCATCGTCAACCGTCCAAATGTTCCCTGGCAGACCTAACATCGAAACCCTCATTGGCATGGAGGCCGAGCAACAAGTTGGAACCATGGGCGTGTCAGTCTGCGGGCCTGGTGCCCTCAGCGACGAAGTCCGACAGGCTGTGCGTCGCCGACAATATGACACATCCATCGACTTCATCGAGGAAGCCTTCTCTTGGTAGATGTCAGTCCTTACTGAACCTCAGAGCACACACACACATACACCCATCAAAGGCTGCTCAGATTAACATGGGCCCATATCAGGGGACCAACGTCATTTTGTAGCGTAAAGCTACTCGGTTCGATTGTGCATATTTCCCTCTCCTTTCTGCGACCGTCGTCACAGCTTCTTGTAGATAGTTCCCTCATTGATAGATGCGTCGGCCTGTTGCCATCAGATAGCCATGTCCGGATACGTCGAGAATATATGATTTGATTTTCCAAATGTCTGATATGGCCCCTTGTGCAGTGAATATTGTCATGTGACTCTTTGTGCACCAACAAAGGATTACGTCTCTTAGCCTGTAGCATATTAGTAATGCCTGTGTCTTAAGTGACCAAGGCCTGAAGTTTGTAAACAGACCACCCAACGAAGTTAAAAGTGAGTAGTCTCAAGGTTCAGATCAAAACATCCGAGCTATCAAACGTATTCAGTGCCTAGAATAATACATTTAGTTATACAGACATGTATATCTAACAAGCTACATATGAAGTAATTATCGGCAAGGCAGCCATACATATGAATCAGCCTCCTATTGACCCGTACTTACCTACCATTTGTGCATAGGTGACTACCTGTTTTGAGGTATCGGAGGATTATACACATGCTCCAACAAATGTAACGTGAAACATTAAAATAAGGTAGTAGCCGTTTGTCAGATGTCAGTTATTGGACTTTATTGGTGACGTAACCGTACCAACGTCAAGGTTAACATTGGAGCAGTTGCGACGCTATCCTGGATGTGTATACGGAATACTGTGGGGTTTGTTACCAAGTACAGTCGCCCGACAAAAGTTTGAGTCCGTTTTGTTAAGCCTCAAGTAGCGCTAAGATTCTACTATTCCTATTATAGAATACGCTATCTTAATATGGTAATTAAATATTGCTGCTTTATATATTTTAAATCTTTTATATTTTAATAATAAGTATATTACCTGTTAGCTGTTATTATTGCCCGAATTTTTTAAGTAAATATTAAATTAAATAAAAACCTTAATAGGATAAGTTGTTATAGCATTTCCTTAATGTTTAAGCACGGTTAATTAGGGTGTAATTTATAAAGCAGCCAGACTAAAATTACTTAATAAAGCTTAATATTACGGTTTTAAGCCTAGCGCCTTGGCGCTACTTAAGGCTTAACAAAACGGACTCAAACTTTTGTCGGGCGACTGTAAATGGGTGGTTACCAATACGATAAGAATGTACCTACCCCTCGGCCCCGCTCCTCTTGGACCTACAAGTACATAAATAAGGTACAAGATAAGCCCTTTAGCCTTTCCGGATGACCTCAGCTCAGATACCCGTGCTGCATCACGCCTGCATCGCGTGAGCCGTCTTCAACTGTCTTTCTCATTCATTGCACACCACATTTGATATCAATGCGTACTGGCTACTAGAATCTTTTCTTGCCGGAGCAAAAGTCAAACAAGGTCTAGTAGTCTAGTTCTCTAGGTTATCTTTCTTCCGCGTCATCGTCTCTGCCATTTGCCAGGCAGGAAACCACCCGGGGGCCAATTTATAATCGGTCGGCCTCCAACCGTTTCGCAGCCTCATAACAAACCTCCCGCGTTCTAAATCAAACCGGCAGACCTGATTCGTGATAACCTACCGAATACTACAATACGTCGTGAACCCTGATCAAATCAATCAATCAATTAGTAGAACATCTAGTCCGCGCGGATATCTTGGGTACAATGGGTCTTGCGTATAACACGTATCTTAATAGCAACAAGATCTACGGATGCAAGAACTGTAAAGCACATCTTGCCAACCATGAGGAGATCATCAGTCGAGTATGGCATACTCTTCCTCTTTTCACCCGATACTGCAGAGCTCCATCCAATTAACCCGCCCAGCCTCATCCATATCGTCACCATCTTCCAATATAAAACATATGACTAACACTCTTCCTTCGCACGAATAACAGAACTTCCGTGGTCAGCATGGTAAGGCCTATCTGTTCAACACGGTCGTCAACATCGACGCGGGGGAGCCGTCCGAGCGCAGCATGACCACCGGCCGCCACATCGTCCGGGACATCACCTGTAAGCAGTGCAAGGAGACCGTGGGCTGGAAGTACGACCGCGCCTACGAGTCGAGCGAGAAGTATAAGGAGGGCAAGTTCATCCTCGAGGCCGAGCTGCTGTGTAATGTGAGCTAGACGGCTCGTCGATCGACCGACCTACCCGAACAGAACAGAACAGAACAATAGAACGGTTGTCTACGTGGAATAGTAGACAGTTGTTGGTGCTGAAGATGCGGATGGACGGGTGGATGAGAATTTGATTTGATTTGATTTATGAGCCATGAATTTAGCTTTTGTCGACCAGTGGAAAGAGGTGGAATCAACGTCTTTACTTTACTACAACGCGTGTGTTTCAATCCTGGGTAGCATGGGAAAGCATGGATCGGGCGTTTCTGGTCAGTGCGAGTGGGTTTACGCGATGACTTCTTAGACAGGGGGGGTGGCGAACGCTCTCATTTATTCACAGTTTGCAGTTTAGTATCCGTAGTCGACGGGGAGGTCGTAATATGGTGGCTTTCTTTATTATCAAGAAGCATCGCAAGAGTGATGTCCCTAGGTATTGTTCCTACAGGATGGATAGCTTCGAAATTATACGTTGTTTTCACATATAGCTTTAAGCGAAAACCTACCACCATACCTCTACTCCATTCCATGTTTAAGACGCTGTGCTAATTCTAGGTAGTTAATAAGTCTAAGCACTCCCTTACTGTTTGCCCATTCAACCTATATAATTCTAATAGGGAAAGACAAGTCCATAGCTAAGCTTAGACTCTATAGATAGACTCCGTGATGTTTATGATAAAGACGGAATTATTCGCTATCATTTATGTATACATACACACCTGGGCAGGTAAGTATATTTCAGGACCAGTAGAGAGAACATAGCTTACGAGGGAAGATATAATATCCAGAAGAGCTAAGAAAGCAAAAGGGTAAAGCCAACGGGAGAAAAAAAATAACAAGACTCTTGTTTACTGCATCTCTATACATTTATATCTACCCAGGTAGATGATTCATATCCGTTAGTCGACCTGCTTGCGGAACCAACCCTATAGCTAGATACTATATTAACTATATCTTAAGGCTAGACTATTCATCCGCTTATTCGACTCTCCTTGTCTTGTCAGCCTAGTATCATTGTCGATGCTACTAAAAGGAAGGCATATTAGGCAAGAGTAGCGGAGGTGAGAAGTGTATCCAAAGTGTTATGGTAAACTACGGAGAGGTTCGTCTGTAAGCTAGCCGTGCTCTCACATGCTTATACTCTTCTAGAAGCGAAATAATCCTCTTATTCCCTCTTTCGTACAACTAGGATAGTCTCAAACATGGCCGTCAAAATCGCGTTGATAACCCAAAGAACTATCTGTCAGAGAGAAACGAGCACTTCAAAGAAGGGCCCTGGGGCCCTCGAGACTTACGTAGAACCACGACCATGTTCTCGCCGAGATATCAACTTATGAATGTATATACACCAGAGCTATACTCTATTCCGATGTCCATATTCGAATATTCTCTAAATTGTTGTCCTAACCTTCGATAGTTCCTATAATGCGCATAAACACTGTGGATGTGTAGACATATGCCACCATCCAAAATACCTCAACACCTAAACCCGAGACGCCGGTTATGACAATTTGATTCCTAAAGCAACCTAAACGAAGAACACCCTGACTAAGAATATATATGCATTACAAATGCAATACCCGATAAAACAAATACTCGTGCTAGTACCACAAACGCCAATCCAATGCAGTAATGTGTAGACAGTGTAGTAAACCTCTTTCAAACAAGACCCTTCCCTATAACCACAGCCAAAGCCCAGGACTTACAGTGAGTGTCGCCTAGTAGTCAGGCTCCGCCCAGAGTGCCCCTGGACATACCCAAATAGTACCAATCCATCACCAATTTCTAGTTGTGTTCGATGGGCTCTTCGGGGAGCAGCTCTTCTACCTCCTCTCTCGGCTGCAGGAACTTGAACGGCGGCTGGACGACGCCGTTGAACAGGAAAGTAAAGTAGACGAGTAGCGCGAATCCCACAACTTGTAGCCCCTTGAAGCTCTCCCAGCCGAGGCCTAGCGAAACGACCCAGATGAACAAGGTACGGCAGCTGTCGATAGTCGACCGGGCTGTAGCGCTGACGCTGCGGGTGACGGAGAGACCGAAAAAGTTGAAACCGCTAATAACCACGTTAGCGCTCTCTCAAACTAGAAATTAGAATGTTTCCAAAGTTTGTCAAACTTACCCGATGGAAACCATAGTCAAAAGACTAGAAACCCACACAGCCCTATACTCCGTCATCTGGCGGAACCCCTCAACCATATCGAACATGCCGTAGCGGCCGGCGTCGGTCCTCCCGACGGCCACGTGCAGCACCAGCATGCAAATCAGGGTAACGGCCAAGCCGAACAGGCCCTCCCAGCCCACGACCTCGATGGCGTCGATGCTCGACCTCTCGAGCAGGAACTCCTCGAGCACGAACTGCGTGGCGGTGAAGATCTGCGCGCCGGCGATGAGCACGACGCCGAGCGCGGCGCGCAGCGCGTCCACGGACGCCGCGTCGTCGTCGCCGGCGGCGATAGCCTGCTTGAGCGCGCCCTTGGGGTCGGGCCAGATGACGCCCGCGAGCCCGACCAGCGCCACGCCCGTCACGACGCCGACGAGCGACACCCACTGGAACAGGTGCAGCTTCCGCTGCAGGAAGACGACGCTGAACAGCCCCACGAAGAGCACGAGCGCGCCCCGCGTCATCTGGTAGATCGATGCGGCCACCATGAACAGGCCCGCGTTGACGAGCGTCGTACCCAAAATGTCGCAGATGGCCGGCAGCGCTAGTAACAAAATGCCGAAGCCCCTGAGGAGCCCGTCGGGGCCGGCGCGACGCTTGGCCGGCTCAACGAGCGGGTGTGCGGAGTTGATGCTGGCGGCGTCGTCGTCGTTGTCGTCGTTGGCGTTGTCCGTGTCGACGGCCTGGTACCCGTCGGCCTTGGGGCTGCTCCTGCTCTTGTACTTCTGCCACGCGGCCATGACGCCGACGACGAGCCAGCACCCGACCTCGCCCACGAACATCTGGGCCGTCTGCAGCACGGGCTGCTCGAACGTCTTCCGGTTCTTAGGGTCGGGGTCGTCGCAGTTCCGCACGCATTGGTTGTCCTATGGATTGCGGTGGTCAGCTATCTAGTTGTTGCGTGATACCTGCCTAGGCACGAGGTAGTTGATCGTAGGCTGTGATAAGGCGGAGCTTACTTGGTACTTGGTGAACAGCGTGTTACAGACGCCGGTGAGCAGCATCATGCCCACCAGGAACGGGATGAGCGCCTTCGACGCCATGGTGGATGGATGGACTGCCGAGGTTCTACGGACTATGCAATGGATTCTCGTGCCAGCAACAGAGATAAGGGAGGTACGAAGCAATACGATTGAATTGAGACGAAGGTAATCTAACACAGGAGAATATGAGTAAGTAGAGGTCCTCTAATGATGGACCAAAAGAGACCTTGATGAAGCTTCTGCTAATTCGAAGCTCCCCGGTGTTGGAGAGAGACAACGGTGTGAGGTTCAATCAACGTGTGTCAGACTTAGGGACTGGGGACCGCCGCGTGGTTCGCGAGATAACAAGTCGATAATGGCTGAATCGCCAAATATTATGTAATCACCGAATTAGGCACTTAGCCGAATGCGTGCTTGTGCTTAAAGTGAAGCAAGTGCAGGTGAGCGTGTACCTTGCTGGCCACGTCTCCACAATAAGCTAGACCAAGATACGTCCCCGCATTGGTCAGCTGATTAGCCTTGCGATATCTAGCTCGGTTCTGATTGGCTCAGCTAGAAACCCCGGACCCGACAGGCGGAAGTTCCCAAAGGGTGGGTACCTGGGACCGGCATGTGGTAGAGAAGTCGCATCTCGTGGACTTATTGGCCCTACTCGGTTGCCATCACCTGCTCAAGTGCATATTCGACTGCATATTGACGTCCACTTAATCATCCGATTTGCCATACGATCCTATTTGTTGTATTTGTTGTTCCCTAGCAGCCTCATTCTATTACTTTTAGGAAGCCTTCGTTGTCAAGATTGAAACCAGTCAACTTTCCGGTTTATGCAACTTAGAGATTAAATCATAGCATTGATTATTAAAAACCCCCCTTCCTGGATGTAACCACCATGCCTTTAATAGAGGGTATCGATTCATGTACTGCTAAAAGATTATACGCGGGTAAAATTGATGTGTACCGCCGTCTATAGAACCATGCTTAAACGCCATACTCAGGTATTCAATCACACAATGTCTGTCTCTCATTGTCGGTGCCGAGGCTAGGCTTCTCGGATCTCCCAAATAATTTCTTCTCCTTCTTACTCCTTGCTTTTTCCTTCTTCGCTTCGGGGTCCTTGTCATTAATGTTGTTGTAGTGAGGAATGCCTAGCTCCCTATCTTGAGCTAGTCGTGCTATATCCCTCTTGGTCAGGGGGACTCCCTCGATAGCCTTGACATGTTTTCCTTCTATGCCCATCAAAACACCGGCAGTAGCAGATGCTATGCAAGCAAGACAAACAAAAAGACCGGTCGACCAGCTGGGACGGTCGTACCTATTTAACGCCCACATAAACCCTGACAATACACATTGTAGGAACGTGTTTGCGACGTTGAAGTAAATAACAAAATCCATCTTCCATAATTTTGTCGGAGGGGCCCTGAGGCCTGTCGGCGGAGCATCTGATATCGTTTCAAGAGGGTATGGAACGCTATTGACGTCGTAGTTTGCTGTCGTCTCTTCGATATTCTTCGGCCCAAGATTCGCAGGTAGTTGATCGGAGCCTGCAAGACGAAACCAGCCGCGATGAATTCCTGCGAGCGTCCGTAGGGCCTTTTGATCTCCGCGAATGCGATATCGTAGCAAGTAATACCAGTCGCGGAATCGCCATGGTGCTAGGCCGAAGCCAGTTACACAGAACAGCGCGTTCAGGATCTGTGAATCTATTTCTATCCATATTCGGCGCGGTGAGTCGATATGGTTGCAGTCTTTCGTGCCGTTGACCCAACACATCTCCGGTGCCGCATTGCACAGCAGGAGGAAGAGCATACCACCCCAGGCTACGACGTTGAGCGAGTAGATGACGAGGAAGAAGCCGAAACCAGTGTTATAAAAGTTCCAAAAGTCCACCAGTCCCATCCGGATCTGTTCTTTTATGGGGTATTTTGGTGGAAAATGGTATCCATTCGCATATTCCTGCATCTGGACGTCCACCGCGGCCACGTTCGAAGCGAGAGCAGCACCCACTCCTTCCTGCGTCTGATTCTGGGAAACCGGTATTCGTTTGTTTAAAGAACTATTCTGCTCGGTTGTAGACACGGTCGTGGCCCGTTCAACGCTGTCATCTTGGCCATCTTTGGAATTTCTCGGCGAATCGGGTGGCATTTTAGATGTCGCTTAAACTAATATCGTAAACCGACAGTTCGCGCAAATTTCGATTTCGAGTCTCTTAGGTAGTGTCGAAATTGGAATGGCAACAAAACGTGACGGATATCAGTTGGCGGTTGACGAGACGATGTCAGCTGCGCGAGAGTAATGTAAAATGAGGACCCAGTAGTAACCACGAGGGTTAAATTATTTTAGCTACGATCGCGGGTCTAGACCGGCCATAGCATAACAAGGCGATTATGAGACAATACTAATTGACAACAACAAATGTATGTACGGAATAGAAGAAACAATGAAACGAATACTTAGGGGAACTGGTCAGAAGTGAACAAAGAAACAAAAACGTCAAAGGTAGCACAACAGGATTTCGAGGAGGTAGTACGAATACGTCGTAAGGAACCCGAACATTTTGCAGGTACGAAGGCAAAATTGCAGCGGGTTTTCTTGGCATAGGACTTTAAAGGGGGAAAGCTGAGTGGTCGCAGTCGCTAGTGCGAAAACTTCATTCGCATCAATCCCGCCAAGTCAGCGTTTTTGGGCGAAGCGCCTGCCGCAGATAAGACTACGACAGGACGGGATGTGTTCGTTCCTTCCAATAAATTATACGTAGTAATTATTACCTCACTTGAACAGGTACGATTATGCGCTTGCCCACTTACACGTATAATTGTTTTACTTAACCTTGAATTCAAGTTTATCATAATCAAAATGACAAAACTTAAAGCCTTGAGACAAATGCGTCATGAGGTGTACGGCCTGACGGAACGGAACTCGTGGATGTCAATGATGCGCATAGCCCTGGAACCTTTTGAAGAGTTCTAGATCCCGCACTAGCTGAGGATCTGCGCCTCTAAAATCGAACAGCGAACTTAGCTGTTCGTTATGGCTGAGTGAGTGTACCTGGGCATGCGGTGCATGCGAAGTTCGCATTGCTGAGCGATAACGAGATTCGATGTTAAGGTTATTTTAAAGAAGTTTTGCGGCCGAAGGTAAGCAGCATTCAACTAAAAGATAGATACTTGAAAGTTATTGGTCGTCTTTCATCCAATGAAATGGTGTTCGGCAGTTTTGGAACCTTGGACGTGTGATGTCAAGGGTACCACCATAAACGAAAATGTTGAAGCAGGAGGTCTTCATGGTACTTGCCTGACAGTTTATGAATTCTCTCAACTCAAGTTTAAAGATGGACTCTGGATAAGTACATATTTAGATTTATCAGTGGTTGTTGAGAGGCTGAAACTAGAAGGATTTTGAAATATTTGAATCTTAAAACTAGGTACCTACTTAGCAAGGACCTGCAGGAAACAATTAACCGTTAATTAACGGTTTATTTATTTAAACCATAAATATATGGTTTATTTTACTTTGACGTTTACTTATCCGAACGATTATAAAATTAAACGATTACTTGCATTTTAATGTTAAATATCTTGAAACGTTTGACTTTGAACAACCGTTTTTAGTTGGGAATAGCTTCAATAGGTGTGTGTAACTGTCCTGGTATTCTAGCTATCCTGGTCTACCTCCTGATTTAGGTGTGTGTAGCCATTTTGATACTTTGAACCTTTGATCCTAAGGTGCGTGTAGCCATTCCAATCATTCTAGTCTAACTGTTCTTGATCCTGTTGTGTTACTTGCCTTAGAGTTCTATATAAGACTTTGCTCCTACCCACCTACTTACACTCCTTCTCCTCCCTTATTCAAAACTTCAAGTGCTCCAAGGTTCAAAGTCTTTGAAGAAGTCTTCAAAAACCTACCTACCTACCTACCTACCTACCCAGGACCCCCCAGGATCGTCTCCAGGAACACCAGGAACTCCAGGACCTCCAGGAGCTCCAAGACTGACTTGCCAGCAGTGCTCACTTGTGAGGCTCAACTACCTGGCCAGGTAAGTATTGCAATTGATATACTGCAATTCAGGTAAGTCTGTAATTGTATATATCGTAGAAGGCCTGCTTGGCCTGGCCTGAATAGATTCAACCTGACCCGACCTGACCTGACCCGTTTGCCCTGTTGGTCCCAAGGTTACACCTACTCCCGTTAATTCCCGGCCTTCCCGTCTAAGTACATCTAAAGCTTCAAATAAACGATTGAATATTCAAACGTTTAGGTTTTGGTCAAATATAAAAACACATTTAAACGTTTATTTAAAAATATGGTTTCTCAGTGGTTTCTTCATTCCTAAACGTTTATTTTTTCGAACCATAAATTAACCGTTAATTAACGGTTAATTGTTTCCTGCGGATCCTTGTACGGTAATATACAATCGCCCGACAAAAGTTTAAGTCCGTTTTATTAAGCCTCAAGTAGCGCCAAGGCGCTAAGCCTAAAACCGTAATACTAAACTTTATTAAATAATTTTAATTTAACTGTTTTATAAATTACACCTTAACTAACCGCGCCTAAACATTAAAGAAACATTATAATAATTTATTTTATTAAAATTTTTATTTAATTTAATATTTACTTAAAAAATTCGGGCAATAATAACAACTAACAAATAATATACTCATTATTAAAATATAAAAGATTTAAAATATATAAAGCAACAACATCTAATTATCATATTAAGATAACGTATTCTATAATAAGAATAATAAAATCTTAGCGCTACTTAAGGCTTAACAAAACGGACTCAAACTTTTGTCGGGCGACTGTACGTAGTACATCTTACATAATATGCTTTCACTAACTGCCCTGTTACACCGCTTTAGTGCATATTATCTGATTATTCTTGCCAAAAGGGTCCTCATTTTTTGACTTGAAGATTTCCATACACTTTCATTATTTACATCATCGAACATCAAGAAGGTGTAAGGTTCAGGATGACCGAGAAAACGTACTTCGAACACCTTGCGGCCACCGTGCTTGACAACCTCCGGTACCAGCATGACTGGACCGAGCTGCAGATATTGACTCATTCCCCCGTGGACAACTCGCCTCTACCCAGACCAATGGTCTCCGGGCTCCCTCCTCGTCAACTCTACCTGCATCCTGATGACCAGATCGAGATGCTGAAATCTAATCCCGATCTGGCGGGGCGTATTCCAGAGAAGCCTGTCGTTGAATGGGTACTGCCGACTCACTTGGCCGAGAAATGGACGCTCAGGGCGTTTGCAAGTGTTTTCGATTCTATGCCGCCACAAACTCCAGCAAATCCGGATCGTGTTAAGAGAGTACTGCTTGCTACGATGCACGACGATTCTACCATTGTCTACTATTTCATGCACGACGGCATCGTGAAACCTCGGCAGAACTAGGCTTATAACCTGGTGGCTCTATCTCATTCAACAAGACAACCTACCTAGGTAGCTTCGCTATATCTTCTCAGCTATGGTTTGAAAATTACTTTTTGTGCCTGCATTTTGTCAAACAGGTCATATCCAGATACAGCCATAGAGAGCGGCATAATCTTCTCGAACATAAACCTGGGAGAAGTTAATGGCTACCGAGAACCGATTCGTTAGGTTGTACTCGAGGGTCAACTTACCCAAATCGATGCTGGTTCTTAGATAGGACCTTGAGCGCGTCGGCAAATATTGAACGAACAGGACACCTTCCCATCTGCAACCTCACGTTTTTACTATACCAAAGTTAATTGAGAGAAACGAGATGGGTGATAGGATGCCACGTACCCGTACCCTTCAGTGCCACTGAATGGGATCTAAATGACTATTAGTGGTCGTACGTATAGTGACACATCTTAAGAGTTCGCTCACCTCGGCATTATGAACGCCGATACTACTTATGAAGCCAAAAGGTCGCAGGACATCGAATGCTGTCCTTAGAGCGGGGCTCAACCCGACCACCTCAATAACTGCATCAGCGCCTCGGCCGTCTGTGACTTCCTTAATTCGAGCAATCATGGACTCCTTGTCCCTCGCGAAGTTAAGGGGTTCTGCTCCCAAGCTTTTTGCAAGTTCGAGGCGGCTGTCAATACTGTCGACGGCGAATAAATGTTTCGGCTTATACTCAAGTGCCGAGACTATTGCGCACAGCCCTACCGGCCCGCAGCCGATGACGACGACTGTGGCTTCGGAAGGATCTAGCGCGCCGAGGGCATTGAAGGCGTTTCTGGCACCAAAGAAACCAGTGGGAAATATATCCGCCATGAGAACCAGGGCATTGTCGTCGATCTCGGGCGGTGCCTTCATTACAGTACCGTCTGCAAGGGGTACGCGTACAAAGTCGGCTTGGGCACCATCCAGTTTCTCACAGCCAAACAATAAGCTATGGTCACATCGAGACGAATACCCATTCTTGCAGTAGAAGCATTTCATGCTGAGAGATTCATTAATGGATAGACCTAATCACGTACGGAAATTATAGGGTGACTAACCAGGAGACCGTGAAGGGCGACACAACTTTGTCACCAATCTTAACGGATTGAACGTCTTTTCCCGCGGCTACTACCGTACCGGCAAATTCATGGCCCATGATGAAGCCCGTGTTAGAAGGCTGATGGCCTCGAAAAGTGTGAAGCTCACTAGACGGGTTGGGTCATTAGAAGACCGGTGAAGAGGATAAGGCAAAGAACTACACAATACGTACGATCCGCAGAGAGCCGTTGCGTTAACCTTGACTATGATGTCCCCGTCATGTTGTACTATATCTTGTCAGCTGAATTAATCGTACTACGATGAGGGCAGATGAGCTCTGGGTTTAATTCACTCTTGGGCACTGGTCTTTGCTGAAGCGACACCTTGTACGGGCCATCGAACACGACCGCGTTCATTGTAAGCGGTAGCTCCATGGTGGTGACGCCTTGCCTCTCAATTCAGAAAAGTCAGGGGCCTTGTCACAACTCGAATTGAATTGACCGTTCTCTATCCAGAAGCCTTAGATACGCAATGACGCAACTGAGGTCGTTCCCGTTGATACAGGCTCGTTTTGTTCCTCAGTCATCTATGCCAATCCACGCCACGCCGATGTCACCAGTTACTATATGCGGGGGAATCGGGAATCGTGCTATGTGGGAGTGGGGTAGCCCTTAGTTCGTTCGGTTGAGATATGGATGGATGTCAATGTCATTCTACCCATCTGTCATACACATTAGACACCTAAATTGCTCTATATATAGTATACTGCTTTTATGGGAAGTAGGATGATACTATATGTTTTTGTCAAGTATCACTAGATTATATCATGGATGTTTATCACTCTTCTGAGTTTCTAACAGACATACCCCCTTTTTATCCGACATTTAATACCTACGTTCTCTGTAGTCTTGGCGTTTGTGGTCGGAGCCTGCCACTTCACCGGACTTTCTAAACAATTACATCCATACCCTATCAAGTACTTATGAAGAACCAATACCTACTTATAATCTCTTCGACAAACTCAAGCCTTCCCGGCATATATACAGCCGGTGGTATTCTAGCTCTCCCCTAGCTCTCCCTTAGTATTGCCGGATTCGTTCGCTAGGTTTCCATAGGCGTGCAATAGCCGACTTAGACAGGTTTGGTGATACGGCGACTTGATTTAGTAGTTCCGACAAGTGGCACGATCGTGTACACGCGGGACGTTACCAAGATCAAGATTACCTGTGACTAACACATGTGGCGCCGCCCGGTCGCTATAGTCCGCCTCCAAGTGGAGAAAGATGAACCAGAAACGTGAATTAGGAAGGCATGTAGGTATGTACTATCCAGCGCTGGCAATCATTTCCACGTGTTAAGAGACGATGTGTCAAGCGAGCGCTTTTCAGCTCGTCCTCGTTCCGTCTGTCGATGTAGACGCCAGCCGAAACGGGGTATTATCTTACATCGCTGCGTCGTAAAATTCCCCTGCTCAGCGGAGTACGGGTTACTCACTCGGAACTGCCGAGGTCGTTATGTACCTCTAGCATCGCTATGCGATTTTTGTATGCAATTATCGCAGGACGCCACTTTCTTAAGGTTCCCTGCAAGAACCTTGGAATGGATAGTCAAGACGCTGATTACGGGCCCCGAAAGCATGTAACCTACATACCACCTTACAGTAGGTACATAATATGCTATCCGCTTTGGCGTTTTTTGTTGGCGTGCGCACGTAGTTATTCGGGCAGGTGGTTGGTCCGCGTAAGGGTCATACAGAAGAGTTTGGTCCTACCTTTTTACCCGATCTAATTGGGCCTTACAGAAGACATGTGTTAGTTAGGTGCGGCTCATAGGAGGCTCAGCGAGGGGCCGCAAATGCAGGTCAACCGAAGCGGCTGAATGAAGGTTTCAGGGAACCCGAAGCAAGGTTCTTCCATGTGTTCCCAACGACGGAAGGGGGACGAGGGAGGCGACAGTTCAAGAGAATTGAGATAACAAATTGGAAGATGACTTTTAGGTAGCGATGTGATCATGGCGGCGCGCCTTTAGAAACATGATCCGAAGGGACCAATCGCGAGAGCACCGCATCATCTTTGTACGCTGAGCCGCCCGGCTATTCGGACACCGCCTCCCTTTCCTAGTTGCGCGTCCGTATATAGGTAGGTATATATGGATATTATGAGCCAACTGCCCATGCGCTTGTTTGGTGTTTGGTGTCTTGGTGCTTGGTGTTTGTCTTGGGGTAAAGGGAATTAAAAATTTCATATAAATGGAGGATTCAATGCAAATACCCAGGCGCCATATAGTAGGATACCTTAAGGTGGCTTTGGGGTCCGCAAACTATGCACCGTCGACGTAACCCCGTTCACGGTAAACTGCAATGGATTACCACATTGAATCGGCCAGCCGCGGACGGCGTGGGAAAATAAAAAAGAGTCTGTTCTGTTTCTGGGTCGTGCAGGTCATCGGTTTGATAGGCAACCAGTTCTGAGCGTCGTAAGGTCCAATTACATACATAGAAAAATCGAGCACGGCCGATCTTCGTGCTGCCTGCCGGCTCTAGCGTAGGCAGGATTATGTGATAGCATTGGAGAAGGGCGAGCCCGTTAGATGAGAGCCCTGTTGCATGAATACTTATTCTGCATGGTGATCCGGTGGAGGATGACGATAGTGCTAATGTTTTATAGACAAGGCCAGTCAGGCCAGTCTCCTTTTGTACAATGGGAGACAAACGTTTGGAAGGCTCGCAACAGATAGATAGACACATGAAACAAACGGCGGGGAATCTTATGAGGCCCTATTAATGGTCATACCAACATCCATGATACCCAGCATACCCAGCATACCAACCCGTTTCCGTGTTTCTAGTTTCTACTTACATGCCTATTTTATTATCCACCATCCATGGAGCATGTACCTTTTTATATGTACTTGGCTTTGATGACAACATACTACCGGAATACATGGGTTGAGGGCATTATGCAGGTGAAAAGTCCATCTGAGGGATCTAATTTGCTGACCACATATCGAGTAGTAGGCTTTTGGATGTCTAGACGTCGTACCGGAACTCCATCTGGCTCCATCTGCCCTCCCAGCCCTCTTTCGCCCTCCTTCATGTCCTCACCCCCACAAAAGTAATCTCTATCTCTCTCACTCATACGGCATCCTCTCCTGGGCCGATTACCCTACCAATCGAATGGACCACGGCCTCTCTTCGCCGTCAGAGTATTACATTATTGTCCCCTCGAACGACCCGTTGGGCAATTTCACGAATTCTCTTATTAATGTATGTATGCCTGGGATTGCGGCCCATCCGCCATCTCGAGTTTGAACGGAAGCCTTCAGACTGGTAGGTAGGGAAAAGAGGACTCGAGCTGTGTCATGGCATTGCTTTGCTATGCGCTGCCGTCGAAGCAGTCTCTTCGCATACCTACACACCTTTTCGGGAAAGTCGTCTGAGATGGTATTTCCTAAGAGGCCTCCCGCGAAACGTCCCCACAAAGAGAGCGAAAGACCCTGCAACTCGACTCCTCTTTCTGTTACCGGGATCATCAAGACCTAAGGTTTATTAAAAGTGACCCATTTCGCGGTCGACCGAAACGCTCGACGTCCAATATCTTTTCCTCTTTGTCTCGGTGATATTTTTTCCTGCTAGAGTAGGGCCTTTTTTTAGTAGAAGACGCGAGAGAGGGCGGCAACCGTGCCCGACCCAGTGATCCCTTCCAGCGAGAGGTAGATTAATAAGGTAATGAGACAGGGCACAGGGCAATACAGGGCAGTACTCTCCGCACGCACATCGCGCACATCCATGCATCATTAGGTACGCCGCCGGGGTTTTGCGGTCAGTGGCCTGCAGATGCGGCTGTATCATCGTGCGATATGTACTATCGAGTCCACGTCACGGCTAGAAAAGGCCAGGCCTTACTCCATTCCTGCCCGTGCGTCCATTCAGAGCGGCTCCTGTATAGTGCTACCGAATTGTGCCAATCCCACCCTCTTTTTGCGTGGGCGGCACGTTGTTAGAGTCTTAGACATCTTCATACTAATGTTCGTATGGATTTACATATGGATAGACGGATGTCTTCATGTTATGTTAGTACCTAGTAGTGGTAAACGCCGAGCCCCATTATCACCATGTCCATACTCGGAAGCTGGAGAAGCATAATGTCTTCGGTAATCGGTAATCAAGAAAACGAGGCTAGTTTCTTTCTGCTAATTGCCAATACGGGCTCTTCCATCTTCCAACTATCCCCGTAAAGATTCACCATTTCTTTTACCCCAAATAGTCAATCTCGGTGAATTTTAGAAGCTTAAGAGAGTCTCCATAGAATCGGGCGTGCCGCATGCTCGCACTACTGTACATACCTGTATAGTATCCTGTAAACGAGAGATATATTGTGCGAATCCCCGCCTCTCTCTTCACTTCCCCATCCCCATCCCCTCCAACGATCGCATGGGACGCCTTATCCTGTACATATCTCTATTCCGTATTCGCACGAGTATACGGTTCGTTGCTGCAACGCATGTCTAGTGGATTGCCAAGGGTGCATAAGCCTCAATATGTCTCCAAATTTACATAGAATGCTTGTAGATGCTTGTAGTGTATTACGAGGCACGCATGGTTGTCGCTGCCGTTGCTTGCGCCGGCTAGGGTGGCTGAGCAAACCGCGTCGATTGCCGATTACCTCCGCCTCGCGATATGTAGCGAATGCAGTGAATGGCTAGTGAATGACGGGGTGAGTGGACAAGTAGAATGCAGTAAACCTTTTCTTCACATAAGTTTCGCTTTTCCTTTCCTCTCCGATCTCTGAGGCCTTATCATGTCATACTGTATGTACTCAGCCTTCTCGTTCGACCAGTACCTTATAAGAGCGGTATTCAGTGACGTCTGAATAAACGAGGATTGAGAGTGCCACCGACGATATTGGGTCGTTATCTGGGTCGCCGCATGTTTCCAATACTACCTGCTAGATAATAGCACCGCATCTGCTCGACCAGTAGCTTAGGTGCCTCTTTATCCCCGCAAAAAGCCGACCCTTTTCGATATCCCATCCTGCCATCTGACACACCTCAACATCCATTTCCACTCCCATTCTTACCCTAGCCCCGGTGGACGCATGCTCGTCGATCAAATTTGGTCGCGTTATCACCCCGTCGCCGGTTTTGCCGTGGTCTTACAGATCCGTAAAGGGAATAGCGCAAGACCCTGAGCGATTTGCAGAGGAAAAGTTGGAATACGTACAGGAAGAATCGACTTATAAACGTATGGTATGTAATATGTATATGTATGTGCGTGTGTGTACCTCTATTGCTCTACGTACAGCATCTGTATGATCTGTATGTCCTGTATGGTATGTCCTGTATGTCCTGTATGTGTGGGATATACCGGAAAACAAGGAAGAGAATTGATTCGATTGTGCTAGACTGCTGCTATTAGCGAGTGGGTTTTTGCGAATGTGCGAATTTGCGAATTACGCTGCGAATTACCACACACATAACCACGCATATACCGCATATACTACACACAATCCTCTCATCAATTTGTTCTGGGGATCGCAATCCGGGGGATTGATGAGGCTTTGGCACATCGCACCATTGAGAGGCGCAAACCAAGATTACTGAAAAGTCACTAAACGGCGGAGACGGGGATAACCCAGCCTGGGCCAGGTGGGCGGCAGGTACAAGTTGTTTTAGTCTTACATTAGCCCCGAATTCTACTTACCTAGAGCTGCTAGAGGCATCGATATACATATGTATCTAAGTACATATTTGGCCTACAGAGGTAAAGGTTGAGAAAGATACATCCGTACATGCATACCTAGCCCGACCGCGATACAGAAATACAGAATACAGAGTTACAATAAAGATACGAAGATACGAGGGTACTGGTGGTGACCACCGCGGTGCTACTACTGAGGTAAGTACCTACCTCTTTCCAAAAATTCCCTGGGACCTTCCATGAAATCACTTCTTGGATCATCCACTCGCAGCCGCATTCTTCGCCGCACGCCTCTTCCTTCTTGGTCCGCTTCAACCTCCTAGCATCAGTGGGTCCCATTTTAACCCATTTTGTACTATGTTGCAACATCCCCAGACTCATCCCTCAATTGGACATTCACACATTTTACCAGAACCAGACCTAAACTACACGTCTTTACCTACAGTAGCAGCAGAGTAGGTTAGTAACCTAACTTAGCCTGGGTAGCCAATGCCTACCGTACCTGCTGTCTGTACATACCGTAAATCTATTATCTCAATATCTCTCTCACTTTCTCTCCCAATCCCCCAGTCTCCCGGTATATCGGTCTCCCAGTTTCTCACACTTGCATTCTCACTCTGACTCTAACTCTCTCAATTACCCCCATTTCCATTGGCGATAGGGCTGGGCTGCTTTTACTCTACTGCTCTACCAGGCTCTCTCTCATCTTCTTCTACCTCTCTCCTCTTTTCCTCTCCTTCTCCAGTTTCCCACAAGGTTGTTCCCCACACCATCTACTTAGAAAAGCGACATGACGGAAGTGACATCGTCTCTAACTAGAATTTTTCCCGTCAGGATTCCATGTCCCTCTGAGACTTAGCCGCACCCCTGCCAAATTTGTCCAAGCAGAAAAAAAGCTTACATAGTATCGACCCCCGGTCTTATTAAATGCGGGTTTTGCCTTTCGGGCCTGCCTATCATACGGCGCAATCTGGCAATTTAACTGATCGAAACGATCCCATCGGCTTACCAGCGCCAAATCCAGGGACCACTGCCCTCTAAGCAACGACCTTCGCTGTCTAGCCTAGCTAGTACCGAGCACCACCACATATCATTTGGGTATCTAGGTACTTACATATAGGTACTGGACCTAGGTCCTAGGCCATTAGTACCCCATCCGGCCCAGCCTATTCTATATCCCACATCCCACCACCGACGAAAGAAACATAGCGACAGGCAAGACAAGACAAGACTAAGACTAAGACCTAAGACCAAGACCAAGACCAAGAGAGGAGGCTCCGCAGCGCAGCACTTCTCCCCCCGCCTTACATTACATTATTTGCGCCAAAAACCTTACCTTGCCTGACCTGCCTGAACTTGCCTTAACCTGCCTTACAACGACGTTACCACACAGCACCGCCGTACCACCCCAATATCAAGTCTACTCTTCGTCGGTCACGAGCGTATACTTCTTTAAGTCCTTGGCAGCAACTTCGAAGCAAAAAAAAAAGATCATAACCCACAATCCACAATACAAGCCTATTCCAAGCTAGTCTCCGTGGCCCCATCCTTCCCCCATCCAGGAAAGACACACTTGCCGTTATACCCAGCATTGTCACCGTACCTACCTAGGTACTCTACCATACTTACCTTTCTGTCGTCTAACCTGAATTCAGCATTAACCGCATCGCATCCTTCTTCTCCAAAGATCCTATCCTGATTCAACATAGCCGACCCCCTTCCATTCTTTATTCTCTCCCCTCCCCAATCTTCCCCCCTGCTTGATTTCTTTTCCTTCTTTTTCTTACATTCTCCCGCGGCTCCCTTGCCATCCTTGCGCCACTTCTAGCCAAGGGACTTCATCAGTTCTGAGCTAGATAGCGCGCGCGACCACCCCGTATTTCTCAGCGATAGGGTCCTAGTATCCACCAATCCGCAGTTGCGGCTCCTTGCGGCGGATAAGAGCCAGTGCGCCGTGTTACTCTATTACTCACGGTTTGAACTCACTCGTCTTGTCATTTTTGGCAGGCTAGTGTGCGCCTGATTACTACTACTACTTTCTAACCAAACGCAACTACACTTACACGCGAATGGGAGGGCGACCACGACTTTGACTGTGTCGAATCACTTTTGGCGCAATCAGTACTGTCACTCCTTCGTGCGACAGCTGGCAACCTCGTCTTGGTTTCCCGATGATGACTTGAGTCGACCAGTGCGTGAGTAAAGGCCACTCCATGCCAGAGCGTGAAGACATGACTACGACCGTCGATTCGGCCCTCGCTCACGACCCTTCAGCTAGCGACGTGTACGATCCGGATGACGTTTTTCCTCAGCACAGTCCCTTAATGAAGGCTCACCGCCCCAAGCTTGAACCATCGCCCTCCCCGCCGGCTATACCACTTCCCAAAGTCAGTCTTCTTTCTCAAAACGGTCGGAAATCTTCTAATCGTCGACAAAAGATCCGCCCGAGCCTCGGCGATGCAGTCTTGATCCACTACCTCGACGGTGGAAAAAGGCCAGATATCGTCGCCGAGGCGTGGTCGAACCCTTTATCGTTTCGCGGCGACGACGACGACGACGCTCACAGCAAAGGGGAAACGGAAGAGACGTTCGATGGATCGGGGGACGAGGAGGATACAAGGAGCCACGAAGAAATGTCACCAGTTCCCAGGCAACGTCGCAATATACGCGCCACCGACGCACCCGGATCAAAGTCCATAGATCTGCAGTTTCTCGCGACAAATGCCGTGGACATGCTTACCGCTGCTAAAGCGGCTTCAAAAATCGTAGATCCAACGGATTGCTCACAGGCTCCAGATGACGATTCTAGAGTCGCACAAAGAACGGTACAGGGTCAGGCCTCGAGGATGGACGGTGCGCGAGACGAGAATACGATGAAGGATGCAAATAGGCCGGTTCTTGCCGCGCCTATCTCCCCTTATCCGTCGCAGACTTCGCAAGAGATGTTCTCTCCTCGGCATTTTACGCCAGGTCAAGGAATGCTGATGCATCCTAGCAGCGTTCAACGTTCACCTCCTGGTCTAAGTCCTCCTACAGGTCATGGGGAGTTACCTCCGATCCAGGAGTCGTCCCCAAAATCCGACACGACTAACCACGAATCTCTTCCGTCCATAAGATCTACACTACTTGAACAACTTACAGGTCCCCCGAAAGATTTGGCTATGCGTAATGGGCATCAGTTTCCTCACTCTCCCCCAGGAGGACCGCCACGGATTGGCGGAATTTCCGGGAGTCATGCTTCGCCTCCAATATCCCCGAATGATGCATATCGTCACCAAAGTCAAAGCATACCTTCTCCACCTCATACGCTTCCCACTATGAGTCCTTACGGGTATCCTCCGCAGCATAACAACACGAACCAGTATCGGCAGAACCTAGATTACAGCAGCGGTAGCAATGCGAACACGCCAAGCGGTAGCGGTGATGCCTCCACCCCTGCTACATCGATTACGATCACCGAGCGGATGAGTATTGATGCCATTTCAAATCCGGTTGGCGCCTTTATGTGTACGGTGCAGGGCTGTAATGCGCCTCCGTTCCAGACACAATACTTGCTCAATTCACACGCGAATGTGCACTCTTCCGCCCGTCCGCATTATTGTTCCGTGAAAGGTTGTCCGCGAAGCGAAGGCGGGAAGGGCTTCAAACGAAAGAACGAGATGATTCGTCATGGGCTTGTCCATGATTCGCCTGGGTACGTGTGTCCGTTCTGTCCAGATAGGGAGCACAAGTACCCAAGGCCGGATAATCTGCAAAGGTAGGACATCTCTTAGATCTAACAACAGCGAATGCGACAAAATCTGATAGGAATTATAGACACGTACGAGTTCATCACGTCGATAAAGACAAGGATGATCCTGCCCTTCGCGATGTGCTTTCGCAGCGTCCGGACGGACCTAACCGAGGACGGAGACGCCGCGGCGGCCCGTGAAGCTCCATCGGGAGTGATTGATGAAACGAGAGAACGCGAAGAATGATTGCTTCCGACGTTATGATATATTGCCATTCGAATCTTAGATGTACATATGGAGCAGATGATATCCCGGGGGTGGCTGGTTCTGATACTTTGACGCCGGTGTGGCGTCGTTGATATTGATTGAGGAATGGGACTTTTACGAATCATACCTCAATTGGAAGGGGAGCTGGCGTTCGGCGTAGCCAATTATACCACAAAGGGGAGCGCTTATGTTGGCCTTTTTTCTACTTTTTTGCTTTTTATTATTTTGCTACTCCATTCGCTTACTACCCCGCTGTTCGGGTTTTTTTTTTGAAGACGCGGGGTTTTAGGGGCTACCAAGAGATGGTACGACGACAATGTACGGAGTGCGTATCACGGAAATTGGCGAGGTGGTCCAGTAGAGGAGCCTGCCTACATCATTTCTATTTTGTTCATTCGTGTTCATACTTGAGAGGATAAGATACATACCTAGTAAGAGGGACCGGGGTCTTTAGCTAGAGGAATTCTTGCGAGCGCAGCAAAAAGGGATCCATGCTCGTTTTTTTCTTCTAGACAGCTGGAACTGGACGAAAAGTCCTGGCTGGAGAAAGCCACAAGGTGCGCTCGTAGCCGCAAGCACTTTGAAAAAACGGGCACTGTCTGCGATGCTAGCACAGAAAACAAATGACAAATATCACATATCTATTCTCCCCCAACCTTGTTCGTTCTTTTCTATGAATGCGGACGATGAAGGTTTGAGCCTGTAATGCATAGATTTGATACGCGTAATTATAGATTCAAATCAGACGTTAAGGTTATATATAGATAGATAAAATCAAGCCGCGTCGAGCTAAACTCCCTCGTCCCATTTTTTTGGCCTCGTATTGTTGTTCATTTATACTAATTTCCCCTACTTCTCTCGAGGCCAAGCTACGTACGGGCTTGCCATTCCTTCCTTCGTTCGGCATAGTATTTATCGCCCGTCATCATCTCATTATTCGTCTCTACTCCTTTGTCTTCTTCTTCCTCCTCACCAGTAATTCTTCAATTTTTATAGTATTTCTTCTCACCTTCCTAGGCAGACATCCGATTTAGCAATCTGGCTAAGTATCTAGTAGTAAGTCAATCATCAACGCCCTCCCAACCCCCAGCATTCACGGGCCCTTCACTCAGTATCTCGACCTGCAGCCCATCACCGCCGCCAGGCGTAGGCGCATTGTACAAGCCCAGCAGCTCGACGACGAGCCATAAGCCGTGGCCGCTGGACCGCGGGTCGATGTCGAACTCGCCCGTCCGCAGGCCGTTGGGGCCGACCTCCTTGAACTCGGGGGCGCTGTTGTTGTGGTTGTTACCGTTATCGTAATTGTAGTTGTAGCTGTAACTGCCGTTGCCGTCCGTAGACGCGAGGATCAGCCTGTCGGGCCCCGTGCCCAGCTCGACGGTCGCGCGGACGGCGGGATGGGGGCGCGGCGTCGTGGTGCCGGCCGAATACGAAGCGTGGGACGCGGTGTTCCGCGTGATAACGACGCAAGCCCTCGTCAACCGCGCCGCGGAGACGGCGGCGCGCTTTTTCTTATGAGGTTCCCCCCCTGCCCCCGACCCCGCCCCCGTTGCTGCTATTGAGGGGATACAAGTAGGTAGATCAGCCAATCTCGTGCGCAGCCTGCCCGCGGCGTCGGCCGGTATGGCGGCTAGCGCACACGGCGCGTTCGAACCGACGCGCAGCGCGAAGTCGGCGAGGTAGCCCGGCTCGAAGGTAGAGCAGACGACGGTATACGTGCCGGCGTCAACGTTCTTGGCCTCGGCCAGCGCGCAGCCGCGCCGATAGTCACCGCTCGCGAGCGCGAGGTCCCTATTCCCGACGCTCGCGACGCGGCGGCCACCGGCCCACACAAGCGCCACGTGGACGGGCATCTCGTCGCGCGCCGTGCTGAGGAGCAGGCTCAGGGGCCCGGCGCGCGAGACGGTGAGGCTGAACTGCGGGTTCGACAGGTACGACGACGAGGCGGAGTTGCCGCCGGCGGTGCGGCGGGTCCAGGAGCCCTTGATGTCGGCGTAGTGGCGGAAGGGCGACGGGGCCGGGGCGATGGTCAAAGGGCTGCGGGAGAAGAAGGAGAGCGTGAAGGAATATTTCGGGAGCGGGAGCTCTTGCGTGGCGACGACGACGGTGTAGGTTACGCCGCGCTTGGATTCGAAGGCCGCGAGTGTCTGGGGGGAGTCGACGTAGTCACTTCGGTAAGCGGGTCGTGTGTTGAGGGAGACGCGCTGGCCGGAGTGGTCATCGAAAATGTATATGCTCATAAAGCCGAGTTTGCTGGAGACTTCGGCGAGAGTAGTGCTAGGGTCGTAGGGAGCATCGTCCTCGACATGGAAAGTAGCATGGGTGGTGCCAGCACGGTGGTTGCGCATAATGTTGAGCTCGTCGTCCTGGAAATGCCGACTCAGCAGGATCCAAATGCTGCCGTCGGCAGAGGCTGTCATAGAGTACTGTGGATTATGGGCTAGGCAAGAGCCGCCGATCATAGTGGCATCAGGGAGCTGCCAGGAGAAGTGGTGGTCCTGGCGCTCGGTGAAGAGGCTTGGATTCCAATTCAGGTAGAGCGATTCGAAGTTCTGCGTCACGTCGTCGAAGCTAATCCAGAAAGATCCAGGTTTTAGCTTGGTCGGGTGGTCGTCTGTCGCTCGCGAGGATGAAACTTCGGATGATCCAACACCTTTCCAAACGAGGCCGTCGCACCAAGGGTTTTTGACCAGCAGTCTTCTATTTCCGGATGTTTCGGACATGTCGAGAACGGCGTAGTCGTGTTCGCCAGCCAGCCCCAATGTCTCTTCTTCGTCGAGTGAGAGCCGTCCCGTTCCTAGAGTGACCACTACATCACCGTAATCGTAAGCTTTCTTGACACGCTTCCATGTGCGTTCCCAGTCTAGGTCATCACTCTGAAGGAACAGTTGCTGGGGTATCCAGCCCGTCAATGCGCACAAGTCAGTGCCAGAATTACTCCCAGGAAAATCATAGCCACCGCGGACCTTGAGGTAGGCCTTCTCCATGAGCGCCGGCCATATGAGCCTCGGATTCTGCCGGTCGACGACGTAGAGCGTGCGGTCTGTTGCAGATGACGGGAGCCGGTCGTCGATGACGACTTTGCGGAAGCAGCCGTTGATAAACATTCGGAATACGTACTTCCCATTGGCAGAGAGTTTGGGTTGTCCATTTTCGGGGCTGACGGGGAACATCAGGGCAGGCAAAATCGACATAGGTCCCGGTCGTAGGTGCCGCATACAGGCACAGAGGCTTGCGACGACTGAGCAGTCTGTTGTTATATCCTGGACTAAATCATAGTCGTTTTGCGCCTCAATTAAGGAGTCATTAGTTTGATCAGCTTGAAGCCCTTGGCTTAAGATCTCTGTAGGGCGTTTCCAACCCGCAAAGACGGCTCTTTGACGTGAAGATAGAGAAAACTCAGCAGCATCACTGAACAGGCTTCCACTGAATTCCTTCGGTTCGAGATCTGATTCCCATGGTGGAAATATGTTTCCGTGAAGCCTAGAACTGCGAAGGAGAATAGCCTGTTCGCTTTTGGGGATCTGACGTGCCTGGCGTGGTAGCTTCAGGCGCTTCTCCACGGCTGCGATACTACTTCCTCTGGGTTGACTTGATCTCTTAAGGTCTTCTGCTTTCGAGATAAGTGAGTGACACTTTTTTGTAAGTCGAGTTTTCTCTTCTGGGCTAGATGCTGCTTGGGCAGCGTTCATATACAATTCTGCGGCTGCAATAGCATGGTCAAGGGCAGCCTTGCCATGTGTGTCGGAGACTAGTGCCTCTCGTTCCTAAATAATGTCAAATTTTTGTAAAGAGCTATTCCAAAAAAGTGTCTCACTTTTGCTTTTGCCTCCATCGTAAATTGTGATCCCGGGTGTTGCGGCTCTCGGTCTTTGAATCGACACAGCCCGTTGAGTAGATGGAGGATTTACCTGGTGGACAAGAACAATAAAAGCACCATATCCCAGTATCAACCGATTACTCTATCACGATATAAACTTTTTGCTCAATGGCACATGTCAAGTATGTATCGAGAAAATAGTAACATGCTGTAAATAGCTGATATAGTCCATGGAGATAACCCACAGCCCTATAAATCACAACCATATAATGTGGGGATAGGTATATAAGGAAAGAGGAGAAGGAGAAAAAGGAAAAATAAAGGCAGTAAGTATAAAAGTTGATATGTTACTTCATCTCAATATTTCACCTTTTCTTGTTAAACGAGAGGCCAACTGCTACCCGACGTTGAAAACATCCGGTTGTCGCTTCGTGACTCGGTCACAGCCGTTCACGATAGGTGGTGCCTTCGGGAACATATTCGGAGCTGATCTAATTCGGGCTGTTGACAGCTGGAGATTTTCATTGTTAAAACTGTCAAAACGAAGTATTGATAAGACGAACATCAAAAGCCCGAGGTCTTAGCTCGACGTAAGTGCCTTACATAAGAAATGCATAAACCCGGATTAACGAGTGCCCGAAGTTCAGAAAGAGTTCAATCCATGTTTTCAAGGTTTATGTAACCGTGGAAGTGGAAGGTGCATGGTGCACCTTTGTCCCGCATTCAATTGTATCATTCGCGCGCATTCTTAGATGCCGCGGAGGACCAAGCTAGTCATCAATGGCCGAGGTTGATTATTCACGAGCACCCTTTTAAACTCGGCTTGCGTCGTACATTCCCCGGTTTTCGCATCATCGGACAGCAACGTCAGGGGAGCTTCATTGTCTTATTTTTAATTCTAAACCTTCCTGCTTTCTTACATATAGATATTTTCTTTATCAATGGAAATGTGTACCGATATCTAAGTCCTAAGCTGTGTTTCCTGATAAATGTCTCGGAGGCAATTGAAGGTGTCTTAGTGCCTTTTAACCAGACGACGGCTTTATCCGCAAAGGTGCAGCTTAGCTGGGAGTCTTGGTAGTCCACCAGTCCACCTGTCTTACCTTCGCCTTTGCTACCTACCTGGTAGCTAATTGTGCCCCAACCTTCCTTCATAACTACCTAGATACCTGGATACGGGTGCATCGTCGATCCATACGTCCACAGAGCGCAACTTTCCGAGTGGGACGAATACGCATTTCCTACCCGTAGGAATCCGTGGGAAACATTACTCACCTGCTATGGCCGCACAATCGAAACCTGCCCCGTTACCATCATGGGGTTATGCTGTAGCTGGTTCCACTGGAGCTGTCTTAGCTAACGCTCTGGTATATCCCCTAGATATGTAAGTCCGCCGCTTGCCGTGCGTTGTGCGTTGTGAAGCTGTTCTATTTGAGAATGCGCGGAATTGACACTGATGCTTTGTTTGGGTTTGTAGAGTAAAGACACGATTGCAAGTCCAGGTAAAACGGAAACCCGGAGAGACGAGCGAACATACCGATCCCCATTACGCCTCGACGTGGGACGCCATCACTAAGATTGCTGCCGAAGATGGAATCCAAGGATTATATGCGGGTATCAACGGCGCTCTGCTGGGAGTAGCCTCTACTAACTTCGCCTACTTCTATTGGTACTCGACCGTGCGGGAGCTCTATTTTAAGTCGCAAAAAGTGTCTGCGCCGCCATCTACGGCTGTCGAATTGATGCTTGGAGCTATAGCTGGTGCTGTAGCCCAACTGTGCACGATTCCCGTTGCCGTGGTCACGACGAGACAGCAGACGCAGAGCAAGGCGGATAGGAAAGGTCTGATAGATACGGCCCGTGAGGTTATCAACAGTGAGGATGGAGTATTCGGTCTCTGGAGGGGACTCAAAGCGAGCTTGGTGTTGGTTGTCAACCCAGCTATCACCTATGGTGCATACGAACGGCTAAAGGGCGCCTTGTTCCCCGGGAAGACTCGTCTGACTGCGGGAGAAGCTTTCCGTAAGTTCCACCACTTGTGATACGAAAGAATCGAACTGATCACCGCTCTTTAGTTCTTGGCGCCATGTCGAAAGCGTTGGCCACCATTGTCACGCAACCCCTTATAGTTGCTAAAGTCGGCTTGCAATCAAAGCCTCCGCCGCAGCGGCAGGGGAAACCATTCAAAGGATTCATCGAAGTCATGCAATTCATCGTCAAGCATGAAGGCTTATCGAGCCTCTTCAAGGGCATTGGCCCCCAGATCGCAAAGGGCTTTTTGGTGCAAGGTTTACTTATGATGACTAAAGAGCGGTAAGTTACAAGCTATTGTATCGAAAGCGGTGTTTATTTATTGACGTTCCCTTGCAGGATGGAATTCCTATTCATCCTACTATTTAGATACGTCCGGAAGCTCCGTTCGGAGCAGCTTGCTAAAGCGGCTGCACTAGCAGCGACTGCTGCTTCCAAGGCCAAGGCCGTTGTCCCTGTCACAACTAAATAATTTAGCTTAATAGAGGTCCACGGGTGTCTTATTAAAAGGGGAATTCACGGGATATCTTGGAATATATGAGCCTAGGGATAGACGTATGTATACGCTAGACAAGGGATGCTTCATTTATATTATCGTATTCGCTACAGGTTAGGAGTCTAGGCAAACATATGACAGGAATATAAGAATATTTGATCTTTTGATAATGGATCTTGCAGCAAATGTGAATAATAGTATGGATGATTTTGGTATAAATTTGGAGTTTACCATATATTGCATGTACTGCCACAGCGGAAAGAGAACGCCACAGTGCAACTAAATCCAGTGTGGTTTTGCCCGTGGCGGGCAGATGTTGCGATCAACTGTTAGCAAGTGGGAAGTGACTAGGAATTAGGTAGCCCCTCTTTCCCCGACCGCACCCTGCACACCTTGGCAATTTTCCACTGTGGCTTGACCCCTCGCTTAATTTTCTGCCCACAAGTGCTAATACCAAACCCACGAAAGGAACTTCTTACTTTTAACTGATAGCAACAACCTTCGTCGATTTCCGTGTCTCTCCAAACAAACCGACACCAACCTAGTCGCAATGGCGAGTACGTTATACAAATGATCCGACGTTGCTTAAAATGCCTATTTCTAACAGTTAATCTTAGAATCCAAGAACTCGTCGCAGCACAATCAGTCGCGCAAGGCTCACCGTAACGGGTACGTCAAATTCGAGCCGACGACTTTTCTAGCCGAAGCACCTGTCCCGCCTATCAAATCTTGACTAACGAATTGGCGACGTGTAGTATCAAGAAGCCCAAGACCAACCGTTATCCGTCTCTGAAGGGAACAGACCCCAAGTTCCGACGAAACCACAGACATGCCCTACACGGCACCATGAAAGCCATTGTACGCTACTCGATTGACCATAGACATACGGTCAATTTCTCGTAACGCACCGATGACAATTGCTAACTATTAATACAGAAAGAGTTCAAGGAGGGCAAGCGAGAGACGGCATAAAGTGGTTTACATCAAATTCCAAGACACGACATCGCGATTGCGCATCAGGGCAAAATTCGGGGACACTCAGGCATGATCATGGAGTCAAGGTTATGCATTTGCTGCTTGTATCCAGGCACGCTCTTCTACGGCGAAGATGAAGGGGTAACCAAATGAAGTTACGTTCGCCAAACCAGTCTCTTGTGTTTGTCCATTCCCTGCTTCGAACTAGTCTAGATCGCCCGTGATGAACAAAACAAACCCAACAACGGCATATGTGTGTACAGCTCTAGGCCATTCCCATGCCTATCTGCTGAAGGATGTTTCTTCTCGTGCCGAGAGTGATCTGCCCGTCTATTACCAAACACCCGTGCTTCGAGTTGCTCTAAGGCGAGGGTGCATGGAGGCTCGGCAACATTCCTAGTTGTCCTATTCTGTTCCTATTCTGTTCCTATTCTGTTCCTATTCTGTTCCTATTCTGTTCCTATTCTGTTCCTATTCTGTTCCTATTCTGTTCCTATTGGATCCATTATCCATTATCCTCCATCGTAGTTCGTCTTTCTAATAAGTCCAGTCGATATGTCAATTGCCATGCTTAGTCATACAACCACCTACCTAGGTAGATATGAGAGCCAGCATCATACGATTTAAATAGAACTCTGCTAATTTAGATCAACTTTGGGATGACGAGTAGGTTTAAGTATACGGTAGTTTCGTCTGCTGCAGAGGAGGAAATCAAAGGGCCACGAATCACGAGACGTGACATGTCTCAAAACTAACTAGCTGTTCGTTATAGATGATGCTACCGGATTTACTACAGGCGAGAACTTGGAAATAGTAGGCATGCACCGATGTATTTAGTACTGGGATTGTAAAGCGAATTGTATATATTACGTGTATCTCTAACTTTCGGTTCGAAATACCATTTTTCCGGCCAATCTTGATCGAAATAGATTGGGACACGGACGTGTTCCTGATGTGACTTGCGCCAGTTTGTTGCCGCTCTATGCTTCGCACTTCGCAACTCTTGAATGGATGGAGAGAAGTGTGGATGATCAATGCCCCAGTAGACGTTTAGGGTGTTTCGAGTTATTCTAGCCTCACTAACCCAAAATCGAGGTACCTGTACGGCCTGTACGACGCTAGAAATAGACAGAAATAGACCTTTCAGGGGCTTAGTTCCGAGCGCCCGCCCCCTAAAAGATTCGTCACAGCTCGCCAATGAACTGACCCTTTCCAAGTATCCACGTTGTACTGTACAACAACTGTCGCAGCATTTAGATTGAAGCTTAGCGCTGAGCCATCCAGATGCATGCGAGTCGTTGCTTCTGCTTCAAGGCTCAGACTGCGTGTGACTAATGAGGTTCTGAAATTCTAAAATCGAGGTACTTGTCAAGGAGAATTATTGGAGGTAACTACCCCGCGGAAACTGTAGGTGAAAGCTACTTTGCCCTAGAGCTACGTAAAAGTATTACCTGTCCATTTAAAAAGCCCTGGAGGTTACATGCACCAAAAGTCTCCTCTGCAGTCGCTGCAGCCTTTGTGTCCAAAGGCTGCCAGGGTCTTTCCGAAAGAGTTTACCGTTTCCACAGTCCAGGCTTTGTACCCGAGTCCCTTTTGCTCCATCTAGCCAATTCTCTAAGGCTTCGATATTTTTTCCTTCTCCTTCTCTTCCCCTTCACATCCTCCTCCTCAGCAGCTCGAGGATAATCCTGCAGCTGGTTCCTTTCTTTTTGGCCTTGGAGTACAAGTTGATCTGAGTGTTATTGTTGGTAAGTTTGCTTCAGATTTTCCCTCATACGTCCATGTTTCGTATCTCCGTCGCATTCGGCTTTTGTGGCTTGAGTCCTTCGACACAGCGACGGCTATTCATAGGGATTCAATGATAATCGCCCCCATTTGAATATGGTCAGAATTGACCTATATGTTCTTCCTGTTTGTCATGTTGTTAGGACAACCTCTACTCACTCACAGTTGACGTCCACATATTCTACATCTGTCTTACAAACCCATGTCCTTGTATTACTATCTTTCTATCGCACCCCTTTCGTCCCTGATTAATATGGCGGCTTGAAAAGAGCTTTTACCAGCGGTGCAATTCATACTGACTTTTTTTTTGCCTTCGCAGTCACCTATCTAATATTCTGCATTACCAATAATCACTTCTTCCCAACTGCCTCCTTTCAAAGACTCCTTTGAGGTCAGCAGGCTACTGCAGGAGTTCTCGAGAGAAAGAAAAGGTATTCTACCGTCGTTCTCTACCAGAGAGTTGAACTCGAGCCGTGCAAGTCGATCATAATACGATACTACGATTACGGAAAGCCAGTGCGCTACGCTTCCTTTTAAATTTATTCGTCGACAACCTGCCTCCCATCGGTCTATTCGTTCTAAAGGAGCCACAGTCTGACTACGCACTAATCCCCCGGTTGCTTTACCAGAGTATAGGTAGTGCTAGCATCGACATCGTTACTACAAAGACCTACATCACGACATTATAGCTACGATAGCTTCTACCAGTGACTCCCTAAAACATATCGTAAAGTAGTTTGGCCTCTATTGAGCGCAATATTGAACCTCTATCGAAGTTTTAGCATCTCAAGACAGTGTGTCGAGATCGCATGTTACGGACCCTCCACCGCCCCTCAAGTACTTTTTCGAAGGCTTTTTAAGCTGTTTTATCTGCACAGCCCCGCGACAGCACGATTATTTGCCTTTTGCATACCCTCAAGCCAACTCTCGACAATTATTTGCCGTTACATAAAATTACAGAGCGACAATCGAGCCAGCTTTTCTATCGTGTTGCTACCTGGAAAACTCGGAAATTCGAAAGTTACTCAATATGAATCGTAACAGTACTCCGGAGGCCTCGACCGCCTCGTCGCTACGTCCACCTTCTTCACGAACAGTTGGGACTAACAATCACCACCTCCGCGCATCTGCCGACATGGCTGCCCTTGCCGGACCCGCGACGTCGAACCGCATCCGTCCCTCTTCGGATTTCTACGGCCAGCAAGGACAGGGTCAAGGGGGTGCCGATTCAGACCCGCAGGACAAGGTGACCCAGCAGTGGATTGCCGACATTGACCAATATGAGACTACTCTAGAAGAAATGGCTGCTGCAACCCTGGACCAGGACTTTAAGGATGAACTTAGTGCTATAGAACAGTGGTTTCGAGTTTTGTCTGAAGCCGAACGTACTGCTGCTTTGTATGCTTTGCTTCAGCAGACTACTCAAGTGCAGATCCGTTTCTTTATCCAGGTTCTTCAGCAAATGGGAAAGAATCATCCCATGTCTGGTGTACTATCACCAGCCAATTTTGATAAAGGTATGCCCTCCAATGCTCCTTGGCCTGTATGTGACAACTAACGAGAATCATTGCCCGCAGATCCGATGTCAAACCGTCTAAGTGATGCTATGAACAAGTTAAATGTTGGATCGGCTAGGAACTCCCTTTCTCAGCCACAAGCATCGGCGAAGAGACACTCGGGCCTTGACCCGTCAACCATCAACGCTATGTTTCCCGATGCCGCGGCTGCTATTGCCACCGAGAAGGCTAAGTTTACCCAGCAGACTGGAAACCAACCTCCTTCAAACCGCAATAGCGCGGCTGTCGATGCGCGAAACCCCCTGGCTGCTCCAGCTATTTCTGCGCCGTCTGAAGGGCTTGATCCTAATGCGCAGAATCCTGCGTCGCCTTGGGGTAATGACCAAAACGCTTCGCGTCCTAAGTCGTCTTCAGGCCAGGCTCCGATGGGCCAATTTGTTCAACCGCCGCCTTCGGCCGGCCTAAGGTCACCCCGACCCCAATTAGGTGGTAATAATGGCATCCAGAACACCACGCTCAATGCCCCGGACAAGTCTGCTACTGACCTACCCCTGCTTTCGCCATACACTGCCGGAAGCGGGAACTGGGCTTCTATGGTGAACACTCCTATGGTTGCATCGTTTAATGGCGGCAATGGCACCCCCAACCAGGCCGACATGGTCGCCAATGCGACGGCCATGAAGCTCGCAGCTTTGTCTACCGTGAATAATCGTTTTGCCCTCGATGATGTGCGCAAGTATCGGAGAGCCCGGTCTAACGAGGCTCCTGGTCAAGGCCAGAATACACTTTCCGCTGGACCTCAGGCACACAACATCCCCGGCGCGAATATTGTTATGGTGAACGAACATGGGCAGGTGCTGAGCAGAGACCAAATGCTTGCATTGCAGAACCACGGTGCCATGGGTGGGTTCGCAGCTCATCGCTCTCGACCAAGTTCTCCCGGTATAGCAATGCAGGCAGGTTTTGGCCAGATTCCTTTTGCTTCTCCGCAGAACAACGGTTTCTTAAGTGCCTACGATGGCACACAGAATCCGCTCTTGAACAATGGACTTGGCGCGATCAACATGGGCCAGCTTGGCGTAGGCGTTCCTGAGGGTTACCTATCCGACCATTCCGATATGGTTCGTGGTCGATCCCCGCGTGGAAGACGTGGTACTTCGAAGCCTCCGGAGGATCCAACTGATCCAACTCTCCTCCAAGATATCCCGGCCTGGTTACGAAGCCTGAGGTTGCACAAGTACACGGATAATCTGAAGGACATGAAGTGGACGGAACTTGTCGAACTGGATGACAAGGCTCTAGAGGAGCGCGGTGTCAACGCCCTCGGAGCGCGTAGGAAGATGCTGAAGGTATTTGACCAGGTCAAAGGTAATAGCGCCCAACCCCAATTTCATTTGAAACGGTTGCTAACAGGCAGACAGAGGCCAAGGCAGACGGCAAGCTGGGCTAGCCACTGCAACCTAATAATGAATATATTAGCCCGGTGCCAGAGATCGAACAATTTGGAACTTGAAAAGGCTTGCGCATGGATCGTTCTGAAGATCCTCACTATCCGACAGGCTTCCTGGTAATTATGAACCGAGGATTTTCCTTGGCCGGGTAATTAATAACATAGTCTATCCGGGAAGGTCAGGGGAGACTTTGCTTTCTCATCCAGAAATAGGGATTTTGGAAAGTACATGAACCCAACTTGAGACATAGGATGGTTAGAAATAGTCATGAGATCGGAAGGCAGATGAGGTAGGCTAATGGTATGTAAGGTATACATGTATACAGATTCTAAAACGTGATCGTTCCATGAGAATGAAGCAATTGTGCTCCAACTGTTGACGACGTAATAAAACTGCCCAGTCCTCACAACTCGTAAGGACTCTTAAAGCCATAAAAGTGTACATGTAGTTGACCAATTACATAATATACTTAGGTACCTGCAAACTGCCGCCTTGGCGAACCGTTTGAATCAGTTCCTTATGCTTATTTATCGGATAGTTGCATTTATGGATTCGTGGATACACTGAGTTTTCACTTAACTGCAATTGCCACTTATAAACCAACTTCACTATCTCTATTTGTAAACTTACACATCCATCGTCCTTTTAACCTTCTTGTTTACGTACCAAACTCACTTCTTAAAAACAGCTCACGATGAATTAAGACAATCGGTGCTATTTCAATTCGCGCACACATAAATTCGGAATGATCACGATCAAAATCGCATCACTCGTATCCAGTGATTGGGGCTAGGTCTGGGTACGATAGATGAGCTGGATATAAGACATTGAGAAAGGTGCTCCTAGAGGGATTTCATAAGAAATCACGACGAAAATCACCAAGGGAAATTTTTTATTTGGCAATATTTCCTTTCACCATGAGCCATCCTTTTTCGTCTACGTTCGACGCTCTTCAGGCGCACTTCATTCAAAAGCCGGACAAGCAAGATGCGACGTCCACGCAGCCAGACAGGACAACCGTTCCTCCTATACGGGCACAAAATCCGATGCTCATCGATCAAGACACTTGTGCAAATAAGTCGGTAAGGCAGAACATGGATTCCAGTCTCACGTCAAGCGCCAGGACGCCCTTACCAAGCGTAACACCAAATTTTCAGGTCTCTCGGCCCGCCCAAAGAGTGTTACTCCCAAAACCGAACGGTTCGTTGATGCAACCGACTATGGCTCAAGGCTTCCAAAGTACCCCGAGAAATGGGTCATCAGCAATACCTCAAGCTCTTCCAGGTCACGACATTAGTTCGGAGTCATATAGTCAACCTGTAAAACTAGGGCCGCTAGCAATACACCCCCAGAATACACCTAGTACGCAAGGTTTAGTCTTTTCTCATACAAGTGCTTCAGCGGGCTCCTCAGTTCCTAATTTTCCCACGGAAGCCACTCGCAATAGTAAAGCTTCGTCTCAAGTCTCGGCATCTAGATTTGGCAGTTTATCAATCGATGAGACAAGTACAACAAATATCACAGAAGCACGGGCTAACCCGATGGATACCGCAACGGATGCACTTCTCGAACGTCAAAATGAGCTTAATTCGGAAAACCCCTTACCGAAGCTTCCTCCTCCGGTACGTGGGTTCGCAAAAAAGATACTGAATCTTGAAAATAAACCGCAACGCTCCCATGGCGGCCGCCAGAATACGAGGAAGCGCGGTCCTCGAAAGGCCGCTGAGCCAACAGGCGATATCAAGTATCGTCTTAACATGGCATCCAACGCATACATGGATGGGCGTATTGATGAAGCCATCGACTACGTACACGATGCTATTCGTATCAATGCTGAGACCTACCGCGCCTGGGTCCTTCTAGCGTCATTTTTACAAGAAAAGGGAGACCACCTGGGACATTATAGGGCGAAGTGGTTTGCTACGAATCTCCAACCACAGGTTATTGATGGGTGGCTTCAATGTGCAGAGTTGGCTATCGGACTTCGAGATGAATTTCCTGAGGACGAAGGTCTTACCGACGAAGCCATCCTTTCGTATTCTCAAGCCTTAAAGATTGACAGCAGCCACAGATCAGCACGTCACGGGAGAGCCGCGTTATCGCTTGAAATGGGACATTTAAGGAAGGCAGTTGGGGATTATACAACTTTACTCGGAAGTTGCGTCTTTGACATATATGCCTTACGGGGTCTCGCTGAAGGGTGCGTCCTACTTGCAGATACAGGCAAAGCCCGATGGTTAGATCAACCAAGAATAGCCATAGACTCATATCGTCGCTGCATCGCTCATTTCCGAGAGAACGGGCTTGACATGCGATATCCTTTCGACTGGCAAGATATCAAGATTTTTGTCGAACTTCTCGCATATGTCAAGCAATTCAAAAATGCCATACATGAATTAAGGTCACTCTCACGATGGCTCCTAACTCGTTCTGATGAGGTATTCTGGGATAGCCAGGATGATGACCGCGAATGGGACACGGATAACTTGAGACGGTTGGAATTAGTGCAGTTCCAAGAAGGAAAATATCCAGCATCATCGTACGGCAAAGGCCTTCCACTAGAAATGAGGACAAAGCTCGCTGCGTACCGTCTCAAGCTTGGCCAAGAGGATGAAGCTATGGTAAGATTCCCAGAGACCCGCCTGCTCGCCTCCCCTCTCCTCCTGCCCTTATATTACTTGATAGCCTGCTAACATACGCCAGCGTCATATAGAGTTCATTGATCCGGATCAACCTAATGGGACCGAGATACTCTCTGAGTGTCCGCATCTGTTACTTGAAGTTGCCTCAGCATTGTACGAAGCAGGCCGTTTACAAATGGCCCTGCGCTTTTACGAACCTCTCCGCGAGCCTGATCTCCTTGATACCGAGTCTCTCGTAAGAGCTGGACGATGCTATTTGAATATGGGGGACAAGAGACAGGCCGAAGAATGTTTCACTGCTGCTATTGACCAGGATGAAATAAACAGTGAGGCCTGTATCGATGCACGCTATGAATTGGCGAAGATGTATGAAGCGGCAAGAGAAGAGAAGGAAGCCTTCATCCTTGTGAACGAAGCTATCAGACTTCAGGAAGTTCGAGACCAAGCTCGCGAAGAGGCACTCGAAGCAGAACAAGACTTGGGAGAAGATAATGATGATGACCAAGTAGACGGCGATCTTGCACTTCCTGAACATCCGCTACTACCTGCTGGGAAAGAGGTAGCGCCAAAACCAAAGAGAGCCAAACGTCCACCTAAGCCCAAGGTTGAGAAGGTCAAATCAGCGCCGAAGGAACGAAAACCCAAAGCTCCGCCGAAGCCGGCGTCGCGACGTCGTAAGGTTTTTGCCCGAACCGAAGAAGTACAATTGGAGGAGAAGAAGAGAGCGAGCGAACTTGCCGAAGCATGGCAGGTTGTCCATGAATGTCGAGCTTCGTCCGAAGCCGATGCTAAGGGCCCTTCTACCAAATTCCTGTCCGCGGCCCGGGAGCTTGTCGATGACTTTAGATCATATAAAGAGTTCTACAGCTGGGATAAGTATTTGGCACACTTTAATATACATCAGGCTCGAGAAAAGGTCGAGGCGCAAAAGGGCAATCCCAACCTCATTGCGATGGCGCAACGACTCTCGCACAGTAAGTGTTTGTTGGTTATTTGCGAAAGGGAAATCCACTAATTCAATTACAGACCTGAACCCGGAGAACTCTGAAGGCGAGAAGCCAACTGAGCGAGTACCTGTTAGTTATCGAGGCGTCCCGTTTAATGAATGGCTCGATCTTTTCCTCGAGTATGCCATGGGCCTAGCTCAGACTGGGCGATTCCAGGACGCGTACAAAGTCTGCGAATCTGCACGAGACACTACGATATTCTCCAAGTCTAAAGAGGACATGTTCTTAATCCATGTGGCATGGGCTGGTAAGTTTCTGTCTCTTCCATAGATCTTATATGGGCACTGGCTAATCGTAACACAATACAGCTTGCGCATTGCGTGGTAGGGACGAAGAGACATGCGTTGCCTCTGCTCGTTGGATCATGAGGGAATATCAATATGACACAGAACCTTTCCGGATGTTCTCTGCCCTGTCGAGATTATGTCCATCCCCGGCATCGTGGTATGCATCTGGCCCCGTCCAGAAATATATGCTACGACAGATCAAACTTATGGATCATGCCATTAATGCGGCAGGAGCTGAAGTTAGCGGGGACGAGGATGGACCGCCCACTGGCAGGGTTTTCCCCGGTAAAGAATTAGACGTCACACTACTAATGCTCTACGGCAACATCCTGTTTATATCGAACAGCTTCACCTACGCTCTCAGTAAGTGATAATTTTTAGAGGAAATCTCTGCCTAGTATATGATTAATGTGCTAACGAGGCCATAGACTACTTCATGAGGGCTCATAGCTTGGATCCCTATAACACTATGGTCATTCTTAGCGTCGGCAACTGTTATGTCTATTATGCACTAAAGAGGCAAGCCGAGAATCGCCAATATCTCCTGACACAGGGATTCCACTTCCTACACCAGTACTACGAGTTAAAGCTGGCGTCACCAGATGCCGCGCAGAGGCAAGAAGCTCATTACAACCTCGCGCGGAGTTACCACGCCGTGGGAATTCCCCACCTGGCTACCGAATACTATCGGCGAGTTCTCCGAGAGGTGCCCGATGACTCCGAGAATGGGATCATGGGAAGAAATGATCTAAGTCGAGAGGCCGCATATAATATGGCGCAGATCTGCTGGACGGGCGGTGACGTGGACGCAGTCAAGGCTATCACTGACCAGTATCTGGTTCTGTAAACCGATCTGAGAGATGATGGCTCGTGCCAATTATGACAATATCGTACGCTACTTGGCTCTAGATCCAGATGATTGTAGTTGATAACTGTCAACTGGCCTATTTCCGGGCATCTGGTTCTTAGCAGCGGGAACAATCTTGTTCTCGCTTACCGCTAGCACAGGAACCTGAATCAATAACAAATGAAAAACAAGATCACTTCAGACTTTAACTGCAGACGGTTGTTATAGTTTTGTGTCCACTGTGCTGCGTTTTGTTATCGGTAAGATGGGTCGGTACAAAAATAGGGGTAATTGATCGCCGTTTTAAGACCTTCGCACATCATCATCATCGTTCCCCTAGTAATTGCTAAGAATTGAAGTGTAATTGATGCATGTTTGAGTAATGTTTCGGAGTTACCCAGTCCATGGTTACGATACCGCTATAGTGGTGATTATGACATCGAACTGACGACATGCCGGACCGTGCCTGTCAGCCCTATTCAGGTAGCCCTTACGAGGACATGGTGAATGACTAGGTAATACGCTAATTATAATGAACCGATTTAGAAAAAGCATGAGCTCCCGTACGCATGGTTTGATTCCAGCATTTCCGGGACTCGTTGTAAGTATTTCGTCTGTGGCTTGCGATGTTGATGATTTTCCTTCCGCATGCGCACCCGCAAGCTGTGGGCCCTCCCCTGGACCTCAAAGACTTTTGGCACCGCAGCGCGGGTTCCCGCCTTGAAAGTTGCAACTCCGGCCGATAGACAGAGTCTTGATATCAACATTACGAAAACGAAAAGGTGAGTCAATTACGTCAACGCCGGACGCCAATCTTTGTACCCTTGTGGCCGAACCTGCCAGGCCCCTCCCCCTTTCCTGTTCGAAGATATAAGGGCTTGTCCGTCTTCCCTTCCAACCGGACTTGGGTTGTAAATTTAGAACTATAAATCAAAACTTGCACAACTAACACATGAATCATACTTTACCAATCAATATATTCATCACGATCAACGACGTCGCAATCATGGTGCAGTACAAGACCGGACAGACCGTACGCTATAAGCCTGTCGGCGGGCCCGACTCTAATACCTCGGAGAGCACGGGTCGTATCACGGACGTGTTGACCGAGCCTGGCGTCCAGGCCGACCGCAACGTCCAGGCCAGCTCCGATGAGCCGCGCTACGAGGTACGGACTTACACCCCCTTTCCTTTATCCTTTTCCCTCTCATGTTTGTTCGCGAGACTCGAGAAGTTTGTGGAAAGAGTTGGTGAGACGAATTTCGAAGGCTGACGACTGAAAAATCATACAGATCCAGAATGACAACACGGGAAAGTTGACGACCGTGTACGAGAAGAACATCCTTGGAACGGCTTAGATGGATGAGGCGTTATTCGCTTGTGAGCGGTCGTGTTAGACCAGCCTCAGCTTTCGATAGATGGTATCTGGGTTGAGATATTAGATAGTGATGAACGCAAGTCTTTTCTAACATAACTTTTATCGAACTGTTGTGTTGTGACATGTGTAATCGTCGTTTTAACATTATCGTGAGATATATGACAAATAAACATAGAAACTTTTTTTACCGTGAAACGGCGAGTATTTCATGGTGTATGTACCACTTCAGTGGTCTGTATTTGGAAATTGCCAACCGCCAGCACACGCCAATTCGAGATTATGTTCTGTGCGAACATATTCTCAACTTAGCACACGCGCAACGGTAACAGTATATACAGCGCGGTTGCTATATACGAAACTAGAGTTACAACAACCCCAGCATGAAGTAATCCATTTAATCGGGTTTTCTCCACACGGCCAAACCAACCCTGGCCGAGACGACACAAAAAAAAAGATGCATCCCAGAATTTGCCTTGCCACACATCGCTCCGCGAGGGATGAGGGTAATAAAAACAAACAGACAAAAGAGCCGCGGTGTCGTCGTCGGTGAATACTGTACTCGTATCTTAGGCCGTTCTCCGAACCGGGGAGACCAGGAAAAAGAGAGACAAGAAAAATTCGGAAAGGCTTTTCCGTGGTGGTATTTGGCTTTGCTTCTCTTCCCCCCCTGAACCACCCGACCCGCGACGGAACAATATGCCCCCAAAAAATCAAGTCGCCCCCCTTTTTACTCCGTGCGCCGCTCCCATGTGAAGAGGTAAAAATCGGAGAGAATCCGCGGAAGAATCGAAAGTTTCAAGTCATAAAAAAACAGAACTCGTAGCCTATACAATGAGCAGCGCAATCGAAAAAAAGAACGCCGGCCTCATGCGAACGTTTGAAATGAACAAGACGATAATGCCTTATACCGTGCCTCGGAGTCGTTGCTTCCGGGCTAACCAGTCCCCAAGCATGTTATCCAGTTGCTGTATGAATGTTAGCCAAAATTGATACCTAAATTCGTATCTGCGAGGACTTACTGTCGTAATTTCGGCCAACCTTGCGTTCTGCTCTCGGAACAACGTGCCTACTACAGGATGATCGGGACCAGCGGGTGCGACATCGTTCTTATCGTATACTATTACTAACAAGTCTCGAATATCAGACCCCGAGTCGAAGAAGGCTCGGAGGTTGGCATCGTTCCAAGTCGAGGTGGTCGTGGCCGACGTTGATGTTGTCACAGAATCCTGTTTCTCATGAGTTCGGTCATCAATATCTACAAGTTCTGGAGATGGCGACGAAACAGGGGAAGAACGGTCTTCCTGGCTTGATGTGTCGACCATGAGAGCAGGGGGATTAGAAGAAGACACGACCGGTGAGACTTCTACAGGAGATTCGGATAAACGTTCTTCGGTAACAGGACGTTGAGTCTTCGAAGTTTGGTCACTGAGCTCAGACATAGACGTCTGGGTACTGTAGCTATCCGGAAACGCTCCTGGTAAAACAGGTTGTAACTGCTTCTCTTCGGAGGGTTGCCGTTTGGGTTCGGGAGGAACTCTGGTCGGCTCTGGTTGGATTTCCTCCTCGTCAGGGGAGTCAAAGTCATCAAGCTCAACCCGCGCCTTTGCCTTGGTAACCTTTGGCGGCTTACTCTCCTTCGAAAGAATAGATTTCGAGTTAGACCTCTCCCTCTTTTGCGATGGTCGATCTTGGCTCTCGGCCTGGTCAGATTCCACCATTCTCAGCGTCGCCGGCGGTAAGGTTGACACATTATTAATCCTAGCCTCCGGGGCCGTAGGGCCACGGTCCGTGCCTATTTGCGACGTTACAGAAGACTTGCGCGTTGGCGAGGGATCGTTCCTGGGCTGGTTCTTCTGAAGCTTGCTTGGATTGCGCAATGGCGCCACCGATTTCTCGGGCGACGAATCCACATCAACCGCATGCGCATCCTCCGCCTCCTTTTCTACTGTATCAGTAGTGGCATCCAGAGACCTTTTACCAAGCGAGTCATCGTCTTCGTCAACGGATTTTTTCCTATCTTTCCTCGAAAAGAAACTCCGGATTGCGCTTGGCTTCTTTTCCTTTTTCTTCTTTTCATCCTTCTGCTTATCGGGAACAAGATCTTTTTCTAGGCTCGGCCGTTGCCGTAACGATGAGTCTTTCGAGTCGCTCGAGACTCGCGCCTCGTTGTCGTCCCGTAATAGACCAGGAGTCAATGAAATCTTCTTGGTCTCAATTGTCTCGTCCTTAAAGAAAGAATCTGTGTTTCTGACGGTGCCATTCCTCGTGACCCTCTCGGGCTTTGCATCGAAAATATCACTGCTATCCCTACGAACTTCGCCTGAAGTAACCGAACTTGATCTACCTCTTTCTTCGATCTTTAAGGGTTCCACCTTAACCTGTTTCTGCGGACCTCGAGTCTTAAGCGGTTCCACCTTCGCGGATTCATCATCATCTGAAACGTCGTCTGTTACTTGCTGAGAGGATGCCTGCTTTTCCTGTTGCTGTTGGGTCTTTTGCGAGTCCTGCTTCTGGGTCTTCTTTTCGTCATCGCCATCCTCCTCCTCAGTAGAGTAATCTATATCAGAGTAGTCGACATAAGTTGGGGCCGCAAATGCAACAGTTTTGGCCTTTCTTCTCTTCATGGCCGTCTTGAGAGGGTTCTTGGCCTTCTCGGCTTGATCGCCAAGCATCGTCGCCGATAGCTAATTCACGGTTAATGCCACATACAGCATTGATCTCCAAATACTTTTACATACATCAATATTCCGGTGCTTGTTGAGACGCGCCAGCCTTTCAGTAGGGGTCTCAATGTGCTCTGCTGGTAAGTATCCTAAGAACGATGATGTGAGCTAGATGCCGTAATTCAAACTTGCTGCAGTGTACCATACCTATGCTGCTATCCTTTACCACTCTGACGAGCCACCAGTAACTATTACTATCGTCAAGCAATACCATGGTATCACCCTTAGTGGCATTAGCTTGACCTTCGACGGTAGCGACGAAAGTATGAAGAGCGTAAACGAATTCGAAATCGATGTCCTCTAAGTCTTGTAAGTATTCACCACCCCAACCAATATCAATGAATCTGGGATCAGTAGTTAGGAGGGTCTCGTCATCGTCATCATCATCATCCACTCCGGGATCATCATATGGAATATAGGGGGATAAAAAGTCGTATGGCGAGATCTGGCGTTCTTTCGCATCTAATTCGGGTCCCACGGCTCGGGTGCGTGACTGTTGACGCAAAGACAAACCGTAGGTCTTTGATTGCGCTCCAGAGACAGCGGGTCGGTCGATACCATTGTCTCTAACGCGTTTTCCTGATTCGCCTACCGACACTGTCGAGTCCATACTCTACATGTCTAATCCAGGTTCGGGTAGCGACAGGTCGTTAAGATACTTGCCATGACTTGCGCGGTCGGCCGCTTCGGTACATTCACTAAGAAGATGATGACGACGATTTGACGCATCAGCAGAAGCCTTGCTTGCCTGATGGTGGGAATGTTGTGGAGTTGGGTATGGTTCCGTCTCACTGAGCACCGGAGAATAGGAGGAATCGGGTGGTGGAATTATAGGTTTCAAGGAATCGACGCGCTGTGGCCAGACAAGCGGCGGAGAGGAGCACCCACCATCTTCAATCGAAGGAGAACTCGAAATCTTATCCATCATGTCATCATCCAAGTCGTCGTCGGCACTGGCGTCCAGATCTCCGTCGTCGGAGTTGGCGCCTGTGGTTCCTCCATTTTGCGCGATAGCGAGCGCATCCTCGGATTGCATCTTGTTGCCATTCAAGGAATTCGCAATACCGTTCGCGAGATCTGCGGCGTACTGTTGTAAATCGGTACGTTCGTCACCATCGGGCCACGAGGCTCTAGGACTTCGGCCTTCCTCTCCAGCCCTATCTTCTTCGACTTCGCGTATGGTCTCAGCCTGATGCGGCGCGAGTGACCCGTTCGCGTTCGCGTTCGACGCTGATTTCGAAGGTGAAGGGGTATTGTGTTTCTTAGCAGAAGGAGACTCTTGACTTTGAAGGTCGATGGTGTCTGCGGAATTCGGAAAAAGGGTGAAGTGTTAGCTAGCACAGCACAAGGAAACAAAAGAACAATTCACACAAGGGGTTGGTTGTTGGATTGTAATTATTTTTTTTCTTCCTCCAATCCTTCCCCCTGCCTCTCAGAAGCGTGGTTCGTGATTAGAGTGGTTAGGGTGGCTAGAGCGCGGTAGAGGATTGTAGATCAAGGAACCTTGGAACTTACCAGCCCGAATCATCTGGGGTCTTGTCATTGTGTTATTTTCTTCCCAGGGAGTCCGTGGAAAACCAATTCCCACGGATCGGTGCTAAATGAACTCTGTTATGGGTCCGTTTCGTTCATAACATCAATCGATTGCGCTTATGTATTCCCTAAATTTTAATTTCTTTGCCTTTCTGCCTTGAAGTGTTCAATGTTCTTCTCCTTCCCTGCGCCTCTCCCTCTTCCTATTCCTCGGAGGCGCGGTGGGTTTGTCGCAAGGGGCTGGGCGGTAGATAGAGAAATGGAGACTGGAGACTGGAGAAAGTTGGTCGCTTGGTCGGATTTACGCCTCGACCCTCAACCACGCCTTGCACGCCTCGATTATGAACCAAGGACCGGGCCAAATGCCAATGCTAATGACCCAATCACCATATGTCCACCTAACTTTATTTCTTGGATAATCCAGTCGATATACGATCGGCGTGCAATTGTTCGTCAAGTAGATCTCGGTTGGATTATTTCGATGGTTGGGAGGTTTAGTTAGGATTCTAATTATAGATAGTAATCAGGTCGGTAGGTAGTTGAAATGCGAAGGATGTAGTGAGTGGAATGGAAATTATTTTTCATAAGCCTTGAAAGGGGAAAAATAGTTGACATCCATCCCACCTCCCCGAAGAAAAATAACCCCCTGTCTGCTTGTATCAGTTACTAGACTCGGGGAGGAAATCAGTGATCAGATACGACACAAGATGCTAAAAGGAGGCCCTGCAGATTGCGGTCGGATTGGGGTTGGTTTGAAACATGGCTTTAACAGGGGCAGTAGGGACGTAGGGACGACCTCTTTAGCGGCCGCCAGATGCCTAGCTACCTAGCTGTTTATTCGGGCTGGTTATTACAGGTATAGTGTAGTGGGGGTTATAAAAACAGTTTAGCATCTGGGGCTGCAAGATGGAAATAGGTACATACACACATACATCCACATACCAACCAACCTATACATCCTTGTACCGAATACAAAATTCGGCCCTAGTGTATTCCTTGCATATCAAGTATACATTACGGTAATTTGGACTTGATATTAGGTCCACATCGCCGATGGGAGCTTCTTTCGGTTTTCACTTTTCGTCTTGAAGCTACCTACATATAAATATTGATGTTGCATGTAAATCGTAAAGCTCGGTCGTGATGTAATGCAAGACACAAACTCGAAGATTTTGTCTGTGATGGATTGTTCACCGTCCAACTGTTACATTTCTGACTTTGTGAGACAAATTTACTGAACCTTATTGACATTGGTTGCTTCCCATAGGGAGGTAATCGACACACACTCACGGGTGAGACTGCCATCTTTCATGGTTTCTAGTATAAAATTCAGCTCTAACCAGGTAGAATATTACCGCATTAGTAACTCTTTAGGGGCACGTAATTCTTTGAAACCGTCAAGGTAGAAATACACATGTTTATAGAGAAAGGCTACTCAATCAGCTCCGGCTATGACATAAAAAGACGATATGTTCTCAACCTCACTTTGTCATCCTTGTCATACATAGCGGGTCCCGAAAAGAAATGCCAATAGTATCAATTGGTATGCGAATCAGCCCACACATCACTATTGCCAGCGCTAAACATTCTCATCAATTCCAGAGAATTATTGGCATGCATCCTCAAGGTGAGAAGAAAACAAATAAGCAAATTATAGGCATACAGCTCTCTTTTATTGACAGCGCACACGCCAAGCTCCACGTTGTCTCTATTCACCCTTACATCGTCTCTTATAGTCTATGCGGTTCCTGCGCTAGTGTGAAGCTGGAGAACATCAGAGATTTGGATTCACAGCGCATCATCGATTTAATTGCCAATGCTCAATCAATATATCGTATAGATCACATAATGAGCTTCATGCCCATGGACAACTCCTTAAGTATAAGTACGTATGCCCTAGGTATGCATGTCTATAGCCATATGCTAGAATATTTGAAGATTTTCAAGTAGGCGCTATATAATGCACAGAATGCAGTATCGGAAAGTTGACAACTCTTAGCTCCACCTTACAAAATACTTTTTCCGATCCCTCTTCTATAGCCACAAACAGGCTTTTGCCGAAGAATTCGGCTGTGGCTAGAGTCTTGACATCATACATTCCGAGGCTTCAAACTGCCTCCATTCACGCGAGGTATAATAGAGTTTCAAGTCATGCAGGTCAAGTAAGCCGATAACTGCAGCTTATAATGGGAAAACCACGTGTTATATACTGGTTTCGGACGGATCTCCGGCTCCACGATTCTCCTGCCTTAAAAGCAGCTCTTGACTTGGATCCGGCTGTTTTGTGGCCGATCTTTACTTGGGATCCTCACTATGTATACCGAGTTAAGGGGGGAGTAAATCGGTGGCAGTACCTGTAAGGTGTAGTCTTGCGATAGTTACCTAGACCGACTACTAATGCTGCCAGACTTGATTGCCAGGCTGACCTTTCAAAATCTATTTCGAAACTTAATAATAAGTCAAAGCTTTTCGTTCTTCGCGAAGCTCCGCAGACACTCTTCCCCAAGATTTTCAAGGCATGGAAAGTGACACATCTTGTATTCGAAAAGGATACGGATCCTTATGCCCGGGAGCGAGACAAGACTGTAGTAGCTTTGGCCAAAAAACTCGGCATTCATGTGATTTTTCGGTATGGACGCACATTATGGGATAGCGACGAAGTTGTCGCTAAGAATGGAGGGAAACCAACTATGTCTATCACTCAACTCCAGGCCGCCGGACGAAAAGTTGGGGAGATACCTCGGCCTATACCAGCACCGACGTATCTACCAGGACCGGACGAAATGCCTGTCGATTTTGAGCAGGACAGGCCAGAGACAGAACCAGATCTGAATGCTTCGTATCGCGCCAAGGCCGACAATACATATTCAAATATTGCAGGACCTAAAGGCGACTTCGCCATTGCTACTCTTGAGGAGCTTGGTTTCTCCGTACCAGCTACCACACCGCATCGCGGCGGTGAGAGCATCGCTCTGAAGAGGTTAGAGGATATATTCTTGAATGAGGAGTATGCCGCTACCTTCCAAAAACCGAACACCAGTCCGACCGCATTCGAGCCACAGTCAACAACCCTTTTATCACCAATGCTTCATTTTGGGGCTCTTTCCCCGCGCCTCTTCTATTGGAAAGCACAAGATCTGGCCGAAAAATATTTTCAATGGGCATCCAAACCCCCTGAAAGCTTGACAGGTCAGCTGCTGTTTCGCGACATGTTCTTCGCAGCCCAAGCTGCAATTGGGTCTCCTTTTGGTGAGTATAGTCCCGCCAATGTATTACCATTATTTGAATGATTCCTAAAAAAAGATTATAGCCCAGACGCTCGATAACGCGTACTGTCGATTCATCCCCTGGCATCTACCTTCAAAGGTAGGGACCAAGGAAATAGGGGATGGCGCAATTAGTGGTGAGTATCATATAGATTCACCACTAGCAGAGACGTGGTTCAAACGGTGGAAGCTTGGCATGACAGGTTTCCCGTTCGTTGACGCCCTTATGCGACAACTACGTGCTGAAGGTTGGATCCACCACCTAGGCCGTCACATGGTAGCTTGTTTCCTCACTAGAGGCGGATGTTATGTACATTGGGAACGCGGGGCGGAGGTATTCGAAGAGTTGTTGATCGACCACGAGCCGGCCTGCAATGCTGGTAACTGGCAGTGGGTCAGCTGTTCTGCGTTTTACTCGCAACACTTTCGCTGCTACAGCCCCGTTGCGTTTGGGCAGAGGTGGGACAAGGAGGGCGAGTTCATACGGAAGTGGGTTCCGGAGTTGAAGGACTTAGACAAGAAGTTCATATACGAGCCATGGACGGCCTGGAAGACGACCCTTAGCGAAGCAGGTGTAAAAATTGAAGGAGATGGTCTTCATGGGCAAATAGATGGGACATACCCGGCTCCGATGTTTAACTTCAAAGAGAGAAGAAGTGTCTGTATTGCCGCGATGAAGAGGGCTTATTCTATTGGCCTCCACGGGGATGATGATAAAATGAAAAATGGGGCTTGGAAAAAGTTATTTGATGAAGCGGGAGAGACAGAGATGGAAGGTTCAATATTTAGGTGGAAACCACGACAACTTATAAGAAGCCAGAGTACGGTACCCGAGGAAGGACCGATGGATAGATATGTTAAGAAGGTTAAGAGGTGATGAATTTTACAGTACCTAGTAGTACATGTAGGAAGTCGTTTTTGGTGTTCTAGATCATCTCTACTTACACAACCTCCGAAACACCTACACTTGTATTTGCACGTATATCTGAATACATCCTGTCTTTGATGGACATATCTTTGGGAAATCAAACATTTGTAATCGAAGTTTCTCGATTACGTTGAATGTGACCTCAGTGCCTGACTCAATTACTGGTACCTGGTAGGTGGTGTGTTGTAATCATAACTTGGATTGAAGCTTCCCCTGAATACTCCAAGAGGCTACTCCTTCCTATCTACCTTCTCATAGGCCCCAAGCCTTGTAATATCTGTGGTCTCTCGTTGGTTACTACGAAGAAATAGTGACTGGAAGTATGCTTAACTGTGTTCCTAGTTATCCGCAGCCTCCTCATTAAGCGACACGAATAACCCTCTTCTGATGGAAACATTGTTATATTTCTTCGAGCCCGTTCTCTGCGATGCATACTCATCTTGGATAGTCGCACCATTGCGACAACCATGAATCAGTCCCGTTTTCATTCTACCATTTATTCTAGAATACCATTCGGTCGAAGACATCTCTTAAGCCTACCATAGTATGTGTAGTTTAACATATCTTTTCATCATAGCAATATTTCACAATGATAACCAGTAATTCCAGGCAACGCCGAGAAGCATTTTGTCGAAGAGCAAAAAGACGCGACGCAACCTTACGCTTGCTCTATACTGGGGAAGTCCACGGGAGCCAGCAGAGCCAGCAGGGTTGGGCAGACATGCCGTCGACCATAACATTCAATACTCAACATATCATGAGCCGAAACGATAACCGGTACGGACAGCATTTGCAGCCGACAATCGTACCTCAAACTCTAGCCCCGGCACGTATTTTCGAACACGCTTCATTTTCACGCGCCCCGGCTGCACGACCCGCCAACGGTGTCGAGATCTATGGCCTAGCCCTTGGGACTTGTTTCCTCGCATTACTTCTGGGATGGATTCTCCTCGCAGTTGCGCGGGAGACCTTCCACTTTTTCCATCGCGGTGCGAATGCACCTAATCAAAGGGCGGACCCAGAAAGCGGTTACATCTCAGAACGCCAAACACTTGAGGAGAGCGGGTCATTCCTTTCCAACTTTAGGAATGTGTCATCGGAAGCAGAAGAGCTTATCAAGTCAGCGCAACGGGCGAGCGTTAATGTTGCTACGCTGCTCAAGAGGGATATGGGTGAGCTCAGGAGAAAGGCGCATTCCGCACGACGCCGAGTTGACGAGGAAGAAGCCCTGGACGACACGGGAGGAGTTAGAACTAACACGAAATGCTCTTTTTTACCCAAGACGTAACAGACACAGAATGTGATGTCTGCAGAAAGGAGGAGCAACGAATTCAGCGCAGGAGGAATTATCGCGGTATCCTACACCTGTTTGAGGGATCAGTAGATGTTGAAGATGAATTATGAAGGCTCTGGTACTCTCAACAACATCAGTATGGGGACTTGAGCGCAGATAGCACGGGAATCTGGCTAGAGAAGAACTTTCCAACGGCCTTCTAGGGTTTCTGCTGGTTAATGGTATATGATTTTTCTTTAGAATGCTTGGTATAGGTACAGAGCATCCCAGAGAACGGCGTTCAACCCGCCACTACTCTTTATGCATACGCAAAAGCGAGATTTCGTGAATGACCTTGTTCCAATTATGCCCTTCTCGAGGTGGTCGAGTCGTCTATCGTTGCTGTTGTACAGGTAGAATAACGCTCACAAATGGGATGCGTTTCGCCGAGGTTTTCCATCAAGAGCTAGGGTTTTCTTCCATTTTATGCCCTTCGCTTCAGTTCTTGTGATGCCTGTTTCAAGCTCCAGTTGCATTCCTCGTATGCTCTACCGGCACCGAAGCCCACTCCCACAAATGCTGGCCATGCTCTTCGTCGGAATAGGAGGACTGAGAAGACGACGCCAAATCCAAGGCCGAGTGTTGATTTTATGAGCATATTGGAGATGCAGCGGTCCCACTATCATTTGCCCATATTAGCGACTCACTATACGGTGGAAATAAAGCGATAGGATTGTACTATACTTTCTCGTTCAAAAGTGCCTCGCTCACGGGCCTAGAGACCGTGCTAGGCGGCGCGGGAGCTGACGTCTCAGGCATAATGAAAGATACTATTAAAACGTTGAATTAGCTTTGAATGACAATAAAACAACTCCGTGAGCTCCCACCTTTCAAATTGGCTTTTGGGTGAACGTTGTGGTAGAATTGTCGTCACTACGATAATATTCGCACGAAAACAATCAGGTCATTGATGTAGCTTCCAGGTTGAATCGGCTTGCATTTGCTGATACCCGAAAGCGGTAGATCCTGGTAGTGTCAAATGAGGTTTAGCGCGGATGGCAGAATTGATGATTTTTTATATTTTTTTAGATATCGCGGGGAGCTCCACAAAAAAAGTTCGAGCTTTCGATTGAGTTTTTGGAAACAAACCCCTTGTACTTCGTACAGCTTGAAGTAAATATTTCAACACCTGGCAATGCCGACGATTGCCCAAATTCGCAATGGAGGTGGATAGTGATTCAGGGGTAAGTAAATTTCAACGCTTTTCGTGTATCATTTGTGCAATAAGCCTACATATATAAGTCGGTATATAATCAGAACTAACCAATACCTTGTTCTAGTCGCGCCGGCTGGCTCTGATAAGAGCTGTTAGAACACTCGACGAAGATGGAGCAATTGCGCTTCCCGACAAAATCCACAGTCTCTGGTTATTGCTTTCGGAAACCAAGGCTACGAGATTCCATGGCGTCGAAGAGAACATATTACGATGGCTGTTCAAGCATATGAGCGCCAACACTGAGAATGCTGAACAAGTTCGACGCTACCCTCTCACTTGGACGATTCTAAGCCACGTATTCCCCAAGATTCCGTCTCAGACTTTGGGAAGGTCGCTAGGTTCCCTTCGCTTCATTTCGGTTCTCCATCAGACCGTAGGCGACATTACGACTGCCCGACGGAAATCTCCTTCATCTCCGAGTCAGACGAATGGGGTTGCCTCGGAGAAAAAGAAGAAAAGAAAGAGAGATACAGAGTTTCCTTCAGATATCGAGGAACTTCGTACCCCTGAAGGCTGTATAAAGTCGGCGACCGAGCTTTTCAGGGCTCTCAGCAGTCTCCTTGATCAGGGGAGCCGTCACACAGGGCTCAACACCCAGGAACAAAAAGTTGGAGCTGAACATATCAAATCACTTTTCTCTTCATCTAACGACGAGACTAGAGATATCGCCGCAGGGTTACTTCTAACTTGTGACCGCTCATTAAGTATTTTTGAACGTGGTATTTCCCGGGATCAAGAACCGTGGATCGGAGTTATCGTTACTCTATGGAACCTTCGCCTTCACAACAAAGATGGCAGCCTCGAGTTTGCTAGGCATATATATGTACCAGCCTGTTCTATTCTGGCGAGGTTGCATTGTCTTGCCGGGGTCGCGCCTGTATTGGGAGGTAGCAATACCGCTAAGAACCTCTGGATTCGACAGCTCGAGCAGTTTCTAAGCGCATACTTTATTCGTCCAGCAAGGCACACGTTTGTGGCGGATGAGAATATCCAGGCCTTGGAGACCGCGCTAGGACTCTCGAAGAGGAATCTGGGCGGATCAGCTATCATTACATGGGACGTTGCGGCGAGGACCCCTCGAGATTCGAGTAACCCAAAATCCAAGGCCGAGCATTCATCGTGGGTTCAAAAGATCTTTGAAATCTTACTTAATGCAATCCAGCCTTTAGACCCCCAACTTCGAAATCAAGTCGTCATCCAGATGCTAGAAACGGCTACCCGAACTAGCTCGGTCCCAAACACGGCAGCCCTCCGTTCAGTATGTCAAGAATATGCATTGAGGCCAGACGAAATCGATTGGAATCTAGTTGCCAAAGTCATTGCTTGCGATGCTGATGTGTTCCTCATGGATGATACTTTGATGAAAGACGTTTTTAGCGAAATCGGGTCCTATTCGGGTTGTGACCCCGTTACGAAGGAGACCATTGTAACGGAGATTATGCTTCCCTTGACAGACGCTTTTGCAAAGGCGCGAAACCTGTCGGGCTTCATTGAGAAATGGCACGACTGTCTTCATGAGAGTGTTATAGATTCGCTAGATCAAACTATATGGTTTGATATTAGGATTCGACAACGGCTCTCTAGCATTTTACAAAGCTCGCTGACCAGCACGCAACTGCTACGTATATTGGAGCGTATAGACTCGCCACTTGCTATTACTGGATCGGAATTGGTTGTCCTTGATGGTATCTCTGCGGGAATCACCGAAGAAGAATATATTAACAGCGCCAATTCCAAAATTTCCTCCGCAGTCGGCAAGGAAAAGTCGTACGAAGACCTCCCATCTCCTGTATCATCATTGAGATGGCGTATTGCCGGTCGGCTGGCTTCCTGGGGAACATCTGACGAAGTTCGTCGACTTTGGTCCGAGTTAAAATCAACTCTCAAACATGTCCTCAAGAAGTCTTCTTTATCGAATCCTGAAACCCTGGAAGCATTCGCTTGCTGTCACAAGTTATGGCTAGCAAACTACCCTGGCGGCAAACGCGAGGCAGACCTAGCTAAACTATTGCGTTCATTTCTCGAAAGACTTACTACCGGAATGAAAAGCGATGATGATATTTCTGTGTTTCAGCCCTATTTGGATTATGTCTTTCGTTACCTACCAAAGCTTGCAGAGTTTCCGAAACAGGAAGCAATCGACCTGAGAGATCTCATTACGAACTTATTCTGGCACGTTGGGAAACAGTCCGCGGTTGGGGCTGACGCACAACTTGATGACACCTTACGGTTACTCTTACGCAACGCCGATTGTGAGGATGATGAAGCGTTCGTTGACGCTCTGATATCACAGCCTCTCGACGCCCTTGATAGCGCGGAGACTCAATCAGGTTGGACACAGCCGCAGAGTCTCTCCTTACTTTTGATTCTTTTAGAATTCCCGCGAAATACCTTCACGAAAGGACGCCGTAAACGTATCATGTCTTCGTGGAAGACATGGAGGTCGGCGATAATCAGTCATGCATCACAGGATTCACATTTTGCCGTAGTCATGCTTCGGCTGCTGGTCAATATAATGCAGCAACCAACATTTTACGAGGTAAGCTACTGGGTCCCTGACTTGTGTATGACTCGAATTAATCGTTCATTAGGACATGGAATTTGATGACCTTGTTTACATCTCCTCAAACTTGCCGATTAAGGACCAGAACATACTCGCGTTGGTCGAGAAATTTATCGACCTGACGCTGAGGTGAGTAATAACGAAGCTTCATACCCTCTTCGGAGACTAACGAGCTGCAGGCAAATGGCTGCTAGCGCCGAAGGGCATTCGCAAGCCTACTTGACTAGTGCTTGGGAGTTTGCGGAGGGTATCACGCCAAATAGGACGGAAGTGACGGATGCTCAAATGCTCTTGGTAAAAGGCCTATTCTCTGCACTGGATAAATGCAAGTCGCATGGCTCATCTACCAACTTGGACTCAATAGCAACAAAACTATCAGAAATTATAGTAACCAGCTTATCGCGGATCGGGGACAAAAATGAGTCGACGGAGGCAGCTATCGGGGATGAGTCGATATTGCTTCGACTTTCTGTCGCATTAAGCGGAGCCGCATGCCTTGCTGAAGCCAGTCAACCAAGAACGGTTGAACTCCCGAAAGAGACAATTAAGAAGCTGGAGAGCATAAGCGCGTCATTCATATCGAGCAACCTCGAAATTGGCTGGAAGCTACGGACATGCCTCTTCAGACACAACCCCGATCTATACGACACAACAGATTTATTCGCACAGCTAGACCAGACGTCGGAGACAATTGATGAAGGCTTAGTGTACGGCTTGGTGGATGCTTTCGTTGGGAAAGGAGAGGTTACAGACGATGCTACATGTGATAAGGTGCTTGGCGAGCTAGTTGCTAGTGGCAAGCTGACTGCCGGACCTATCGGACGTCTACTGGCTATCAGGAGGCTTGTCGAACTGCACCAAGGTGAGCGTCCCCAGATTTATTTATTGTTAGTAGCAGTCCCATCTAACGCCATGTTAGGACCTATTGCCCCAAATGGCCTCGGTAAGAGTCGAGACATCCTTGACCTTGGCGCCGTACACGAACGACTCGCGTCTCTACTAAGTCAGGTGGAATCACCCCGCCATTTCAGACAATTGGCAGAAATCTTGGTATTGCTACTTGATAAACATGCCCACTCCATGACCCAGATCAACGTGGAGACGACTCTGAGTAGTGTCGTTCACGTGTGTTCGCAAAAAGGCCCCAAGATCCACGGCCCTAACGCCGCTGGCGAGGTTTACGACAAGCTATACAAGCTTGTGGCTCTTGTCCTCAAGAGACACCGACTTCGCTTAAGAGGGCATTTCCCGATCCTGCTTGCCGCATTGCGAGCACTTCTCAGTACCTTGCTTTCCGATCCTACTTCAACAGCGAGCGTGCCATCCTTGCAAGCACGCCCGCCATGGCTCGAAATACGTCTAAAAGGAAGGCATGCAGACCGGTTTACTCGCCTTCTGACACTAATATGCGAGCCTAGCGCGGCATCCGTAGCCCGCACGCGGTCGAGCGAGCTAGATTCCGCCACGGATGCTGCCAAGCGGACCGCGGGGCAGGACATGTTCACTGTCTTGGAGCTGTATATCAAGTTGCAACTCGAGGTCACCATCCCTCGGGACGTCAGGAAAGCCCTCGAGCTTGGCGTCTATTCGATACTCGACATCACGCCTCAGGGATGCAGGAGGGTATTAAACGAATCGTTGGACGCGAACGGACGCGCCATATTCAGGCAGATGTTCGCGGATTACAAGAAGTTTGGGAAATGGTCGGGTGTTTAACTGGGTCTTGTTACTACATATAGATACTTTCTGGTTAGGAGATATATACCCGGTTACCCTTGTTCATATCCACGTGTCTGAGTATAGAAAAGAATTTGGAATAAGAATAATTAGAAGTCGCATGAGTGGGTGGAGAAAGACTATGAGACTACGTACTTTATTACACGAGCTAATTATACCATTATACTCAAGTGCTTACCGTAAATATGTAAGTATGACATAACATTTTAACATAGGAGCGTGTGTCACCATGTACGAGCTGCACCTACCCGCTCTGACATCCAAACTTACCTAGTCTTAAACTTCTCCCGCATTGAAAACGCTGAGGTCTTTCATCATCCACCACCACACCATAAGCACCAACTCGGAAGACCCTCGAGGCCATGTTGGTGCAATGCGGCTTATCATTGCGCCATAGATGTAAGTCGAACATTGTCTAATATCAGGTTGTTATGTAGGTTGTATGTAGCGAACGACCCGCTAGCTTGGAGACGTTCACACCGAGTTACGGAACGGGACTACTGCACCGAGCCGCGGCGGTCCGGGTTGCCTCTCAGTGGGTCGATTTCTCCAGCCTTATAGCTTCTCCTTGCAAGCATCTCACTCCGCCATCGCATCGCAATTACATATATCGACCAATACCGTCTAACTATCGACCGCGTTCGGGGTTTCACTTAGTCAAAGTAAACCCATGCCTATTAGTCAGATATTGGCTATTTTTCTTACCATTTCGTACCACGCTCGAGCTCGGTTGGCTAATCGAGCTGAGTAGCGATGTGTCTCTTTCGCGTCCTTCTGTGAGATGACATGGCGTACTCTCAAAGGAAGAGTGGGTGTCTGCACGCTCTATAGTGGTGACGAAATATGGGATCAATCGAGTCCCACTGATGTTACTCAACCAAAACCATTCGGAACACTTCGCGGGATCACAAGAGTTATCAATCTTTGTACACCCTCCGGGAAGCACGCCGAGACAAGCAACTAGGGCGATCGCCAAGGCCCGGCTCAGAAAAGACCCTGCTCCTATCGCTGACTACCAGTGTCGAGTTTTTCACTTAGTGCTACTCACGATATACTGGTCTCATTCTCTCGGCTAAGTTGGTCTCTACCCAGACAACTTTCGGCTCTCAAAAAAAGCCGGACCGATTTATCTCGTCCGGACGGCCCTCGAAGCGACACCGGCGCGTGGTAAAATAGCACCGGTTCGCCGCTACGAAGCTTGAAACTATGATTCCTTAGGGCAAGGGGTAAAAAAAAAAGTTCGTTCTCCTCGGCCGCTAGTTTACCGAAGAGAGGCTCAATAGACCCAAATAAGTAAGTAGCTAGCTTTTAGGTCACGCCAACACGTGGCGGTTAACCCAGCCGAAGTCTAGTTCTGACGAAACGTTGCAGACTTATATACCGAGAGCCTAGATTGATGGCCCAGAACTGCGCGGGACCTCCTAGGACCTACTAGTTTGAGGATAAGTGTCGGCGACATGTTCCCTTAAGCAGAGACATCCTCGATCAATGTGTGTTATGTGCGAGTTGTACGCGAGTGTGTGTGTGCGAGTGTGTGTGTGTGTTAGACGTGTCCAGTAGCTTAGCTATTCGATGATATCAGCCCGGTATTCCGACCAACTGTTTACTAGATTCTACCCACGGTCGGACGTATTATTGGCTACGCCTTACGCCCTCGTCAGCTTCTGTATTTACTTCGTCGACCCATTCCTACCATCGTCAGATCGGTAGCAGTCGGCAGTGAGAAATCATCGAAAGACGGACAAATCAGATCGTCAGATGTGCCAACTTGGCTTTACCGAGTGCACGTCCATCCATCTATTCTCGGATGTGGGAAATTCGCACCGGCTTGTTTCGGTGTCAAGTTATCTCGAACGGCTTGAACATCCAAAGGACTGGCTAAAGAAGAGTGGCTTTTCTTGAATATGAGTGGTTCTTCGGGGGAATACCGCGGCAAATCCGTACCATTTCTAGCGTAGCCTGCGTCGCCTCTCGGTCGCCCTATACGGCTTAGGCCGCCCTTGGCGTCACCCGAATGTCGCATGTGGGCCAATTATACATCCAGTCCCCTGATTGCACACTTCCTCCACCGGCTGCCTAATTTGGTCCCTTCTCCCTAGCATGCCGCAAGCTTGACAGGTGTGTGAAGGGGAAGGGTTTTTCTGGTGATAATCCCGAAGTTTTCCTGTCAAAAGAAGACCATCGCCGTCTTTAATTGTCCCTATACCGGGCTTTAATGTCTTCCCCCCTTCCTCATCGTGTAAGTCTCAAATGTAGCCACGTCTTTTTTGCCTGACATGCCCGTCACAGTCAGGCCATCGGATCACGGGTCAAGATCCTGGGCAGGTCGCAGATACAGGCTCGCATCTTCGCCCGATATCTTGTTGCATTATACGCTGACCGACGACACGCGCACTAGTCCGCCGCGAGCCAGACAGCTAGTTCAAAGTTCGTTTGCGGGGGTTGAGAGGAAGAATAATGTGTTCGCTACTAAAAACGGATTCGTCCACGCATGCGTGGATGCGTACAACGAGCACCACTGCCTGGTAATACGGCCGGAGGACGTCTGGTTTGCCATCTTGACTCAGTTCAGCGCCTACGTCAACGCGCACTCCGACGAGCTGCGCAAGCGATTCTGCCATCATGAAGCTCAGCAAGAGCTTCACATAGAGATGGAACTGGACGGACTCGACCACGGCAAGATGGCATTCGCGATGACGAAGCTCATGCAAGAAAACGTCCGGGACGAGGGTCTGCAGCAATGGATCCTGCCGGCTTTCACGACGACAACCAAGGTCGACCAGGCCGTCGCCAGCATCATTTTCATGGGTACGATGCAGAAGTACTTTACGTATAGCTGGGGAACGCGATGCGGAATACCGTCCGTGACCCTGCTCGGCGAGGAGAGCGACTGGATCAAAATCCGAGATCGAGCTGAACGATTAACGACCTTTGGTTCGGAGTCGTCGCGGTGGTTCCGGTTGCTCCAACCCGTATTGGATGGGTTCGTCGCAAGCTTCAGAGATCCCAAGGGCCAGACTACGAGGAGGTTCTGGCAAGCGATCTGTAACGAACACGTGCCCAATGGTAGCGGTACCGTCGCCTACTCGGGATGGATCACTTCGTTCTGCTTTTGGGACGAGAGCGGTCGGTGTCTGCACGGGCCGAAGCCGGGTCAGGAGGTCCAGTTAACAAGGAGTCAAATGCCAAGCGGCTTCGCTAAGGTGCCGGTAACACTACTGGATGACGGCATCGAAATACCTACGGAGATGGTCGCCGGCTCGATGGCGATGAGAGCGTTTCGATCCAAGGTGACAGTCGGCACCGATGGCGGACCGCAAATGCGGCAAGGTGCCGGAAATGACACGATACAGCCCGAAGTCGGCTGGTTCATGTACAAGACGTGACAGCCTAGGGGGTATCGTGGTATTGGCCGCAAACATAATGGTAAGACATGGCTCTCCTATCTCTCGAATCAGCTACATATTCATGGTAGCATTGGCCAAGCCCTGCATGTGACAGGTAGCTAATCATTTCTGCAGTATAATTATAACTTGACCACGACGCTATGGATTGGAGTTCCTCCAACCGTGACCACGTTAGGTGCCAATCCGGACCGACTCTCGGATCTATGCTCGGATCTACCCACACCTAGCCACACTCAATCTTGCGCTGGAGTTAGCAAGCTTTGATAACGGTCGAGGAGCAACAGGCACGCCCGGATCCTTACTCTCCTAATATTAAGAGTGTTTGACGTGGGCCGAAGTCATCAGTCTTCTAGTTTCTAGATGGACCAGTGAGCCCTTTCTGAAGATAGGCGTGGTCGTCTTCTCAGTCCTTAGGCTCGTTGGAGAAGGCTATGGTTGCCGGCTTGGCGTCTCTACTCGATATATGGGACACTGGATCTTTGGACTATTGAGATCCTCAATGACTGAAGGTGGAGGAACTAGTCGTCGAGTTGGCCTAATGCTGCAAAATGTTTGTCAGGGGCACCTCCCGCCGTGTCGATTGAAGACTACTTGGAATCTGAGCTCGAAAAGGTGCCGGATAGGGTTGACGCCAACGTGCACTCGACAATGGCGTCGTCGGGGGAGACGGACAAGGAAGCATTTAAGTGGGCGTTAAACATGATTCTCGGACTTAATGATTAGATACCCGGAATACGGTTTCCTCAACTCTTTGTTGGAGAGTCGCATCGAAGCTGAGCTTCGTCTGCGATTAAGTACGGTATAGCATATGATAGGGAGATGTTATCTTTTTTTTATCTTCTCCACTTCAGTTGTATATACAATGCCCCCGATGGGATTTCAAGTCGAGTTGTTAATAGATCCTGTGGGCTTAGTTAAATATGTCTATATGCTTATTTACATACTTGTACTTATATGTTTTGCTTTCCAACAATGGGGGAAACTGTGTCGTAAATGGGTGAATTCATAATTATGGCTGCATTGTGAGTGTATTCAAGATGGTCATTATCGGCGTTAATAATTGAGGTTTACTATCGAAATGATTCCAAGATTTATATATAAATACCTACTAGCTACCTAGCTATACATTTCGGATGGCTATGATATTCTTATCATATCCTACGTTATGTATGACCTTACTATATTCACTTGATTATTCACCTTGTTTGGATGCTACTATGTGAACAATTCGTGTCTGATATTCTTAGCACGTATAGGAACATATGTACAGGCCGGGAGAGACGTACAACCGAGAGGATGCAAACTCGGGTGTATGTCTGTCTATTTTGCCTACATCCTACCTAAACGTACCCCTTTGCAAATTTCTAAGGACGTACGAACTTGAGGTAGGGTGCGTATGGAAGGCTACATGTTCGAGGATTGAAAAGGGGCGATATATTGGGTGCGTAGGTAAAATCATACATGTGATGATGGACGGAGGGTTAGTAACAATCAATGAATGCACAAAATTGAAGGCATAAAAATAGTAAAAGGAGACCAAAACGACAAAAAAGCTCGGCCCTAAGCTCGATCCAAGGGACTTGCCCTGAACAGGAGGTTGAACCTGCCGCCCTCCAACAGGGATCGAACTCAAGACCTACGAAAAACCCCGGACGGTTTTATCTGGGCCATCACGCCCACCTACCACTACACCATAGCCAGTTGATGGTGGTGCAACAGCAAGCGGATCAGACTTGGAAGGCGGCAGCAAAGGACGGTATATGAGTCAAACTTGGGCTTTGGAAATTCCGCCGTTGCCCGGAAACCTGTGATAGCCCCGCTATATCGTTGTCTTGTTGGTTGTCAAGCCTGAGTCATCATTGGGAAGATGACCTCCGACGATAATCGAATTCTCATATCTTGTGCTGGAGAAAGGCTCATGTGGTGCTTATATGAGATTATCTCGCACTTGAAAATCTAGGAAATTAGTCCCTATTCCCTTAGCCTTTTCTTTAGATCATCCATCCGTCCTTTTCCTACATGTCTAAATTCACTGACAACAGTGCACCAACGAAAGGTCGAGAGAGATGAAATGCTAAATCAATATTTATTGGGTATAATAACGTCGCTGGCAGCCATTCCTATCGTCCAGGAGAAGCTCTACCGCCTTCGTACACTCGTCCCTTAAGGGGTCACCTTATAATACATACCTACCTACTTATCAACCAACACCTTACCACCCATCTCCCCCTAATTCCCAACCATATCCCCATCACCATCCGGATATCCATCAACCAGCTCCTCCCCCCCTTTAACCAACGCATCCAAATTCATCCTAACGCCCCACCTCAAGCCCCTCGACTCCTCCTCCTGCCCGCCCGCCCCATGGTCCGCGATATCGCTATTCGCCCCCCTCGACCCCTTAGCGCGATGGACCTGGAAAACACTCGGCTGCGCCGCGAGACACGCGTGCGGGCCCCCGCGGTCCGGGGACCCGCCCCCCTCGCAGAAGGACTTGAGCTGCAGGTCGAAGGGCTGGTTAGCGTCCTTCAGGCCGACGTGGCGTAGCACGGCGCGGGCACCCGCGCGGCTTACCGCGTACGCGAGGGAGCAGCACGCGTCTTGCGCGTGGTGGTACACGCGCGCGTGGTCCGGGTACGTGGTCTCGAGCCCCGAGATCGACGGGAGGCCTGCTAGTAAGTGCCGGCGTGCCGGTACGGTAGGGTCCGGGACCCGGACGACGCGGCCCTTGGGCAGAGCCGCGTTCGTGGCGAATGCGAAGGCCATGCCGCAGTGCCCGGCCCATAGCACGTCCCAGGCGTCGCCGTACGGGGATGTCGTGGGGACGCGGGTAAGTGGCAGCGAGGCGAAGTCCATGTCCGGGACGGTGGAGGGGCCGAAGGTGCCGTTCGGGAACGTGGGGTCGGCGAATGTAGGGGATGATGGGTCTGGAGAGGAGAGGAGAGGCTGGGTGAGCGCGTGCGTGGCCAGCGCGAAGTCGTGCATTTGCTCCCGGATCCGGATGTCCCAGTCGGCGTCGTCTTCCATGATTAGTGCTGACGAGAGGTTTCTTCGTACGACTCTGATATGCGGTATGCGTTAGTGATGGCATGTTCATGCCGATGATTTCGGAGGTGTGTTAAATATGCGAGAGTTGAGCACGAACTCTTGGATTGCGTTCATGTGAGCTCGCCAGGCTCCTATGACGGGATCGGCTAGGCGCTTAAGCTCCTCCTCGCTACTGAGTAGTGCCTTGTCGGGCACATCCTTGCCGTCGACGCCATCGATGAATTCTATCTCGAGGTTGCTGAGAGCTGCGGCTAGGACCATGCCATCGCGGCGATCTGTACGAGATGGTCGGCTGATGACGAATATCTTCTCGAACTGCGTACTAGCGTTAGACCCTCGTCCTATAATTAAACCAACAAATAACCGTTGACTCACGCCAAGAGTAGTGTTATAAATATCATCCGTTATATCAGGGACCGAAGATTTTATCCTGTCAGCGTGGAAATATGGCACTGGACTTGCTCCCCCCTTCGTGGAGAGGAGATACAGAGAAAAGACGAAAAAGGCGACTACGCCGAGAAGGACTGGATTGGGAAGCCGTCGGGCTGGCTTAAGGAGAGACATGACGAAGATGTTTAATCCATATTGTCGAAATTTAGGACGAACCGAAATAAGTGATCTCTTACCTCTTTACATTATATAGGTACTGGTAAGCAAGTACAATCACTCGCTTCCTCCGTCTGATATTGAATCATGTCACACGTGTTAAATATAGGTGATTGTAGAGCGAGCCAACCAATAGCAGGAAAGAATAAATGGTTCCAGCTATATTAATCGTCAGCCTTGTCAAGTTGGGGGTAGCTGTTGTCAGACAACCTTTAAGACGTCAGCACACTCTTACACATTGTAGTTCAGGAGACCATCGAGTTTGCGACTAGCAGAATACCCGCCTGGCGCCCAAATATATAAATGCCAGTCCGTTGTAACATATTCTTGCCTGGATACGCGAGCTTTGTTAATGTTTCAACTCTTGTTGCTGTTTGTAGATACCTATGGGACGGCGTTATTCATCTCTCCTGTGACTTGTGATCCCACTCCCTACGGCCACCATTAAGGATGAATTAGACCCAAATCAAACATGTGAATTGTTGGTGGTAGTCCAAAGAATCACCAGGACGTGTCCACATAGCACGAATGTCTTGGAGAAATGCAATTTGTTACGCGGCTGTTGAGATCTTCCACAACCGCCGTGTTTCGTGAATCGGTATACGACGAAGCTTCTGATTTGAATGCAAGCTCTAACTCGGACTGAGATGGCGGTTGTTGGTCTTGCGCCTCCATCGCCTCATATCATAAATTTCCGGAAACCCCCCGCATACTCCGTAGACCAGCTGGGCTTGTTTCCCACTGAATAGATCGAGCCGCGAATTAGTTCCTTTCCTCGTCTGAACGAGGGATCCTGCGCATTCTTTAGCATACAACTTACCGCGTATATGATCAGCAGTATGTGTTTAGTATCCAGTAGGCAATATAACATATCCGTAACTAGAGTCAAACCTCCTCGAATTCGTCGGACGACTAATGCTACAAGAAAACAAAACAATCCTAAAACCCAAGGCTATGCAAAAGCGCCAAATTCCCATCATAATGCAACATCTATCCGACAGCGCATTGTGCCCTATCCCTGTATATGTGCCAGAACAGGCTCGTGACAGCTTCGCTAAAATATACACCACTATCCTCATAAGAAAAAGCCGCTTAGAGTCCGTGTTCCTTTTCCTCGAGTTCGCGCATGTACTTCACGAATCTCTTCTTGTGGGTCTGTATCCAAGTTAGTACGTGGCTGAGACAACGACGTCATTGTGAGACTTACCATCCCCGCATAACGGCCATCTTTGAGGACGCATATATACCGTAGACCGAGTTTAGCAAAACACTCGTACACCAGGTCCATCGGCGATTTGATGTCCAAAGCGACTGGCGCGGGATCTATATAAGGCGTGAAGTCTGTAGGGTCTCGCTCCGGGGATTCTTCCTCATCTATGCTGGGTACACTCGCCATAAGACAGAGGCTACTACTCTCATCTTCGAGATTATCCAAGGCATATTCCAAGTCGGGGGCAGGAATCAAGCCGACAAGGATGTTATCTCTGAGTATCGGTAGCCCGCCATCTAACTCTCCAGCTCGATGGAGAAGATCCAACTTCGAACGAAGTTTTGTCGCCGCAACCAAAGGCGAGCTGCTGATATCGATGACACGCTCATGACGAAAGCGCGGGACAATATCCGCGAGATCGGAGGTGAAGATGGGCTTATGTTTGTTGTCCAGGTATGGATAAGCGTTCATGTTTGTGAGCAAGTCGTAGATACTGAGCGGCTCTAAGGCATCGGCTGTCCATTTGGCGACAAGAATAGCCAAAGAAAAGGGGAGGACATAATCCAAACTTCCTGTAAGCTCAAAAAGAATGACGGCGAGGGTGACGGACAATCTTGTCACGCCACACATCGTCGAGCCCGCAGCGATGAGTCCGTACACGCCCGGCTGGACACACGTCGATTCTTGGAGGAGGGGACAACTTCCCCATATGCTCCAGTGCGGAAACCGAAGTACTATCCATTGCATCAGATGACCGACAATTCTGCCCATAAGACCACCGACAACCATGGAAGGGACATAGATTCCTGCGGGGACTTTAATGCCAAACGTGATGGTTGTTAGGAATCCCTTGATGACAAAAGCGGCGAGCAACATTCGAATGATACCTGGTATATCGTCGATGCTTTCAGCGCAGAGGCCCAACTCGTCATCTCTGCTGTCGTCCTGGCAAGGAGCAGCCAAATTGAGCAAAAGCTTCGCGACCGGAAGTTTGGTCAAAGTGTTCCAATAACCGATAAGTCCTGTCACTAGAGCAACCAGAACAACCTCTAGAAGCGGGTATTTCTTAATAGCTGGGATCTTACGGAAAGATAGGGCCCAACGACGCGATGCCTTGATGAACAAAGCCCCGAAAGCGCCACCTAATACCCCCACTAGAATGAAGCCCACCAGTTCAAACCATTCCCAGTCGATCTTATAGCGGACCTCGAACATAACAATCTTATGTGTACCGTAGGGATTTAGAAATTTCAAAGACAGCGCTGCGACGATGCAGCAGAAGAATGTACGGAAAAGCGTCTTTGCCGGGAAATAATAGGCGACCTCCTCAAGACCAAAGAGGACGCCGCCAAGAGGTGCTCCGAATGCAACAACAACGCCCGCTGCGGCTGCGGCTGACAGTACTTCGCGCCTTTTGCCATCATTACGATCGTACTTGGTAAAAATTCGACAGCAGATATTGCCAATACAAGTAGCGATATGGACATAGGGACCCTCCTTACCAAGACTCAGGCCTGAAGCCACACTCAAGATCAATCCTACCGATTTGATGACAAGAGTCTTTAAGCCAAGAAAGCCGTGTAACACGAATCCGCTAAGAATCACACGAACTTCGGCTACACCACTGCCCGCTGCGGAATAGTATATCATCGGAGCTGGAGAATCGACGTCCTGACGGACCTGTCTTGGGCTTATATTCCCGTCATCGTCCTCGTCGTTATCGTCTGGCGGTTGACGGGAGTAGTCGGCGGCCAGGTTCTCATCCAACGTCGACATCCGGTAAGCCGAAGGAACCACAGTTTTAGTCGATAGAGTAAGTAGGCAAGATGAAACTGCAAGAACAAGGACGGCGATAACATATATTCCGAATTCTGTCCATTTGTTGCCGAACGGATGGCCGCCGAGAACCTCCGACCAAGATCGCCAATCCGTACATGGGCCATGGGGACAACATCTCTATAATTATCATCAGCCACTATGTGCACATGAGGAAGTAAATTGTTTTTACCTTCTCCCTTATGTACCATCCTCGCGTACAATAACCGTCTTTATAGTCGAAGATGGTAGTCTCGGCCACGTTAACACAATAGGCGAGTAGAGCTACCAGAACGCCAACCAAGGCGCTTAGTACCCAGCCCTGAGCACCATCAAACAATACGATGAGTCTGCCTACGAAGTCCTTACGGCTACGCAACTGTTTTACTCGATATGCGTCTGCGATACTGTCGTGTACCCAGTCGGTCGAGGTGAATTGATCATACCATATCCGATCGTCGGCAAGGAGAGAGCTTTTCGACTCTGTCATTGGATCCTGGCGATCAGAAAGGGCCTGTATCAATCGCTGTCCCCACGACTCGTGCCGCGAATGATATCGTGAGCTATGGGGTGTCCCGACATAGCTATGATTTCTCGATAGGGAAATCCTTGGGTTGCCTATAGGACTTTGTATACGGACATGGGAGTGCGAAGGGCGTAGAAGAGCGGTATTCTCGTCTGGGGCTTCGGATAGTGAATGCCGTCTGCTTCTTCTAGAATGATGGCGCGGATATGTAGGAGAGACAGGGACCGATAGGGTCGGGTCGTCATGTGAAGGTGTATCGGCCATGACGGGCAACTAAGAGCGACTTCGGAACTGTTCGAAACGGGGAGCGTGGGGTGGGAGATGGAGGTGAATTCGTCTTAGGCGTCATGGGCACGGAGAAGGCAGCAGGCAATCTGCCTGTCGGCTGAGTTGGTCGGGGCGAGGCGTGGTTAATCGCAAGCACTCAGGATCTTAGGTAGATAAAGAAGCTCGGAGGTAGGTTAAGCGCGATTTCGAAGAGATCCTCATATTATGTACATATGGGTAGGGGGTGTCAGCAGCTCCCGGGGGAGCATCGTAGGTGGAGACCCCGATGGCGTCTTATTTAGGAGGTTATTACAATGATTATCTTTTGCACCTTTCCAACAACTTGAAATTCGAACAAAGAAGAAACAGGGAATTCGCCCTAACAGCTTAGATTAGAGAAGAACCCCAGAATCAACTGACAACTACCTACTACTAAGCATGTGTTACCATACTAGATTGTTAACTCTAACTTTAGTTAAGGTGGTTTGAAGTGATGGAGTAAGGAGCTAACAAAGGTCAGATGGAGGTTTAGTGGGCCTTAAAAGAATCCCAAGGTGTTTGTTCTTGTAAGGCCACATGCCAATTATATCATTGTGGGGCTATCCAGATCGCTGCTACCCACATCGTTATCGGTAGGTACTTCCAGGGCTACGTGCATTTGTACGACCTTCGCTGCTTCGTAAAATTACTGGCGTGACACTACAGTGAGATAGCAGCCATTGGTTCAATATTGTAGGTAATGTGAAACATCCATGGACGCTGCTAGAGCCGATCTCCAGCGCCGCGTCGTATCGCTAAGGTCGCTAAAGTCGCTAAAGCCACTAAAAGCCATGCGCGAAAACTATGACCCACAGTAGCAGACTAAATAGATCGACGTTTCCATAAGCCCGATATCTCAACTTCATCAAACGTCAATCTCGATGTGTTGACAGTTAACGCCGTACACGCCGTACACGCCACAAATCCATTGAAGACACCTACAGTAATTAGGTGACTTCTATTTTTCCAGACCTAGCAAGAGAACTAGGTAACCTGGTAAGACGAGGCTGAAAGGTTAGGCTCGGCTCAGCTATCAACTTTTGACTGCTCATCTACGATACCTCGCTAAGGGTATGGTAGAGATCTCGATAAGGATGGATATGGAATAACGTCTACTCATCATGTCATCTAAACAGGGGAAGAGTTCAGCTGTGCCAAAATTCGGTTCTTTCAAGCCAAAGCCCGAGACAACCCAAGTCCAACCAACTCATGAAGATGATAAGTCAAGGCAACGTGATGAACGCACTATTTCTCGGAAGGAAAATAGCCGCCATTCCTTAGCAGATAAATCCCATCAATCTGACTATACTCTCACTCATGAAATCTCATATCGTCCTCCCCCCTCGGAACAAGTTAAGGATACCTTGTTCATTTATGACAAACGAGGTGACTCCTCGATTAGGAGATATGGAGGTATCAATCGCCGTGATGTTCCCAACTATCATCGTTTTGGATCCGGCCGTATTCTTGGGGTTGATGGCTATATGAGAGTTGATCGTACTAAAAGTCATGATGAGTTCTTCATACTGGGTCATCACGAAACCCGTTCTCTTCTCAGTAGTGACAGGAAGACCCTTTTAGCCAAAGGCCATCATAAAATCCAACCTGTTAGGGTTCGACGGGAACGGTCACAAACAGTGACAGGGTCGGAGGATTTTGTCCCCTTTAAGTCTGCAAGGAAACGAAAGCGAGCCGGTTCTGAGTCAGGGGGTTCGTCAAGCGAAGAAGAGCAATCGTATAGATCAATCTATGGGAAGAGCAAGGATCATGAGAATTCTGATAGCGATGTGAATTATGGTAGTGACACATCCGCAGACCCAAGGGACATCGGATTGGATGATCCTATAAATTTCAAGTCAGTTGAATTATCTAGGAAAGTACGAGACCATCCAGAAGACATCGATGCTTGGTTCGAGCTAGTCGATCATCAAGATACTCTTCTGCGAGCAAGCGGTCAAGGCGAGCGTCATCCCACAGCGGCAGAAGTCAAAAGCTTCGCTGATATCAAACTGTCAATGCTTGAGCAGGCATACTCTCATGCAACTACTGAGTTTCAACGAGAGAAGTTGCAGTTAAGAATCATGCGAGAAGGTTCTAAAATATGGGAAGCTAAGACTTTAACGAAACGATGGGATGAAGCTCTCGAAAAGCACGGAACCAGTTTTGAACTGTGGAAAGACTACATGAACTTCCAGCAAACGAGGCTATCGGCATTCCAGTACGAGAAGATCAAGAAACTTTATGTTGAACGACTCCGGCAATTAGAATTGAAAGCTTCGACTAAGGAACCCCATCCGGATCGCGTCCGGATTTACGAACAGTTGATATACATATTCCTCAGAGCTACCCGCTTCATTTCAGATGCCGGGTATAGAGAACTTGCTACAGCAGCATGGCAGGCCACACTAGAATTGACATTTGCTCGTCCCTCAGCTCTAAAGGAACAATCGACGACTGAAGTGCCCCCCAACTTCCAGGACTTCTGGGAGAGTGAAGTGCCGCGGATAGGAGAGGAGTCGGCTGAAGGATGGGCAGCTTTTGAGCAAAATCATGGAACACAAGAACCTCCCGAGCCCAAATATTTAGACAAGTCGACATCTCCAAGTACTCGAGATGGGTATAAAGCGTGGTCAATCATTGAACAACACAAAGCTCAAGCTGCCACAAATCCAGCTCGCACTTTGGACGATGGAGCAGAGGACGATCCGTTCCGAGTCGTTATGTTTGCGGATATTCAAGAAATAATTTTGTTCCTTCCAACAGAAATCATCCCTAGTATCCAGAATCAATTATTAGATGCATTCTTAATATTTTGCCGATTACCTCCCGCACACTGTTCCAGCGGTATCGTCCGAAATATGACTTTGGACGATTTCCTCGTTCGCAGTTCAGCGAACCTCATCACTACAGAGGCTTCACCGGATATGGCCACGAATTCCGAGGAGCAGGATAAAAAGCCGCCGGAGTTCTTGCACGATTATCAACGAATGGTTACCACATCGGAAATACTCTTTCCAGCGCCGAATTGGTTTAAGATCATGAAGAAGATTCGAGATGATTTCCCCACTGACCAATACCAGTGGGTTTCCATTACACTGAAACAGCTCGTGCGAACCTTCGGGGTCCGTGGACTTGCTCCATATTATTTCGCTTTTGAGTCGATCAATGGCCCAGGGAATGAGAAGAAAACGGCCAAGGCGTTGCTGAAGCAAGATTCAACGAACATCCTTCTATATCGAGGTTACTCAATACTTGAATGGACAAAGGGTAACAAGGATGTCGCTCGTAATACCGTAGCTGCTGCGATGGGTTTAACGACAATTTCGCCTCATGATAGGCTTTCCTTGGGTATTGCTGCGGCGTGGATGGAAATAGAGGACCGCAATTTGGCCAAGGGGACACTTCAACTATGTTCCTTGTCAGATGATAATTATTCTACGACATCGATACTGCAAAATTCATCTACATCCACGGCCCAAATACTAAAGGCTAAACAGTTTCTATCATCGAACCGAGATTATTCATTATCCTCGGGCAATGTCGAGGATGCCATCGTCTACGCCGAAGGCCTAGCTTTACTCGAATACCTGACACAACAAAGCAATAAAGAGCCTTCTAACGGAATCCAAGGAGACATATGGTCCGCGATTTCGAGCATTTCGACCTGCTCGGATGAACTAGTTGCACGTGGCCTGGGGAACAGTTCTTCTCATGAGCGACTGCTCCAGTTTGCTGCTCGTCTACTTTACTATTATGCCAGTCAGGGGTATGCAGTCATTTCCGGCCATTCATAATAGACACGTACTAACAAATTGTTCATATAGGTCTTTCAGACCCGGGTTTCTACGTGAGCAGCTTACGAAGTACATCAACTTCTTCCCTCAGAACACAATATTCCTCAGCTTATTCGCGTGGAGAGAGGCACGTCTGAGCATCGACGACAATGTACGCTCTATCCTCGATAAAGTCGTCTTAGTCGAGCCACACGATTGTGTCAGTAGCCGGGTGTTTGCCATCCGCTATGAGTCGCGCGCCGGCAACGTACACTCCACGCGAGCGGCATTCGAGCACGCCCTCGAGAGCGACGCGTGCAAGAACCATCCCGGCCTGTGGATATCGTATATCCGGTTCTGCCATGACAACAAGGCGCTTAGGTCCAAGGCTAAGAGCGTCTTCTACCGAGCGATCCAGCGCTGTCCGTGGTCGAAGGAAGTTTTCATGGAGGCGTTCGTCACGCTGGGTAGAGACATGGATTCGTCGGAACTTAGGTCGGTCTACAATACGCTCTGCGAGAAGGGGTTGAGAGTACATGTCGAGATGGAAGAGTTCGTGGAGAAGTGGCGGAGGGAGCAGAAGGAGAAGGATAGGGTGAGGAGATAGGTGTCCTCGGCTTAGAACCATACGTGAGATTGGCTTCTCTAGATGAAACATTGACATTGGATAACAAATGACCACACCGCATAATATAAACAATAAGGACTTCTCGATCAGATTATACTATCTTGGTGATAATATTTTAGCCCCCAGTTCCGTGTTACTGACCTATCATGCTAGTACGATGAAGTGCTGACTTCTTTTAAGGTGGCATGTTCCTGTCACGTTCGTAAGCTGGACGTAATCGAAGGGATATACGACTACCCAGGCAGCCAAGACAGATACGTTACGATAATAGATAGACTATATACACGACTATCGTCGAAACCAGGTGACTATATACAAGCAGTGACAACAATTACCAAGGCAAGGACCACTGGGCCCTACCTAATCCAAACAACAAAAAGGGGGCAAAACCGGACATCAACCTCCCGCAAATCCATTCATTCATTCTTTCCTGTCTGGAACAGGGTCCCGGCCCATGCGAGAAAGGGGGAAGTGACGAAGGAAACCAAAACGCAATGCAACAACCTTCCTTGCCCATGTAAACGACCAAGCCCCGAGGAAGGATCGAAGCCCGGACAAGGCAAGACAAGACAAGACAAGACAAGGGGAGAAGAGATGAGATGAGATGATGGGGTATGCAGGTACGAGCGATAAAAGCGACCGATCCAAGACACCGAATTCCGTAGACGAACGACGAGTAACCCCCAACGCCGGGCGTGTATGGGTATGGGTATGGGCGACAAGCCACAATGACAAAAAACCAAGTCAAAGACAAGAAAAGATCAACGAAGGTTCGAATCGAACATAGAGCAGCAATACCAACATCCCCACTCTATTCGGCGTCACTTCAACTTTACTTAGACTTTGCCTTCGCCTTCAAAGTCGAAGTCGAAGTCCCGATATGCAAAAACTTCTTCAACGAGCCGAACCAGCTCTTGACCTTATCCCAGAATCCCGTCGTCGGCGTCGACCCATCACTCCCACCGCCTCCAGTAGCAGGATCCTTAACCACGCCGCCGTTCCCGGGGTTCGCAGGCGCATTACTCGCGGGCCCGCCCAGCGTAACAGTCAACAGCTTGGGACTACCATCGAACACAGTCCCCGCGGGGTCCGGCTGCGTGGAACCCGAGGGCACGACGTCGTCGTAGGGGAACGCGTAGCCGCGGTTATCGATATTGGTCGCGTGCACGATGCGCGCGTAGTGGTTCGTCGGGCTCGTCGCGTAGTAATTCGACACCACCTCGCCGTCGGGCTGCTGCGCGTCGCTCAGCAGCGTCGAGCGGTTGAACGCGGCGGCGATGCGGGCGCCGAGCGCGCCCATCTCGTCCGCCGTCGCGGACGGGTAGTTGGCGAAGGGCCCCGTCGAGCACGAGAAGATGTCGCCGGCCGACGGCCGCGCGAACGAGCCCACGTTGGCGAAGGTGATGGCGTCGTTCTGCACGCGCCCCGTCACCGTGCCCCACGACGCCTGCGTGTCGACCGTCAGGTCCGTCGACGTGTACTTGGTCCACACCTGGTCGATGTACGAGTCGAAGTAGCCGTTGAACAGCGAGCTGTTCGCCACCCGCGCGCTGTTCGGGCTCAGCGCGCGCAGCACGTGGCCGTCGCTCGCCTTGACGATCAGCTGGTCCCAGCCCGCGCCGTCGCTCGCGTTCTGCTGCGTCAGCTGGTCGACGACGGTCGCGAGGCCGTTGGCCGGCATGCCCTGCACCGTCTGGGTCGCGCCGGACGTGTTGACGAGCTGCAGCGCGACGGGGATCGGCGGCACGAAGTCGACGTAGCTGATGTTGACGAACAGCTGCTCGGTGTTGTACGTGAACTCGGCGAAGCCCCAGTCGATGTTGTAGTTGGGGTCGGCCGTGTTGGTCACGCTGGGCTCGACGATGGCCGGGCCGGGGTTCACGAGGAAGGTTAGCTTGGTGCTGCCGGTGCTGAACCAGATGCGGCCGCCCGCGATCTGCGGGATCGTGACCGTGGTGGTGGCACCAGCCGCACCGAGCGGGATGGCAATGTCCTCGGTCAGGGCCGTCTGCGTCGCCGACGGGTTGGCGGGTCGGTACACGGTCTTACCATCGGACTGGATGAACAAGGGCGTGTTGTTGTTGTTGATGTCGAGACCGTTGATGTACACGTAGGCCTCGGTCGAGCCCGTGTTGTTCACGATGGCTATATCGGTCGTGGGGTTCGTCATCTTGACTGAGTTTTCTGGATATTTGCAATTATCTGTTACGAAGTAATAAGGAGCGAATGGTTCATGAAAAAGTCATGAAGGACTGGAACCGATGCAGAACTTGAGATAGGCAACGTTAAGACTACCTCGAAACGAGTGGAACTCCTCTGATTTTAAGGTAAAATAGACCTAGGGAGGCTTCTAGGGATGCAAAAGTTCCAGGATTGGTGGGAAGAACTTGCGAGCATGTGGTCCACGATTCCTTGTTGGAGGGTGCAACTTGTGACCTTGGAGAAGTAAAGCTTAGAACGTCGAGGAGAGGGAGGAACCAACCGTCTTTATGGTAGGCGATGCTGTATACGTAAGTTCAAAACTGATTGTTCAATCAATAGTCCCTTAGTGTCAGACTTGTGAGCGATGATTGAGATCATTTGATAACTACCGATTTGCCCTAATGCTGTCCGCGGGTACCTGGAGTAGCTTCATGATCTGTGGATACTTGGATGGCATAGACGATTGCTTTTGCTTTGGCCTCTTTGCAGGCAACTTACCAAGATTTCGTAAGGGAGAGACATCATGTGTTGAGGATGTGACAAAATTCATGTGATATGTGACTTGAACCAAGGAGAGCATTCAAAATAGGGTTGTAATAAATAGCACAGCCTCTTTTAAGCCACTGGTACCGAGAGTATGAAAGAACGTACGACAGCGGAGTAATTACGCGGAAGTAGGGTACTAAAAATTGAAAAGATCGTCAAGCTTCATGACGGACTTGACAGGCAGTATACCAGGCTGTCTGGTGGCCAGCTGATGAGGCAAAAGCATGGCAATGAAATTGTCATAGCTGAGAGACAAGACACAGAGGAGAATGCGTGAGAAAGTGTGGAGAAGAGCGTGGAACGTGAAGAATGACGTCTCATCCAAGGAAAAATCCTTGGCGACAAGAGGGTCATCGACCCCGTCCGGCGGTAAAGAAGGCAAAATAGAGGACGGCATAACGAATGAAGGCTTGGAGAGCTGTTTCATTCCGGGGAGCCAATAAATGGTTGTCAAGCAGGATATCTGATGGACACGCGCATATGTGTCTCGGAGGTTACAGCGAAAGGAGAAATGCGGCGATGGCAGACGATGGATCTTCCGGGGTTTGAAGTCGTCGGGCCGTGCCCGGCCGCCCAACGTTAAGATTAAACACCTTCCCATATTTCCCGTATGTACGTAAGAGAAATGCGGAGAGGCCGTCATGAGTTTTCGTCGTACGGATGTGTAAGGCTGCGGCCGATACACAAACAGATACACGAGATTCTTCGGGTATCTAACATGTCTATAGGTCTGTTATGACATGTCCGCAACTACCAAACACCCGGATTAGTGAATATCCATAATTAGGAGCCAACAGATGAAATAAGAATAGCCAATAGGGGATGTTCCATGCATAAAACCAGATAAAGCACATCAACTTGCGGAGATTATTGCCAATTATCACAAGCCATTTCGATGCTCGATTTCATGGACGTATGTAGGTATGTATGTATGTATATATGTATGTAAAAATGGTGTTTAAGATCCGTCGGCGTAACTCGTAGAAGAAGTAGCCGAACGAGATGTGGCGCAACGCCCTGTCTTTCCAATCTCCACGATCCATCCCATTCGATCGATCAAGTCTCCGAACCGTCAACTTGAACCATCATACCTACCTATGTAACCCCTCTTTCCCCAATGACGTCCCCCCTTTACGATGACCACGCGCAGATGAGGGGATGGGGTATTGCCAAGGAGAGATCCCGATCAGGCAGGTGGAGAGCCGTGCCGCGCAATATGACTGGTAAACCTAAATGTTAACTCTATATCCATAGCCTAGGGACTTAGGTAGCTAAACTTAGTAAATTCAAATGTTCCCAGTCTCTCCCTTCCCTCTTTCCTTCCTTACAAACATGACAATGACACTTCTCCGCGCCCGTGACCCGCCCCGAGATTGGTGTGCGGGCTCCGCTCTTGGCGTATTCTCCTTCTCTTCTCAGACCTCTCCAACATAACCATGGGCGAGGCAAGTGTGTCACGGTGCACCAGCCTTACTGGCTCGGCCGAGGGGGGGCATAATTCGCGAAATTGGCGTAAAGGGCCTGAGCGGTGTCACCAGGAAACTGACGCGCTAAAGGATCGACAAGCTTAGGTTCCTCCCGTTTCTGGTTGCGCACATCTGCGTCGCATCACGAGACGCTATTCTGGAAGGGAGGATGTGAGACAACTTTAGTATTTTATTTTACTTTATTTTATTTTTATCTTTTCTATTCTTTAATTTCCTGAATTACGAGATTACTACAGATATGTATCACGACTGAAGTTAGCCATGCTAGTTTTTGGGGTCGTATGAGTCTTCCTTCATTTCTAGTCCCTGTACGGAGACGCCTGATTAGCACTAATTTTCATAGTTTTCAAGGCTTCGTACCATCCCATGTATCGGAAAGTACCTAGTAGGCAGAATGAACATACTAAAATTGTAATATAGACCGTGTTCTGATCCGCCATGAAGCCCCTGGGTATCTAACCTGGCTCTCGACGAAGCAGAAAAAGTAAAAGGTAAATACACGCGAATGTGAATTGATGACTGACTCATTCCCTGTACCTGTCCTCGCGCAACTCTAAAGGATATCATAAACCAGAAGCGACAGGTAAACCCCTATCATAAACCGGATGTTGAAAACACGCTTGCCCCATTCATCTTCACTCATATCACGTCTCGTTTGCGACCCCAACACGAAACCCCTGAATAGCCATATTTCACAGCCTAAACATCCACACACTAATTGCTAGAGCCATAGTAAACAGAGGTGACCACTGCTTCGATCGTCCGGAGTTGTTCTCGTGATACGTTGTCTGGTTGGGCGTCATGTTATCGGCGTTGCTGAAGAAGAACGTGGCGTTGTTTTCCGGGATGGCGCAGACCGCCGTAGCAGCCGTAGGGTCTTTACAGCGCATCTTATAGTCGTCCTGTCTAGATTCTAAAGATGAGTTGAAGTATGCCTTCACGTAGCTAACCGTAGTTGTAGCGTCTGATTTCGGCGGTCCTTGCGACCAGCCTACGTTGCCGTTGCTCCAGTGCGATACTTGGAGGTTGCCGGCGGTAGTCGGCACCCCTGTCCCGTTCATCTCCGTGAGCAGTTCGGCATCCGCGTAGAATAGTACTCGGTCCGGTAGAAAGTCGATTCGATACTCGTGAAAAGCTGCTGTAGGGTCGAATGGCAAGTTGATTTTCCTGAAGTCGCCGGTTTTCGAGGCGTCAAACCCGGCATCCTTTGACTCTTGAGATTGGAGGACGAGATTAACTGGGAAGGTGTTGTTATTTCTATTGAACTCCCACGACAAGAACTCGATATCAATCTCTTGAGTATCGTTCATATACTAATAAAAAAAATGGTTAGTGATTCATTTGTCTTTTCCTCTTCACTCTATAACCTCTACAGGGAAGTTGTTGCTCACCCAGAAGAAAGCACTACATGTCCCTGGAATATCAGTGACCTTGATACCAGCTCTGAAGGTTCCGTGAAAGTAATGGGTATCCGTTGTGGAAACGTCGGCGCCGGTGACCATGCCATCTTGGATCTCGCTCTTGACGACGAGGTTGAGGCCAGCATCGCCTCCTTTTGTCCCAGACCCCTCAAACACTTGTTCATTGGCAATGTTGTTTGATATCGCATTTTGTGGCGAGTATGATTCGCCATAGGGACCCCGTGCCACCTCGCTAGACATGTTGAAGTCTTGCCGTGCCCACCCATATTCACCGTACTTCTGTGATCCGTCCGTGATATCCAAGTGAATGAAGTCGCTCTCTAATATGTCCGTGAAGAGATATCTCTTATTATCAGAGGTCGTTATTATCGAGTATCCGCACTCGCAGTCGGCTAGTGCGAGGTTGGACAGGATGGAAAAGGAGGCTAGGAGACGGAGAGGAGTCATCGTGTGGTAGAGAATTCGCTGATGCATCACAGGGCCGGGAGAGCACACTTCATGAAGCCGTCGTTCGAGCAGGGTACCGGCGCAATGTGACAGAAGCAAGGGATGTCGTATTCGAAGATTTGAGTAAAGGAGTGACCTAAAGAAAGCAAAAGACCGAGGCAGAAACGAGGGTATGTAGTGAGCTGAACCTTTCTAGTTTCAAACGTTCATGTGAGACAGGTACACAAATGAACGGCTGTAATGTACACATGCATCCCAGGAATACCTAGGATGGAAAGCACTTTGATGGAAACTAGTATGAGAATAACCACCACCAATGACGGGAAGGAGAACTACCATTGTCAGAACTTGGTGTCCCTAGACATGCAGGCAGGAACGGTTGGCCCTTAAGAAAATAGTACCCCCCGATATTTAAAGTAGGCGTTTTCTTAATTTGCTTTCGGTCATACGTTTATATAGAGGCTTGCAGGCAAGAACAGGCGCCTCGCCGGGTACCTGCAGCACGCCGATAGGAAAGGAATATCATGGCTTCGTGGCCGATGCACTTGTACCCCTGAAAATTTCGCAAGCAAGGGATGATTCTCGCCTTGGTCGTCACAGGCGTCGGTGAGCCTAGCACCAAACTGCTGAACACATCACGATATTTTTCATAGCGGAGAAGTGATTTATTGAATTCTGACGCGTGTTGTAGTATCTATAACTTGAAATGAACCACTTCCTATCGAACTAATTAATCAATCTGTTGCGAGTCATGTTTTCCGATTTGCCAGGCTCAAGTTTCCATCCTGAGATTCAAGTTTGCTGGCTCTATTACATGACATGACGAGAAGACTTAAAAGGAAACTAGTCGCGGGAAGGAAAGACGAAGAAATCAAGTTAAAAGTAGACGAGCGAGTGCAAGGAAATCGGCGAATATAAGGACGACCGGTATTGTGGAACAAGGTATCTGTCGACGACGAGGAGTTGGAAAAAGTTGAGAAAACGCAACAGCGGCATTAAAATAGGATAAGTGCGCCGTAGCTAATAGAACAGAGAGGAAAAGAAGCTTCAATCATGGACCAGCCAGCCAACTGCATCAGACATTATATCGCGCGTATCACGCAGTTGCCCCCCCTTTCCACTGGTCACCGAGAGAGCCACCCTATTCCAGGCCCCCCATTCCGGTAACGTTAGATGCAGATAGATGTCGGATGCAAACAAGATGAAAAAGTAACGAATTCCCTTAGCAAAAATACCCCCCCGCGCCGGTCCATCCCTGATCGAGAAACTAAAATCAAGCGCGAATGTAGGAGGTATATGCCATTAAGACTCTCCCACCCCGGGCCTCCCTATTACTAGAGGAAGAACAAAGAAAATCGTAAGCCTCGTGAATAATATTTAGTACACACTCTCCTCATCGCCCCCTTGCGAAATCATAGAGGGCGTCGAGACGTTGGACGACGCTTCAACATCGTCCACGTAGCCCACGAGGGCTTGAGAGTGAAGGCGGAAGGCTTCGCCCATTAATCTTGTGATGCTGTCAATTCGAATTAGTTTTATATCCTATACGGGGGATCGGATTATAGACTTACCCCCAGACGACTACCTCGTCGAGCATAGAGCCCCACAGGTGAGCCACTGTAGAGCTCAGTTGTTGGGAGTTCATAGCTCCCTCCGCATCCTTATCAAATAGCATTCTAACCTTGAGATACATGGCCATCTCCTCTTCTGAGGCAGCTTCTTCGTCATGTTCCAGACGATATAGCCAGAGAGTGAGGGTGATCATGAGATCCATACCGCACAGAGGGTGTTCGATGCTCCAGTTAGTTGGAGACGTACGAGCGACCCAGCGTACGCCCTGGCGGACGGCTGTTTCGATGCAATTATAACATTCCTCGATTACCTTGATCATCTCGCTCGAGCGCTTAACCCTGTCGCGTGCATTGGACATAGCAGCGGCGACCTCGTAATGATCATGGTAGCGGAGCGCTTCTTGAACCGTCTTCAGATCAACTTCTAGACGGAGGCGCGCGTTGCGGAACATTGCCTTGGCATTGAAGATCAAGGGGTGGCCCTTGTGGGGTGCGCTGAGCGGGACCGCGTCGGCCTCGGGCTCGCAGAGATCTAGAGATTTCTCCCACGTCTCCAGAGCAAGTCGAAGCTTATATTCGGTCACTACGTCTTGCAAGGCCTCAGGGCTACGCTTGTGGTACCACACTTCTAAGAACAGAGCGTTGATCATGACACGTGTCGCAAAAGCGCTGTACTTTAACATCTCTCCCTGGAACAGCTTTTCGTGGGCGTCCATGAAAGTAATCGCCGGGGATGTCTTCAATTGCTCTTGCCAGGTGGCTTCGTCCGTGACCTTAGAGTTCCAAAGCGCCTCTTGGGATGGAAGCTGGAGGTTTTCGAACTCGTTGAAACTAATAGCGGGCGTGTGGTTGTAGGTCATTGTGAGGAGTCCGAAGAAGATGTAGACGGCGTAGTAAGTGCGGCGGCAGCCCTCATCCTCGATCCACTCATTTCGCGTAGGCTGCGCACCTTCGCGCCCATCTTGCCGAAGCTTTAGCTCGTACCGGTTGCCGGCGACCATATTTGCTAGCAGACTCTTGATCGAGCAAGCCCATTCAAGACCCTTCGGGTCTCCACTCCAGCTAGCGAAGATCATGTTGAGAAGGGAGCTCTGCATGGTCCACAGAGGGCATTTTCGAGAGCTAAAGTTCTCCTTGTTCTGCAAGAACTGGTTTACCAAAACCTTGGATCCGATGTGAAGCAAGTAGGCCTGGTCCTGGTCAAAGGCGTAGAGAGCACCAATCGATAACACGGCAAGCAGCAACGCCGGGGACACCTGAGTGACATTAAAAGAGGCAGGATGTAAGAACGGCAAGTGATGATGGAAGAGCGTGAAATACGTCGATAGATAACGGTTCAAGGACGACAAGTTAGGAACACGGAAACCTTCCGGAATCGCGCGTTCACTATCGTGTGCTCGAATATTGTCTAGGAGTATATTGCGCTCTTCGTCGTTGTGAACACGAGGAACGTTAAAGCCCGCCGAAGTCTGAGGCGGGTTAGTGAATGCGCTTTTCGAGTGAGTTGCAGGTGAAGCGTTCAGGGCCGCTGGGCCGTTGCTGTAAGGGGGTAACGGATCTGCCACGGACTGCGACGCAGGTACGAAATCGTTGTAGCTGAGACCAGGAGAAGGGGGCGATAGGCTGGGTTGGGCCTGAGTGGCACTCACATTGGCAAAGGGATGTTGCGAATCGAACGAAGCCGATGCATTTGATGCGACGGAGTGAGCTTTGGCATCCATTGGTGTCTGCGAAGCAAATGCATCCCAGGGTACACTGGTAGGTAAGGGAACAGCACTAGGAGGATAATTGACAGCAGGGTCTACCATAGGAGGGCCATTGGAAGTATAGGACATCGAAGGGCCAGATTCGTACGGGCTCGCATTGTCACGCATCATCGCCTTATGATGAAGGTCCGCGACTAGCATAGCAGCGTGTTCGACATCGAAGGCTCCTTCGCTGCTAGCTTCGATTTGTTCGCTGAGGGTCGAGGTATCGATGGCGATAGAAGACTTGGAAGGTCCGCCGACGGCTCTCGATTTAGATACGCCATTGGCGCCTGCGCGACGCTTGCCATCGCTGTGAAGAGGAACTCCTCCGTCCTTAGCGTGAACAGTTCGGTCGTGTCGGAGAAGCAAGTCGCGTCGCACAAAAGTACTGCGGCACTTCATGCACTTAAATGGGCGCTCCTTTGTGTCTATCAATTATCAAGTCAGCATTTGGCGAGCTACAGGTAGATCAACATAGGTTGCATCAAATCAGATTGATTGAGGGCGTTGAGGGGTAGCTGATTTGCGACGGGGAACGGAGGACGGGGAACGGGGAACGGGGGAACAGGTGACGGGACACAGAGGAGGGGCTTTTGGAGGGCAGTTGGAAGGGATTGGGGAGGAATTGAATTCGCGCCACATACGCGATCGCTCGTGTCTGCTTCGATGTTCGCTTCTGCTAAAAGCTCTATTGCAAAACTGGCACTTGTACTTCCTTTCCGGTTGCGCGAGAGAGGGTTTTCGGGTGGCCGGAGTCGACGAGGCCGAGGCGGAGGTGGTAGGAAGGACTGCCACGTTCGCGCCAGGCATCTTGACGAATGATTGTCGCGTTGGTCAGGTAAAGGTCTGCGATGATTGTGGGTGATGAGGAAGAGGAAGGTGGATTCCAATTCAGTTGAACTTCTTCGCTTCTGTTGACAACGTCTATGCGGTCGACACTCCGAAAACTTGGGCAGTTAATTGTTGAGTTGACCCTTCTCACAGGCTGATAGTTGAAATCGCCTGGCTCCTCGCTCGCACACGCGCGCTCCCGTGGGATTTAAAGTGTGTCTTCTTGACTAGACTGTAGATAGTTGATCATTTGTATCGATATAGGAATCATAGAATAGACTGTGATATAATATGTTGCGGCCAAGGCCGGGGAATAATCTCGAAGCACGAAAGTGTTCGAGATGATGCAGTCGTCTATAAAAATCGACGACGCAAGCAAGTAATCAACGATGCGCGGGTTGCGACCGTTAAAAACTAAAGAGGGGTTTGAGGGGCGATAGGACGTTTGATGGAGGATGAAAGTGTGAAGTTGGGAATTTCAGAAAAAAAAGGAGGGGGGGAAGGGATGAGGAAAGAGGGACAATGCCGGGTCAAAATGAGGGAGGGAAAATTGAATGCGCTGTGCTTTCGTTGTGCTGTGCTATGCAAAGGTGGCTAGTGGCTAGTGCAGGGAGGGGAACAACAAGTCGGGTAGGTGGGTTGGTTTGGAATTGGGAATTTGGCACTTGGAGTCAGAAACAAAATACATCGGTACGTACCTTTCTACCGCGCACTTGACACGCCGCTACCCTGCTACTGTACCGTAGCTACTACCTAGCAATGCGCTACGCTTAGATATTTGGGTGGATGTATTAGGGTGTCATGTACTATGCTAGAAATTAAAGCGGCTGGTACGACAAAAGATAAGTAA